AGTAATTAGCAACTTGAGTGGGATTTCAGTGTTGTTATAATCGTAAATTTGCGGGACTATAATCCCAATAGAATGCATGAGCCAAAAAAAATATTTTCCTCATCTTACGCTGAAGCTCGCTTGTTGCCCTTGAACTAATTCGCCAAGTCGCTATGAAGTGAAGATCTATGCAAAGCAACGAACTATATATTTTGGCGTTTCTATACAGCCGACCCCAATTCCAAACATTGTACATCTTATCCCAACTCCCGCTCCAAAACTACACCCCTTTATCATCTCACATATTGTTGTTGCCAGACTCAATGTACAGTTCTTCGTCATTGTTGTTGTTGTTGTTGTTGTTGTTGTTGTTGTTGTTGTTGTTGTTGTTGTTGTTGTTGTTGTTGTTGTTGTTGTTGTTGGTTGTTCGCCATAGTCAACACTTGACTTTCAAAGACTTGGCTGTGAGTGAAGAAGACAAACTCTTCCCATTCAGAGGTTTTGACAAGTCCTTCAGTAACGTATTCCATGTGTTTGGCCATAGCAGACAAAAATAGTCCAGAGTACTTTGATGCGAAAGATACCATTTCGAAGACGGCTTTCACGAATACACATCTGTTTGACCATACATCGGGTGTAACTTGACTCCCATAGGCGACGAGAGGAATCTGAAAAATGATGAAACGTTAGTTGAGTCGAGTTAGGCAAAGGCAACAGTTCAAATGCTTACACGACGAGCGTCTTCTTCTTGATGGTGATGGTGTGCATGCTGGACGACAGACAGTTTGTCCATTGGTCCTACCCCACACGAAGCACAAGCAAACATCGTCATACTGGCAGCTACAGCTGTAAGTTCCATTCCTGCAAACCACGACCCTTCAGACACCTTGACATCTTTTACAAGCTGTAAGAATCTCTTCATCCAACCATTGTTATTGACTTCCACTTCAGCTAAGCTCCCAGTAGGCCAATCGTGGTCGATTTGTCGTTCCACCCAATTTCTGACTACCTCTAGCTGTTTGAATGCAATGGGAGACGGCAAACACAAGTACAAACTTCCATGACTACGATGACGTGTACAATACTGTTTGTATATGGAAGTGAGCCAAGAGAGACGGCGAGATGACTGTAGTTCATGTGTCAGAGTATGCATCAAGGCGACAAATGTAATTTCTTTCATGGTCTGATTAAGCCTGTCTACAGAAGCCAGATTTAATATTTCATCCAGAGAAGCTCGTAGTATCCCTTGCACCATAACAATCCTTCTAGTCTTCCGCTCTTCCCTAGCCCGAGGCAACCAGAGCTTCATGATCTCAACATATCGCTCTCGTTCCTCGACCATGCGATTATGATGGAGCTGCCATGAATGTATATTGTTTTCGTGATCAGCCAAGTATCTCAAAGCGTAGAACACGTCCTTCGTGTAAAATAAAGTATGGTTCCCTTTGACGAGTCCTAAACCAGCTGGACGTTCTTCCAAGAGTTGAGCAGGTATGATGGGTGGCAACTCTGCATTTCCATACATAGTCCCCAAGCCACCTATATCATGTAATTCCACTAATCTAACTAGATTAAGGACTCTAGAGAAAGATTCAATTGCGTTATTCGGTGCCCAAGACAATAATAACAAAAACAATCAGATAAACGCTTTGCTTCCAACTATTTCATCAACTTGCCTTGTTTGACGATGACGACGGCAGAGCCGGTGCAAGTGATCCCAATCCCGAGCACCGTTTGAACGACATGCAGCAACATCACAAGACGTTCTAAGGAGAAGTTGTAAAGAGCGTTGTACGGTGATACCAAGAATGGGAGCGGCTTTCACGAATGGGTGCTCAATCTTTTGCCAAATTTTCAGTTCGGTTTCGATTTCAGAGAGTGCTTTGGATGACCTGGTAAACTTGGCCAATTCCACAGGTGCCATGCTAAAAAAAACCAGTGAGTGGCGTGAATATTTGGTTTCGTTGAAATCTTACAAGGGACCCCATTATTGTATCAGTTTTATTGATTCGATCCATGCTTTTGGTGATTTCTCGCGGAGATAGACAGGCTTTAGACACTTACAAAGCAGCACATAGTCCAAGAATTTCTGGCGGCATATCCAAGAGATCCATGGCTACTACTGTATTGGCAGCAGCACCAACTTCATTCAAGAGTTCGGCATCACCATTTTCAAAAGGACCAGCAGTGACTTCGTTGGGAAGTTGTTGCTGTTGTTGGGTTGGAGTTGGCTGTTCTGGTTCGCTTACTGCCATGGTAGCCAATGTAGCACCCCCAAGTTGCAATTCATCCATAATGTATCCGAAACTATGACAAGTAGAGCTTTAGCAAGGCGACCGCGACCAGAAAACTCCAAAAACTCAAATTATTGGCAATTTTTAAAGATAGTAAGGCGAATATCCTTCCAAAGTGAAGGACGAAAACTGTAGGCCTACTTTAAACGTACTTGCGAATGACTTTGACTGGTTGGATTATGTCGGTACCTCCTGCGACCTAATCTTTACTTGTTTATCGAAGTATTTGAATGTTTGGAGTTGAAGAAAAAACGACTCAAAGTGGCGTTTCTTTCATTGCAGAGGACCAGTTTTCGAGAGTATGAGAGAATGAAAGTCGAATCTTACTCGTAATTTACGTGACTTGGAGATTCAAGCGTTCATATTTACGCTGTGCGCCAGTGCTAGACTCGCTGGTTGACTCGTTTTAGCGCCCGCAGCAGGCATGTAATGATATGAAGGTTATAACGAGTTAGAAGGTCAATACTGTCATCGTGTCAATTGCTGGACATTAATGTTATAGTGACTAACAATAGGACATCTTACTTGGTCTGTACCATGCTGCAAGATGAGCTCTACCTTTATAAACCGGAACAAGCATAGTGCGTTTTAGGCAAGATCATCATTTTTCAGACGTTAGTAACACGTCATTCTCCCCTATTAGCTCTGTGCTAACCCTCTTATTCCTCGAAACGTCCTTTTTTTGCAGTTGTCGTATTACGTTCAAATAATTCTAAGGATGACGCCAAAGAACGCATCAGCACTGCTTGCATGCAGTACACGGTATTCGAATTCCACTATATCTGTAATCCCAACAAAACCTCAATGCTCTCGTAGAAGTGCTCAAACAAGAGCTCGACGAATCCTCTTTGACAACATACCGAGAATATCAGCCATACCACCACCTGCACCTTCCCCCGATGCCAATCCTGTATTCCTGCTCCGTAATGCATTGGCCCTCAGCCAACCTCTCAAAGCTATAGAGTATTGGTCGCAAATCAACACATCAGAATCTAGAATGCAAAACTTGAGGATGCTGTCGTCGGATGATTACGCTGGTCTATTACGAGCCATCACGCATCCTGAAATACAGAAAAGGAGCGAGATTAGACGGTCGGTGATGGATGTTATTGAAAACACTGGCCAGGCTGGGGTCGAAGAAAATGTTATTGTCAACGTTGAGAGGACTAGTGAACTGCAAGCTGAAATAGTTAGGTCGCAGGGACTCAAGGATTTAGGAGAGATAGTGAAACGGGCAGTTGGTTTTGGCAAGCCATTGTCAACCCCAGTTTGTAAAGTAGTCTTTGAATCACTAGCTGCAAATCAACGATGGATGGCTGCTAGTCAACTGCTCGCCCAAATATATAAAGAGGGAGATACAATCACGCCCAAAATAGCTGAATATATGGTATTAACTCTATCCGCATATCGTAAAACAACCACCGAATCCGAATCCTTGACACAGCTACTACAGGCCATGTATACCTTGCCTCCGTCACTATCCGTAAATAAGGCACTAATGGACTTTTTCGCTGATTATGGTCGTATTACACCCGTAAACAAGTACTTTGACGATCTGAAAAAGGCCGGAATACAACCTGATTCAGGTTGCTACGATGCACTCATCAAGACGCATGTCGTTAGAGGTCAATTAGGAGATGCAATCCATACATATGCAGAGATGCGGAAACGAGGGCTTGAAGCTACAGACGCTACATATATCAACCTCATCAATGGACACTCGGATGCTAAAGATGTAGCAGGTGCCGTACGTTTCTTTTACAAGAAGCACTCCGTGCCTGGATATACACCATCCGCATCCGTATGTGCGGCTCTAGTTAGCGCATATGCATCCGCAGGTGAACTACAAAAGGCTTGGAGGACGGTCAAGACATCTATGGATGTACAAAAAACTAGATTCACAACGGGTGATTTCACAGCACTAGCAGCAGCACATGCCAATAAACACACGGATATGCTCCGAGACGCCTTGACATGGGCTGAAATCAGCAAAAACAAACATCGAAAAATAAGCCTTACTCATAACTTGATACAAAGTATGGTTGATTTACATAGTCAGGAAGGTGCTCATGGTGTACTACGGCTCGCTGCTGATCTAGAAAAGGCATTAAAAATGCATCTAACGGACAACATAAAGTCTTGCATGGTCTCTGCACATGCCATGCTGGGAGAAACTGATAAAGCAGAACAGATGCTGGAGGCTTTTAAATTCAAACCCACGAATCGTCAACCATATAATTTATTACTGAAGGCATATGCGGATGCTAAAGATCCAGCTGGTATTCATCGTGTACGAGCTGTGATGAAACAGTCGAACGTACAACCTGATAGTGACACTTTTGAAGCATTGCTGACTGGTGCTAGTGATAATGACGCAGTCAAATTAATAGTCAATCAAATGTATCAAAGCGGTTGGATTCCTGGAGAGGAACATGTAAAGTCGTTGGCAACGATAGATAGTAAGAAGCTCTTATTGTTTGCTTGAAAGAAATAGAATCATACCTTTGGAGAGTAACCCTGTCGCTGTGTGCTTATTCGAATGCGGTGGAAAGTTGCTTTGAATGGATGCTGCCTTGGACGAATCTGACGAATCTTGCGACACTTACAAGATTCCAACTAGATCTACCAAATGGCCTTAGATTCAGTTCAGAGGTTCCGTTTTCCAACGGCAATGTGTTCGCATGACCCTGCGTCGTCCCTTCGAGATCGACATGAAATTGTTGATGAAAAAAGACTTAGTGCCGCAAAAGAGTAATGCGTCAATGAATAACAGTTTTCAGTTCTCTGAAGCACTCGTAACCGAGACATTTGAGATATCAGTACCATTTGACACGAGGGTAAAATATCACTTCTCCTTTACCTATACAAGGCTCAGGAATTTTAGTGACGGACGCGTTCACTCCGTTTCACATCAAAGAACCCAGAACGAAGAAGCTTTTCACTTTCCACAAACGAGCTCAAGAATTCGATTCCAGGCTAGTGGATATCCGGTGCTCTCCTGGCAACGTCGAAAGTGAAGGCATCAATTTGCCGCTTGTCGACAACAAACAGAAGCATTTCAAGCGCAAGAGAAAGTAGCCGATTCGTCATTTATTAGAATTTAGAAGTTCTTGTGTTTGTATCATGGCAATTTATGTGTTTGTATCTAGTAACTAGCCAATCATTTGCTCTGATTCAAAGCAATTTCGTTTTTTCTCTCAGCAAAGCTGGCCTGCAACAGCGATTAGCTTTTCTCCCCCAGCAGTGCTCATCGTACATAGTCATATACCTTTGGTCTTTCGCTGGTCGAAAACCAAATCAGTTCAGAGCCTCGTTGACATCACGGTGACTGACAGTAGATCGTTCTTACCTTTTGAGCTTGGCTTTATTCAGGATAGCTACCTACACCGGAAATAGACGACGAGTGGTCAACTAGTACTACATCTTACATCTTGTGGTAAGCAGCTTGCATGCCTCACGCGGGTAGCTTTTAGTGGTTTATTTCGGGTTATGGCTTCCTTCAACAAACAAAAAACAAACGTTGCCACTTCCGAGAATAAATTTGTCAGTTCGCAACTAAAAACACTGCCATCTGTATGTGTAGACATCATACACTCAATGGACACTATGGGAGAAGACGTCAGTGGGTCGGAAGAAGACGACCAAATAGCCATGGACGATGTCAAATCAAACAGCAGCAGCTCCAATGTCACATCGCAGAGACAAACATTTGTCCAAAAACTGTACAAGATATTAGAAGATCCTACATTTCAGAGCTTGATTTGTTGGAGTGCTACAGGGCAGAGCTTCCTGGTGATTGATCCTACGCAACTAGCCCGCACATGTTTACCAAAGGTGTTTAAACATAACAACTTTACAAGCTTTGTGAGGCAGCTTAATCTGTACGTATGAGAAAGTGGCTATTTATAAGTCGGCTGCCGTCTCGGCAGTCCTCAATCTAGGAAGAGTGGTTTTTTTGTGCTTGTTCCCCAACCAATCCAACTCACCTGATTTTCTACTAGATATGGCTTCCACAAGACAAATAGACAACATACACGAATCCCAGATGAAGAACGTGATCGGGACTCGGAACCGAGAGAGTTCTTCCATCCCAAATTTGTTAGGAATCGACCTGAACTACTAGTTGAAATACGACGAAAGCCAACGAATCTGGGATCTGTACAGGCTGCGTCTGGAATGACTGCTGTTCCCAGACATCCTACACCACCTATGGGCCAGAAATGTAAGAATACGGGAATGTGCTCTCATATATAGGCACCGTGTTTACCCTTTTTTCATCTCTAGCACAAACATCCCAGCCAATGTACATCACCCAACAAATATCCACACCACCGACACTAACACCATCCAGCTCTCTCGGTGATTTGCCATCACAGACTAGCGGTGGTGCATCGTCGTCATCAGCAATGCCACCGGGCCCTCAAGGTCCAGCCGCTACAACATCATTCGAGTCGCGATTATGGCAGCTGCAATTCATGATTCAGGATTTGATTGGTCTTGTGCGTGACATTCATCGTCGTCAGGATAATCAGCAAAGGGCAGTTGATGAATTAACGCACCAGATTACTCAGTTACAGGGTGTTGTGCGTGGTACGTGTTGATGCCTTTTGAAGATTTGGGATGGGGCAGTGAGAATGTTGCATTGCGCGCAGTAGATCGTCTGCGACAGGTGTTTTTGGGCACGTATCGCCGAACTTTGAAAATCTGAAAAATCTAACATCATTTCCTGTAATTCATCAGGTTCACAATCATCAAACACAGCCTTAGCCTCTCTCGTGCAGGACACGAGTAGTAGCAGCAGCAACACTAGTACCACCCGCAACATTAGCAACCAAACATCATACCGCCCACTCCCACAATTCACAGCTCCACCAAACTTTAGTACCCAAACGCAGGCGCTTGGATTACCCTCTTCCTCATCATCGCAACAACAATCGGATAATTATACGAACTTCCCGATAGTGAACACCCCCCAACTCATCCGCTCACTATCACCACCCCAACAGCAACAGCAATCAAACCTCGTGTACCCGCTAGCGTCCACATCGTCGATACGTATGGATCAGAATATGTATACTCAGATGGTGGGTGGTAATAGTCAGCAAGTGCAGCAGTCTCCACCGAACATGCAACAACAAATACAGAATATGCAGCAGAATATGCAGCAGCAGCAGCAGCAGCAGCAGGATGCTAGTGTGAATATGACCCAGCAGGAGGCAACGAGGATGCTCATGTTGCCACCACCTAGCAGTATATCCCAAATGGCGGCGAATTGGAATCGTGCTGCTGGCGGCGCGTCAAATTGGCAACCACCACAATAGAAAGTTTGGTGAATTAAGATAGTATATATAATGACCTCAGTAAACTATATAGATTGAGATAACACGAGGAGAGGGAGAGTTATGAGTTAGGGTTTGTATATTTTCATATGTACAGAGAGAATGGTTCATATACAGTTGAGATGAGTTTTAGACCAGAATAGAAAACCTGGTACCACAGCAAAACAACAGGGTTGTATTTACTGTAGATGAGTTGTGTCAGCCAAGTCTCCACTCGGAATACAAGCGACGCATTCCATAAGACCCCTCCTCACTTTATCCTCTACGTCGAGGAGGAGAGTGTGATCTCGACCGCCTTGTTGGAGACCCTTTTGGAATCCCAAGGAATTCTGTAGGCAGACCTCCATTATTCAAATAACAGCTACACTGGCCTGGCGGCGTTCCCGAATGATGTTGAGGATGGGATGATGATTGTCCATTGTAATAATGATGGTGATGGTGGTGATGATGCACAAACTAGCCAAGGCAGGTGAGACTTAGAAAAATAGGGAAGAGCAACAAAAGGGGCACCGAGAACACATGTCGATACGTACAGTAGCAGGTATGCTGACGAACACTCCTTCACCCACAACCTTGGTAGTACTAGTAGTAGTAGTAACTTCTTCGTCCTCTACACCTCCCACAATACCAGATTCAGTATCACAATCTCCATCTAGATTTGCCTGAATCCGTTTCGACGAGTGTGTCAGCACTCCACTGTTTCTATAATCTAGTATGCAAAGCAGCAGCGATACTGCTACAGCGGCTGACGATAATGCGATAAAGAAGAGTTCTACATTCACCCAATTTGCGTCGATAGTACGGATTTGAGCTACAACGAGTGGGAAGAGGAATAAAGACATGTTCTAATAGAGGGTGTGATAGGTCAAGTCCGGAGCTCGCTTTTTTGTGCAGGTGCGTAAAAGATACTTACCAACGCCATCGTAACAAACCCGTAAGCTGTAGCTATTTGGTGCCTTGCGACCAAGTACGGCACACATGGCCACAGCCCTGATGCAAATACACTATATGCGATACCCATAAGCGTCATGGATACCATTGGACTCACCATCGTGAATGCAAATAATGTATGCGTGATTAAGAGTATGAGACCAGATATAGGGAGTACTGTTGATCGATGTCCAAAATGATCCAGCATTATGCCAGCGACTGGAGAACCAACGGACGATACGATATCAGGAATAGACATCAGCCAGCCCGCTTCTTGACCGTCTACCAACCACTTTTGTTGGAAGAAGTCTGTGCATATGTGGAAGAAGGGGACACTGGCGCCTATAAAGGTTTGAAATACGTGTGAGCGACGAGGAAAAAAAAACAGAGTTACAAACGTATGAATACCGTAAAGAGTAATGCATATCAAGCATAACAGCCAAAACTGTCCTCTAAAACCACGTATTTGCGAGCAATGAACGGTTTCATCTTGCTCGTCAAATGATTCTGATCTATCGTCCGCTTCAATACTAATTCCATCATACGTATTACTATATCCTGCACCTCGTAGCGGGGTCGTCTCGTCAAACACCTCATCATCTTCTACACTACTACTATGAGTCACAATCCGTTTATGATACCCCGTTGTCTCTTGTATAGCAACACCAGCTTCACGTCTCGATTCATCACGATCCAGATATATGACAACCAGACCAGATAGAAACGACGTCGCAGCCACAATCACACCAAACCAAGCAGCAGCAGGTGTTGAAAAGTGTGCATGAATCCACGGCGACAGGTTGTCATTTGCAGCTGTGAATAATCTAGCAGAAGACAGATTCACACCAAACGCGAATGCGAGAGAATGGCGAGAAAACCAATCGGTTGTGATTCGAGCTTGAGCTACTTCGAGGGATTCACCACCTATTCCAAAGAGTATGCGACCAGCTAGCATTATTGCGAAACTCTTGGATGAGACTCCAAATGCAAAGAGTGCTTGACCGAGACAGACGAGAGCTGAGAATACTAGGAGCATTGTTGTGGTTCCGAGGCGGTCGATTAGGAAGCCGCCGATTAAGGGAAGAAAGATGTTTGGTAGCGAGTAGACAGAGTCTAAGTTGAGAATGGTGGTCAGAGTGGCTATGACTCGTCATGTTGTTAGACGGATAGATACGTACAAAGAAGATTGATCTGCCACTGCCACGTGTCGTAATCGGATCCGAGATGTTCTCGTAGTGGTACATTAAGGGACTAGATAGGGAAAAACGAGTTTTAGTGGAGCAAAGGGCAGCAAGGAGATACCGAGAGGATCGGAAATTGTTTTCAAGTTTAATCTGCGTGTTGGAGTTGCCAAATCACTCTGGACTGCCAAATCACACTGAAAAACCTGTGCTCAAAGATCATATTCATTACACTGGGTGTATCGTATGCGTAATAATTCCCTTTTAAAAAGAAATAAATGTTGATTAGAGGTGTGTTAAGGCTTGGAAAGGTATATGATCTTACCAGCTAGCAAGATGCAGACAAAAAACAAGCAGAGATAATGTCGAGAGATTGCGATCATGTTCCCTTGATGCGAGTTCAACCACAACGACAATAATCGTTCTGCATAAAGCAAGCAATGATAATCCGAGGGCAGCGTTGGAACTGACGTTGAATTCAATCAGCTCACCGATGTTTTGATAGTTCGCGATGAAAGAGAATATGTCTGAGATTCAACGTCAAAGAAACCGGCAAAAGCTCTACAAGTTCATTTCGTTGAATATCACGTCCAAAATCACGTAAACATGGTCCTTAAGCACGCCTTACTGAAGTATTGGACGTGGTCGAGAAGCTTGAACTTTGCAAAAAATCTAGAAAAATTGAGTTTTGGACATATAGGGATGGCAGTTACTAGGGCAACTAGAACGGCCACCGTAGAACTAGCATTAATGGCATCTGCTTTATTATACATTACTCGTCGAAACAAACTTTTACTTGATAGATGCACCAAAAAGCTCCCTGTCAGCACTAGCACCCATCAACACCGACACTACTCTGCCTTCCCACTCCCCGATATATTTAAAAAGACATCTTTACAAGCTAGAGCAATGGACCATCCATGGCTATTATCCTCATCTCCGCCACGTGTACCTCTTCCAACATTTTGGTCGGTGCTGAGAGACAAGCACTTCCTTACGGTTGGAACAGCTAGGATACGTAAACACTTGCATCATCCCTCGTATCTGTTTCCTGATGACTTTGTAGATGATGCAGAGAAGGTCGTGATGGATTTGATTCCTGCCCTGAATGATTCGTTGCTGGTGAATAGTGGTAGTAGTGAGGGTAGTAGTGGAAGTGATGTTAATGGTAATAGTGACAGTAGCAGTAGTAGTCGCAGTAGCAGCACCAGCAGTGAAGGGACTCAAAATGATGGAAGACACACTCTAATGGACGCTCCCAACAACGACCTTCCATCCATACCAGATCTAGATCTACCACCGACACTAGAAGAACTATGTCTCTCCCCCGTATCTAGATTATATAGAGAAGCCGCCCGACGCCTACACGCTCGCGGCCAAGTAGCTCACTGGAACCTAAAAACCAAACCCCGTATAAGACCACTATCAGTCCATCTAACCTATGGCCCATACCCAATCCCAGACGGCTACACCCGCCAGCACTGGTGGGATCTAATGACTCTCATCATCCCGTCTGAAGACTCGAACTTCACTACACAGCAACGGCAACGTGAAATCCTCGAACGGTGTATAGATCAGGGCACTTATATCAAAGTGGTTGTTGCATTAGATAGTGAAGTGGAATTCGCTATAAAGGATGTTAATAATTTAGATGGTGCTCCACTGTTAAGGGATTCGAGACAAAAGATCGTGTTAGAGTTTAGTAGTCCGCATTTCTCTGCTTATGATGAAGTGCTAGAGCTGGATGAGAAGGGGAAGTGGAGGTTGAGGTGGCAGTGGAGGGTTTCGGATATAGATTATTTGTTCGCTAGCCAACAGCCTAAACGATAAATATATTTGCACCGTCCAGATTGTGATATTGTGTTGGATTCGACGCGTCTGATGCGTTTAGGAGGAATTAAACCACAAGAGAAGCAGAAGTAGAACTTCATGGTACCTTCCTTAATCTTCCTTTTACGAAAACGCAGATGCCGTCACTTCGAAAAGTGAATTCACACCATCAATCGCAAAGATGAAGAATCATCACCATGGGAGAAGAAGCTACAACGCTATGGATCAAGCTCTTCAAACGTGATGCCGAGGTCGCCAACAATCCAGATCATCCTGCTATAGAGCTAGGAGACTCTGCTGATGTGGACGTGAACATTGCCCAGGTTACCAATATTAGCAAATTACGCAAATATATCATTCAACATGAAGACTTCAGGGATCGATTGGCTGATGTCAAACCAGATCAACTATATGTTTTTACAGATGCTGCATTCAAAACACCACTGGATCCGGACATGTCACTGAATGACATTGAAACATCAGCCAAAACTCCATTACGTGTTGTGAGACCCGCTACTTCTTTTGGTCGAATGTCATTCACCATGGAGAGATCCGGTACGCAAGCTCCACGCCTTGATAACCAACTGCCTAGCTAACTCATCCTATCCTCCTTTTCTGTTAGCTTTTCGACGACCTCCTCCAGACTGGGCGACCGACATGTACAGAAAGCTGTGGATGAGCAAGGGCTCAGGAGAAAAAAAGTACATGCATACTGTACCCTTTGTTGTCCCCAACATGGAAATGGACGACACGGACATGGAACTTGATGATGATGCAGCAGTCAAAACGGATAGTGCTGCCGTTGTGGTAGACCAGAAGATGATGAAGTTTTGGGATATGGACCCTGATGATAAAACTAAGTATTTATTCTCCTTGACAAAAAAGGGCTTCTTGTACATTCGAGACGACTATGAGAGGTTGTACGATTATCTGAAGTCGGAGGTTTTAAAACGGGGAACATTAGGACGGGACCCATATTTTATTCTTCTTGGAGACCCTGGCATTGGTAAAGTCACAAGTCTCTCATTGGTCGAAACTCGGAGCCCGCTAATTCGTATGTCTAGGCAAGAGTCTTTTGTTATACTATATATTGATCGACAGACTTTTGAACGGCCTTTCAACGGTCATTCAGAATGAAATCGACATGTATTTGGTGTTTGATAAAACAGGAGTTTCAAGTCAACCAAAGGCCTCCCAGCTAGCAATAAAAGGAGCAAACGTGTGGGCGCTGGTCGATTCGAATCTGGACGTACATCATCCAGGGCTTGCTTTGTTTCAAACAAGTCATATAGAGTGTGTCGTGCTTGCGAGCTCTCCCAACCCAAGGCGGTATAAAGAGTCTGTCAAGCAGCATGCTGGAAGGTTCATTTTTATGAAGCCGTGGTCCTGGGAGGAAGTTTCGTTTATTGGGTAGGTTGTCATTTCTCTTGCTTTAAAAGTTATCACCCGAGCTAAGTGACGTTTTCGCAGGTCAAGAACGAATGACACTAATGGATTGATGATTGCACAACAGGACTTGTTTTACGTGTTCAGCAATTACTCCAGCAGTATCAGAGTGGTGCTGAATGCTTGCTGCACGGAGGGAGGGAAAACTGCCCTAAAGTCAAAAATCTCAAACGCAGTTGAGAAGATAAACTCGGAATCGTTAAAAAAGCTGTTATCTCCAGATCCCGAGAGAGACATCGAATACATAGCCAGTGATCTAATTGCACTAAACCCAAAGGTTGTTGGAGATGTTATACGTCGAGATCTGTACACGGTCGACATACAGACCAAATATATCACTGGCCAGATTTGGAACAAGGTTCTTAGAAACCAGAAGGAGAGCCAGGCTTCGTTTTTACAGATGATATCACTACACGATGGAGCCGCTTTTCTCAAACGTGGTTTCTTTGAGGTAAGCAAAAGTGTAGTCGCCACGATTATTACAGGGCTCATCCTTCAATTTCTAAATAGCTCGCCGCACATGTCGTTTTCACGAACGAGGAGCAGCGGCTGGACATTCCATCCCGTCCTCTAAGCGATTCTGCTCAAGGTCTGCAGATTCCATGTGGCCTCCCTTCTGTCGCGTTTGAGGACAGCAAAGATTTGAAACGCAAACTGGCAGACATTCCGAATTATACGTCTACTGAAATTTATTGTAAACCTATGAAGCCGAGCTTCCCAACTATAGACAGTTTTATATATTCAGGTGCAACTAACTTGGTGATCTTGCTTCAGATGACAGTGTCAACTACTCACGATATCAAGGTCGATGGTCTGAACCTTGCCTCTGAAATCATTCGAGACGCTTTTCAACTTGACCATCCCTCAACCGAACCAAACTATGTCTTTGTCTTCGTCTGTCCAGGTCTTACCTATAACGGTCCTGTAATCACGTCTGCACAAAGAGTAGATGGAAAAGGGTGGCAAAGGTGGAAAAGCCTGAAGCAACATGTCTTGGATTTGCCCAAATTAGCATAAAATATATCACAACAGCTAGATTGGACAGGTAAGAATTTGAATTTAGATCATCATTTCTCCTGGTTGGCGGACGTGATAATGTGGTTGGTTGTTACCAATTTTTGCATCCTATTTTATTCAACCTTACATATTCGCACTTTCTTGTAGAATCGCACGTCTACTGTCTTAAATCCTCCCTCCCTCTCATTACATTCTAGAGTCTTGCTGTGATATACATTACGTTTGAGCTGTCGAAACTGTTGTTTGGTGCTCTGATTGTTTATACACTTGGGCGAAGGAAAATGAAGGAGACCTTGAAAATGTGTTTCTTTTATAATGGAGTAGCAGGACTCATATACCTCTGCATTTTCTGTCTGGAACCCTTTAAGTCCGCTCAATCTCTCGACTCTACCACCGATCCACCTCCGACATTTACCAGCGTTCTCCGAAGATTCACGTCACGTGAGATGTCACTCGTAGCCATGGCTATTATCCTCATCTCCTCCATGTGTACCTCTTCCAACATTATCGGGTGCTGAGAGACAAGCATTTTCTCACGGCTGGAACTGCTAGAAGACGTAAAAATCTGCATCATCCTTCGCATCTCTCTCCTTATGACTTTGTAGATGATGCAGAGTAGGTCTTGATGGATTTGATTCCTGCCCTGACTGATTCGCTGCTCGTGAATAGTGGTAGTAGTGATGGTAGTAGTGCAAGTGATTTTAATAGTAGTAGTAATCGTATTAGTGACCGTAGCAGTAGTAGTAGCAGCAGTAGCCCCAGGAGTGAAGGGACTCCACATGATGGAAGACACACACTAATAAACGCCGCCAACAACAATCTCTCATGAATACCCGATCTAGATCTACCACCAACACTAGAAGAACTATGTGTCTCCCCCGTATCTAGACTATATAGAGCAGCCGCCCGACGCCTACACTCTCGCGGCCAAGTAGCTCACTGGAACCTAAAAACCAAACCCCGTATAAGACCACTATCAGTCCATCTAACCTATGGCCCATACCCAATCCTAGACCCGACAGCACTGGTGGGGTCTAATGACTCTCATCATCCCGTTGGAAGACTCGAAATTTACTACACAGCAAGGGCAACGTGAATTCCTCGAACGGTGTATAGATCAAGGCGCCTATATCAAAGTGATTGTTGCGTTGGATAGTGAAGCGGATTTCGCTATAATGGATGTTAATAATGTAGACGGTGCTCCACTGTTAAGGGATTCGAGACAAAAGATTGTTTTGGAGTTTCGTAGTCCGCGATTCTCTGCTTATGATGAAGTGCTAGAGCTGGACGAAAAGGGGAAGTGGAGGTTGAGGTGGCAGTGGAGAGTTTCGGATATAGATTATTTGTTTGCTAGTCAACAGCGTAAACGAAAATATATATAGTTGCACCATCCATATCGTAATATCTGTTTGATTTTTACGCGCCTGCCGCGTCTGGAAGGATTTAGAGAAGAACAGAAGGTGGTATAGACCCTCATAGTAGCTTCCTCAACCTTCCTTTTATGAAAACCTCGAACCGACCGAAGCTCAGTTTTTTGGGCAAAACGATTTTCAAGCGAAATCGACATACAATTACAGCTTCTCTGTGGATCTTTGAAGCTTGGGAGCAGTAGATCTGGATGAGCAATTTGAGGACGTGGCTACAGCGGTCTGCATCTCTTAGTTACCAACACGATGAAAGGCCAGATGCGGCAATAATTCGAGATGACACTGTTCCAAATCAGACTCCCCTGGCGGTTGTTTTGGATGGCTCAAGGCGTCGCATGAAGAATGTGACTACACTATCGGTGTCTCTCTTCTTCCTGTTCTTCTCTTTTGGGGTTTTGCAAGTAAGAAATTGAATTTTGGTTTAGATCACTTTTTTCTCGTGGTTGGCGGATGTGACAATGTAGTTGGTTGTTGTTACAAGTGAAGGCTAAAAGCTGGCGTGATCTGTTGATATCATGTAGATCAACAAGATGTGTGAAGGTCCGCTTGAAGGACGTCAAAATATGCTGATCGTCGGACATCGAAACATTCCATTGCATCATATCTCATAGAACTTACAAATTTAGATTTTTTCTTGTAGAACTTGACATCTACTGTATTTGATCCGAGAATTGCATTCTGGACTCTTGCTGTGATATACATTACGTTTGGGCTGTCGAATCTGTTGTTTGGTGCGTTGATTGTGCATAAACTTGGTCCAAGGTAAATGAAGGGGACGACGGAGAACGTGGCAACTGCCTCTCTTATGCTATAGATCGTTTTAGGCATAGTGTGGCATTTGCGTTACAGGGTTGGAACTTTCAACGTGGAGCAGTTCAATGATACTTATTTTTTCTGCTCTTCTGTAGACTGTGTCTTGTGTTGGGAGCTTTGCCATATCTATTACTGAATATCGTCTATATAATCGCTCTAAAGAATGCGTCTAATGAGACATTACAATGGGTAATACTTCTCATGTCTGCTTTCCTTCTCGGGGTTGGAGCGACCATACTGTGGATTGCTCAAGGGACTTATTTAACACGTTCCGCTACAGGTAACTCCCTCGGTACTTTAGTAGTAATCATGAGATTCGCGGAGATTTAACGCTATTCAACGACAGATGAGACAATTGGATTCTATTCTGGATTCTTCTTTGCATTCTTGTCTCTGTCGCAAGTGCTTGGAAATGCTGGTGCTGGTTTTCTGCTGTCGAGAGATGTTGAGACGGTATGTAATGTTGCGGAACCACATTCACCTGTATTGTTTGTCTTGTTTTGCTCCTAGCAGCATTCAACTGAAAAATCCTTCCACATACAGGTCATGATGTTGGAAATCCTGACAGTGTTCAGCGCCATCGGAGTAGGAGGACTCATATACCTATGTATATTTTGTCCAGAACCTACGAAATCCTCTCAATCTCTCGACTCTACCAACGATACCCCTCCAACATTCTCCAGCGTTCTCCGAATATTCACATCGCCCGAAATGCTGCTCCTCGCACCAATGTTTTGGGCGGTGAATGTAAACCAGGGCTTCTTTGGCGGATCCTTACCGTTATACATACACAATCTGTATGGCGAACCTGAAGACAATCTGGCACTTAAATTGTATATCCTGGCTGCGTTATCTGTCACGGATGTGATTGCATCTATTGTAATTGGACGGCTTGCTGATCGTGTGGCACCGATACGGATACTGGTTTGTGGGTTGATATGGCATGCGCTGGCTATGGGGATACTGGCTGGGATGGATGCAGTAAATAATGTTTCGCTGTTGTTTGGTGTTGCTTGTATGATTGGGATTACTGATGCTGTGAGTGTTATTCCTTGGCCGGCTGTTTTTTTTTGGCAGTCGTTGACATCCTCACACTTTTCACCCACTAGATACTACTGACACTAACATACGCCTTACTCGGAAAACTCTTTTCGGAGCCATCAAAAACCTCTGGCGCCTTTGCCTGCAACAAGTTTCATGGGAGTATTATGGAGGGCCTGTTGTTTGCAGTGTCACCTCGTCTTCTTGATTCAAATGGGACGCCGTTAACGTGGGCGTGGTTTGGAATCACTGTATCTTTAATTGCTTTAGCTTGTGGAGGTCTTGCTGGTATATCGATACGGAAGAATGGACGAAAAGTGAGTGTGCATGGTGCTGCTCCATATGAGAATGGGCTGGGAAGTCCTGTTAGTAATGGGAGTGCAAACAGTTCGAATTCACTTGTATCACATCGTGTATTATAAAGTAAACCTTTTTCCCATCTTCTTACACTCTTAATTAATATAAATATATAATCTCCTCTCACCAAGATATCTACATCGAATCTCACTACACTTGGACCATACAAACGACCAAGCTTATCGACTGAGATCCAGCGTGATGAAACCATCTGGTGAGCGTCAGAAACGCTTCTTGACACAGAAGGAGTGGACATTCCTTGATTTCAAAAGTCAGAGACTTGAACTCTAAAGGAAGGTCCACTGCGACTTTTTGTCAAGAACAGATGATTCCGGTTTTATATTGGCCAGAGTCAACCAACTGCATCACATTGATTGTGTGAAGTTTGGCTCTCATCACAACTGTGCCTTGTTTTGGATCAAATGTGAAGGATTGAAAGTTCTGGTCTCGGCTCAAATGTTGTGTGGAATGTGATCTTGTTTTGTAGAGGCCACACAAAAGAAACTTGATGCATTTACTCCTACTGGTATCTACTAAATCGAACGTGGAGAAATGTCAATAAGATGTCCTCAAGAGTTCTTCAACCCAGCAAAAACAGGAGCTTGACGCTGAAACATGTTATTACAACATACACTCACTTGCCGACGTCGATTTCTAGTGCATTTCAAGCACTTTCCACGGAATGCATACTCCTCCCAGTCTTCGTCAGATGGTGAGCAAGCTTAATGTCTGTGAATGTTTGATGATGTTCAACCGTGTCGAAACTAACATGTAAACATTAATAGGAAAGGAGTTTGAACGTCATTTTGAAGGATATCCGCTACTATTAAAGTCGCAACCGCGTCGCCGCGATTTATTAGCTCCTCAGGTTGGTCAAATCCGACATTTCTCCATTCACATCATGCACGCACACTAACACTTTGCATCGTGTAATAATTAGTTATGGTAAATGCACTTGATTTCGTTAGTGATGCATTACAAGAATAACTCCACTCGTTGGTCGATAAAGATGACGAAAGAAACAAACACGTACTTTTAAAAACAGGTGGCCTTGGTTTGATCGCACAGTCCTTGGAGGCGTTAGACGTGGAGCTGCTTTGATGACTGCTTCAGGATGGCTAAACGCTCGTGCAGCGCCCACAGAAGAAAAACCTGAAACAAACGACAAGTACATCCCTGATACCTTCTTGGCCGGTATTAAATTCGCCATACCGACCTTCTTTGATTCCCTATCACGATGGGATGGGACTTCTGACTCTCCACTACTCAAGGAAATGGCTACAAACCAGCTATTGGAGCGATTTGGGGTGGTGCATCGTAATTTCAGTGAGGAGGGGCTCATACCTGTTATAGAAGTGTCGCCAATCGCAGGAGAGAATAAGAATATTAGCTTGCAGGATATCCTACAGGAGGTAACTACAGGTCAGCCATCGTATGGTGCTGCGGCTGGTGTTCTTGATATTTGGATTACGTTTGGAAAAGGTGGTACGTCAACGTTGGCTGGTGGACATGGGATTAAGAGATTCGGACCGCAGATCTTGTTGAGAGATGGTGGTGGGTCCAATGTTTTGTATCAGGAAATAACATTTGAGGTATCGTGTTTTGGTCGATCTGTAATGTCGAATATGGTGGAGCAACCTCATTTTTTCATCCTTCCCTTTCTCTCAGTATTTATTGTCAGAATCCGAATATGGAGATTTTGATAAAGAATTACCATTCAGTGTAAAGGGTGAACTCATGGAGCGAGGTGCTCTGGTAGGAGTCGATGCATATGTGCGAGCTAATGTGGATATTACACTGATATCAAAGGAGGACTCGAGTGTTGTGTTTGAGGACTCTGTTGAGAGAGTGCTTCGAGTACGGTTTGAGGCCAAGATTGGGGACAAGATCTTGTCAAGTACGAGATGGAGGCTCGCGGATGTTGATGCCCTGTTAGGTAATGTGTGCAGACAACAAGGCATAGAGAGACCTGTTTTGAATTTTTTCTTGGTTGTCATTTTAGGGAGTGAAAAGGCCGACATTGCTGATGAGCTCAAGTTATAAGAAAATATGTAAGGCTGTAACACACTTGCATGACACTAAATGTAACATACAAATACCTCTCGAAAAGAACCTGACACGCTTCGTCTGTTACTCTATTTGCCGTGGCATGGACCTGAAAGGTACCAAACTGAAAACACGTCGTTGCTGCATCGTCAAGGTCTATTCAGGCGACGATTGTCTCTTGACATGATGAAGCCTAACTATAAACGTTTCGTGAGAATATGTTTGTTGCAACAGACTCTTTGTGGCTTTGCGTCGTGGATTTGCTTGGTACCCTGGTCATGACATGCTAGTATATCATATTGCACTTGTTTGGAATGTTGGGTGGTCTGCTTGGTGTTGGTGGTGTCATGAAAAATTATGAACCAGAGAATTATCATGACGATGTTGCGTTTTTTTTGGTTTCGGACATTTTCGTTTGCAATGATGGTAACTCGCGTCGCCGATGAGATTACCTCTCGGAACGATACTGCATTACTCTTTTATGTTTACTCTATTTACAGAATATGCACTGAATGCGACACAACCTCAAACTACTTGATGTGATGCATATATATTCAAGGCGGGTTCCTATCAGGCGACGCAGACCTCTTGGCGTGCTCCTGTGCAACCAATTGTTGTAGGATAGCTTCCTGACTTACAGGTCGTTGCTGTTGACGTTGAGGTGCATATTGAGCAAACTGTTCAGGTGTCAAGGGTGTCATACCACTTGGTATAGCATACTGAATGTATTGCTGCTGCTGTTCCTGTTGTTGATCTTTTGGAATGTTGATTGTGGTGGTTGATTTGACTACTTCTACATCGCGCGGCACTATGTCTATCAAGAAATCATACATGTCTGATTTCGATACGGCAGTTTGTATGTCTGATTTCTGGAGTGTTCGACGTTTGTTTTCTTCAGCGTGCATCCATGCACGTAGTGTCAACTAGAAAATAAGAGAGGTGAGTGCGTGAGCAACGGTTGAACGATCGTGGGGGCTTTCAGTGTCCACGCAGTCAACAAAAAAGTCAGGGACTGGATATCGTTGGGTGGGAGTATCCACGTAGTCAACCAAAAAAAAGCAGACTAAATATCGTTGTATGTACCTCTTCGATGAATATCTCACAGGCACGAGCAAAGAGTATGGGAGCTTCAGCACTAATCATCTAATAACAAGACGAGAAGAAACGTTAGAACATAAATCTTCCTCTCCAGCATAGATCAAGATTCAACATTTCCAAACATTCAACACAATCAACACAGTAACGCACCAATGATTTGACATCATCATCAGACTTCATGACCTTCTTGATTCTGGCGATAGGCAGAGCATGCTGTTTGAATTCCGGTTCGCCATTTTCCATGACAGCCAATTGTTGATTCCAAAAAGCCTGCAACATTTGTGATGATTGAACTATTTGTTGATAGTCAGCTGGCAGTGCAGCACCTCCAGCCTGAGCAGCTTGTTGGCGCAGCATGATGGCAGCTGCTGTAGCCTCATCCATGATCCTTGGTGGCGAGTCCATAATGACTGTATCGTTTTGTTCAATGTTGGAAGGTCAAGACGACGCTGGTGCTGACGAACTCTCAAAGAATCAAATTGTCAAATTGTAACGTGTTTATAATGGAAAGACACGCGAATCCGGTGCAGAGCTTGCCTTGGAATCAACGTTGACACGTCGTCCCAAAGGTGAATTCAGCAAGATGCTGATGATCCACGCAGCAGACGTTGAAGCAGTGCTAAACGATAAAAGATACTGATTTGCTACCAAATATAAGTTTAAATTCTTACAACGCGTCCAAGTACTATACTGTGTATAAAGCATCGAACGGTGTTTTGATTTTTCTCCAATTTAAGAGCAGCTTTGCATCCAAAGGAGATGGGAGACTGGGGACATGCTAGAGGTAGTGTAGACACGTATCATTTCATTCTGTTCCTCCTTTTCATTGACACGTTTACTGACAAACAATCCATCTAGGCCCTCGATATTCCAGCTATTCAACACCCCATCAGCGAGGAGAACCCTCAAGGAATGCCAACTCTGCTGGCCCCATCAAACGACCCCAGATCGTGAAAACTATTGATGTAGAGTCACAGCTATTCAAGGGAATCTTTCATGTTGGAGAAGATGTATGTTGCAAAACATTGGGATTTCGCGAGAAAACATATAGCCCAGTCGATGCAACAGACAATAACTTGGACGCCGAGTTGAAGCTATCTGTCATTGACGTGTATACTGTCCGAATGCACGTACTGATGGCACCCTCTTACAGATCAATACCATCCTGGTGGAAATCACTGAACTGAGCAAGCTATTGATTGGTGACTTTGATGCTCAGAAACCTCAGATTGTCAAGATACTCAGATATTGGCGAGTTGTCATCATCATCTTGATCATTGTCCAGTCCACTATAGTCTAACACCGCGCATCTATTCATAGTCTGGCAGAGCTACCATGGAAGACGAGCATCTACGCAACAGTATTCGGATTTATGAATATGACTGAACCCAAACTTGGTGAAGAGTTGATGGCTATTGTTGGTGAAGCAATGGACGCTACTGTAGCTGCTCACAATTGGAAGGGCGTGAAATTAGTGGTAAATGATCGAGCTTAAAGGAGAGCAAAGACCATAGAAATCATAGTCTCTAATGACAACAATCGTACATCTAGATGCGATTCTATGCAGATTTACTCAATTGCAGTGTGATTGAGGTATCCAGTCTATTGACATTACTAGATGTCTTTATTACTGCTGCATCTGTGGACGGAACACCTGAAGAACGGTCTGATTGCTTGATGTATATTGTTTTGTGTACGATTTGTTGGGTAAGTCCGTGTGATACGTTGTTGAGATGAGCGCGATTGGAGGTGGTGACACTATCTTGTATCGGTCTACGTACTCCTTTGGTTATCAGGCCGCCAAGACATTAAATGAAAAAGACCCAATTGGAACAGATCGTATTCTAGCAGCTTGTGAACTGTACATGAATGCTAGAGCACTCGCAGCCCGGTCTGCTCCACGAGCCATCGCACTAGAAGGAATGTTATATGTACGAGGAGCTGCAGTGCCACCTGTAGACTTGCTCGAGTCATTGTGGACGCAGATATTAGAGTTGGCTCAAGGTGACTGGGAGGTACGATTGGCGAAATCCTTAAAAACGAGTGTAGAAAGAGCTGACGCACCGTGTTACTAGGTGGCTGCTCTACCAAAGCCTTGGAGAATGTTTTCCTTGGAAAATCAAGCTCCGGTAAGTGATAGTTGGTCGTTGACTCGGTTCACAAGATCCCTAATGCATACGAACACGACTTGTTTTTGTAATAGGCACAACCACGACCTTTGACTCTACCGCACGATGAAGTGACAGTCAGATATCCATTCCAAGGATTCCGATTCCGCATTCATGTATGAAGTGATGCATTACACAAGTTTGTTGGCGTCGTTTTTTAACCCCCTCCCACTCTTAAGACCACCATACCAAACAACCTCGATCGCTTCATATTGGAAGATCTCACAACCGACATTGTACAATTATTCGCACATAATCACCCAATCGCAGCAAAGAACTTGCTAGGACTAAGCAATTACGTCAACACCACCATTAATCTCCACGACCTTATTGTTGAAACCTGTTTTGCTGAACTCTTCCGCCTACCACGTTCAACTGAACGACCTGTATACTATATGACACTCATATCTGACCTATGTAAAGCCTCACTAGAAAAGATCCCTCCTGCATTGGGTAGAGCCATTCGAGGCATTTATGGGATGCTTGATATCGAAAATCCTGATGGTCAAGTAGTGGGGGGTTTGGATGTTGAATGCATACAGCGGTTTGGTGAATGGTTTGCTGAACATTTGAGTAATTTCGGATATAATTGGAAGTGGGCTGAATGGTATGTAGTAGTATTGAAAAGACGTCTTGTGTATGTGACTCATTATTTCTTTTTTGCTTTGAATTGCAAACAGGGATTCTGTCTTGATAAAGGACGACTCTTCTTCGCAGATGGTGTTCGCTCGAGAAGTCTTGGAGAGGTGTGTCCGTCTCTCATACTATGATCGCATCAAGGCTACGCTTCCTGCAAGTTACAAAGATGTAGCAACTGTATTCTATCAACAAGCACCACGTCCTAACTTCAAGTATGAGCAAACTCCTCCAGAAGGCATGTGGATGACTTTGGACTGGTTCCATAAATTACAATTTTTTCATTAAACCTTTTTTGTTTGCTTCTTACATCGTGGAGTTTTCTCCAATTAGATCCCATATTAAAAGACTTGATCACCGAGGTCAAAGTAAAAATGACTGCCAAGGGCTCTATTGCGGACGTATCAAATATCTTCGAGCAAATCAAAGAACATCTTGCCAAACTCAAGGCTGAAGCCAATCTAGCTAGTGTTGCCACCAATGGAGCATCGAGTATGGATGTGGATGGTGAAATCAATCCTGATGATTTCGTCCGAGAAGTCTTTACGCAGTGTTTATTGGATGTTGGACACAAGTCGTTCAGTCATTCCCTGGTGTTTATTGAAAGGTATACAACAGCTGCACTTCTGGTTTGTTTTGCTCAAGCAGAATCCATTTGTACTAAACCAAAGGACTCCTTTCAGATATCTCTCTATCATGAAATCCCTCAATGCCCTCCCAGCAGCAAAATATCAAACAGTATGCATTGTCGCCGATTACTGGTACTACAAACCCGAAATGATGGAAATCATACTTGACAAACTAGTCAATTATGGAGTGATTGATTCTCCATCCTTGATTTCATGGGCATTATCTATTGATGTGCTTGAAGAGGGTTGTACGAGATGGTATCAACAAACGATCATGGAGAAGGCGTTGAGTAAATTACGATTAAAAGTATCGCAGACCAGAATCAAGTTGAATGCTGCTGAAGAAGAGTTGAGGGCGAAGCAGGAGGCACAGTTGAAGGATGGTATCATGCAAGGTAAAGCGATAAATGTCGCAATAGCTTTGGAACGGTTTGTGTTTTTTTGTTTGTTTTAACCACCGTCACTTGGGGATTAGATGACTCTGCCGATGAAGATGGTACTGCTCTTGAAGTATTCAGGAATGCAGTGAATGCTGCTGAGAGGGAACAGCGAGAAGCTTACCTGAACTTGTTCCAAGTATGTAATGAAAGGAAATGACTTTTTTTGCTCCGTTATTTAACACATTCTTGTCAACCGTCTAAGAAATTCAAAGACACCATGCAACTACGTATACAAACCGACATTGCAAATGACGCTGGAGATACTACGACCACGTATTGGTGGAGATGGGTATCTGGCTTTTTCAGAAAAGTTGTTCGAGAGGTATGTATACTGTTGTCTTGCTGTGGATTGCAGAGTGCTCTTTTAGTACCGTATTTTGACGTCTTCTTTTTTTCTCACAGTTTGAACCAGAAACTCGAAGCATGCTCTTCACCATGGACAATATCGTGTTTGCAGAGGATACACATGAAGCTGTTTTGAAACTGTGGCAAGAACAAAAGGGTATCTTGTCACGACGGATTGCCGTTTGATGAAAAACAGTTTGAAAAAAACTACAAACGCAGTTTAAAAAAAATCGTTTGCTTTTTTGCTTTTTGTATTAAATTGGCAAGAAGATCGAGACAGTTTCATGCAGCAGTGTTGGGTTTACCTTTTTTTGGTGCTGCGATCTTGCACGTCCGAAGACTAAAGGCTCAAAGTACCTAAGTACCTGGTTTAATGGCTCAAATCGCGTGAATTTTGAATGCCGTTGTGGCATACAGCGAGCAGCTTTCCCCTCGTTTTGGTCGTTCGCTCAAAACCTCAAAAAAGTTGATGTTTGGAGCTCAAGAACGAAGCGACCCTAAAACAAACAAGAAGTAGCAATCCGTACAATTTTGCGCATCATAATTCCACATATTTTAAACTAGGCACGATGATGACAGATCTACTTCCAACCCAGCTTGAAGCATCAGACATTCTAAATGCAGAGGACGGAGGATCTCCAGAAGCATCTCATTTCGAGGAATACAATACGTTTATTCGTGGAGTTACTGTATTGAAATCATCATTAGATCCTGGAATAGCTGTGGATTCCGTTCAGCTGGATAGGATATTGGCTACATTGACTCACGTGGTAATTAAATGGGCGACGATGCTTTTTTTTGGGCTTGTCTGCAAAGTTTTGCAGACATCTATTTTTATTTGGATTTCATTTCGATTTGAATTGTTTGTGATGTGTGTCTCACTGTTGTCTTTGTGTATTTAGCTCGCCAAATATCAAGAACAACCACACCTGCTAGATCCACATCTCGAAGAAATAATCCAACCTCTAATAATCCAACTACGTATCTCCATAGCATCCCACGCATCATCACCCTCATCAAATCCCAAATCAAACCAAACATGCATGCACAGAACTTTCCGTCTCCTCTCCTCACTAACCAAAGTCCGTGGCTACAAGACCGTAATCAAATTCTTTACCCACGATGTATCCGATCTCGAACCCGTCCTTAATTTCCTGACATCCCTCGACGCGAAAGATCCAGAGATATGGGAAACACGATACATATTGCTGTTGTGGTTGTCGCTTATTGCTATGATACCGTTTGATTTGAAGACAGTCGATAGTGGGCTGGCTGGTGGGGTGGAGACGCTGATGGATCGGCTGATACGGGTTGGGAGAGAGTACTTGGGGGCTACTGGAAAAGAGTATGAGGGTGGTGGGGTGCTGTTGACGAGGTTGCTTACGAGGTAGTGTTAGTTTTTGATTTTTAATGTCAAAAAATCTCAGTGAAAACTGCTCCATTGCTGATTTTCGACACTGTTTATCAACTATTTATAGACGAGATATGGCTTCAACGAAACTTCATGGATTTATTGACTGGGCTATGGAAGTGTTGAGGTCGAGCAATGATACTTTTCTGGTATAATATTACCTATCTCGACGGCTTTTCTTCTTCTCTTTTTTGAGCCTTGCTCAACCTCCTCATTTCTCAAAACAGTTACGAGGAGTCCTAAGATGCCTTGGAATGATCCTCAAAGCATCTCCAAGATCCTTTGTCCTACCATTAATCCCTTCACTATCACCATCGTTCGCTCTCATGAATGATCCAAGAGTCGCCACGAATGCCCTTTTGAGGAAAATGGTGGTTAAGGTTACGCAACGAATCGGATTGACGCTTCTTAAACCTCGCGCTGTTTCTTGGAGATACCAGAGAGGTATTTAATGTCTGCCTGAGGTTGAACACTGGCTCTTCATTGAACGAGTTTTTTTTTTGTTTGCGTAGGCAGTCGCTCATTGTCCCACAATTTGAGTGTTCAGCCAATTGGACCTAATATTGTCGCAGAACAATCAGTTGATGAAGCAGAGGACGAGATTCCTCAAGAGATCGAGGAAGTTGTTGATTTGTTGTTGAATGGCTTGCGTGACAAGGTTCTTTCTCGAGGCTATTTTTTTTTGCTGGCAGAACTGCTCACATTTTCACTTCATGCATTAAGGACACTGTCGTCCGATGGTCTGCAGCTAAAGGCATAGGCCGAATATCAGACCGACTTCCGCAAGATTTCGCACAAGAAATCACATCATCAGTATTGTCGCTCTTTACCGAGGACACTTTTACAGCTCCCGGCACAAACCAAATATCACTCGTAGCAGTATCAGATGCAACGTGGCATGGTGCATGTCTCGCTATCGCTGAATTAGCTCGACGTGGTCTGTTACTACCCACCCGCTTAGACGAAATCATGCCATGGATTGTTAAAGCTATTGTGTTTGATCAACGACGTGGAGCACATTCTGTTGGTGCTCATGTGAGGGATGCGGCATGTTATGTATGCTGGTCCTTTGCCAGAGCTTATGCGCCAGAGACTATGAGGCCGTATGTGGCGGTTTTGGCTAAAGCGCTGGTTGTGGAGTCGGTGTTCGATCGAGAGATAAATATTAGGAGGGCGAGTAGTGCTGCTTTTCAGGAGAATGTGGGACGGCAGGTAATGACAAAGTCTTTTTGTGGTTGCTTAATTGTGGTTGCTTAATTTGGCTTGTACAAGCAAAAGAGCATGTGCTCAACAATTCGAATTCATAGGGCATCTTCCCGCATGGAATCGACATTGTTACATTGGCAGATTACTTTACAGTTGGTAATCGTAATCATTCGTTTTTGGAGATTAGTGTTGAGGTCAGCAAGTAAGTTTTTGGCGCATTAAGTGTATGCAAAAATACCTGCAGTGACAAGTCTCATTCCATTTTCCCGTAGATTTGAAGAATATCGACATCCACTAGTTGATCATTTGGTTAATGTCTCAACCCAGCATTGGGATCGAGCGATACGGGAAGTAGCGTCTAAAGCGCTTTATCGTCTGACCAAATTGGATTTGGAATATGCTTTGTCATGTTTGCCTTCTCTGGTATGTGTGCCACGAACCTGGTCTTTTCCATCACTGACTTTGAACTTCAATTAGATCTCTCGGACAACACAACCTGATGCACATATTCGACATGGTGCATTATTGGCTGTCGGTGAGATATGTCTCGCCTGGTCTGAAACACGGCATTCTAAGAAATGGTGGACTGATGAGGAGTATCAGGATTTAATCAAGGTAAAATTGCTAGCTTCCACTCAACAGCAATGGAAATTCGGGATGACCTACATCCATTTTTTTAGCCAATATCAGCCATCGTTGGAGCTTACCCATCTGAATTCTTGGAGTCGTTTGGATCAGACTTGACGAGATCGGCACTATGTCGGTTCATCATGTGCCTTTCTGAAGCTGACTGGCCACGGAATGTCGAGATACCGAATAAAGGCTCATTACCCTGTGTATTGTGGAATGTAGTCAGCAGTACGTTAGAACGTCGAGAAGCTGGACTACAAGAAGTTGCTGCTAGAGCTGTTACCAGTATGACAATATGGGATGCTATGCACGATGCCAGTACTGCTGAAACAATTATGAAGCAGTACACTGCTAATGTAGCTATTAAAGTCAATCCTATAATACGTCGAGGCTACGCTTTAGCATTAGGTGCGCTGCCAGCTGCTTTCTTGATACAAGAGCCTGATAGAGTTACGGCAATCACAGAAGCCTTAATGGCTGCTTGTATAACTGATCTGGATAAGGCTACGAATGATGCTGAATCACGACGTAATTCGATTGCTGCTCTGTCTCATGTGGTTGAAGAACTCTCCAAGTTGTCAATCATATCTAAAACAATCGACAAGGACTTGTTTGATCGTATACTGAAATGCGTTTTGAATGGATTGCAAGATTATACAGTTGATTCACGTGGAGATGTGGGATCATGGGTTCGTGAAGCGTCTTTGAGGGCTTTGGGTATATGTTTGTCTATCGGTGCTCGAGTCGATAATACTAGTGATGATGACCCGTATGTGTCTGTATCGACGACACGAGCAGCTGTTGGTGGAGCATGTCAGCAAGCCATGGAACGTATAGATAGAGTTCGGGAAGCTGCTGGTAATTTATTGATGACTATATTGTGGGGTGTTGATGGACGGCTTGTCGTGTTGGAACGGGAGAGTTTTGAGAGAGTCTTGCCGAGGTGTGTTGTGTTTGTGACTTGTCGCCGTTTAGATTCGAATCGGTTTGTTTTCATTCTCGTTGAGTTGCCATTCTTTTTTTTGGCCTCTAGAAACGTAGATTTGAACTGGTTGAATGCAGCTGATGTTTATCCGAGACTTATTCAATTGTTGCATGTGGCAGAGTATCGTGTTGAATTGCTAGTTGGAATTACTGTTTCTGTTGGTGGTTTGGCTGAGAGTCTGGTATTATCAGTTTGCATTCCGTTTGGATCATTTCTGGTTTGCTTTAGTTTGTACTGATGTATTTGTTTCTAGATTCGCCAATCAACAGCCAATTTAGCTGATCTAGTAAACAGTCTACCTACCACATCGACTTCTCAAAGCGACTTTGATCTAATGGGATTCTTTGCCGCTGTGTTGGAAATCTTTGCACGCTATCCGAAACAAGACCGAGTCATCTTGCCCTTGTTTGAGATGTTGGATGTCTTGTTTGGTGTTGGTGCGGTTGTGAGGCTGGACGAACCAAAGTATTCCACAGGATTATTGTCTTTTTTTGTTGTTGCCTTGTACTAACCATTTCAATTTGTTCGTTATGTAGAGTATTTGATCAACTTTACAATGCCACCAAGAATGAAGTCTTCAAGAGTCGAGATGCAAAGAAGCTTTTGGCTGCCATTAAAGTGTGAGTTGACCATCGGCCACCGAAAAAATCGTGCTTCCTCATTGAACCAATGCCACTTTATTCTCTCTAGGTTTGCTGGTTTTGCTTCACTAGGAGACCAATCAGCACCAGCATGTGTGGCTATTAGACGACGTGGTCTCAGCCAACTAGTCTCCTATCTGATATATCCATACCCAAAAGTTCGACGCGCAGCGTCTGAACAGGTGTATGTTGTACTTAGCTCTGATGATGTTGTATCTGATGCGAGGGAGGAAGCTGAAACTGCGTTGCTGTCTACTGATTGGTAAACATTTCTTGTGCTCCTAAGTATGCCTGGCCAGTTTTGATGCTTTTTTTGTGCTTAGGGATCAACCTGTCGCAACTCTGAAAACTGTAAAGGAGGGTATCTCACGTGCACTGAATATCACCTCTTCTTGAACAATTTGGCTCTGGCATTAAAACGTGTGTATAAAACAAAGATTGCATTAATGTACTTTTCATAGCAAATAAACATCATGAGCAAAAAATGTCAGCGGATGAGCATGGACCTCCTTCATTCATGGAGTGGGTGTATTACATGATTATAAGATACGTAAAATGCCTTGTCGCTCGTCTTAATTGAGTAACATTTTTGCAATATGAAGTCATGGTGAGTTGACAGTCGAGTTGTTTCAGTGGATTTCAATTCTGGACGACATCTCAATCTCTCTCTTGTTTCGTTTGCAGGCGAAGTATCAAGACAAAACCCAACATTCAGTTGTTAATCCAATTGTGCCTTTCCATCTCGGCAAATGCATCGACATCTTCTTCTTTAGATCTGCAAACCAACCATATATGAAAACCATGCTACATGCAGAATCTTGCCTCCTTTGCCTCCTTTGACCTAATACCGTTATGTTGTCACTAGGTTTGCTGGTTTTGCTTCACTATGAGATCCCTCAACACCATGATTTGTTGCTATTAGACGACGAGGTCTCAGCCACCTAGTTTCAAATCTGACGTGGATACCCCAAAGTTCGACAAGCAGCGTCGGAACAAGAATATATGCACAGCTCTGGTGATGTTGTACGTAATGCAAGAATGGAGGAAAACACAGCTTACTGTCTTAAGACTGGTAGACAGTTGCTTAAAGGAGCCAGTCTCAATGGGTATCCTTCCATATTCAGTTCTTTTTGTTCGCGGACGTAGCGCTGCAACGTCGAAAACTGTAAAGTAGGGTATTTCACTCCCAGACAAGTCAGCACAGCCTCTTTAATGTTTGACCCAGTTTTTTATATGTTTTGTAAATAAAAAACAAAGGTTTGTCCTTCTACATGTACTTTTTCTCTCTAGCAAAAATAAACATCTTGAGCAACAAAACAACTCAAATCCCTTCCTCCCCAATATCATACAGCAGATGGACTAGCAAACGAAATATCCACGTAAATATTTGGTCTTGAAAACTTCTTGATATCTTCTTCCAGCCTCCTCAAATCACGTTCCATCCCCACTTTACGATTGATCTTGGGCACAGTATCAGTAGTTAACGAGAGACGTCCATATTCCTGTTCGAGCTTCTCCAAGTTTGATTTAAGACCCGACAAAATGACTTGACGTTCCGATTCAGGGAGAGGGATGAGACCAGCTTGAGCAGGACGTTCAGCGGCGATTTTCTCAGCATGGGCTTTTTCCTCAGCGGCGGAAGCAGCCATTTGGTCTTTGAGCTTGAGGACGTATTCGGGGGTTTTGCCATAGTCGGGTTTGAATCGGTAGGCTGGGCCTGTTGAGTTTGGTTTTTTGGCTTCTGTGAGTTGGGAGAAAAAACGAAGTTAGCGACCGTAACAATGAGAGTTGCTCTATTCACTGGGTTACCGGTATTGATGTTTGACAATGCATTCATACGGATAAAGTCTTTGGGAGCTCCACTAGGTAATTCAGTGAGACCGTGGGGCATGGGATCTTTACGAACACTTCGATCAGGTTGATAGAAATCCTCTAATGATACACAAAAACGTCGAATAAGTCCATCATACACAATAATATCACTTCAAAATAATATTCCCATTCCAAAACCGACTCACTTCGAACCATTCTAGCCTCCAACTCTCCCTTTTTCAAAAAAGTCTTTGGGTTTCGCACATCGACCTTAGCAGGCCCCATGGAAGCGGTATCTTTACGGCCAGAAAAGTATTCAGTGCGAGACTGATCAGCATATCGAGAACGGTGACGAGGTTGACGCGGTGGTGAGACCACGGTTGCAGGAATCAGACGGTAGACGGATTCATCGAATGGGTCTGTGGGGATTGTGGATGCGTTGGTTGAGATGGCTGTTGGTGGGCTGGTGCGTCGTGGTGCTGGCATCTTTGGAAAGTTGTTGATTTGTGCTGGTTGAATTTTTTGATTCTTTTTTTTTTGTTCGTGGGGTGTCGAATCAAGTTCGGAGATATTGAGAGAGCTGAACTTGGATTTTGTGGGAGGTGGTATAGTAGGTGCTGCTCACTGCGCCAGCCAGCTGTCATTCGTGAAAATTTTAGTCAGGTAGGTCAGAGATGGATCTAAGCTGATACAAGATGTGTGTGGTTGACTCATATCTGGCTTTGCTGCTGTTACTTATGTGGACGCAAATGAACTTTTGACTCTAACGACAAACATATTTACATACTGATAACACATAGAATACAAGGTTTTACAGCTACTCTTTCGCATCTCATTATAATGGCCACCACTGCTGATGTACCTGCTCCTGTCGCCGCAGTCAAACCTCGAGTCATCGTATTGGCATTAGACGCAAGTCCACAGTCTGAACGAGCTCTTAACTGGTGCTTGGAACATATTAGCAAAGATAGTGACCACTTAGTGGTTGTCACTGCTTTGAAGCCTGTTATACCCCAAACAGCGAGTACGTCGCTTTCTGATTGTGATTTTTTTGCATCCACACACATATCTTACATCAATTTCCCACCATCAGTGGACTTTTACGTAGGGACAGATACTGCTGCTTTGGAAGCTGAGGTTGAAAAGAGATGCATAACTGATGTGAAAAAGACTGTTGCTGAAGCTCGTGCTAAATACCACAGACACGTGGAAGTCACCATCAAGGTAGTTTGGTCTGATCCTAGAGATGCTCTTATGGACACTGTAAGTACTATCTGCTATGTTTGTGGCTGTCTCTTTAGTTGGTTGAGCGGTTGACTCATTCATTTTTCCATATCGTAGATCAACCAAACACACGCTGATATGATTGTGTTGGGCAGCCGAGGCAGATCCAACATCTCTGGAATGCTGCTTGGGTCTGTTAGTAACTATATACTTCATCATTCGCAAGCTCCTGTGATTGTAGTCAGAGATCCAAGTGAAAAGTAAAGAGTCTCGTTGTTGTATATCATAATTATTAGTCTGTAGCTATTGCCGAATACAGTTGTGGTCGTTTTAATAGGACAATTTATGAATGGTTGTGGTTATCGAGAAGAACGAACAAATTGTGAAGATATACAGCTCATATTTACGTGATTTACGCGTCGCCTACTTAGTACATGCATGCATTCAATGTACTTGTTGGTCTAAGATTAGTCATTATTCACCATTAATACGCATTCCGTCGGATTGTCACAACAAACCACAGAAAAGTTAAAAGTGAGTGATCGGTTGCAACTTGTGATAACCAAACAGACAAGTGAGGTAGGGATTGTGTTGATTGTATTGTTATCTGCTGGTCTAGCTTGCTCTTGACCGTGCTTGAAGGTGCTTGTTGGTCATCGAATCTGCGAGAAGACTGGAGAGTCATCCATTCCTGGTTGACTCACACAAACAGATATAAAGGACAAAGACAACAACCTTAAACTTTTTACGAAATAATCGCTGAACGACTACTACTGACTTAGAACTTAAGCCTACATACATGGATCCAAACAGTAAGTCTGCATCGCTGTTTGAAATGTCAACTTGTTGCACACACAAGATCATGCTTTCTCCTCTTGGAGATTTGTAGTTTACGATCATGACAAGCTAACCATTCTGCTTTCATGTAATTTTACCTAGCTTGGACTGAAAAGACCCAAGAAATCGTCAAAGGAGCTCAGACCTTGGCCCGTGAATATGGTCACGCCCAAATTACACCTCTACATCTGGCTGCATCCCTCTTCAACGACGAAGACGGCCTGGTCAAGAATGTAGTCTCAAAAGCCGGTGGTGATCCACAAACCTGTGAACGCTCCGTAAAGAAACAACTTGTCAAACTACCTGCTCAAAACCCACCTCCGGACGAAGTATCGCTATCTCCTCAATTGGCCAAACTCATTCGAACAGCAGACGATCTACGTAAAAAGCAAAAGGACTCGCACTTGTCTCTCGATACTGTTATCGTCGCACTTGGTGACATTACGGAATGGCAGACTGCACTCAAGGAGGCCAACGTGAATAAGGCTGCTGTCGAGGCTGCTGTCTCTCAAATACGTGGATCTCGACGAGTTGATTCAAAGAATGCTGAATCCAACTATGATGCCTTGTCAAAATATGCTATTGATCTCGTCAGTATGGCTGAACAGGGCAAGCTCGACCCTGTTATTGGTAGAGATGATGAGATAAGACGCGTCATTCGTGTCCTTGGTGAGTCTCCCCTTGCATGTTTCGTTCCAGATATCTTTGTACTGAAAATTATTCCTGCATCTATAGCTAGGAGAACCAAGAACAACCCAGTACTCATTGGAGAGCCGGGTGTTGGAAAGACTGCAATAGCAGAAGGATTAGCTATACGTATTGTCCGTGGTGACGTGCCTCAATCACTACAATGTCGCCTATACAGTTTGGACATGGGCTTACTGATTGCCGGTGCTTCATATAGAGGTAATGTTTGTCGATTCTCTTTTTTGTCAGCCGTTTTTGACGTATTGTCGTCAACATAGGTCAATTTGAAGAGCGTCTCAAGTCTGTTTTGAAAGAGGTCAAGGAAGCTGACGGCAAGATCATCCTTTTCGTTGATGAAATACATACTGTTTTGGGAGGTAAGAAATGACACAGAAAACAAATCAATCGAAACTTGCAACTCATTTGCTTGTTTTAGCTGGAAAATCAGAAGGCTCGATGGATGCCGCTCAACTACTCAAACCGATGCTCGCTCGTGGAGAATTACGAATGATTGGAGCAACCACTCTTGGCGAATATCAAAAGCATGTGGAGAAGGACCCAGCTTTTGAACGTCGATTCCAGCCGGTATACGTCAACGAACCCTCTGTTGAATCAACCATCAGTATTCTTCGAGGCTTGAAAGAACGCTACGAAAACCACCACGGTGTGAAACTTACCGATGCTGCACTGGTAGCCGCAGCCCAACTGTCTGCCCGTTACATAACAGGTCGCTTCCTTCCCGATAAAGCCATCGATCTCGTTGACGAAGCGTGTGCTTCAATCCGAGTGCAACTTGAATCTCAACCGGAAATCATTGACGAACTCGAACGTAAAAAGCTCCAACTTCAAGTAGAAGCTGCTGCTCTAGCCAAGGAAAAGGATGCTGGATCTCAACAACGTCTCGTCAAAGCCAACGATGAAATCTCGCAACTGGAAGAAAAATTGAAACCACTTAGAGCTCGATATGATTCTGAACGAGGCCGTCTTGATGAGATTAGGATTCTCAACAAAAAGTTAGAGGATTTGAATCATAAGGTTTCTCAGGCCGAACGGTCTTTGGATGTATCGCTTGCTAGTGATTTGAAGTATTATGCCATACCTGATGTGAAGAAACGAATCGCTGAGCTTGAGGCTTCGAATGCTCAAAGAAAAGATACAGATGCTGATGCTATGTTGACTGAGGTTGTTGGTCCTGAACAAGTGAGTTGCGGTTTCGTGAGTTTTTTGGTGCCAGTTTTGCTGAAGGTTAACCACTACCTCTCACTATAGATAAGTGAAATCATCTCTCGCTGGACGGGTATTCCCATCAGTAAACTCAACCAATCCCAAGTGGACAAATTGTTGAAGCTAGCAGACGCTCTTCATAAAAGAGTAGTGGGTCAACACGAAGCTGTCGAATGTGTCGCTGAAGCTGTCTTGCGAAGTCGTGCTGGCCTAGCAAACAAGAATCAGCCAATTGGATCGTTTTTGTTCTTGGGTCCTACTGGTAAGAAATCTCATATAACGCAATGTTGTTACTTTACCTGCCTTTCTTACCTTGACCATTTAACTAGGTACGGGCAAAACTGAACTCTCAAAGGCTCTCGCCCAAGAACTATTTGATGATGAGAAGCACATGATTCGTATCGACATGTCAGAATACATGGAACAGCATTCAGTTGCACGATTGATTGGAGCTCCTCCAGGTTATGTCGGCCATGATGAAGGTGGACAGCTGACCGAAACAATTCGACGAAGGCCATACGCTGTCGTATTGTTTGATGAAGTTGAAAAGGCTCATCCACTCGTTATGAATGTTTTACTGCAAGTCTTGGATGATGGACGTCTTACCGGTAGGTTTGCTGGTTACTTTTGTGGATTCTTGTTTTTTGTGACCGTTATATCTAACTCCTTCAATCTAGATGGAAAAGGTCGAACTGTTGATTTTACCAACACTGTCATCATCATGACTTCAAACGTTGGAGGTGAGTGCACAAAGCCACGATTGGCTTTTTCACAAATGTACTCACTTTGAAATTCCCTTTTTTTAGCTCAATACTTGCAATTGGCCACTGAAAAGGACTTTCCCCGTGCCAAAGAACAAGTAATGACCGAAGTGCGAGCAACATTCAAGCCAGAATTGTTGAATCGTATTACAGACATTGTTGTCTTCAAACCACTCAGGATGGAAGGTATGCTTTCTGTGAACGTAACTTTTTTTAGCATTTTCTGGAACACTTGCAGAGGGACTGACTCCAAACCGATACTTTACTAGAATTGCACCAGATTGTTCGTGTACAAGCAAACGCTGTTGCCTCTCGTTTATCAGAGCATGGAATCACTCTTCGTCTCTCTGACTCTGCGGTTGATTATATCTTGTCTCAATCCTACAATCCTTTATACGTAAGTATTCGTAGCAAAGTTTTGCTTATATAAGATGCTGACTTTACTTTCACATAGGGTGCTCGACCCATGAAGAAATGGCTAGAAAGAAAAGTGGTCACTCAACTCAGCAAACTTATGCTGTCTGGTCAGCTGTTGGAGGGTTCTTCTGCATGGATTGAAACGAAATCTGAACTAGGCCAGTCTGGTGAAAACGACTTGACATATCGAATTGAGAAAGATGATAGCACTGCTGCTATGGAAGTTGATGCAAAAATGTAGAGGACGGTATAATAAAGAACAAAAATATGTAATGCATGTGAATAGTAGAACGGAAATAAAAGTGCGCCTCAAAGTAAAAAGAGAATCAAGTTTAATTTGGGCTGAATTTCTCCCGTTGCAAGATGTGCACCTTGTTGACAGCAAATTTAAAAAAAAACTAACAATGAAAAATCATAAAATGTAACAGAGTTTCGGTAAATACATCAGCTTTCTCCTTGAAAGTTTCGACGCTAAGGTTGTGAATCGGATGCAAGCGTGTTTTAGTCGTTTGCTTTGAAACATAATTTCCCTGCGAAACACAAGGAATGCAAAACAAAACAACCAAAGGGTTGTGACTGAAAATTTGTAAACACCACAATCAGTTAGACTGCTTGATTTCAAGTGTTCAATTAATGACTGAGTGGTAAGTTACATTCAACAATTTGTTACAAAATCTCAGAAAGAGCGCTTGGCTGGAGTTTGTGACTGATTGTCTCCAGAAAATTTGAGGACTTCGCCACTAAATGACAAGGTTCTCGTTCGAACCCCCTCAGTGGGTTTTGCCGTTGAATTACACACTGCATCAGCTGATATCGAGGTCTCTTGTTCTAAACCACGAGACTTTATGATTTCCTGTTGTCTCCAGGGACGAGCAGTCCAATCCCTCAACGTTTGAGCCTTCCTGTCGCCTAGTTTGGTGGTAGATTCTTTGCGCCACGAGAGCAATGGCAATAAGCGCGTAGGAGGAGATAATGAGTCCTTTGAAAGTGTTCGGCCTTGACCTTGTAACTTGCATATAAATTCATGAACGTCTGAGAGGTTTCTGACGGATATTGGTAATCTAAGCATAACGGTGTGTTAGAATTATTGTCTTAGTCAACAAAATACAGTTTCGAGACATACCGAACAATCATGTCGACGATACAGTTCTCCATAAACCTAATGAGCAAAAGCAGTATAAGTTTGAGCCGTGATTTAAGTGGAAAAGTTTCGTGCAATGTCTGAATTACCTTAGAGACATTATGAGCCTCCAGAACACAAAGAATGATCCAATGCACACCAAAAGCAGTTCCAGAATGAAAATAATCGAATTTCTAGGGTCGAAAAGACTTAAAAGACATCGGACGCTCCAAAATCGATCACGTGTGTGTACCTGACTGTAGCTCCGTTGATAATCGCATTGCCAAGTGTCAAGGTCTCCAACAGACACCGTGTGATTCCGTCTAAATAATCACTACCACAGATTAAAGATTTTAGCGGACGTGCCACTCAACGTGAAAACGACCACTTAGACTCTTACGGTTCAAACACGGCGTCGAAAACTGCTACAACGTCCGGATCACTGACGTACGGAGTACCGTTCTCTGCAGCAATTGCACTGTCTAAGTATCGCATCAGAACGGATTAGTACACAGAGACTTGCGTTACGTGAACAGTTTAGTTCAAAAGCACATACTTGAAAGCAAGTTGACCAGCTGGTCACTAAGGTGTATCAAACCAGAATTCACCAAGGACGAAGTGAATCCAAACGAAGAGTTATAGACTCGGTTTTGGCAGATCGATGTATCGTTAGCCAAGCAAATGTGAGCAGTCCAATCATATGCCAAGTCTGATGGATATTGGTTCTGCATGGGCGATGGTGGATAACGCGTATCATCACCATATCGTACAACTAGAATTGGAAAAAATTACTCACAAATGAGAACGGACTCTTCATTTTGGTTAATCACCATCGTAGGCTTCGCTCCATTTATCGGCTTGAGCGTCCAAGGCAGCCAAAATGTAAGTGTCATTTCTCCAAGTCAACCAGTCGGGATTTACGAGATCCTTGATAATGGCGGCTCCCTATGTGCACAAAGTCAGTAAAACTCGATTGAAAAGTTTCGATGACATTCTTACTCTAGCTCCAAAAGTAATCATGTCTGAAAATCTATAACAAAGACGATCTTTAGATCCTAAATGTAAACAAACGCGTGCCTGTGGCTCTTACTGATCATGCATGGCAAAAAGTTGCCCAACATCATACTATAGAAAAGAAGGAAAAAGTTCAAAGAGGTGAGTAACGAATTTTTGAAACCAAAAAGTTATTCCTCATACCAGTCCGTTAAGCTATTTTTGATTTTGGTTTAGTATTATTACGACGTTCAGAATTTGCAATCTTTTCGAGAACCTACATTAGTAACAGCAAACAGGGTAACAAGTACGGTCAAAGTCAATCCGTAAAACGCCGTCTGAAGACGGACATAGAGCCTTGCACTAGAACCACCCCTGATCTTCATTTCCAAGGCAGACCTAGCCTCAAAAGTCAAAGTGTCTGCTCCAAAGACATCTTCTGATTGTGCTTCTTCTAGCAGCTGAATGATGTCATGCGCGGACCCCTTGGGTACCTTCTTGAAGATATCTAAAGAGAACGACAATCAAAATCGAAACGAAAACGGAGGCTGCCAGCTGCAACTTACCTAGGGTCAATCGTTGCTTGCTGCGGAAGATCTGAACACGGTAATCAAGAATCAAAAGGGCTGTCAATACCACCACAATCAAGCACACTGTCAACCCGATTGTAACAGCTGTTGCATTTTGAATGATCTGGAACAAACCAAAAGTTAGAATACTTGAGGCGAGGGGCGCAGAATTCAAACTAGACTTACTTGTGCTTGTTTGGTGAAGTATATATCATTTACGTCTAAACAGAAATCAATCGTTTGAGAGAAAAGTAGTGACCCAAAAACCTTCTTAATAGTGTACCTGCTTCATCTAAAGTGTGACGAGCGAATCTGAGTCAGTTTCATCCAATAGAACATTTTAACTGGTGCAACTTACAAGCTTCCTGTTGCAATAGGTAGAAATTGTCGGCAATGAATCGAAAGTAGTTGTTATACGTAATATTCGAAAAAGAGGCGAAATCCATAGTTGACAATTGAAGTCCAGAAGCAGCGAATCTTTGCCCGACCTCATAGAGTGAGTAATTCATCCAGATACGGTCGATTTGAGTGGGATAGAACGACACCAAAACAGGTGTCTAGAAACAAATGTCAGCATTTAGGATAAGCTGCAAAGAAGAGGGACATTATTACCGAGGGTTGCGTGTAATAGAATGCAGCAATGTCTATTGTGGCATACGAGGTCAATATCTCGTCTTGAAAAAGCAATCAATCAATAAATTTACCCTGAGTCAAATCTGTGTTGGCAAGCAACGCAGCATTAATGGAATCAAATTCCGCCGCTTCAGCAGCCAATACAGATTGAACACTCGTGAAAGTGGTATGATCGTTGTGGGCATAGGCATCTTGAAGTTGACGAGCTCGACGATAAATCAAGGGAGTCAAATATTCGCGAGAGTCCAACCAATGAAGGTAAGACAGTCCAGTGTTCGAGAATCCACTTTGAGAAATGACCACATAGGAAGCTACCACAATGGCAATTGAAACGGTACCAATCATCCAAGCCGCGCCAGTAATAATACGAATATCTGCAATGTTCCGGTGCAGTAGGGATGCTCGCAATTGCTGGTTGAGTTGTTGTTGCTTGTGTTCGGGCCTTGAAGTCGATGAACCGAGACTTTCACGTCGAGAATGTGTCGTCTCAACCTTGCTGTTTTCCAAAGGTGGTGCTCCAGAGCAATCAGAATCTGACTCTATTTCAGCAGTCATCTGCAATCGTGGTATTGCACGAGGACCGAGATTTTCCTCGCTATGGTTACGTGAATGTGGAATCTTGTCTTCTTTTTCAACTTCCCTCCCTTTTACTGGTGCCTCATCAATAGCTAGTTCATCTTCCAATGTATCGGCTCGAGCCAAGAGCGCGGCAGCCTTGGCAGACTCGTTCGTTACGTCCAAGCACTACAGAGAAAGTGTAAGCTGCGAGAACGTATGTCAAAGAAACTCAAATTCAAATCTTACAAACTACAAAAAATGTAAAACAAGGGTCAGAATTTCATTTAGCGTTTCGCAGAAATGCTGAAGTAAAGGAGAGACATCTTACTTTGGCGTAGAATCGAAGTAGAGTTTGACTCTTGGGAAATCTTGTGACCAACTGACCGTAAGCTTCATTGGCATCTTCTGAACGTGCATACAATTCGGCCGAAATTGCTTCCAAGTATTCGAGTGTGACATGAGATCTCTGCACAGATTGCCAGAGTACTCTTTGCCATTGAAGCGCCATCTGATGATTGACTTTGGCCGTCTTGTCCAATTTACGAAACTCGGCGAACGAAGCTACATCAAGTCGAATCTCTGGACCCAAGAATGTTGCCTGACGGTTTTGATTGTTCATTTGGGACATGAAATGGCATTGAAATTGGCCATCAAAAGCAGGGTGAAGCTATTCGCAAGAGAGGTAAATTAGGCTTCATTGATAAACAATCGACTAAATTACAACTTCTTTACCTCCTCTGATTTCTTAAGAGCCTTGTTGAACTCGTTTTTTGAGGCCCCTACATAGAGATAGTATGTTGCCCGTTGTACGTTCGTGTAGCTATGATGGGAAAATTCCTTTTGACCGTGTTTGAAAACACGCAAGACAGAGTCGAGTTGTTGCGGTTTTGGGTGTCGATTTCGAGAGTTCAAGGTGGCAATAAAGCTACGGGCGACGATCTCAACATGAGGCCATATCCAAAAGACTGGCTTTTCTGTTTGTCCATCTACGTAAGCATCAAGACGCTTCAGAGTTGACTTTTGAATGTAGTTGAGCCAAAGCTCTACATGAAGAAGCATTTAGTTTGTTTGGCCCTGACTTGAATTTGAGTTGACGAAAACACCACTCACGAGATCCTAAATAGCCAGCAATCCAAGCTGGGAAGTAGGCGGAGAGAAGTATTATATACACTAAAGGCCCTTGCGCGACGCCAGTGTAAAATGTTACAACTGTGGCGATCATTGAGACAAGGCCGAGGAAAGTCGAAGCAAAGTAGGTTGCAATCCTCATATGGTTGATCCTCGAGTCGTAATAGGGATAGTAAAATACGGAACACAGGAGCATAACGAGCGATAGACCCAATACAACACCAACTTTGATCAACACTACGCGAATGGACGTGGTAAGCAACGTTGCTACTCGAAGGAAGCAGAGACTAGCTTACTGTTGCCATCAGGACTGACTTTCCACACAAAAGACACGATTGTCTTCAATACAGCATATACGATTTCACTAATCAATGACAATTCTTTAGCGACTTTTACGTACAAACCCCTCAACTTCATCGGCTGAGTCCTAGTCGAAAACTTACACTCTGCCATGTGTCTTTGCACCAGGGTCTTTGTTAATCGGATCTGCGTCGAGGAACAGCAGATTGATCAAAAATGTTACTGGTAGGAAGGTGATAATAGTGACGACCGAGACTATGATGAATGGGATCCGAGTAGTGGAGGTACACGCGAGACTCTCGAATCCGGGTCCAATTGAGTCACTACAGTCAAAGGACGTAGTCAAAATATCCAAGATCGGTATGAAAAGTACTGTTGGCACAAAAGCTCCCAGCAACCGAAGTGTCCTTTGAAATCAGAAATGGGTCAGTGGACGGGGAGAGAAACTGACAAGGCCATAAAACTTACGTTATAGGCCAGACGTATTTATGCTGCCCTCGAACAAATCCATATGCAACCCATAGAATGTTGAGAGCTGTGAGGAAAACCAGCCCAACTGCGACCCCAAAGAAAGCGGTGAAAAGGGTGGTTCCATACTCCTCATATCTTGTTTCTACAGCATTTCCGACGACATCCGGTACGTAGTATACCACAGAGAGACGAGACGAGAGAAAGAAGACTGGGATTTGAAGGTCTGCAAAACCTCACACAGTTTTTAGCGGTGCGCAAAGAGCAAAATAAAAGCATTGAGCAATAACTTACCTTCAATCAAGATAGCCAGCAGTCCAAGGACGGTTGAAGAACGATTTCCGTAGACCTAAAGCCCCAAAAATGAACGACCGATACAAGCCTGAAAGCAGCCGTTCCTTACCGTGAAGAACAAGACGTTAAACAACACAGATTTGGCTCGTTGAAAAAGACTTGCATCCATCAGAAAGGTATCGTCAACTTGCTCCTCGGCGAAAGAAGACGCTCCTTCGTCAGGCCGTGCCGTTGTCTTGCGATGAGGATCTATATTCCGGGATAGTGTTCCTTTTTCACACATATTCGTGGCTGATGTGAGCTGCTCAGACCTCAGAGCAGCGACAACCATCGTTCTGAAGCCTTGTAAAAATTACGGTCAAGGGCTCAAATGATCCAGTTCGTGACTGGAACTGGTGAGCAATGCGAGGACCAAATTCCAGCACAGTTGACGGCCTCCAGGCTCTTACAGAGGATAAAGACCACCATCCTTCCTTGGGGGAAATTTCCGCAGATAAACAATCTCTATGTGCTGCGGATCTTCCAAGGCTCAAAATCCAGACACCCAGATCTATCCGTTTGGAAACTCTCCGGTAACGAATCAATATTCAGTTCAGGGAGGATTGCCTGTGGACCCCAGTGTGGGTCAAACGAATTCTGGTCGAAGTATCATGTGTCAGAGGCAAGCTCAAGTTGAATGAAGACATGAAATTTCAATGGCGCAACCTGCAACATCAAGGAGCCGAAACGCGGAGAGACGCTACAGACACCCCCACGCTTTGTCGACAATCAAACAGAATGTCTCGCGTTATCTAAAATGTATTGTCAAACTATATCTAGACCTTTGTCTTCATCAGAACTTGCAGATTTAATCACTCCATTATTGGCACTAAACGACAGCATCCGAGGCCGGCTTTCCTTGGGAGACAGTGTATTGTCAGACTTTATCATTGAAACGCTTGCCACTCCCATTGTCTGCAAAGTAGTAGGAGTTTCGACTTCAGCAGTTTTTATCACTGGCTTCTTCTGATCATTGTGTTTCCTCCTGAGGTGAGCGTTCCATGAAGCTTGTGTCGATGACGGAACTTGGCGTGCTGGTTGGTCAATCGCAGGTTTTTTCCACCATGGGAAAGATATCACTTTCTTGGAAACTAATGAGTCTTTTGAATCACTCGGGCCCTGTCCTTGTAAGTTGGACATGAAGTCGTGCACATCCGGGAGGTTTCTGACTGATAATGGTAATCTAGTGCGTGGAGTTCAGTTGAGATTGTAATTCCAGCATATTATGTATAATGCATAATAAGACTGGCTTACCGAACAATCATATCAACGATGCAATTCTCCATGAACCTAAGGAAGCAGAGAGAAAACGCCTTGAGACTTTGATTCACTTATAAACAGCTCGAAAATGAAACAGCTTCAGTTACCGCAGAGACATGATTAGCCTCCAGAACACGAAAAATTCTCCAAGACACACCAAAAGCAGCTCGACGATGAAAATGATCAGGTTTCTATCGTCAAACCCCACCATCATTAGTCTCCAGAACACGGAAAACGTAACTTGCTAGAGTTTGCGCCGCCAGTAATTACCTGACTGTGGCATTATTGATGATTGAGTTGCCGAGGATCAACGTCTCGTCCAGACATCGGGTCATTCCGTCCAAATAGTCACTAAAAACTTTGAGATTTAGCCTGTGTCCTTCAACTTGAACGACTGTCAAAGCTTACGGCTCAAGCACCGCGTCAAAAAGTGCAACAACATTAGGATCACTGACAAAGTTGTCGTTATCTGCAGCAATTGCACTGTCTAAAGGGCAGCACCAGACTTAGTATACGAGGACTTGAACTGAAAGATTTGCTTCAAAGTCACATACTTGAAAGCAAATTGACAAGCTGATCAGTCAGGTGAATCAACCCAGAATTCACCAAGGATGAAGAGAAGCCAAAAGATGAGTTGTACACACGGTTTTGGCACACGGATGAATCATTAGCCAAGCAAATGTGACCAGTCCAGTAGTGCGCCAAGTCTGGTGGATAGTCGTTTTGCATGGGAGATGGCGGATAACGGGTATCATCACCATAAAGAACAACTATTGTTCACAAAAAATGTCAAGTCACCAATAATTAATCAAGCTGTTTACATTCAATTACCATTGTACGCATCATTCAGTTCACCCGCTTGACTACTTAAAGCATCCAGAATATATGTATCATTTCCCCAGGTCATCCAATCGGGATTCACGAGATCCTTGATTATAGCAGCTCCCTTATGAAAAATGTTGGTAAATCTCGACAAACATCAAGATTCGATTGAATTCTTACTCTGACTCCATAAGTAATCATGTCTGAAAACCTGTTCAGGGATTGGGTGAGATTGGGAATAAACCTGGTCACTGGTTTAGAGTCTTACTGGTCATGCATTGCAAACAGTTGTCCGACTTCGTACTGTAAAAAGAAAAGAGACGTCGGAAAGTGGGAAACACTCCTCAAAAGCACTTCGTCTAAAACGTTGAAAAGGAACATACCAATGCATTAAGCTATTTAATTTTCAGTTAGCCTTCTCAATCTTATTAGAATTCAAGTCATTTGGATTACTTACATTGGTCACGGCAAAAACGCAGACCAGTGCAGTCAGTGTTAATCCATAAAACGCTGTCTGAAGGCGGACATAAAGTCTTGCACTAGAACCACCTCTGATCTTCATTTCCAAAGCAGATCTGGCTTCAAAACTCAAAGTGTCTGATCCAAAGACATCTTCAGATTGAGCTTCCTCTAGCCGCTGAATGATGTCTTGTGCTGAGCCCTTGGGCACTTTCTTGAAAATATCTTCATGAATTGGGATCAAGGATTAGAACTACTGTGGAGTTACAACGGCAAAAACAATCGCCTACCGAGTGTTAGACGTTGCTTATTGCGGAAGATCTGAACACGATAGTCAAGGATCAGCAGGGCAGTCAACACCACCACAATCAAGCAGACAGTCAACCCAATTGTGACTGAAGTTGCGCTTTGAATGATCTACAACCACGCGAAAATTAGAATATTCGAACGAGGTCATCGTTTTGAGCATAGCCTTACTTGAGCTTGTTTAGTGAAGTATAATTCATTCACGTCTAAAGGTAATCAAACGGTCGTAAGAAAGTTGTCTACTGTTAACCCTTCTTTTCGGCACACCTGCTTCATCTAAATATGACCGAAAAGATCGAGTCAGTTTCAAACCAAGACACAATTTGAAAGATGGGGAACTTACAAGCTTCAAATTGCAAAAGGTAAAAGTTGTCGGCAATAAACCGAAAGTAGTTATTGTATGTAATATTTGAAAACGAGGGGAAATCCATAGTTGATAATTGAAGACCAGAAGCAGCGAGTCTTTGCCCGACTTCGTATAAGGAGTAATTCGTCCAGATGCGGTCAGTTTGAGTGGGATAGAACGACACCAGGACAGGCGTCTATATAACTGCGTGAATAGATGAATGTTGTTCCAACAAATTGCAACCGCTTACCGACGAATCAGCATAGAAAAATTCGGCAATTGCTATTATCAACATCGATTCAAACTTTCAACTCACAACAACAAAATCGAGCGAAACAACTTACCGTTAGACAAGTCAGTGTTGTCCAATAGGGCATTGTTGATGGTATCGAATTCTGCTGCTTCAGCGGCCAATACTGACTGCACACTTGTGAAAGTGGTGTGATCATTCGCTGCATAAGCATCTTGAAGTTGACGAGCTCGCCTATACTCAAAACGTAAGCTCTTGAATTACACCAAATCGTGGTTTTTGATACGCACCGATACAAAATTGGAGTTAAATACTCCCGAGCATCAAGCCAATGTAAATACGACAGTCCAGTGTTTGAGAATCCGCTCTGAGAAATGACCACATACGAAGCTACCACTATAGCAATTGACACAATACCAATCATCCACGCAGCTACAGTAACGATTTTCAAGTCTCCCAGATTTCGCTGCAGCAAAGAAGCTCGTAATTGTTGGTTCATTTGTTGCTGTCTGTTTTCAGTTCGAGACCCCCGAGAACTCATGCTGCCTTGACGAGAAGGTGGTTTTCCTTTATTGTCGTCTTGTGAGTCCTCATCCGGTCCATTCGCCATGGGCAAGTTGGGACTAGTCCTGATTTCCGAAGCTTCGTCTTGATCAACAACAGTGGCCAAAAGCCGTGGTGGCTCTCCATCGCTGACATCCTCCCACTGCAGAGGGATTTCGCAGATCGATTCATCTTCTAGAGCATCGGCTCTAGCCAGTAGTGCTGCTGCTTTTACAGCCTCGTTTGTCACCTCAAGACACTAAGAACCAAAAGTCATGAAAAATCCAACTTTGTAAACAGTTGGAAGCCGTACATGTACTTACGAACTAGGATTCAAAAAAGCGTGTTAGATCAGTGAAAGAATAAATCCTTGCAGAGGAGCCCGCTTTCGGGGTTGAAAACAACCACTTTGCTTACTTTAGCGTAAAATCTTAGCAAAACTTCAGATTTTGGGAAACGAGTGACCAACTGTCCGTAAGCTTCATTGGCATCTTCTGAGCGTGCATACAATTCGGCCGATATTGCTTCCAAGTATTCGAGTGTGACATGAGATCTCTGCACAGATTGCCACAACACCTTTTGCCATTGCAGTGCCAATTGATGGTTGACTTTGGCAGTCTTGTCCAATTTACGAAACTCAGCAAATGAAGCAACGTCTAGTCGAATTTCAGGACCCAGGAAGGTTGCTTGATGGTTTTGGTTGTTCATTTGCGACATGAAATGACATTGAAATTGGCCATCAAAAGCAGGGTGTAGCTATGTCCAAGAGAGTTTGGAATTAGATTTCATTGATCAACACGACTACAATGGAACTTACTTACCTCCTCTGATTTTTTAAGAGCCTTGTTGAACTCGTTCTTAGAGGCACCAACATACAAATAGTATGTTGCTCTTTGTACATGCATGTAGCTATGATGCGGGAATTCCTTTTGACCATGTTTGAAGACATTCAAAATAGAGTCGCGTTGTTGCGGCTTTGGGTGTCGGTTTCGAGCGTTCAACGTAGCAATGAAGCTACGGGCGACGATTTCAACATGAGGCCAAACCCAAAATACTGGATATTCTGTCTTTCCTTCTGTGTATGCTGCAAGACGTGTCATTGTTGATTGTTGAATGTAGCTGAGCCATGTCTCTATTAGAAAAAGGACATTTGAGCATATTTGAGCCCTGACTTGAATTTCAATCCCATTGAGTAAAACGGAACTCACGAGATCCGAAGTAGCCAACAATCCAAGCTGGAAAAAAGGCGGAGAGAAGCAACATGTACACTGACGGCCCTTGCGAGGCTCCAGTGTAAAAGGTTATGACTGTAGCGACCATCGATACAAGACCGAGGCATGTTGAAGCAAAGTAGGTTGCAATCCTCATATGGTTGATCCTCGAATTGTAATAAGGGTAGTAAAAGATCGAGAACAGAAGCATTGTCAGTGATAGACATAGCACCACACCAACTTTGGCCAACACTACGAGAAAGAAGGTGTTAGATTAGAAATATTCTTCAAAGCAAGCAGAGAGTCGCTTACTGTTGCCATCAGGACTGACTTTCCACACGAATGAAAGGATAGTCTTCAACACCGCATACACGATCTCACTACGTAATGGGCCATGATTAGTGGCCGGGAAAATTCAAGTATTCAACTCTTTTCCAACACTTACACTCGACCGTGGGTCTTGGCGCCGGGATCTTTGTTAACCGGGTCTGCATCGAGGAAGAGCAGATTGATCAAGAAAGTTACAGGCAGAAAGGTGAAAATTGTCACAGACGAGACTATTATGAATGGCATTCGGGTGACGGAGGTACACGCGAGACTGCCGAATCCAGTCGTAACTGAGTCACTGCAATCAAAGGATGTAGTCAAAATGTCCAAAATGGGTATGAAGAGTACGGTTGGAACAAAAGCTCCCAACAACCGAAGTGTCCTTCAAGATCAGAAATGGGTTAATTGACGAGATGAGCAAACCGCAAGCAGATGAAAACATACGTTATCGGCCAGACATATTTGTGGTGTCCTCGAACAAACCCATATGCAACCCATAGAATGTTGAGTGCGGTGAGGAAAACCAGCCCAGCTGCGACTCCGAAGAAAGCGGTGAAGAGTGTGATTCCATATTTCTCATAACGGGTTTCTACAGCATTCCCGACCACATCAGGTACGTAGTAGACCGCAGAGAGACGCGACGATAGATAGAAAACTGGGATTTGGAGATCTACAAATATCCAAACCATAAGTCAATAACGAGCAAAAGTAAAAGGTTAACGTCGAGCTCGCTACCTTCAATCACCATAGCCAGCAGCCCCAACACAGTGGAGGAATGATTTCCATATACCTGAAATAACAACAATGAGCGACAAAGAGCCAACGAACAATTTTGATAACAAGCAAATATGCTCACCGTGAAGAACAAGACGTTAAACAGCACAGATTTAGTTCGTTGCATCAGACTTGCATCAACCAAAAAGGACTCGTCTTTGTCATTATCGTCCCCAAACGCAGACTTTGCTACCTCTTCTGGGCGAGTAATTGTGGGTCGTCGCGAGTCTTGCGTCATTGTTGGTCGACGCAAAGACCCCCTCTCGTTCACAGATGCCCTGTCATTAACTCGAAAGTTTGATGCTACTATAGAAGCCTGGCGAGATCTGAGTGAATCCATATCAGGAAAGTTCATGGTGGCTTGTCCTTGACCAAAACAATTTTGGTAGGTTCAAGCGACCGAGGCAAGATAGATCAAGTGTCCTGGACTTCACAGCAAATTTTATTGCTGGACTTTAAAGTAGGCACCATTTACTATGTCCATTTAGACCTCTTCGTAGGATTATGATTTTGATTGAGGGTCAAAGTGGTGGTCTCAGACTTAAGATGCCAGTATCCTAGGATCCGACAGCACGGATCATACAGCAGGAAATATTCGCACATGTTAGATAAAACTGCCAGGTAAAATTGCCGAAAAATCTGAGTTTGGTTGACGGTTTGAAAATTGATGACAATGTGGCAATTGGCGACCATTTCGCCACCAGAGGGTAAAGGAAGAGCTTCTCCTACGGTCAAAGACTGCCAAAATTGAGCTTTCATAGCCGGATCTGGCGAGAACAGTCTGGCGTTTAAAAAGATCTACATCAGCAGCTTGCAAACAAAAGCTTGAACAAGCTGAGATCATTGCCAGATTTGGAGCCAGGCTTACTTGCCATTTCCTGGGATCCTCATCCCTCACAACAATATGACCCGGAAAGACTGATCCAGCACACCGCGTCTTGCAACAAGTCTGGTGTTGGAAACGAAAACTGACCCTAAAAGCCTAACGACAAAATGCTTAACGAAAAACACAATGCTACTACCATACGAAGTATCCATAGAGAGGACTGTATGATGCCATTTTTGAAATTTCTACAATTGCTATGTACATTGCGCATTTACACTTATGTATACTGTCTCGTCTTGCCAAACAACAGACGGGCTTTCGTAGCACCATCATCCATCTCTTCGTTTGAGTGATCGGTCTCGTGCTTCCCCCAACGACCTATAGTAAACGGTCTGAAGCGACGAGTACCCTAGAAGAAAAGAATTTGAGCACTTTGAAACATCACCAAAAAAAGGACATCCAACTCAGTGGATCACTCACAATTGTGGACGACGAAGAAGTGCTGCTTTCATGTATACTCCCATGATCATCAGGTGCATTACCAATGGCAGATATAGCTGTTATATCAGAGCCGGTTGCAGCTGATGAGGTAGATATGCTTGATTGCGTCGAAGATGTGGATAAAGGCACTCCCACCGAATCCGAATTGTGTGTTGATTCAGACTCTGCGATAGCTCTAGCAAACAGCTTTTCTCTGACGAGCGACGGAGCATTGGCCCAAACAGCTCGTATCGAGTCTAGTAGAAACAATAGCAAGGAGGTTTTCCTCGTCAATTACGTAGGTGTCTTGAGTTCCAGAATTATAGAGTCGAATCTTACCTTTCTTGACTTGGTTGATAAAGTCTAGCCATGTCCAAGTCTTGTTACGATATTCCAGTGAAGGCATTCGAAAAACCTTTGGATGTTTCGTGTATGTTAGCATTCACAAAGGCCAAAAAGTCAAGGGGTCAAAAGTGACAATACTCACAAAGTTGGTAAGATCTTCCAGATTCTTTTCCTTGCTTCCCTATTAACGAAATCAGAATAAGAACAACATCTGGTCTCCCACACAAAATCCCCGATCAGACGTACCCTATAACTCAAACAATGCTGAGACTCTGGCAACTTGATATATATGAACGTTCGATTCTCCGTAGCCCGAGTTTGCATCTGACGCAAATTATCCATAGGTGTCAATTGCAACGAAGCTGAAGTAGCACTATTTGTAAAACCTCCTGAGGAGTAGGTTCGAGACTCGCGTGATGATACATTTCGCATCTTCTTTACAGGGTTTCGAGAGTCTGCTGCGATGACAGCCGTTTGAGCAGCTCTACCCTTTGCAATAAGTGCTGCTCTCTCCTCTGATACATCCACACCTGCCATGAGTGAGCCAGTGCGATTTCTACGAGTAGCAGGCATTTCTAGCTTCTTATCGAGCGGGACAACCTCGGAGATTGTGGCAGCTGCTGGAGCAGTTGGTTTGGGAAAGATGTATCGTAATATCTTTTTACCAACGTCGTAGGTGATTTGAAATGACAGAGGGAAGAGATTGAGCTCAAAGTGGTCAACCTATACAGCGGGTTCCATCATTTGTCACTTTTTTTGTCCGTCAGCGCCAAAACCATTCGAAAGCGCAAACAACTCACCACTTTAATACCAGCGACAGGAGCCATCTCTCTCCAAAATACTCTCAACATCTTCTGTCTCTTAAAATCCACAATCCTTTTATCCGGAATATAGGGCCCCAACAACTCCTTAAACACAGATGACGTATTCGACAGATTTTCAATAACGAGCCGATCAATTTCCAGCGTATTCGAACTACTCAAATCTTCATTATGCACCCATCGAAACACGGCGTTTTTCAACATCCATCGACACAATGGATCACCAACATCATCTTCCATAAGCCATACCATATTGCCAACTGTAAAGTGCATCTGCCAAGCGACACTACCTTGCAATCGTCGACGACTCAAATCCCGGAATTTGGTCATGGCATCTAATACAATGACTAGATCGTCCTTATTTTGACTTAGATATTTTACGAGATCGGTATGCTGGAAGGTTACACTATCGGTAGTTACAACACGACCATATGTAGCAGTGCCATACTTCATTAACGATTCGGCTTGACGGACTTTGGTTTGACGATCCACTACTATTTCAGCCACCTTTCTAAAGTCCTCCATTTGCTCAAATGCCAAGAGCATCTTTCGAAGTTTCTCTCGTCGATCTTTGGTTGATGGTTCTCGATATACTAGTAAATGTTCGATAACATCATGGAAGACAAGGTACTGAGCGGAGTTGACATCAATTATAAAATCCGGGAAGCGAATACGTATCAAGTCATCCTTCATTAATTGTTTCATATCAGCACTCTTTTCAGTCCGTTTCAAAAAGAGAGGATTCGACTTGTCACGATGCAAGAAGGCTGATGTTCTATCTATGACTCGTTTAAAGTCACCCGTAGGCGAGCTCAAGTCAATCATACATTCTACTGGTAGCCAGAGAGGCCATGCACCAGACATGACGTCAGAGAGATCATCAGTCGACGTAGCGACACTTTTGGCAAACTCTGTACGTTGCGCAACCAGAAACTGTGCATTGTGGATACTGAATACTAATCGTGACGTGACAAGATCTTCCAAATAGACGTTTGGGTCACTATGATCACGAGACGATGCCAAGATACTAACTGACTGAAGCTGCATAATGTCTGCGGCCACTAAAACACACTTATTCCCACCACCATCACTTGTAGATGAGTCTGACTCCATATTGACTTGAGCATTAATAAACTGAATTATATACTTGCTCTCAATCCATAGCGAGCTATGCACAAAGTCTGGTGACTCTGGATTGTTGGATGCTACATATTCTGGTTGATCTGGTAAAGCAAGTCTATGAAGTGCGGATGTCTCGGTATCTGGTTGTGCATCAACAGTATCAGCATTATATTCGTTTTGAGCCAAGAAATTGACATCTTGCTCGGCGACAAGACGAGTCAACAAGTCATCAACTATTTGAGACTCGTTTGCTTCGACAGGGCCTTCTGGACCTTTACTCGTTGGCGATGGTAGACGAGATAAATTCGATGGAATATTATGTGTTGCAGACAAGTCGTTGGCTTTGATTTGCGATGAAGTGGCTATGATATCTTGAGCTATACGCATGGCTGCATTCGACATGCAATATCTGACGGTCGAATGCGATCCATGCAAATCGAGCAGTTTGAACCATGCATTACGAACATCCTTCCGCCTAATGAGAATAAAAAGTCAGCATTGAAGTCTATGGACCGATACGGACGGGGACGTCTACCATAACACGGAGATATTATGAATAATAAACTAGGAGATTTTCATGTTATTCTTCTGTTGAGAAATCCACACAAAAACATAAATAAAACATACGTGATGGTCAAATGGACTCTGCTTAGCCTCAGCAACACTTTCCGTTTTTTGAGTACCTTGTCCATGATCATTGACTGTTTGACGAATGTGAGCGAAATCTAATTCTATCAACATTACATAATAGCCCTTACTTGACTCTCGTTGCCGTTCACATCTCTGAATATACTCATCAATGACAGTCTTCTTTTCATACAGTATCGCCAGTTTTTCAACGATAGCTTGTGATTCCTATAAACGCAATGCTTTAGCTGCCTATATTCCGTTTTTTTTGGCGACACTATCGAAAGACACAAACCTGCCGCAACGAATCATCAAAGAAAACAGCCATTCTCTGCTCCAACATTCTTTGAATTTCCAACAATCGTCTTATATAACCTTCAATCTCACGTAATCGCGCATGGCACAGATTGATTTGAGTAGAAAAGACATCTAATCAAATAAGATCGTCAGTGAGATGCTTTTTGCTTCAACTTCAAAAAGTCAGCATACCAACAGGAGACCGTATCAAACTCTCAGGCAGAGCCTCAGGCTTCTTGCTCGTTCTATAATACGCAAATCTTGGCGACCACATGAACGGAATCATAACAAGCGACGACGGATGTGGATCGCCATCAACAAGCCAATTATCATCCTGAGAATGCTCAGAGCTCGTAGACTGAGTAGGCGACTGCTGCAGATTGGATTCAGACAAGACGGTGGCAGTTTTACTAAACTCAATCATCCGTCCCTCCACTTGAGCCAGCTCAATACGAGTAGCATCTATAGCCCAGCTCCATGATATACGCTGGATACTATAATCGGTCTCTCCGACGTCTTCAGATAGAGCCATTCCATCACCACGAATAACTTTGGCGACAGGGTCCAACCGGAACACTCGATCATGACGGAAGAATATTTCACCAGTTATTTCTTTCGATAGCGTTCTTACACCGACTGGTGCAGTACCTTCATTCCCTGGCGTTACAAATGACATGAGAATGGGCCGCATTTGGGCTTTAAGGTGTATAGATTTGAGGACTCGAGATAGTTTTTCCGAGCGACGACGTTCTGGTACTCCTTGACTAAATACACTACCACGATGGATTGGAATCTGACCCAATGGATTTGAATACATTCGTATCAATGCCATAAAGTGGTCGAGAGCAGATGATGTCAGGCAGAATGAATTAGATTGTTCTACTAGTGACGAGTAAAATGGTCGTGGAGATTCTAGGCTGACTGTTAAATGAATTGCTGTAGATCTAAATCCTGCAAAGGAATCATATTCCTATATTTGTGCAAGCGATTTTGTAAGATCTCTTTTCAAGCAAAAAGCAACTAGTGTATCGACCAGAATAGCTTACATGTCCATAGAAGTCTGGCTTGGCATATTCTGGCACTCTACCGACCACATCAACGTGTCTACGCTGAATAGCGCGATAAAATTCCTCTTCAATCACCAGCCCATTATCTTCTCGAGGTGACGATGCAGTTCCTGAACCACGACGACTAGTCGAAGCTGAAGTCATGAATCTTAATCCACAAGACAATTTAACGCCACCACACAATTTCAACACTACTAAATCCACAGCCTTCAATCGTTTCTGAGCATCAGTTTCTCCTCTCTCATCATACAACAAACCAGGGAAGGCAACAGTCAATTCCTCAGATTCAATTAAAATATTCTCGTTTGGATCATCACTATCATTCATACTGGCTGCTACAGCACCTCGCAAGCCAATATCCATACCATACGATCCAAAATGGGCACTTGGATCATAATACGGTGACCTAGATGCCAACATTCGGAATACAAGACCACCTCCATACATTTTGACTTTGAGGCGGCCGTGGAACATGAGACGGACTTTATCCCACCATCCGGATGGCGGAGACGGATCGACTGATTGTCGGAATATGGTATCAAAGACTCGTACCATATCTCCCAAAGCTGGTTCCATAGCTGTACCCCAGCAAATACGAGATATTTGTGGAGTGTTTATATTTACAGTAACGTCTAGATATATCTTTGGTGGGTTGACGAATCGTTCTATTATTAGTGGATCGAGGCGTAATGGATCAAGCGACAATTTCACTTCACGTCGACTTTCATAACTGGGCAATCGTTCAGCAATAATAACTAGTCCCTTGGCGACTAGACATGGCTCGGTACTTGCACTATCTAATGGTCGTTGTCCAGGCACAGCTACAAATGGCAGAAGATGATCTCTGAATTCTAACGATGCATACTGCGTACCTAGTGTGACTTCGCGTGGTATTAATTCAAAGTATTTAAAGTGGTCTGGCGTTTCCGAGTCTAGAGCATTTATAGACTTTTCTATAGTCTGGCAAGGCAAGGTCGGATACTCGGCCTTCAAATGCAAGTTGAGTAATGTAATGGTTACTAGAGGTCTCAAATATCGAGGATCAGATTCAGATTTCTTAAGAGATTCAATCCAACTCTTTGAATTGAATTCTTGCAATAGACCCCATGCCCTCCTAACTTCCTGACTACGAGAATTACCAAATTCGAGAATGGAATCATCACCGTGTTCGTCTCGTTCATGTGCCAATTTAGCCATGATTCGTTTCTCAAATGCCGCATGACGGGCTAAACGGGCACTCTGTTCGTCTAGACCAAGAGTAAAAGTACGAGACAGATGCATCTCGAATGGTGAATCGCACAGTTTTACGACGAGGCTCTTTACATCTATGGTGAGAGTAGGGATCTCGTGCTGACTTATAGTAGTATGACCTGTAGATGGACGAGGCCTTGGTTGGAAGCCCAATAGATTTTGGTGCAAAAACATTAGAGCTTTCGATAAGTTGATTCCGTTCTCGATTATACCAGATAATTCATACCCGTATGGATTTATGAGAAGGATTTCGGATGCAGTGAGTGCCATAGTCAACACTGCTCCTTTTGTAGATTCTTTTCTCATTATCAGAGAAAACGAGTCGACGACGACCAGATTCTCAAACGTATCACTATGTGGCGTAGGAGCTGATACTATAGTATTCTCAATCGACACAGACATATTCTTTCCATCACTGATGATGCAAGCCGTCTTGCGACATTGAAGATCTAGCAAGACTCTGTCTGGCAGATCACAGGCAACTGATACTTTACCAACGTTGACTTCTATCGATGGTTTTGATTTAGATGGAAGGACATTCTTTGGCTTCATTCTTCGTATTGACAATACATCCACCATTTTCATCTAATGAATTTGGGTTAAGCAACCTGACAAATGCGAACACAGCCAAAAACAGAGCAAAAGATAGAAAGACACACCAAGTATGCAGCAGAAACCACAACAATGTAGTACCGCCGTAGCGAAAAGCTCCCAACAAGCTCTGCCAAATCAAAGACAATATGCAAATCATTGCCTGATCTATAGCTAGATATATTACTCTGAGTCATGGCAGCCAGAGTCTCAAACTCTTGGGTTGAATAAGAGTTGGAGGTCCATGCTTGTATACGCTTGACATGACCACCTATGCTACTAGTAGCTTGTACAGGATTTGACTCGAATTTTACTTGCAGAGCGACATCCTCGAGCAATCCAAAGGTAGCACATGGCGATGCACCTTCACTAACGAGGACTACATCCACTTTAGTTAACTCAAAGCCCATCTGCAATTCGTGTGGGATCTGCGATATAGATCGCGTCGGTTTGGATGTGGATGGAGAATGTTGCGACGTTGGTAGTTTTTGGAAGGCACGAGTTACGATACGGATGGATGTACTCAATGCTACAGCTAGCGAGAAGTAGTCTAAGAAGGCGCTGGATACTATAGGTGCCATATCACAGTCTATACGTGATAATTTGACTAGAGCCGTCATGACCAGCCTAGACTGTTCGAGAGATTCACCGATACTCAAACTACCATTGACTTCACCTTCTATACGTTGAAGGTGTATCAGTCGGTCAGGTCGACGTTCAGGAGTCGGCAGGACTGTATTAGCATCTAGATTGACTGCCTCGACGCTTATTCCATCAATAGAGGCTGATGCGTGAATGTCTACATTAGATACAGGGCCATCTGACAGTGCGGCATATGGTGCTGGTTGTGCTTGAATGCGAGAGCCAAATGTTAAATCTCCCACGTCTAACATCAGGGTTGATAAGTTGAGCCTCCATGGGCAAAAAAACAACACGAACGACTGTCAAACTCACCCAAAGTGAGCAACGCATCCTCGTTACTCCTATGAGATGGATTATATGCTGATAATCGCACCGCTACAGACGGACTTGCTACAAGAGCATTCAGTCTCACATCCCAGGGCATGACATCAGTAAGAAGCTGCAATATAGCTTGCATTTTCTGTTTCATGATATCAGCATTGCACAGCGGAGAAGTGCCAATGTCTTCAGAAATGTCTGATGGAACTTGCGGTGGTGTTGAGAAGGGCATGGCAGATAAAGATACCGGTGATTCGGCTACAGTTTCAAGAATGGCGACAATCTGATCATCTAATATTATATGAGGTTTGATGATACTGACTGACAACGAAGCTGAGCTTTCAGCTAATACAGAGGGAGATCTACGGGTTGCCATACTTCCAACTAAAACCGACGTGCCTAGATATGTTTCCAAGCCGGCGTCCACCTTTATTTCTGCTATATCCATGAGACGTATCAGCGACCTAGTACCTGGGCTTGTATTTTCTAGATCCGAAACATCAGATACCATCTTTTCGACTAGGAATTCCGCGCTACAAGTCAATGATGATCGTCCATCACGTTGATCTTGCACCAGGCCCAGTCCGACTTCAGCTCGTATATGTTCTAGAGACGATAAGATTTTGAAGGCTTCGCGCCGACCTATTGGTAACGATACAAGCGTTTCTATCACGAATTGTCGTGTCGAAAGACTTATAGTAGGTCGGAAGATTGCCAAACGACGTATTTGGTTTGCTAATCGTGCTGGATTTGCGAGCCAAGCAGGCAGAGGTTCGTTAATTACAGGAGGAGGTTGTTTATTAGTAGCAGGATGACTATTTGGGATCGGCAATGGATTTGTTGTAATCTTCAAACCACTTGATCCGTTCAGCGCCATGTCGAGTTCTTGTAACCGTTGCCACGAGCCGAGAGATTCTTCCCTCTTGCTCTGAAGACGTACAAGAGGCGAAGTATCAAGCGAAGTGCTACCAATGTTTATATTTATCAGGAGCTCTTCACCAGCAGCCTGTTTTACTGATGCTTTTAACGGGTAATCGTCACCATTCCTGAGCACTACGGAAGCTGTAGAATCGCTGTTTAATAATACAGGAGTCCATCTGTTGGGCTCTCCGAGACAAGCATAGATCTGGCAGCCAGTCAAGACGGCGTTTACTTGTAAAAGGATGGTGTCTTCTATTGTCAGAGGCACTGCACCATCACCATTACCAGCAGCCAGAGTAGCAGAGTACAATCTGCCGATCGAGATCTTATCCTGACACCATTTAAGCTCTAGCGAGCCCTCATCGTCAAGTATAACACTAACAACACACCCCTCCACAACAACATCGAACACGGTAAACAGCCATTTCAACCCGGTCTGGACAATGAGTCTGAGGATGCCCTCGTTCAGCCACCAAGGATTCTGAGATTTTCGTTTCTTTTTAGGTTTGGAAGAGGCCAAGTCGTGTTGCAGATCGGCGAGGTTGATTCTTATATGAGGCTTTTGAATGCACAAGGTAATCCAGGAGGGAGCCGTGTGGGATCTAGTATGTATCTTTGTGGCTATGAGTTCAATGTCCCAGCTAGCTCCATCGGATACAGCGGAGCGAGTCAGACCAGCCAATGAGCAGAATCCAATGGACCTGAATGAGATTCCATAATTTCGTCGTAGCAAGCCTACAAGTGTCAGATATAATAATAGTATTAGGAGAATGGCAAGACTAAGAACAAGAATCCATGTCGACGGAGATTCACTCATTATCGGCATCTGCTATCACGCACTACTTTTGACCAAGAGATTGGAGCACAACATTTAGCGACGAGAAGGGAGCAAGAACGCGCTTTTAACACTTGATCACGCGTGATAAGAGCAATAGAAGCAGTACAGCCATTATGACGCGCATTGACAGTCTCGTCATGGATATATTCGAGTTTCATTAGTTCAAAAAAGACGAGACCTGATAAAACGTTGCAGACGCAATTACGCGGAGAGGAGACAACATGGTGATGAATTTGGTTGATGAGGTAGCCGAGGTGAGTAAGCGTTGGTCGTGTTTTGACCTTCTGGATTGCCTGGGGAAACTCCTACGCAGCCAATCTACAAATCAACCCTAAGCACCACTTTTTGATTGTTGACTCGGTAACGCCTGTCTCTTACAGTTCCTGACAAGAACGTGCGTTAGCAAAAACACGCTGTGGTCTTTCCCCCATCACGTCCACTTGCATTTGCACGTTGAAACATTCGACATCACAACTACCCTCTTTCCACACGACAAACATGTTTGAACAAACCGCATCACTGCCCAAAGTCCCCTCCAAGCCATCTGTATCCAGTGGTGGTCTCTCTACTCCTAACGACCTTGTTAAAAGCGCCTTGTCACGTAGTTTGGGACGAGGTCTCTCTTCGTCCAGTCGTCACGAACCCGATTTACCCAAAGTCAACGATGTTGCGTCATCCTCCGCCTACGACAATGAAAAGTCTTCAGGTCGCGCTCAAGATGACTGGAACAAACCGACTAGCTCAACAAGGAAGAATGATGGTTTGGCTGTCAAAGACCTTGGTATTGCCAGTCTCTCATTGGGTCGTGGTGACAATGCAAAGACAAACTTGCTCAAGTCGCCTCTTCACGGATCGTTACCTAACGGCCTTCAACGACCAAAGTCTGCTACTGGCAGCGTAGACATGACCAATGTAGAAGAAAGTGAATCTGAAGAAACGATGGACAAGGTTTCTGAATTATCTATTGAACATTCTGTCGTCTCTCAAGCTACGACTGCCATCCCTGAAGGTCCAGCTCCTCTACCTGGCGCGGTCTCCATCCTTAAACAACAAACAGCCAAACACCATAAATCTCTCCCTAAAATCGTATCCATGTTCAACACGGGACGTAGTAAAGCACCCACAGCTGGTCCTTCATCAGCTGGTAAATCAAACAAGGTTGGACCATTCGGTTCATCCATGCAACTAAACACAAACTTATCTGCTCAATTTGCTCATGGCTCCATGTCGGCTGGTATGAACCCTTCAAATGCTGCTCTCGGCCTCCAATTCCATTCCCCTACCGAGTCATTGGGTCATTCCGGCAAAAATCATCACATGTCTGCTTATGAAATCGGGCCGCCTCCCTCAGCTATTCGCAACTATACTTTGGACGACTTCCATCTAGTGCGTCGTGTCGGTAAAGGTGGTTTTGCTACAGTATACTTGGTTCGATTGAAGGCCAGTACTGGTCGATACTATGCTCTGAAGGCAATCAAGAAGGCCGATGTAGTCAGATTAAAGCAAGAACGTCAAATCTTGAATGAAAAGAACATTTTAAGAGCAATCAAACATCCTTTGATTGTTGAATTGTTTGTTGCCTTCCAAGACATTAGGTGAGCATTGGTGATTGTTTCTTGCATTTTTTTGTTTTTGCATTGAGCCAACTTTGCATATAGCTATTTGTACATGGTGATGGAATACGTAGCTGGTGGTGATTTGTTCTCTTACCTACGACGTGTACAGGTATATTTCTATTGTTGATTCATCATTTTTCCTCGAATGCTTACAGAAATCCCCAAATACCATCAGCGTTTCTCTGAGGACGATTCTCGATTCTACACTGCTGAAGTTGTAGTTGCTCTTGATTATCTTCACCAACAGCAAGTAGTGTACCGAGATTTAAAGCCTGAGGTGTGTATCTCAATGAGCCAAATGAGTCTTGTGGTTCTTTCTTGCGGCAGTCTAGAATCCGGCACTCACATTTTTCCTCTTTTACCCAGAACATTCTCCTTGATACAACTGGCCACATTAAACTTGCAGATTTCGGATTTGCCAAAGTAGTCCGCGAAACCACACAATCCTTCTGTGGAACACCCGACTACATTGCCGCCGAAGTAGTAAACAACAAACCATACGATCACGCCGTAGACTGGTGGTCACTCGGTGTCCTAATCTTTGAACTATGCTCTGGAAAGACTCCCTTTGGCGACGACACATCCGAACGCATCTACGACAACATCCAAGCCGGCCGCATCAAATGGCACCCACTCATTAAAGGAGCATGTAAAGACATTATCAGACGCCTCCTCGACCTGGATTCTGACAGACGGTTGGGATCTGGTCCAACTGGCGCATCTGATCTAAAAAACCACCCGTGGTTTAAGAATTTAATTTGGAAGAAGGTTGAAACCCGTCAAATCACACCTCCGTATATACCATCGTGTGAAAGGCCTGAAGTATTGGAAGAGCAACATTTGAAGTCTGGTGGCGAAGATCATGCCGAGTCGCTCAAGCAGGCTGGGAAGCAGTGGGCTCATGGTGGTGATCCGTTCTATGAAATGTTTAAAGAGTTTTGAGGAAGCATTCTTCTACCCCAGCCCAAAATCCACCAGCAGTTAGAAACCCTATAGCATAACTATCCTCCTGGAGAGAGTAACAAAATGAATCATATCTTAATCAAAATATCAAGTGCCTTTTTATTTTATACTGTAAAACAGAGTCATGAGCAGGACCTCCAATATACAAAGTTTAGTTTATATCCTCACATTTTGGAACATTGTTATCGCTACTTTGTCTCCTCCTCATGTCAGAATGAACGTTTCGCACCTAACAAAAAAAATTGCCTCCATAGTGGTGCAATAGCCGAAGTACAGCCCACGAGATCACATTTATATGGCCGGCCAATGATGAACGCCGGCGTAAAAAATTGCAACGAGTGAGCAGAAATGCCAACTTCTTTATTGAGGCCACACTATCAAACTACTCATTCGTCAGAGACCTTTACCATCAATTTACCCGTGTTATCACCGGTAAACAATTTCAGCAGGCCAGCAGGCGCATTCTCAAGTCCATCGACTATCGTTGTTGTAGACTTGATTTTACCTGTTTTTAAAAAATAGTTGAGACAGACAACTTGGCTTAATAAATCCAAACAACAAATGGAAATCGAAATGAACGCCGATAAACCACTCGAAGATTCTTTCGTTACCTTCAGACAACCAGGTCTGTAACTGCTGTCGTCCTTGGTCGAACTCGGAAAGGAAGTCCGTTACAATGAAACCCTCCATACGCGCTCTAATGGTTGAATTACACAGATTAGTAAACAGTGCTATGGTATCATCTGAAACTGCCAGAACATACCTCTTGAAGAGGAGAGCCAAGTACTTGGATGGCCCAACGACCTCTTTTTCGTTATAAGTGGCAATCGCTCCACAAAGCACTACGCGTCCCTTCATAGCCAATCTCGACAAACATAAGTCAAGGATAGATCCACCTAAGTTTTGTGACAGAGTGAGGCTTGGCTTCAGGATACTTGACTGAGGAATATAATTACCAGTGTTATCAAAGTACACGTTGATTTCGTTAGGTGTTGCAGCAGTCAATTGTTCAGCAAAGTCCTTTGCTTTCTGTAAAAGCATTATAGACATCGTTAGTGGTCTGCTAATACACGGTTTTGATGCTCGAGACACAGTCTCTTACGTAGTCCAAACAGACGTCAGCTCCCAAGCTATAACAAAAACCGATATTGTCAGAATAAGACGGAAAGGGGTGTCGTGTTCGAACATACCTCTTAACCCAAGCACACTTATCAGGCCCTCCAGCAATGGCCACAACTCTGCAGCCCAGAATTTTTGCAATTTGGACAGTAATAGAACCGGTTGCTCCAGCAGCTGATGAAGAATAAAAAAAAAAACAGAAATATTTTAAATTAATTGGAAGAGATAACAAAGTATAGAGTCTCACCAGCGGAAACAACGACTGTGTCGCCTTTAACGGGGTTGCCAATTCGGATAAGTCCCTAGTTTAGGTGATTACAACAGGCAGGCGGTTCAGATCAACATCCAAGACTTTCGCAAGTATAGAGAGTAGCACACTTACGAAATAAGCTGTTAATCCAACACCACCAAGTACAGACATGGAGTGCTCGAGAGATGTGTTCGCTGGGATCTTGATCAAGGCGTTTCCTTTTGAAACCCCATAGTCTTGCCATCCATGACCTTAAGTATCCAAAAGATGATTTAATTTAATAATCTGTTTACCTTCACTCCCATGGTTTCATACCTCCAATAACCCGGTCACCAACAGCGTAGTTTGCATCCTTGGACTCGACAACGATTCCGACAATTGAGCCTCGCATAATGATATTCTCAGGTAGTGTGGTGTAAGAACGGTCTCCACCACTCATCCATGTTCGCTAAGGAAGAATTGGTTGCAAAACCACAAAGTCAACGTTTTGGTCCCCATCCACGATTCAAATGGCGACACATTTTAGCCCAAGTTCGAAAGGGCGTTCTCACCATTGCTGGGTCCAATGAAAGCAAAACAGTTCTGACAAGGACATCTCCATCTTGGAGTTCTGGAATGGTTCCATTTCGGAGCTCAAACGTCTCTTTTGGGTCGAACAGACCTTCTGCAGGACTAGAAACCAAACGTCAGCGAGCAGGCTAGCCTTTCGAATAACGCTTTACATACTTACCGCTTGACGAAATACACTTGACGATTTACTCTGGTCATGGTTGTCTTTGCTAAAGTTCGGATTTTGTAGGAAATTACGCAACAACGGATTAGCACTTAACCGTCTGGGAATATATGCATGATCTGGCCAGCCTTTTGTGTGCTGGAATATAATCGCTTGAATATACAATTGGACGCGACGTCTTATAGGCTGGTGCAAATCACAAACGAAGGCTGGTGATATGGAAAATGTCAAATTAGGTCCATAAAGTTTTATATAATCAGAGCCAAGCCTTAAAGGAGACGTGCTGATTATAGAAATAGCTCTCTTCTGTCCTACTACCCTTGTGACGACACAAGTGCAAGCTATTTGTGTCATTGTTGAATGCCGGTCTCTTGCAACACATCCTATTGAGCTGACGGGAGCAAAAATGTAGCACAGAAGCATACGACGTCTTCCCAATAAACAAGTCTTAAATGAAAGGAAGTTTATTGGACCTTGTTGGTTCAGACATGATATACGGTCGAAGTTGATCAACCTACAGCACTTCAATACCCACACTGAGTCGAAAAGCGAGCGAGGACAAAATTTCAGATTCTCGAAACATCCTCCAATTTACAGCAAATCCAATTTCGATTTTGAATGTGGAATCATTATTGGTCTAAACAAGTGGATTCAGGAATCCCTTCGAACAAATGCCTCTCTGTGAGGGGGTAGAGTCAACGAAAGGCTTTGATAGTTCAGATGGCGATGTTTGATATGGCGCTTCTGATTCATCCCTTCACTTGATCCCATTCTTAAAATCCAAATCTTTCACATGTTGAGTCCAGTACCAACAAGATCAGGACCAAGAAGGCAAGACAAAGGAGCGAGGTAGACTTGCAAGTAATTAGAGCATACACGTCAATGTTTTTGCTTTTTGACGAGACGGATCTGTAAAGGAGGTGCATGGAGTGGCATCTGATGACTCTGGGTTGCAAATTGCAACTTGACATTGAAATTCAGATCAACAAAGTTCAATGTCTTGAAGCATATGCGGTCGGTGACGCTTTTCTTGCAGAAATTGTAGAGGGATGTGCTTTCAAAACCATTTACTCTCTCCTACCATCGCTCGTTTCTTGGGAGGGTGGTCGCCAAAGCAGCATCAACTTGCAGATTTTTTTTGACACTCTTCTCAAGGAAAAGAACGTTTCTGTATCTGGAATTGTCTGCAGAAGAACTTACGAGCCAAGTAGAAAGTTTGGTTGTGGAAGCTGTAGTCGTCTTGGTGGTTGATCACATTGCTACAAACTCTCAAATTTAGCAAACTTTCTGTGTGGTTGGATCAACGGATTTCTACACACATAGTTGAAGAGCTTCAGGACCCGGGCACCCTGTAGCATATTACGGTATCGCTAGACGTGATCAAGTCAAGATTTCTAGACTAGCTAGGTTGAAACCTGGACAACTCCACCACTCTGATAAAGAAACCTCTACCTTTATGGTTGCAATGCAAAAGACGAGCACTGTATCGTGGTAAGCTTCAACAGAAGATTTAGGCTCGTTGCTATCGTCTATATCTTCTTTTCGCTCTGCTCAACTACCTGAGCATTTTCTTGTAGACTTTGATCTCTTTGTAGCTCATACCAAACATCTGCCTTCTATTTCGCAGCATACTACTGCAAAAGTCACTACTGCTTGAATGGCTCAAAACGGATATCAGACCATCCAGTAGTGCATCGGTTTGGATTCTACTTCACTTTGCGGTTTCTGATTGATAAAGGGGTTTTTAGCTATGTACGGTGCCTGCTGCCAATAGTAAGATATTGAACTTTGCCATTCTATCACAGAACCAACTACACAGACTGGCAGCAGCATACGGTGGCGTACACGTTCATTTTTTGGGCACACGGCCAGTACACCAAACAGGTGAGACGACAATAAGCTCATGATTGCTGTGATGGAAACTACACACTTGTCTCACTTCCCAAACTACACTCGATCCATTGTTTTTGTGTGAAGGATCTCAACTCTGTATTCAATACAACACGACTTTTATATAACTATAAAAAGAAACTCTAAGCTCTCTCTCTCAAATATGAATATTTTGTTTTTTGTAATTTTTTAGTTGTTTTGGAAGATATGTGTGGGGAGGCCGAGGAAGACAGTAGATGCAAATGGTAAGTAAGCGAGTCTTTTTTTGGATGTGATGTTTAAGCACGGGCAGTAGCCAAGTTGACACGGATGGATCGGCCATCGAGAGAAGATCCGTCCATGGTGGAGATGGCAGCGTTAGCTTCTTCGGGGCTGGCCATTGTGACGAAGCCGAAGCCGCGAGATCTATTGTTCAATGAGGATGGTTTAGAGTGTGATGTGGGGGTAGAGAGAGGATCGAGTGTGTTGTAAGAGGGCACAGATGATGCCAATGCTATCAAACAGGCATTTCTTTGAAGAACAAAAACACAAAAACCAACACATTAAGAGCATACCGGCCAGTTTCACGGTCGTTCAAGATGACGGCATCGACGACACTGCCGTGAGCACCGAAAGCATTGAAGAGCGACTCGTTCTAACATTGCGTTTGGGAAAGTCAGCTTTTTCAGTCAAAACTGAGTTTGATGTGAGTTCTCACAGTAGAGTTCCAAGAGAGATTGCCGACAAAGATCTTGGTTCCTGGAGCAGCTTCAGGGCGCTAATAGCAATGGATGGAGGATGAATTAGTATCCAAGCTTAGGGGGTTTTTCGTCAAGCTGAAAATTCTTGCTAATTTTTTTTTTCTTCTAGAATGGACATACTCTGGGACGAGGAGTGTATCCTTGACCGCTGTTTTGTTGCCAATCACCCATGGTACGAGCTGGAGGACGAGTAGAGTATAAGCGAGATGATAGGGCTAGACGTCTAACAAACAATCCTTGCATCTGGTGTTTTGTAGGGGAGAAAACGAGGGCATTCGGTTTTTTTTGGCAAGAGGAGAGAAAGGCAAGGACATATTGCCACGTATCAAAGAGGAGGGGGAGCTTTACTGACATAGAAAAAGAGAGGCTATTCATGCGATATATTTTATAGAGTACGGGTGCACCGACGGAAGGTAGATTGTGGCCTTTTTGGAAAATTTTTAATCGGACGCAAAATCGTACGTGATGTGGACCAAAGCAGCTCGTAATCTTTGTATCCTTGTTCCAGACGCGTTCTAACGGACACGCTCCGTCATCTTTGAGCCTTGTTCACTGCCTGCATTCTTCTTGAAACCAGTCGTGCGAAAGAATCCAAGATTGATACTTAGGAGCTTCGCGAGTCACATACACTACGAGCAGGAGGCCTTATCCCGCTTCGTCTCTGACAAGTAAGCCTCAAAGCGTCCATTGCCAGCCCTTCCGAAAAGCTCTTAGCGATTCATTCGGGGATTTTCACGTGTGGTTGGAAGTTTGGCTGATTCATTGATTACTGACTTTACAAACAACCATGTTTCTCATAGTATACGAGTGTATCATGGCCCGCTACAACATCCTGAAGCCATTTAAACCTCTCTTCCATCTCGATAACGAACCAAGCTCTCCTGACTCGCCTGATTCTTGGCTGGATTTCGAGATAAGCTTGGAGCCTCCCGAGAAGGTAATGATCTGACTGATCTGCTGTCATCACTTGCATCAAACCATTCACACTGTTATTCCAACACCCTTTACACTCTGTATATCCACCAGGCACTGTATTTAACTCGCAGCTCGGAATGGTTGTTGCAAGTCGGTCGAGAGTCGGGAATAGAGCGTCAGTTATCGCTATTAGGATACTCGCATCCAGTCATCAAAGTATCGACAGAGTCCTTTGTCAGTCGCCTCACAATCAGTGACTTGTCGTTGCTGACTGATGATGAAAAGGAGAATCACGAGAACTTTGTTGTCAAGGAAAACAACTATCTTATTGATATCATGGTGAGTTTCGTGTGATTCAAATGGACGTTGTGCTTGCGATTGGAGCTGGGGGTTTGATGCTTGAGAATCGCAGCTCAACGACCCGCAACTAACATTCCTCGTTCCTCCTACAGACACGACCATACAAGCTGAAATACCATCAACTGAATGCATATCAGAGTCTCTTACGGCTGTCAGATCCTCTGGTAACAAACGAACGTATCGACGACCAAATATTCTCACCATCGAAATGTGCCGAAACCGCTGAATTCATAAAAACCCAGTTTCCCGTCAGGCCCAAAATGACGAAACAGGAATGGGTGTGCTTGCAAGACCCAAAGGCTGAGTTCTCACAACAGAAACCGAGGTTGCCTGGCCAAAGGTATTTGATGTTATAATCCTTAACCAGGAATTGAATTTACTCACTCGTATTTATTACAGACATCCAGGCCTCGGCATAGGAAACCTCTTTTTTACAACACTAAACAAACTCGTCGCTGAAAAGAACTTTGGCATGTTCTTCACCGCAGAACACTTCCATAATGCAGTCATGTACTCCAAATCAGGAGCCAAGTTTGCTTCTCCCCTTATGGAAGGATACTTTCGAGCCCTGACGGAAAGCTTAAAACCACTCATTACACAATACTCGTTATCTGCTATATCGTGGGGTATAGGCGAAGGACGTGTTGTAGATGAAGACACTGGTAGGCCCGTCGTGTACCTCGCTCAGGAGCAGCTGGCGCCTATTGAGGAGAACATTGTGAGGTATATATCGTCGGCCCAGTATAAGAGTATTGCGGAAGAGGCATATGTGCTGGGGAGGGCGAGGAAGCTAAGGCTCTTAGAGTAGACAGGGGTGTTGAGATCGTGGGTTTAGGTTTATAGGTTGGCATTGTTTATATGGTTTTTTTTACCCTGTTCAAATTTGTATCAAAAACATTTAGAGTAGAATAATCAGCAGAAAGGAGAACCTGTGACGTGTCGTCGAGTTCGCAACTGTGTTTTATTAGAGGATTACAAGGATGGCTGAGTCAAATTACCACGGTCTATTATTTCAGCAGCAAGTTCAGCCAACTGAATAAACGATTTAGATGTAGCTGCTGCATGTTGATTAGAATTCTGTCCCAACAATACTCTCGAATGAACACCTTGTCTTATAACAGCCAGCTAAAGAGCAATAAATGATATTAGTCAACTATACCAAAGCAGCATCATACCGTAATACAAGTTTACGTACCCTCCATAAAGAGAACGCAACACAAAACTCCCACTTTGGAATCGGGTAACTCCTTCCAACAGCTTTGCAGTATACTTGGATTAGCTCATTCACTGGTGGTATCGGCAAGTCAGCAACGTCTCTGACCCCCCGTGGCCTAGGCATCGAGGCCGGCATATAATAAAAGTTTAAACAATGCGCCAGATCTGCTAAAGGATGTCCTATTGTTGCCAATTCCTACGAATCCCCAACACACCATCTGTGAGTATACTTCATAGCCACAGGCGACAGCTAACAATGAAACATACCCAATCCAAAACAGCCTCAATCCTGACCTGCGTCGGATGAAAGCACACATTATCCCCCTTATAGTCGCCATGCAAGATCGACACTTCATCAGGCACCATATTGCGATGCAGCCATTTAAGAATGTCGGCTTGGCGTGGTAGTGCGCCGACGACTTCACCGGATGGGGATGTCACTTGGGATTGGGTTTCTGAGAGTTTTGCGAAATTCTTTAGTTGGCGCTCATCTAAACAGTTCATAAAAGCGGGTTCAGCTTGGTTTGTAATTGCGGATCAGAACTGTCAAGGAGGACAACGTACAATAACCACCCATTTTTCCAAAATCAGTCAATTTCACAGACTCGGGTGTGATTTTATGGAATTTGGCGAGTGTTTCCATCATGCAGTACCAGTACGCTGGTTTCTCCTTCACTGCAACGGATGGTAGCAAGTTGTCGACAAAGATTCGACCCTCGACAAAACTCATTACGTAGAACGACGTTCCTGCACAAAACAAGGACAATAATTAATACCGATCACTGCGACAACGAGGCAAGCAAACCGTTACGTTACCGATAACACCTCGATCTTCACATAGACAATAGACTGTTGGAACGGGGAAATCCGAGTATTTTTTCAAGTGCGACATGATCTTGTATTCTCGATCCATGGCATGAGCTGTTTTGCTTTGTATTCCAGGAGGTTGTTTTCGTAGCACGTATTTGGTTCCGGCACCGTCAACCAGCAGGAAGGTTGGATTTGATTGCCCGTTGCTGAACATGCGAACTGTAAGGGGTGCTGTGAATGTTGTAATGTTTTCGACGAGGTAACGTTCTAGTTCAAAGTCTCGTGTTAGAGCCAAGATCCGTGAAAGATGCACTGAAAGTACGTGTTGGTACCGAGCTTTTTCTCATCGAAGGTGTGTCTAGGGAGTTCGAGTTAGCGACATGGACGCTTTAACCGATTGGTGATGAGACGCACCCCTGACGGACGACTGTCGTCGATTGACCTGTCACGTTCTCCGGATCCATTTTCTTTGTCGTTTAGAGCGAATGCCACAATTCCTTGTAACGAACACAACTCTCTCACGTTCTGTTGCAAAACAAAAGTTCATCCGGATTTGCCAAAAAGGTTTTGCGTGTGCTTGTTGCGGGAGGAATCAGGAAAGGAAACTGAATGAGTGTATATTAGTATAGACCTGATCCGCGCCATACCTCATTATATGTGAGTCTAGCTTCCGCCTCGCTTCACGACAAAAAACCCACGTTGATATTTTTCGTTGATAAGATTGCTCGCTCTGACGCTTTTATTATAGGTCAATCTAAAGCGCAACTGTAAAATATTTATATTATAGAGCTGACTAGAGATCCGTGGGATCATGACTACTACTACAACCACACAGACTGATCGATTGACACATTTGGACTTTCGGCCAGTCTTGTAAGTCAATGCCTTTGATCGAAGAAGATGATCATATTGTTGATATAATGATACATGTGAATCGATTTGTGAACTTTTGGGACTCAATGACTCGTATACACCATGATCTAATACCAAAACAATATTTCCCAATAGGTCAAGCCCAGAGTTCAGACACTCACTAGCGGGAATGGGCGCAGGGTGCATAAGTAGCTTGGTGACGGTCCCACTAGACGTTGTCAAGATAAGACTACAGAATCAAGGAGCTTTGAAACCTGGACAACTCGAACACCCATATAAAGGAACGTTTGGGACACTAAAGACTATATGGCTGCAGGGTGGAATACGGGGATTGTATCGTGGTAGGTGGCGCAATTATACTGGCTCAGTCAAGATCAGTATTATGTTCCCTTTTCTTTTGCTCGACTGACGTGTCACATCCTCAAGGCATTGGGCCAACCCTCTGTGGCTACATCCCCACATGGGGCTTCTACTTTACAGCATACGACTATGGAAAACGCTACTACTCGACCCGCCTAAAACGAAAACCAGAGGACTCGCTCGTCCACTTAATGTCTGCTATGAGCGCCGGATTGCTGAGCACCGCAATAACAAACCCACTGTGGGTGATACGTACACGATTCATGACGCAGTCACGTGCTACGGCATACCACTATAGCTCAACGTGGTCTGCTTTTGCGACTATTATACGGGTGGAGGTAATTTCAACTCAAATTTGAGCCAAGTCGCCCATTTCTAGCACCAACATGGTCAAACATGATATTAACCTTCTAAATTGTTTCAGGGGTGGAGGACACTGTATAAAGGGTTGGGACCATCGTTGCTGGGGGTGTCGCATGTGTGCGTGCAGTTTCCGTTGTATGAGAAGCTGAAGAGCTGGATTCAAGGTATGGGCCAAAAATGCAGAAATGTCTTGGGTCAGTATACTGATTCTTTGCGTTTTTGTAGAAAATCAACATGGCACACCGCTAGTAAAACACGATGGCTGGATAAGTGGGTATGGAATCCTACTCGCGTCTGGCATATCTAAGATGGTGGCTTCTACTGCTACATACCCTCACGAAGTACGTCTCGTCTTTTATACCGACAAGCATGAAATCTTGAATTCTTGTTGACTTTTTTTGAGCAGGTCCTCCGCACACGCCTCCAAACCCAAACACACGCCTCCGAACTCAAATACCGCGGCCTCATACATACAGTCCGCGTCATACTGCACGAAGAAGGAGTCTCGGCACTTTACAAGGGGCTTCCCACCAACCTGATCCGAACTGTGCCTGCTGCTGCAATAACCATCTTAACTTACGAGACATTGTCGGCGCAGCTACATATACTGTCTGCAACATAGAGTTTTTTGCAATATTCCCCAACCTCATATATGTGTTTTTTCAGAGTAATGTTTTGTATATTAATAACTACTTTGCCCTCTTTTTGCGCAAGTTATTTTCGTGTTAGATCTTTGATGCAGGTTGGGGAGCGACAAAGGCGAGCCATTTCTATATGTGAGATAGAGTGGTTGGATGCGATGTCGGTGGGCGCAAAAAAAAGAAGTTGAGAATAGAGCACACACCTGAGGCGTCTCCTTAGTCATAACATCAATTTGCTCTTGCGTAATACCCCTCTTTAGCATCCTTGGCAGAATGTTGGCGAATACGTGAGAGAATCCGTGTCCTGTAATGACATTATTCAAATTTTCGACTGAGAAACAAATCGTTTACAGATCTAATCATAATAGCACCAATATACCTCCAAAAGTCGCAAGCCTATGCTTGGAATATATATCATGCGAGAGCAAGATCTGACGCAAAAAGCCATCTGCAATCAGTTGCTTGATGGTGTTGATTCGCCATGCGTCGGAGGGCATGTCAATCTAGGTGATGTCGAGGTGTTGAGAAACAACTATGTGATGGAGACATTAATTTTTTTTGGCCACACCTTCTCGTTCAGTTGGTCTATGTGATAATTGAAAGAGTGAGAATTTGATCCAATTGCAAAGCAAGTAGTCTAATAGACTTACAATACGACGTTTCAATTCCAAACATGTCGAATTCAATAATAGTACCCATTTTGGCAAGCTCTCGAATGTTTTCATAGGTCAATGTCTATCGAGCTACGTGTCAGTCATCACTACCTACAACCAACAACCGAAAAATGTCCTCACCGTTCTATCAATGTGCGACATAACAGTCCGTGTCGGATCCGCACCAGCAGCAATAAGAACCCTCATGATATCATGTGGACTGAACTCGTCCCTCCCCGGATGAATCAGCACAGGAGCTCCCGTCCTTCGTTGCGCAATAGCAGCTGCCTTGAGCACCATAATCTCCGTATCCTGTAACGGATGCGAGCATCCCAATTCCCCAATAACGCCAGCCTTGATCCCAGACCCCTGTATCCCAGCCAATGTCGTGACTTCAGCAATCATGGCGTTGGCGATCGTTTCAATAGATGTTGTAGCCAGTGTCGATGGATGTGTGGCACCAATGTACCATCCAGTGCCGGCAACGACGTGGATGTTTGCGTTTTGTGAGATGGTTTTCAGGTTCTGGGCTTGGTTTGCGCGTCTGATTCCTGTTGTTGTTGCGTCGACGATACAGCCACCTCCGGCCTTGACGAGGAGGGCAGCTTCACGAGTGGAGATTTCGACATCGCTTAGTTGCAGGTTGTAGAGGTATGAGAAGGGAAAGTAGCGAATCCAGCCTAGCATGGACATTACGAAACCGTTTGATTTCACTTCTTGGTAGTGTTCTTCCTCACAGTCTGGGTGTTTGGCGTATGCAATACTGAAGTCGATGAGTAGATGCTCGTGCTGTTTGAGTTGGAAGTCTCAGGTTAGATTTGATGAATTTGAATAGAATAGAATGGAATTGAAATGCAATCTAGGTAAATTGGAGCTTCCACCCAATGTCAGCATTGTCAAACCTCAACGTGCTGATGTTTAGTGTTTCAACTAGAATTGCAAGCTTCCAAGTACAAAAATACGATAATATCACGTAAACAGTATGGATAATTACATTTCCATCCATAAACTTTGGCGATTGCATAGAAAACATACATCACAAAACACGTCCGAATTTTGCACCGCGAAACATCTAACGACTTACTGGAAGAACGCGTCCGAGAGCTTTAGGATCGACAGATCCTCTAACAGTTTGTACCTTGCCAACCGATGTCATTGCTATAAAACGTACTCCGACCAGTGTTTATTTGCTTTCCTTCGGTGCAGCCCCTAGTGTTCGAACAGCAACAATCTTTCGGAAGACAAACTGTGTGAGGAGGCTCCGAACGAGGGCGTGGAAATAGTGTACATTATAGAGGAGACCTTTTAATCTACTGGTAAGCTGCACAATTCCACCTTCCGCCTGCATTTGCTCGGGAAATGAAAAAAACTAGCCAATCCTTCATTGAAACTTTTTTTGATTCTGCTCGAGAGTTTCACTGAATGGTTTGATACTCCATGGAACTAAGCTAGACATCATTTATTGATAGCCATTGGGCCTACGGGCTAGTAATCCTCCCTGTTGCTGTCCGAAAAACTGCTTGCCCGTTTTGGGGTCTGCACGCCGTTTCTTATTGAAAGAGCAGCAGCCAAAACAACAATCGCCCAAGTCTCATAAACATCTCATCCCGCATCATGTTCTACCTGACAAGAAGCGATCTCCCAATCTTCATACCGCTGGGCTTTGTCGGTGTCTATCGATGGTTTTGGTTTCTTATTAAAATACTCGCATGGACTCTATACAAACCCATCAAGCCGAGAAAGAAGCCCACGTTTAGATCCAGTCGAGATGTTACCATCTTGGTTCCTACTATTGACTCGGGAGAGGAAATCAAAAAGGCTGTTCGTAGTTGGCTCAAGTGTGATCCATATGAGGTATGTGGTGTGGAAGGGCTGAAGGAGTTTGAGTGCTTATATCTGTGATTGCCAAGATCGAATGAATCATTGTGGGTGTTATAGCAAGCTGATCTGTGTTTAATGAACCTAGATCATCTTCATCACTGTGCCGAAAGCAAAACCAGCATTAGAGGGATTAGCGCGTGAAGTTGATCCTGAGGGCAGGAAAGTTCGAGTGATTACTATCGCCAAGTGAGTCATATCATCATATTATAATATCTATAGAAGGAGAAATGGTGTTTCGGAACAGAGCCATCCGCCACGTAGTGCCATGTTTTTCTCTGTGCTCACTACCCATTGTTTCCAACTAGACCAAATAAACGTAATCAAATGGTTGCTGGAATCAACCAAGTTAAGACTGAGATAACAGTCTTTTGTGATGATGATGTCTTGTGGCCGGATACCATGTTGACATATATGCTGGCTCCGTTTGATGACAAGCAGATGGGTGGTGTAGGAACATCGCAGACTGTATTACCTGTCGGAAAGCATATGACCATTTGGGAGATTTTGTCTGCTTACCGTATCTCTGTGAGTGGAATGGTTTCCTAAACTTGAGAGTGGGCATAGCAAAAAAAATCGAGCTAACTGACATCAAATGTAACTATTTACGTAGATGCGAAACATTGAGATTACTTCATCTACATATATAGATGGTGGTGTCTGCTGCCTGTCTGGTCGCACAGCTGCCTACAGAACATGTATATTACGAGACCCAGACTTCCAATGGATGTTTACCCACGAGTACTGGTATGTCTGGTGGTTTGGCAAATGGCTCCGCTTCCACCAGCACTCTGGAGATGATAAATTCCTTACTCGCTGGCTCAACACACATCAATGGAAGACATACATTCAAGCATGTAAACAGGCGGAACTGATGTCAACCTTTAAAGACAATTGGAGATTTTTAAAGCAAATCACTAGATGGACTCGAAACACGTGGCGTAGTGATATAAAGAGTCTCTTTTTGGAACGCCAAGTATGGTCTCGCTACCCATTCGTCGCCTTTACCATGTTTGATAAATTCTTCAACCCGATTACGTTACTGGCTGGTCCCATCTCGGTTATATATCTATGTACACGACCGCATGGAGGACTGGATCCATGGATTATTATTGTATCGTATCTCGTCTGGCTCGGTATGACTCGTCTCATAAAGTATATGCCTCATTTTGTCCATCGACCGCAGGACGTCCTTGCCATCCCCGTTTGGATTGTATTTAATATTGTGTTTGCCATCATGAAGGTGTACTGCCTGTGCACGCTTCACAAGACGGATTGGGGGACTCGTAAAGGTGCCGATGATAAACGGGCAGACAAGGAAGATTACTCCATCTTTTTACCGCATTGGCAAGATCAGCCAATCAAGTCTGAATCATCGAAATATAGAAATAGTATACTCTTGGGTGATAGTGATGCTACGTTGCTAGGAGGTATACATGGACAAGAAGTAGATCCTTTGGTTAATTTGACGCAACCGCATCGTCCTACTGTACCAATGTCGCAGGAGATATCCGTTGTTGGACAACCACCACCAAACGCTATCGCAAATACTCGTGATAGCTTTATAGATGGTATAATATCGCCAACGACACCTGAAGCTGTCACAGACTTCACAGTGAATAGTGGCGGCAGTAATAGAAACACGGAACCTGAAGTCGGGCCGGCTGAAGTCGTGCAGGTGAATAGACCAGAATCTGAAATACTACCTGTGATGACTTCTCCACGAACCACATCTGTCGCTTACACTGCTGCAGCAGGCTCTAGCAGTAGTAATAGTGTTAATAGTGGTAGTGCCGCATCTCAGCCGACTCCATATGCTGCTTCCGCTGATATCATGAAATGGACTGCCCCTCAATACAGTCAACGACTAGCATCAATCCGTACACCGGGCGCACCGCTGCCTCGACCTCCAACAATGAGACCACCACCTCAACAACAGCAGCAACAGAATACCAGAACGCCCTTGTTTGGACGGCCACGGCCCGTATCTGGATCACAACAGCAGCTGCAGCGTCCACCGCTTCGACCTATAAATACATCAGTAAGACCAATCCCAGGATCCATCATGAGACGACCGGATGCAGTGCCCCAAGTGTCTCCATCACCACGATTCGTAAACGCTGGCACACGGTCACCAGTGCGACCACCGCCACCGCAACTAGTAGGCAGGCGAGCATCTCCCAATGGCTCTCCCAATGGTTCCCCAACAGGTTCCCCTCGACTAGGACCGCTACCGATAAACGCCGTCCCATCATATAGATCATCAAACGACCTGCCACTACCACAACTCGGAGGTGGTGCATACTCCCCCACCAACTCCCCAACACGACTACCAGGATTGGCATATCAGTCTGGAGCTAGCGTGATATCAAACACTGGCACCGACCTATCACACCTGTCTGGCTTCAACTGGAAGGAAGATAGTAGCAGCAGCAGTGAATACAATAGTAGAGACTCATCAGTCATGTCTGGAATGGAAACACCACATAGATTCTCATCAGCAACATCAACAGCCATGACCGATGACAGTTATTTGGCCTCAAGTCCTCATTTATTAGATATAAGAAAGCAGCAATTCCAACAATTACCACAGGTTTCACAGCTATCACAACAACAGCAGCAACGAGGAATGGCTGGACCAGCTAGTAGAGTAGTCACAAATCCAGTGATTGAACGTGTGAATAAGATGCGTTTGGCTAATGGGTTGCCACCTGTTGCTCCTGGTCGAGAGTCATAGACTGTCAAGAAAGAGATGAAAATTGGTTGTGTCAAGTATTTATAATTGTTTTGTTAGCCACCTCGCTGTTTTTTCTTGTATATCATCACGTTAATGACCGTAAATAGTCGTCACAATCTCGCATTTGGAAGTACATCAAAAAAAGAAAGTCAAGTCCACCCAGTACATTTTGTTGCAAACGTGTGTGAGTGTTTTCGACGCAATTGAGATTCAAGTTCGCCAAGCAAGTTGTTAGGACCACGCGTCTTCAGCATCGGGTATGTGTCTCTATCCGAATGTATATTTAGTCGCTAAAAATTTTAGGCCCAGGTCGAGTTGGCGACATTGCAAACTTTTCTTCGACCCGCTGGAAGAACATCTCTCCAAATCAAACAAACTATAAACAGACATCAAAAATGAATCAAGTAGCAGACGAGAAAGAACCTGAACAGGATGGTCTCGTCGCAGGTATGCTTCCAGATCGTTGTTTTTTCAAGCTTGCCCTATATTGTATTCATACGCTTTTTTGCCCTGGATAGATTGGAGTTCTGAGGAGGAAAAATCTGTAAGGACCCAAGAAATGGCCTTGAATTTCATTGTGCTGCTGTGTGCCTTCGTTTCCACATATGAGTTCGTTTATGAAACTTGCAACGTCTTCAAGCTCCAAACTTGGTGCTGATTGTGCTGCAATCTCAAAAATGGTTTGACAAGTGGTTTAAAGTTCCGGATTTAAGACATGCAGGACATACAAGACTTGCAACTGACGCAAGACATGCAACTGTGTCTTGGTGCTGGTTGTACTGCAATATTTTGTGTTGACTGTGATTCAACGTCTGATTCTAACGTACTCTTTTCAACTTGGGACTCTGTATCAGATCATTCGCACCATCGACTGGCGAATGATTCCACTTGCACTTGCCATGCAAACAGTAGCTTTTTTGGACCAGACCAACATTGGGCAAGCTCGCAGCTATGGCCTTGATCCTAAGACTGGAATCGGGCGAATGGAGCGTGATTTGGGAATGGCTCCTGGTGTAAGTTCCCTTGCAATTTGTCATGGTTCTTGTGCCTGACTCGAAAACGCTACTCTGAACATAGGAATTCAACAATATAAGCTCAATGTACTATCTGGTCTTGTTGATTCTTGAACCCATATCCAACTTCTTCTTGATGAGGTATGTGAGGTCAATTCTTTGTTCCATGTCGTCGTTATTGATTCTTATCTCATCCCAATGTCTTTTTAAGGTTCAAGCCCTCGGCGTGGCTTTCGCGAATCATGATTTCTTGGTACGAATAGGCTTTAAGAAACTTGATTACCATTATATTAAGTGAAGGCTCACGTATTCAATGTGCAAAACAGGGGAATTGTCGCGACTGCTAGTGTACGTGTCCTTGTGAATTCGCGTGTGAGGCTTTATGGAAGTCTCATCAGCCACTCCATTAGGCGGTAGTCACAGATTATAATGCGCTGTTGGCTTGTCGAACTCTTCTTGGGATCGCTGAAGCTGGTGAGATGCGAATGCTGATAGTTTGGAAGGAAGAAAATCACTGATTGATAATCTTCATATGTAGGCTTCTTTCCCGGGCTTGTTCTGGCGCTCAGCTACTGGTGTACGTTGAAACCTTTGGAGTTTGTTTGGTTGCGAATTGAAACTTTGATAATGGATTGAGACTTTTGTATGTTGGAACATCGCCTCATCCCACCCACTTTTCAAAACCTTTTTTGTAGATTCACCAATAGAACTCACGAATCGAATTTCAGTCATCTACATCACCAATGGAATCGTCAGTTTGTTGGCCGGGTTGTTTGCAGGTCTTATCTTTATGCTTGACGCTCCAGATTCACCAGCATGGCGTTGGCTCTTCGTAAGCATCACATCCCCCTTTGTCTGCCCTGCTTTGTTTTTTCGTCATTGTCAACAGAATCACTCACTTTCCAACTATTTAAATTATAGTTGATTGAAGGAGCTCCATCGATCATTCTTGGCATCTTTGTGATTGTCTTGTTCCCAGATGGTCCTGATGTCGCTCCTTGGCTCAGTACACGAGGAAAACATATTGCAATCAACAGGCTCAAACTCGTCGATCCTGCTGCGAGGCATGGACGCCACTTTGTATGGAAGGATGCTGTACCTGTATACGCTCAGTTCGAGACATGGTTACATATTCTCGCTCTCGTGTTCTCTTTCATGCCTGTGTATGCAAGTTCACGGTGATTTTGTCGCAAGGATCTGATCTAACCTCTTTGAAACATCCCATGCAGGATGGCCATGAAGTTATTCCTGCCTTCCATTTTGGCTTCTACTTTCACGGGCAGCAATGTGCAATTTGCAAGCATGGGACCTGCATTGGCAAACATTGTCTTCATTATTATTGGCTCGGTTTTGGCTACCAAACTCGACGATAGATCTTCAGTTCATATTGTTTGCAACTTGATTGGAGCTTTTGGGTATATTACGCTTGCATTCTCTCGAAATGGAGCACTCTCCTATGGTATAATTAGTCAAGGGAGTTTTAGGTTCGGGGCATTTATGAACTGACCTTGATTTGTCATTTCAGGTATACTGTTTGTCATTTCGATGGCATACCCAGCTCTCATTATTGGGTATGGATGGATGGCCTCCATCCAGCAAACTGCTACTGCCCGTGGAGCGATCCTTGCCCTTGCAGCTGGCAGTACAAATATAGCAGGCGTGGTCGGAAGTCAAATTTATCGTCCATCGGTAAGAGACCAACGGTTTTGGTATATCTTTGAAATGATGTTTTCAAAGTTGTCCGGATTCACTGTTCATTAATTTTCCTCACTTTTTCTTCTGAATAGGATGCGCCTAGCTACACAAAAGGACACTTGATGGTGGCTGGTGGTCTTTGTGCTTCAGCATTGTGTGTGCTGATTGTTCGAATCAGCTACACCGTCAGGAATGGAATGGCTAAGGCGAGGGCAGCCGAAAAGACATCTCGTGGGGAGTCGCTTACTGATGCCGATAAATTCGCTTATCCTTACTGATATTGCTTTATCCCAATTCTTTGCTGTGTGATTTCGGTCTTTGTTGTAGAATTTCATGTATCTCAAAACGAATACAAGTTTTCCACCTCTTATATGATCTAGTCGAGACTGCCAACCGTTGAGCTAAGGAAGAAAAATGACGCTTTTGAAACCCCTTAGCGATCATGAAACAAAGATAGCCGAACGTTAAGAAATTTTTGCGAGTTCAAACTACCGTAAGCGCTTCTTGATTTGATTATAACTGGTTTTTTTCTTGTTCCCAGTTTCAGAAACGCGTTCATTTTGTCTATGAAGCGAGTTGCGTCATTTGTGACAGTCAGAGAACAGTACAATTTACCGCTCAAAGAAAAGAATGACCGCGAACGTCCAATATATACGGGCTTTGTTGGGACGTGACCACTAATAGGATATCTCAGGATATCTCGAATTTAAGTGATCTGATCCGTTTGTCTAGTGGCCATACATCTGTGATGATGAGGGTTTAAAACCTACTAGTAGTACTACGAAGCGTTTCCCAATGAATCTTCATCTATGGAATGGGATCGGAACTATGACTATCGCTCCCTCCTTTCCCTCCCTGGGGTTTCTCTTGAACCAGAGAACCAAGTCACCATTGCAAGACAACGTCGTCAGGATCTGTCCCTTCCAAGATGTCGTTGATTTTAAGAATTCCACGAACTTTTCAAGCCATCGCCAACTATTGCATCCTGACATCCGTTCCTGGAGACATCAAGAACTCGTGTTTCCTCCAATATGTTTCGTGCCGTCACCCTGTTGGCGTCAGCCTACCTCGTGTCTCGTGTTGACGCACTATATGATCAAGCAATAGTGTCAACTGTCTGTGGTACTGGGTCTACTGGTTATCTGGGTAAGGGAACGTGGGAAAGAAGCATTCGTTTCCCAAAAAGTTAGCATCGTAGACTATTCTAACTGTGAAAATCCGTGTCTTTATCTTAATTTAGATGGTGCGTGTTCATCGGCTGCTTTCTCAGTAGGTTGGGGAGTGTCTGTTGATGCGATGGACGACACTGTGCTCTGGATTTCAGACAGTGGCAACAACGTAATCCGGAAAATCGACACTGTGGCTGGTAGTGTTTCTACAATTATGGGAACTTGCGGGCAAACTGTTCCAGCCAACGGAGTTGGCGCCGCGGCTCACTTCAACCAACCTTATGGTTTGCGGTTCGATGGTGCTGGAAATATGATTTTTATGGACGAGGTTTGTTGCTATTTTGATTGCTTTTGTTATTTTCTCGACTCGTTATCAACAGGCCACGATGACTGATACGCCCCTTTTGTTGCATCTCAGGCATCGAATATGGTTCGAAAGTGGACCAGAAGCACGAATACTGTCTCAACCTATGCTGGTCAACTTGCTGTTGGTGAAGTTGATGCTACAGGAACAGCAGCAAAGTTCAATTCACCAATCTATGCTGCTTATGAGACAAGTACTGGCAGCTTTTACGTTTCTGACAATGCTGGTCAGACCATTCGAAAAATTACTTCTTCACGTTAGTAACATTTGGATTTGGATTGTAAAGATGTTGGACTTAGAGTTGACCAATTTTTTCATCACATTCGGTAGAGGTGGTGACTACTATCTCTGGTAGCTCTGGTGCTAATGGCTACGTAAATGGACCAAGTAAGTCATTGACACTTTTGACGATTCTATATGTGTATAGTTTTGATATCATACTGACACTCTCCTTTCCTTACATTCATCACCAGTTGGAAGTGCTCGATTCTTCTACCCAGCTGGTCTTGTTCTCGATCCTACAGGCCGATACCTCTACGTTGCAGACTCTGGCAACAGTTGCATTAGAAGAATTGATCTTATCGGTAACACCGTCAGTACATATGCTGGCAACCAAGGATCAGGATCTCCCGTGTATGCTTGTGCCAACGGTAACAAAGATACCGCCGCAGCGTTTCAATGGCCTAGCGGACTTGCTATTGATGCAGCAGGAAACCTGTTTGTTGCTGATGCATACTGTAACAATATCCGAATTATTTGGACCAATGTGAGTTGAAGGAAGGCAATCATTCACAGTGGCTCAATGCTCATGAACTTCCATTTTTTGATGTCTTTTCACAAGGAACTGTCGAAGTCATTGCCGGACCACTTACAAGCTCTGCTTCGGGACATGCCAATGCTAACGGTACTTTGGCAACTTTCGTCCAACCTGCGGATATTTCGTTTACTTCTGACCACTCAAAGTTGTATGTTCTCGAGACTTCTATGGTTCGGGTGATTGGTGAGGTTTTTCTTCTCAAGCTCAGTGTTTCGAATGTATCTCTTTGTTCATCAAAATTCTGATGTTGCTTTTGACTTGATTAGCGCTTGCTGCCTCTCCAGCCCCATCTCCCATCGTGGCATCCTCAGCCCCGAGCATGGCTCCATCCTCAACTCCGGAGCCTACACCTAATCCAAGTGGTGGTGTCGATAATCGAACTGCTGGGATCATTTCTGGAAGTGTTCTTGGTGCAGCATTGCTTTCTGGAGTTTCTGCTGCCGCAATCTTCTTTGGCAAGAGACAAAGGCAACAAAAAGAAGCTGAAGAGAAGGATGCAGAAGAAAAGTAACCAGCAATCGCAGCAATCTATGAAAGCCCAGAACGGACGGTGAAGAAAGGAATCAGAGTTGCAAATAAGAACAACCACGTGTGATTATAAATGGGACAAAATTTGAAAACAACATTTTGAACATCTGTTGACTCGCTGATTCACGCTTTTATGCTGCATGTTCGTGTTTCCTTGTGAGCCAGTGCTTCAGTATTGTCTGTTGGCAGAATCAGCTACCACAGGAATGGGATGTCTAAAACAATGTTGCTACTAATGACAATCACAGAGGATTAACGACTGTTTTAGTCAGAAACAACTTTCTACAAGGTGCTTTCTCAGCAGCTTTTCTTGCAATGAGATTTCAGTATTGATTGATCGTGGTTTCATGTATGATCAAAACCAAGGTTGCCACCTCTTATTTGAGATCCAGTTGTTTGAGACTGCCAATCGTTGAGAAATGATAACTCTTTAAGATACCGTTTGCTCAACCACAGCTGTCGTTCCGGGGACTACCTCGTCTCCGAGAAAATCACACACGGACGCAAAGACAGAATTCAACGCCAAGTTCGAACGAAACGGGTTCTAAAGAATTGGGATCATTGTAGTGCTTTAAAACATGGTTCTTGGTCAAATTACGTCGGAGGACTCGAGCTGTGGACAAATCAAAAACTTTGTTGTTGGTTGGCGACACAAGAATTTTCTGACTGAAAGCGTTTGCTTTAAGTGAGGAAGGCCTTGACAGTAGGTATAACTCGAGTTGGAGATTTGAAGCCTCCTTCTACCGTGGACATTGCTGGTATGTTGGATGTTTCCTAGCTGATTTGTAGTTTCAAGGAAATTTCATTTCTCCCTTTGATGTTTTTGTTGGAGCTCGGAGGAAGAAATGACTGTTAGTAACGTCTTTCCGGTATGGTTCGAATGAACGTCTCTAAAAGCAATCTGTATAGGTCACTCGAAAGATTGATTTGTTGTATCTATTTCCTCTTGCATTGGCAATGAAATTTGTGAGGTTCTTGATCAGATCAACTTTGGACAAGCTAAATCGTATGAATTGAATCCAAATACTCGAATTGGGAGGATGGTGCGAGATCTGAGAATGGCTCCTGGTGTAAGTGGCTGTCAAGTTGTTCTCTAGGTTCTTACGTCTCCAACACCAATTTAGGATTTCAATAATTCGAATTCCCCTTGCTATCTGGTTTTGCTGATTATTGAACCGCTCTCCAATGACTTCCTTATGCAGTTCAAGCCGCGCCTCTTGGCGGTACGAAGTATATGCCTTGTAAAAAGTTGGTTGGACTGTGTGATTTCTTCCTTAGAATCGATTGTGTCGATTTTTTGTGCACCGGTCACCCCAATATATTGAATTCGAATATTCTTTGCGGTGCATTTATTGCTCAGTGTCTTGGGCTACAGTACAAGTTTGAAGTTCGGTGTTCCGTCGAGATGAACTTGCAAACGAGGTTAATAGACTAAAACACCACAGAAGACGATGTCACCACAGTCTTTTACAGCTTACACGAAGATGTAAACAGTTTCAAAGCTATGGGGTTCAAGTGAAGGGCACAAAATGCCGGAAGGGGCAACTAGCTCGTGTTTTGGATTGAGGCCCAGCACAGCATATCCAAACATAGAAGCTCTATAGAGGAAACGGGATAAAAACGTTCCACCTGTGGTTCTAAACAATAAAAGACTTGCTTTCTACGTGAAAAGTCGAGCTTGGGAGTTTCAAACTAGGTAAAGTTGTGTAGCAATACCAGCCACAGAACTTCCAACTCGGAACACTAAATGTTGAAGATGTAGAAAGTTCTGTCTCCGATCTTGTCAGATTTTTAGCCGTTTATTGTTTGCAGCAGTCAGATGCGAGATATTCCAAAAACTTGACGTTTGATCGCCAAACGCCGAAGCTGAAACAAAGTTGTAGATACCTAAATAACATTATGCTACAGTATAAAAGCAGCAATCTTATTTCCCGGGCAGTTCGTTCTGTTCTCAAAACCGTTAACCCGAAAAAACTGCATCAAACGCAAAAATAGCAATTCTCACAGATTTTCAACAAGCTACCTACAAAAATGAGCCAGCCACCTACTACTGAAGTCCGTGCCGGGTAAGATGCAGTTCTCATTCGACCACATTGCTTGTAAACGTTGTGCCCCCTCAATCGCTGAAGAAACTAACATGTTGGCAACATCCACACAGACATGAATTTGTTGTTGCTAATCTCGAGGTACGAACAGCTCGCATCCTCTCTGGTGTTTGAGATGCGCAGAAGCTCGACGCCTCGTTGTCGAAACAATATCATCAGCATTGCCCAGCTCATTGCCCCCATTCTTACACATTGACTCTCTCGTCTGAAGGCCTACCTCAAAAAGGAGATCCCTGAGCTCGCGTTGCCGTTACAAGTCAGGCAATTCGGTATCGGCCAGGCAAGTTTCTCCCAACTCTGCTCTTTTCGACCATCATCAATCCTCTCGTTGACGTCACACTTCGCAAACCTGATTCTGGACGAGAGATTCTACTTGGAACTGATTCAAACCTCCCTCCATTAGAGCAACCCGACCTTCATGCTCACATCTGCCAACGGTGCTAAATACGTTATGCGCAAGAAGCCTCCAGGTGCTCTGATTTCAAAGTCAGCTCACCAAGTAGATCGAGAATACCGTGTCATCAAAGCATTAAAGGAAAACACGAGCCTACCTATGCCACAAGCTGTCTGCTATTGTAGTGATACAAAGGTCGTTGGAACCGAGGTATGAAATGACATTTCGTTCGCCTGGTTTTGCAGCTCTTTTGAGACGTTTGCCTAGAGTTTGGAAACTCAATGCGCTTTCTGTTAATAGTTTTACGTCATGGTTTTCTGTGAAGGCAGAGTCATTGCCGACAACATGCTCTTGTCTCTTCCAAAATCTGAACGCCGATTGTACTGGAAGGCTATCATGGATACTCTTGCTGCCTTCCACAAAGTAGATCATCACGCAGTCGGTCTTGGTGATTACGGAAAAAGTGCGTCTTGTCAATCTTTTCCTCGGTTTCAATTACATTGCATTCTGACTGTTGTTTACATTTAGGTGGTGGATACTACACCAGACAAATCACCAACTTTTTCCGTCTGAGCGAAGACCAAGCTAAAGTCACCGATAAAGCCGGCAAGGCTGTCGGTCACCTACCTGGATTCGAAGACATGAGAGCCTGGTTCAAAAAGAATATTGTCAAGGATGAGGTTTCGCTCTTCCACGGTAAGCTGAGCTTTTCATTGTGTTCCATCTCCTTTTTTGTTATGTCTATAATTCCTTCTTATGCTCTTTTTGTTTATAGGTGATTACAAACCAGATGTGCGTAAAGAGCTCCTGCTACCCTCGTTCTTACAATGCGTTTACTAAATATTGACTCTCTACAGAACTTGATTATGCACCCCACGAAACCAATAGTACTTGCCATTCTGGATTGGGAGTGAGTGGCATTTGCGAAGGGATTCATTGATTGCTTTTTGCTTAAAATCTAATTCTCGCTGCAAACATTCTAGATTGAGTACAGTTGGACACCCTCTAGCAGATTTAGCGCATCTGTTACTCCCCTTCTACACATCTGAAATGCCATCTTCGTACGATGGCAAGGCTGAAACCACCACAAAACTCGACATTGACCCTCCAGTCGAGGAATTAATCAAGATGTACTGCGTTGCCGCAAACCGTCCATATCCTATACCAGGTGATTCAAGATAGATTGTTGCGTTTACCTGACGTGTTGACGAAACCCTTCATGAATTGTCAATACGAGATACCACTTTCACGGGAGCAAAGGTTAACGGTTTCCTGTAATTTTATGTAGGCTGGAACTTTTGTGTTGCATTTGCTATATTCCGAATGGCTGTCATCATGCAAGGGATTGCAGGTCGTTATGCCTTGGGTCAAGGTATATTCATGTGGAAATGTTTCGACAAATGTGCTTGTTTTTGCCACTAAACTGACATTGCTTCTTCCTTGAATTTCTAGCCTCAAACCCTGCTGCTCAAGCTATTGGCGCTAGAGTTCCCCAATATACTCAATTCGCTTTGAGACTGATTGAATCTGCTCCCAAGCTCTAAGTCTCTTATAATGCTGTGGTCTCTCTAGGTGTCTCGTTAGAAATCAATAAATCTCGTTTGCAACATCATTTTCACAGAATGAGATTGTTTGCGACAACAATACGTGTTCAAATTCAGAAATCCTTCATTGAGGTTTATTGGGAATAAAGTGAGATGTCAGCAACACGAGCTTGTAAGAAAGATCTAAATTGGAGATATGTTAACAACCACCCCATACGGTAAGGAGAGGATGCAAGCGTCACATACCCACAGGTTTGCAGCATCCATAGATGCCATAAAGTGTATGCAAAAAGCAGTGGCAACAACTGCCAATCGATGTTTCTAACCACCTTGAAATGCAAACGTCAGCTACGAACACGAATCATCATTGAAATGAAACGTATCAAACCAACAGATTTCCTCTTCGGGCGTCCAGTCTCAATCCGAAAAGTAGGATTAGCGACTTGGAGATGTTTGGTGGTGACGCAAACGAGCAATGAGGAGCGATCTGGAGATGGACGTACCTGGAACTATTTTCTCAACCACGAATGCCTTCTCTGGCTCCACTTTTAGCTATTTTCTGGGCGTCAGCACCACCTTTGTTGAAGTCTGAAAAATCGCCAGAGAGTTACAATTACATTTCGAACACGCGAGTGATCCTGGAAAGCCACAGGCCTATGCTCCGAGCGGGTCATTGACGGACTCAGCAGAATGTAAGCAAATTGAAGCCACCCAGGAACACAGTCTCTTGCAACCGTCACATTTCGCAACAACATCCTCATGGGTTGTTTTCGACGACGACGACACATATTCACCATGGCATATACAAATTCTTGATTGAGGTTTATTGGGAAAAGTCCGCAAATAAAAATACACAGCACATCTTAAGGGGAACCCACACAGGCCAACATTTTACAAAGGATATACAAACGTATCTGCATCACTAGGTTTCTCACCCATCAACTTCTTTTGTTCAATCCTTGCCTTGATATGACTGTTCTTGACCATATAAATGATTCGTAGCGTGAGCACGACCAATGCCGAGACACACAGGGCACCAGCAACAATGAGGTGAGCATTGGTGTACCTTGGCGCGTCCTGAAAGGAGAATGGCATTCATACATGGACAACAAAGACCAGAAAACACGAAATTGCTAGAAATCTTACCTTCGCTCGATACAGTTGACTGCCAAGAATACCCGCCACATTGCTACCAGATGCAGCGAGAGCGAGAACGGCTAGAGAGAACAGGCTAGTATTAGCTTTGAGAGGAGTGGCACGTCGGTGTCAACTCCACCTGCACGAGCTGTGGGTGTCACTTGTACCATTGACATCCATGCGAACCCCAATGTTAATGCAGGATGATTCAAAGGGGCCAAGAAGAGCATTCCTATTACCCTTTCTCGTTAGTGCATTGCCCCTCAAACTTTTCTATACACTTGCCATAAGATAGAGTGGCTGACTGAGAGAAGGCAAGTACCACATATCCGACAGCACCGGCCAAATTTCCAACAATGTGGACAATTGAACGGTCGTCGACCCTGTATACAATCCAAGATACGATAATAACTGCGACTACTCCAAAGGCGTGTGGAGGTATCGTGGCGTATTGAATGCTCGCACCCGTGAACCCCACCTGGGCTAAGAGAGTCGGCATAAAAAACTTCATTGTAACACTAATCACCAAAAGCCATGTTTACCAAGAGGCAGTGATTTTGCAACATGAAGGAATGATGACTATAAGATAGCTTACGCTGGGAGCAACGACAGCAAAAGTGCAGCAATGTGAAGCCAGGTTTCAAGTTTGGTGTAAACAGGCAATGCATCCTTCCAAACAAAATCACGTCCTTTTCGCGAAGCAGGATCAGCAAGCTTGAGCCTCTCGATGGCAATCCTACGTCCTCTAGGTGTAAGGAATGTAGCTACTTCTGGACCATCGGGGAACAAAATGATGCAAAAGATTCCGAGTATAATCGACGGAGCTCCTTCGATCAACTATGCATAGAGTGCGTTATCGTGAGCAATGATATAAATACAAAGTACACTCGGGATTGACGCTTACAAAGAGCCATCGCCATGCAGGAGATGTTGGGGAGTCCAGATAAAACACCAGACCAGCTGTGATGGCTGATAGGAAACTTACGATGGAACCAGCAATGTGTAATGTCGCTACACGGTTCAAGAGTTCTCTTGGAGAATCTAATGAAATAGAAATCGAAAGACCCGTTAGCAAGATCCTGCAGCCGTTGCGACAGTTTTGACCGCTTACACCAGTAGCTAAACGCCAACATCAGACCTAAGACACGACAATGTGAGTGCGAATACGAGAAAGCAGCTTTCTGCATTGGAGCTCACCAGGAGTCAAGCCCGCTTCAGAGATTCCCAAAAATACACGGCAAATAAGCAATCCTGGAAAATCTGTTACAACAGACTGGGTACATACGTTAGACATCTACCTATTGAAAGCGAATCACAACCAAACCCCTTGCAACAGTACTTACAGTAACCGTGGCGCAAATACCCCACGTAATCATGATTCTCGACAACCAAATATGAGGTTTGAACTTCATCAGGAAGAAGTTGGATACAGGTTCGAGGAAGAGCAGCACTATATAATTGACAGAGCTAAGATTATTGAAATCCTATACATACGGAGATAAAACATCAGTTGGAGACCCAAAAGTTCGAAAGGTGAAACGTTAACAACAGTAAGGAAACGTTAGCAACAGTCAAGCAAGATATGCTTACACCAGACACCATTCCCAAATCCCTTTCCATACGTCCGAGGCCCGTCTGAGCATCAAGCGAGTATGCTCTCGCTTGCTGGAACCAATTTGGGATATGTTAACAATCACAATCACGGTTTACGAGAAGATGCAAGCATTTCTCGATTCAGAAACCGCATCACTTACTCCCAGATTACCGGCATCCATGGAAGCCATAAAATGTATAGCCAAAACGAGTGGCAACAAGTACCAATCGATTTTTTTAATTACCTGGAAATGCAAAGGTCAAATACAAACACGACGCGTTTTTGCAATAAAAGATATCAAACGAACAGCAATTTCTTCCTCTGGCGTCCAGTCTGAATAGGACAAAGTATGGTCAGTGAGGTTGAGATGTTTGGTGGTGACGCAGATAAACAGTAAAGCGACTTAGGAAATGGAACGTACCCGGAACTATTTCCTCAACTATTAATGTCTCCTTTGGCCCCAATTTTGCCATTGCGCTGGGCTTCAGCACGACTTTTGTTGAAACTTTTCGACCACTCCCACCTCCATAGAATTACAACTTGTCCACTCGGAGCCTCGTGGCCAGAACACACAGGAGAACCTTTCGGAAAGAATAGCGCTGCATTCGGTGTTCAGCCAGCCTCTTTATCGACGGTCTGAGCAGGAAGAAAACGCGCAAGTTCTTCAATCCAAAAACTTGTTGCCGTTACGCGTGAAATACCCATATTTTTCCGCTTCCATCGTTTTGACAGTTCAAGGCCAGAGAAAATAATATGATTTGAAATGAATCTATTGGTGAGAGAGGTGGTCTGATGATAGTAGTTCCCATCCAAACGTGTGGTTTATTATATGGCAGAGAAGAGATGAAGACATTCTGAGATACAAGAACGTAAGCGACTGAAGCGACGGAGCAATCGTTCCTCAAACGGCAGTAGTACAGCAGAGATCTGAGGGTGGTGACGATTAGCACCAAACGCTCGGCCTTTTCAAAAGCGTGTTCCCTTCTCTACAGAAACCACACAGATGCACACACAAGGTAATCTTCTTCCTCGCGCCTTGATATCCGGTTCCAGTGACGATCAGAGTCGAAGAGTTTGGAGCGAGCGGACAACATTTCCAAGCAGATGCTATTTGGATGCACCGTCCCGATTTTCTAACATGGAAGCATGAGAATCAAGTATGACAATTAAAACGACGTGTATGAATGGCGACAGATTGCCCTTTGAGGCTTCCTTGGCAAATTCTTGGAGGTACTGAATGTTGATGTCCGAGATTTAACAAGGTTCTAAATAGCAAGGTTACGCGTCAAATAAAGAATTAAACACTTGAACAATGGATTCGCCTCGTATATCACTCAAGTAAAACACCTCAGTTCGCATCTCGCGCATAACCACTCATTATCTCATTCACCTCGACTTCACAGCTACAACTTACCAAAAAGACCATACATAGACCAACGTATATCGAACCACTAATGAGGTCGATACAGTCCAGGATCCTTCTTGTTGCAGCTTGTCTCCTCCAGGTTGACCTCTCACTTTCATTTTACCTACCGGGGGTAGCGCCTCGTAACTATGCCTCTGCCGACCCAGTTTCCCTCTATGTAAATGCTCTGTCTTCATCAGAGACCTTGCTACCCTACGACTTTTATCACCCCAGACTCCATTTTTGTCGTCCAGATGAAATCAAGAGTCAACCTGAAAGTCTGGGATCCATTCTCTTTGGTGACAGATTAGTCAATTCTAGATTCGAGGTATCAATATAATTTCGCTGGACATCGTTTCCTTTGTCGGTGGAGGCCCCAACTCAACTGACACCTCTCGTGTTTGTACAGCTGGCAATGTTGAAGAATGCCACCTGCAAATCATTATGTGACAAGATATCTGTCCCAAAGGATGACGCTGGCTTTATTAATGATCGGTACTTTTTGATTCTATTATGTTATCTTCAACACTCGCCAACTCACACTCTAACAATAGTATTCGAGAAGAATATACAATGAGTTGGTTTGTTGACGGACTACCTGCCGCTCAAATCAAAATTGACGACAAGACTGCCACTCAATTCTATCAAATCGGCTTCAAAATGGGCAGGATCAACCCTACAGATCCAGTAACTACGACTTGGGGCTGTTTCGCACAAAACCCTAAATCTCACACTTCGCACTTGATAGGCAAACCCAAAATTATACTTGCACAATCACTATGATATCTTCGTATACTACCACCAACAGGACAAGACCGAAGGTGATGCGGCATACCGTATCGTTGGCCTAGTAGTAGAACCCTATAGTGTCGCTGAGGGCAAAGAAAACCAAAACTGTCACTATCTCGGATACACTGAAGAGAAGATGCTTCATTTGAGTGATACAAAGGATACAAATGTCCATTATACTTACAACACTTACTGGATTGTAAGCTTTTTATTGTTGATCTTTGATCGGGGTTTCAAAAAAGGCCTGAGCCTCAATTAAACACGCTACTGTAAATCAATGTAGGCATCCAAGACTACTTGGGGTACTCGATGGGACATGTACTTGTATGTCACTGATCCTCAGATCCACTGGTTTAGGTATGCTGCGACTTCGAAAGTCTTGTTTTTTGCCATTCATTACTGACACATCCCAACTAGCATCATCAACTCAATCGTCATTGTATTAATGTTATCGGGCATGATTGCCATGATTCTCTTACGAGCTCTACACAAGGATATCGCTCGATACAACTCATTGGCAGATGAAGATGGTGGACAGGAGGACTTTGGTTGGAAGTTGGTTCACGCTGACGTGTTTAGGCCACCATACCAAAGAATGCTCTTGGCCGTACTAGTAGGCAATGGTTCTCAATTGTTGTGTATGACTGCAGTGACGCTAGGTAATCGTCGATGGATATGCAGACGCTACATCGGTTCTTTTACCCTTGTCAACCTCTCTCACTCATTCTGACACTTTTATTAGTCTTTGCTGTTTTGGGCTTCTTGTCACCTTCAAGCCGAGGATCACTCACCACAGTCATGCTCATCTTCTACGTCACCTTTGGATCAGCAGCTGGTTATGTCTCTGCCCGTGTCTACAAAATGTTGGGTGGTGAAGCATGGAGGCTCCTAGTAGTCCTAACAGCCTTTCTAGTCCCAGGAGTAATCTTTGCACTCTTCTTAACTCTCAACTTCTTCCTGTGGGGTGCACAATCATCTTCAGCTGTACCCTTTGGAACTATGTTTGCATTGATTGTCATGTGGTTTTTGGTGTCTGCACCATTAACCTTTGTCGGTGCCTTCTTTGGATTCCGTCATCCAATTATTGACTTCCCTTGCAAAACGAATCAAATTCCACGACAAATCCCACCTCAGCCTCTTTATCTTAATCGATGGGTTGCAGCCTTGATTGGTGGTATATTGCCATTCGGTGCTATATTTATTGAACTCTTCTTCATCATGTATTCGTTCTGGTTCCACCGAATCTATTATGTCTTTGGTGAGTTGAAGGGTGTGTTGTAGTGAACCATCTTGTCGAATCTGAGTGTTTTTTTCTGCTATTCACTAGGTTTCCTGGCTCTTGTGTTCTTGATCCTGATTATAACTTGCAGTGAAGTCTCTATTCTGATGTGTTACTTCCATCTTTGTTCAGAGGTAGGAGTTTTGGTATTGGGTTGCTCTCAATATTGTATGACCTCACTGCTTTTTTTTGTTCAAATTAGGACTATTACTGGCAATGGCGAGCATTCCTAACAGCAGGAATGTCGGGAGGATACATTTTCATGTACAGGTACGATGTGTGATGAAATGACTCGAAAAGGCTCTCTTTCGCATTGTTGACTGATGCAACTGTTTCAACATTCTAGTATTGTCTACTTTGTCCGAAATCTCAAGGTGGCGGATACTCCTTCAGGGGTCCTCTACTTTGGGTAAGATTTTTCTACAGCACTCAATTCTTTTTTTGTTGTACTTCTCACTGTTCACTACTCACAACCACTTCCTCTGCAACAGATGGTCATTAATCATGTCGGGCGGCTTTGTTATCATGACAGGAACAGTGGGATATCTAGCTTGCTTATACTTTACACGAAAGGTACACCACCGCTACGTGTTTGACAATTTGCTTTACATTTCGCTGACCTTTGTTTTTCATAGATCTTTGGTTCAATCAAGGTGGACTAAACCCCCACGCTTGCAGTAATTGAAAAAAAAAACTAGATTAAGTCACAATATATCGTTACATTCCCGTCAAGTCAACGCATAAGGGGTCTTAAAACTTTTTGCTATTCTATGAAACACTGCTACAATATGCTATACAAAAATTTGGAGGGAAGAGCGTGACTTATACGTTCATGGTATGGCCACACTAGAGGAGTGAATATCAGTGAGTCGTTGAGTGTATGTCAAGCAAACGCAACCTCGTACCTTGTCGCATGTAACATTCCTTCCAGATGCCTCCTTCTCGACCTTGTGAAGAGCAGCGACAAGTGCCGGATTGCCTTGGTTTTCAATGGCTTTTGCGACTGCTGGATATCTATAGATAAAATGTTGAATGCATTATTAGCGAGGCTCCAACAACACTACAATAGTGCCAAACGTACAAGTCAGCTTGCTTTGATTCGATTTGTTGTTGAGCGTTTATAGCAGCTGCATCTAACGACATTGATGTGGCCTTCAATTGTGGAGACTTGTTGATGGCCTCGCGGAATACTGATGGGTGTGTATCCATATTGTTGTTGAAGGACGAGTTGTAATAGTTCTGCTGTTATAGTAGTGAGTGGGTATAGTTCTAGCAAGGTATCTCTTCCTTGTTGGGTTGTTCTTAACAGTCCGAGAAGTAGTGGTGCGTTTGTATTACTATGAGTCAAAAACACACATCAATCCTAAAGTGACTCGCTGAACGCCGGGCTGAACGTGTTCCAAACATGTCCCGACTATATCATTAATTGTTTACAATTTAGAATTTTATTTTACTATATACTATATAAAAATCACGTCGGCAGTTTAGGAATCACAACCCCTTCCCAGAACGTATGATTAAACACCGGCGGCATGCACCGCGTCTTGGCCCCCTGTCCAGCAATACGATAATACCTAGAATCACACGATATCCTATCCCACACAAACCCAACTTCCTGGCCCCGTGTCAATCGCGTCCATTCCCTTAAATGTTTCATGTTATAGGGACTGATAGTAAACAATCGTCCAACCTTATTACCATTCTTGATTGTATACAGCGATGGATGATATGGTGGTGGTTTGGTGGTTTCACGTTTGGCTATTATCGGGGTGTTGGCAACTGGACTCGGTATTGCAGCATTCATTCGTGGTTGAATGACATTGCTTCCTCGGGGCGGTACCTCTTCAGCAGGCTGCTGTAAAGGTCTACGTATCCTGGGTGACTGAAACCGTTCATCGATTTCAGGTTCTGCGTCTGGCACTGGCGGCAAGTTTGGATCAGTTTCGTGTAGTGATGGTTGTGCTACATCTCCTTTGCTAGCCAATTCCTTCATTTCTAGTGACTCATCAATGACGTAAAACATTCCACGGCGATTCAAGAGTAGTCGGTCCTGGCATACTTCTTTCTCATCTTGAGGGTCTTTACGATACCATGTGCCAGGTGATGTCTCTTCTAGTTGATATGCATACATTTTTTGTAGAACGGCGTATTTGCCGAGCGTGAGATGCTGTGACACTTCAAAGAAGCCAAATCCTAGTGGATCGTATCGTGCAGCTTCTGTGAGCCAGGCCACTACAATGTCACCTGGTATTAAATGTACAGGTCTAGTATCTATTATAGGAGGGCTCCAAGTTCGGCCGACTGGGCCAGGAGGTGGCGGCCTCCAAGTTCCCTAGATTGAATATGGAGAGTTAGATGTGCGAATCCGTAAGTGAACTTGGCCAAACCCTTCCTACCTGGAAGCGATGCAACACGAGCGCGGACGAATGACACGGCCCTTGTGCTTTCATTCCATAACACGTCGGATTAAACCCTGTTATAGGAAGCAAAAGCAGATTATCATGTTCATGAGCTTCATCACGCCCCACAAGCTGTGGAATAACCAAATGTTTATAATCCCTCCGAGGATCTCTAGAGCCCAAATCATGCGTATGCAAATATACAGAGTCAGTCCAAATAGCTGGACCTGTGAGTTCTTGCACTTCTAGCGAATCAGCGTGCAATAATTCTTGGAATGTCGAGTCGGCTATCCGTGTTAGAGACCTATTTACAACACGGGAGAGAAGTGGATGGTTTGGAATTGATGAGATTGTCCATTGAGTGAATTGGAGTCCTCTAGGTATTATGGATCTCCAGGATCCGTTTTCGTCAAAGGCGTCGATTTCGATACCGACAATGGCGGCTGCTTTCTGTCCGTCATTCCATACGTCGATGGGTTTAAGGCACTCAGTGTCGACGTCAGCGTACTAAAGTGGATTGAGGGTGAGCATAATCGTCCATTCGACGAGAAATAATAAAAGTTGAGTAAACGTCGACAAATTTGTCACGACCAACAAAACAGTTTCAAAGCATCACTCACCGTGCCACCATACTTGTGCAAAACAAGATACCTGAACAAGTCGGCTTTATAAACAGGTCTCGGGAGCCTAGCCCAAGTTTCTATAACATGTGGATAAAACTCGTATACGAAATCTTCCACCTCAGCATCCGTCCATAGCTTGTACACATGATTCGGATTCAGCACCTTCCAAGTAGCTACACGTTCAACAGTTAGCGGATCCAGATTCTCAGTCTTCCAAGTCTGGTGTATTATTTTCGGTATGCCTATTCCGTCGTATACTGGTGGTCGCCATGTTGAATTCCTAGTGTCTCCACGATGTTGACGAGACAATGGAGACGGTTCTACAATTAGGGCTGGACGTGGACGAGCGACAGGTACTGGGATCTCCTTGCCAGTTGTAGTGATGAGCGTTTTCGGTTTGGACGCTTTTCGGATCGATGAAGCTTGCCAGGTGATGAAAATGATCAAAGCCACGACAAGTAGAAGAATATAATCTCTCCGCCACCTTATCATAACGCCTTGTCCAGTGTAGCAAAGACGTCCAGCCTGGATAAAACAAAAATTGGCGAGTTAGAAACAGTTCTAAATTACAAAACAGCCCGTTCTGAGGCCTCAAGTGCAAGTAAATATCAAGCTCGTGCTTGCAACGATTCAAGAGACGCAGACTTACGTAAGCGGATTCTCTTCTGGGTCTGAAAATCTGAAATTTGCGATGGCGCTAGCGACGTACATGACAACGAGCAAACCTCTATCTTTCATTGAGTCCACGCGTAAATACACGTAAATCTACTCTACAAAAAGCCTGATATTTCATAATTGTGCTCCCGTCCTTCGCAGCGATTCGCCACGTTGATACCATCCAACCGTCAACATACAAGAGTCATGTCCTTGGACGAGAGCTTGCCGTACGCTATAGAAGCAGAGACTTCTCTGCCTGAAGATGAAATCATTGCAAGTCTTTTTCTGCTTTTCTATCTATTTGAAGCTTGTAAACTAACTCAAAATCAATCTCACTCATGTAGAATCTACGAAATCAATATGAAAAGGAGCTACCCAAAGTCACTGGCCAAACCAAATTCAACTATGCTTGGGGTCTAGTACGTTCTCGATCTCGAGGGGCTCAGGAAGAAGGTGTCAAAATGCTACATGGTAAATGATTGTGTGCAGCCACATATGAGATTCCCAGACCTTTTGTTGAGATCTTACAGTCGAAGCTAGTGGGCAGGTTAAAGATCTAACTGCTTTCTGCAATGCCTCGCCTTCCTGTCACTTGATTCAATATCTCCGTATCGTGCGAACGGTCAAACTCAGACTGATACCTTTCAACTATAGAAATCTATCGTGAGACACCATCTCGTAGACGTGAATGCTTATATTATCTTGCTTTGGGTCACTACAAACTTGGAAACTTTCGAGCAAGTCGTTGGTTGTCCTATTTTGCCAGCAAAAGCTCTCAAACTAATGGATTTTATCAAATAATAGGACGCAAGGCGATACAATGAAACCCTCTTATCAGCTGAACCTCATAATAAGCAAGCTCTGTCACTCAGCAAACTGATTGATGAACGTGTGAAGCAAGAAGGACTGGTTGGAATGGCGATTGTCGGCGGAATCGTTGGTAGGGAGTCGTTTTTCTAGGTTGATAAACTTTGGCCACTTAAATTAATGCAACTCTATTCCACAGGTGCTGTTGGTGTAATAACCGCGGGCATCATAGCAGCAACCCGTCGCTAGATATGGGGGAACGTATGAGTTGCCAGTTAAATTGTTGGTCGAGTGGTGGAGGTATTGAAAGCTTTTGTGTCAGAACTTTTGTATGTTGTTGCTTGTAGGTAGTCTTTGTTGCATGATATGATACAAATTATATTGAGAACAAGTGCTGTTAATGTTTCGTCTCGTTATCCTCTGATTCTTCGTCATCCTCTGAATAGGAGAAAAAAGTGAGTAAAGTCGCAAGCAGCTATATCGAGCATGATTTGAACATACCTTCTTCATCCTCTTCTTCATCGTCATCCTCTTCTTCTTCATCGTCGTCCTCCTCTTCATCATCCTCGTCTTCATCCTCGCTCTCCTCTGACGATGAGGAAGCTTGTTCATCATAGAATGCATCAAGTGACAGGGCGCTGGGCTGCACCTTCCTTGATTTTCGAAAGTCTTTCTCGGGGGATCCAACGACTCTATCGCGACTCCATCCTTCGTCCTACGGAAAAACACAGTATAAGAAAAAATGCGTGCATATGTCGACCTTCACGTCACGGTGGGAGAGACGTACCACTACATCTCGAACGGAAGGATCTGGCTGTACAGTTGGCCACGGTGGCAAATTCGTGTATTCTTTAGCTGCCACACCCAACGAATGAGACAGAGTGCCAATGGTAAACCGTTCATTGTCTGGACACCAAAAAATTAGTATGAAGGACATGTCATGCGGACATGTAAGTCACAAAATGCACGACTCACTCTGATACGGCGACTCCGAAACAGGATGCCCTTTAGCTCCCAAAACAACCTCCACAACATTCTTCCCAATCTCTGAATCAGCAGGCAAATCACATACTAGAGCCTTCAAGAAACGAGCTCGATCTCGTACATCAAATGATACATCAAATCGAGCCAATTCCAATACATAATTCAGTAATAGCTTCACTACTTCATCCGTTTTGGCAGTACATGTTAATTTAGCTGCAAGATTCAATACTTGGAGTTTCACAGATTCGGATTCTGATGGGAATGATTTGGCGGCTTTGCGTAGAGTGTCTGGAGCTACTAGTGGTATTTGACTACAGTATTGTCCTACAAGCCAGAGTATAGAAGCGCGAGCAGCTGACGTTGAGATTAAATCCATTGCACGAGCTAGTTGTGTGATTGCTTGAGTACTTGATTCATGTGTGGGTCGTAATTGGAGTAGCCTCCTCGTTACTACCACAGCTTCAGATACAACATCCTCTAGTTTTGAAGTCTGGGAAATTAATATCCGTCCTGATCAAAACAAGCGATGTGAACAAATCCATCATACCGTTCTTGCTCGATATTAACGCCATCAATACAGCTAAACTCTCATCTGCCAATGACGGTATAGCAGCAGCAATCCTCCCCATAACTTGTATAGTCCTAACCACCAAATCCTTTTCAGGACTCCTGACATAATCTTTAAACTCTCTCATGATGGAACTGCTCGTTGCCTCATTAGCCAAGGATGCTAATACCTCCAGTTTGAGATTCCGTATAAAGACTGGATCAGAGGCGTATACAAAAAAAGTCTTAAAGAAGGGTCGAAAGAGGTCTGGGTGTGTATGACTTAGTGAGGCAATGTTGGACAGGATTACATATTTCTGTTCACGTTGAGCTACTCGTAGTATGCGAATGAGGGATTTGGATATGCGTGTCAGATCGGATCGTGGTGCTAATGCCATGTATGCCTGAGCAACCATCATCACGACCTTTATTTGGAGAGATGCGGTTAGCGATTAGCGCAAAAAGGTCATCTGTTCACAATAACTGATGATGATATCTCATACCGATGGATTTCGACTATTCGTTAGCGTCGCACAAGCACGTAAGAAAAGGGCATGGTCAGGATCTAATGGTTTCGATGCTTCCATATGTTTAGTGGTAGTCTTCTTGAGACTTTCATCCTCTTCATCATCACTGTAAAATCCACGATCCTTCTTTGCATTCGCAGCATTCGTGTCTGATGACGGCACCTAGTTCGATTGAACTAACTATCAGACACGGCACAAAGGAGTCGAAAAAGTAGACATACAACACCCTATACCTCTTCACGGTTTGGGTTCAAGAATTGCGTCCGACAATACCGAATCAAGACACCAATAACTTCAATCTGACCCCAATCGTCAGTATCAATGAGTAATCGACACAGTTTACGGAAATGTTTGTGAAGAAGATCTAGCCTTTCTGGGCAAACTTGATTAAAAGATGAAAGTACTGATCCCAGTACGACCGTTGAGCTATCAGTTAACAGCTGCGTGATGACTTCAACAAGTTGATCTTTTTGTGATGCGTCCAGACTAATTTGAGTGTCAACCTGGTGAGGATTCCATAACTGCCAACGGGGCTTTTTTTGCTTGCTTACCTGTAACATTTTGGTATTGCATTGGCAGCTGTCTTGCGCACGTATGGCGATAGATCAGTAAGAGCTTTCCGTAACGCCAGCATGATGATGGGGACAATCACAGGCACTGGGTAAAAAGTGTCAACGATCTCAACACAAGTAACATAAGCTCAAGCCTCTCGTTCAAATACCTCGTATACTTGACATGACACGTAACGCCATTGCCCTTATTAAAGGATTTCGATCTCCCAGATCTGGAAAGTATAACGTGAGCTTTACAATAGCAGAAAACAGAGCCATCATCACAGAGCATACCTTTCTGGAAGGTGTTGATAGACAATAGAGCTAAATCCGGCTCTTTATCAGCATATCTCAATAGATAAATATACACCAATTTGCGAACGTCAATGGATGATGCGGCTACATTCTTAACCACATCTGTGTTTATTGTTAGCAAACACGAGTCGGGCTTGAGTATGGAGCAAAAGCCCAACCTGGAAAGAACTCAGACACGTTCCGGCCTTTAGAAATCATCTTTCCATAAAAAAATGATGGTATCATTAGTTGGTGGGACTAGCTTTCATCACATCGTTCCTCAAATTGCCACTTACCGCGATTAATCTCTTAAGGCCCTCGATTTTCTCCTTATCGAACTAGGTAGAAAGCGAAGGAAGTTAATTGATATAGTCAATGAAAATGGGCCAATCGTTGAAAACACGTCGAGATCTGAATGCTGTTTGATTCTTACCTTGGAATCCAAACATTGCTTTATTTCAGAGACCTTGTCTTCGGAGTGGTCATAAGAGTAACCAGGAACTGCAGCTTCTTTTGATCGTTCTACTAGAGTCTGAGCGAATCTACCAGAGAAGCTGGCTGCCTTCGATATGTATCTGTCCATAACAACTTGACAAACTGTGAATTGTGCTGGGTTGTGAGGTCCAGGTCTGCCAGGCAGATTACACTAGACTTACATTCCAGGCTTATATTGATTTCGTTTGATTTTATATCGCTTTAAATGGGTTTCTGGGTAAAAGATCAGGAAGCTCGTGTGAAACTGGCTAACATTGAATTCGGCTTGGTTAGATCTGGCAAGAACGAGACCGGAACTGTCTAGGAACTGTTTTGTAACTGTGTAGGATTGTACAAACATCGGTGTGAATACAGTTTCGAGTTCCAGTCGAAGCTGGAACGAAAGGCTTGAACAGCGGACAAGGGAGAAAGATAGTTTCTGTCAACTAAATACCAAACCGAACATTGTTGGGGATTGTATGTGATGTAAGGACGTGATGGCAAGGTTGATCAATACGTCAGACGAAGACAACATAACAACGCAACAACCATTGGGTAGTCACTTGTCGAGCTGGACGAACGTTATTGGCGTCCATGAGGCTTTCCCATGCTTGCATCGATGAATCGATTCAACTCCATATTAATTACCACCATTCTCTATGACATAAACAGAATTGACCGTGAGCAACCGACGACGACTTACGAAAATTTGCTCGCAAGTCTTTCCGCCTTCGACGCGTAAGCAAAGCAAGCAATTAACGTGCTCGCCATGTTCCATAACCAATCCTATTAGAAATTCTGTGCAGGCTATTGGCAATGTTGTTTGCCCGTGTCGGCAGCAACTTCTTTTCGCTTTTCCCTTTCTCTCGCTCGATTCAGTTGAGAGGACCACCATACAAGCAAACCACTACCGCTGCTCTAGTAGTAAAAGGACAAGGAAGCTTCACACGTTAAGGCGTCGAGTAAAGGGTGGAGGCCTTCGTCATGATGGAAAGCATTTCGAGCACTTCTGCTCAAGAAAAGCAACAAACTCAGCAACAACTCCCTGTCCGGCAAGTTTTATGCTAGCTTCATACCAATCGACACACATCGCCTTCAGCTAACCTTGATCCATCTTGCAGTAAACTCTTGGAAGACCAAATCATCAGCTCCATCTTTTCGCATCGTAGTTCGGAAAACCCAGAAAACCTGTGGAAAATTATAACCAAGGCCAAAGAAGCACTACCTAACGGTGCCAGGCTCGAGAACCTATCGTGGAGAATGATGCATATGAACTTGAACAAGGAGAAGAAACTCCGTGTAGAGTCCGAACACATGTCGAAAAGAGATGCCTTCATGGACACTACACCCACGCAAACCACAATGGGTAATATAATCGACAGAGTGTTATTGCTATAAGCTTATACGGGCTACCTTCGAATCCGTCGCTCTAAAACAACCCTTTTGTCAAACTTGCTTTAGAACGTCAATTTGCTGACGCCAGAGTTGGAGCCAGAAGGGAAAGTGAAGTCTTTGAGAATGCAGAAATGTATATTAATCTTCCACCTGATGGCGATGAGGATCAGACTGATCAGGACATCAAGGTGTGTATGCTTGCTATACATTTGGGTGGGGTTTGAAAGGCTTGGGTGCTCTTTTTGTTCCCAAGGAGAATTTCTTGCTTCCCAAAAGAACTTTGGCAAAAATGAAGGCGGAATGAGCTCTCCTGTGATCATCATAGCATTGAGAGGTCATCCAGCTTCGTTTCTCTGCACACATCTGACATCTGTCACCCCTAGACTGAAAATCCGGACCTGCACCAATTTGCACATGTCAATCAATTCAACCCCATCAATTTCATGGCAATCGATCCAGTATATCATTTGAACATGTATAGCCCTGAACAGCAGCACCACCCTGCAGTCAATTCGGCAGACTGGATGAAGCACCTCATGACGATTGAGGGGTTTGATCCAAGCACAGCGTCTGGATCTATGCCTTCACACCGTCATAATACATCATCATATCCACAGCCGCCGCCACCACCTCCCATGCAAAATGTAGATAGCCCGTTCGCCAAACAGCCTGTCCCTGATACCCGTCCTATCATGTCTGCACTGTCTGCCTCGGCATTATCAGCGTCATTCAGACCCGAGTTTATGATGCAGCCTAATCCCCATATTCATTTGCAACCAATGCCCCAATATCATCTTCAACAGCAGCATCAGATGCAGATGGAGCATCAGCAACAACAACAGCCGGAATACTACCATCATCAACAACAGCAGCAGCAGCAACACCAACATCACCAAGGAGCTTCTGAATCTATAAATATATCACCATCCGTAGATCAAGTAGGTGGAATGGTAGGAACTGTATCCCCTGGCGACGTTTTATCGTCACCAATGAGGCCGAGACCATCGCCCTTTGTATCGACATTTGTATCTCAGATGCCAAGTGTTGGAACAGGCAATGAAACAGATGGAACAGGTGACGTTGGATCATCAGCCACGTCCTCACCTGAAGCTGTATCATCACCATCAGACGATGGTCGTGGCGTGTCTCCTGGAACATCCGCTACCACAAAACCTGTCGCAGTCCCTAAGCCTCGTAGTCAGGAAATGCGACAGTCGTTGCCGTCTAATATATCGAGATCTGTCTCGACACCATTGCCCCAACCTCCTGTTGGAGAAGATGTTGAAGACACTGCTAGTTTGAGCTGTACAAATTGTCACACAAGTGAGTTTTACGTGTAGACGGGGGTCTTTTAACATTTTATTAAACGGGTTTACTTTATTAGCCAATACTCCATTGTGGAGAAGGAATGCTCAAGGAGAACCATTATGTGTAAGTAGTTGGTCATCGTGCAAACACTAGAACTTGACAGCTTATATACCGTCTACCCACACTTTAGAATGCTTGTGGGCTATTCTACAAGTTACATGGAGTGGTACGACCTTTATCATTAAAAACAGATGTAATTCGAAAGAGAAACCGAGGCGGCAAGAAGGAATCGTCAGTCAATGATGAACCGTCAGGTCGAACGTCGACGAGACTGAGCAGTCGAGGAAGTGCATCATCTTGGGGATCATCGTCCGTGTCGTCCACACGCTCAGAGCGAGCCACGTCGGTTGGTCGTAGCTACTCAAGAGACCATTTGAGCTCATCTCCTCGAGAATCTGGTAGAAGCCGAGTCCAATCAGTCAACGAAACATCAGTCCACGCTCTAGCATCATCTTATGTTAATGACTCCAATAGTATGAGCGCTTCAGCACCTGATAGAAGCTCCATATTGTCAACCTCTGCTCCATCGACTGCTGCACATCCCTATGCCACTAGTCGACCACTCTCTCGTAAAGCGTCGTCAACGTCACTGAAGTCTGCCAACTCATCACGAGCTGTATACCCACCCACTCAGTATCCACCACCGATATCTACGTCTGTATCAGCCACTGATCTTCGATACATGCAACACGCACAATATCCTTCTAGTCCCGTTAGTAGCACGCCAGGAACACCGAGGGATCATTGGGCTAGCAGTAGTAATAATAATGCCAATCAACTGAGTTCATCTCAAAAGTCAACGAAACGAATGAGGAGGGATCCAGGCTCAGATGCAGAATATGAAGATTATCCATCACAGTCAACACCGACGTCGCCGGCATATCATCATGCTCCAATCGATTTGATGCCTACACCTACATCGGCAACACCAATACCAACTCATCACCAGCAGCAGATGTATAGTATTCCGGCCAACGACAGTTTCAGTAATAGTAGTAATAATAATAATAATGCTAACAACCTTGGTAATGGACAACAAATGCCGGAACCACAGCAACCTACATACACCACACCAGAATCATTACTGGCTGCATTACAGCAACTCATGGTCACGGCAACACCAGGAAAGAATGGTGCTCCGACAATACAGGGAGTAGATGTAGGTCAAGTGTACATGCAACTGCAACAGCTGGTTGAGATGCAAAGACATACTGGACACAATATAGAGCCAGTACCTGCTAGTGGTTCCAGCAGATCGGTCACACCTCAATCACCTAGCAGTACCGGAATGGCTAGTCCCTCGGCAACTCAACAACATGGACAGCCTCAAACTCCAAATAATAATAACTATAATAGTGCTAGTGGTGCATCATCAACGTCCAGGCCTCCAATGGCAATAATGAGAAAAACGTCACCTGGTGTCATGTACCAGTCAGCACCCGCCAACCAGTACTGGCCACATCAACAATACCACCAGCCACTGCTACCTGTAAGCATGGTTGGATCGTTTAGCGAGATGCAGCATATGATCTCCACCGACGCTCCGCAAGGAGTGTCCACTGAACAGTGGATTGATTATAGTGGGAATAGCAACCGTGACTTTTATGAATTTACAAATGGAGGACCGTCGTCGTATATGGGTTAATGAGGTTATATAAGAATGCAAGCCCCCTTTATTTGCCTTTTTTTCGCAATGTAATTTTTTCTGTTCAACTTTGGGATATAATAATATGTAGAAAAACAAGTCACACAACCCCATTTTGTCTTTCTGAACTATAATACTAGATTAAATATTGGTCGTTTTTTGAGCGAGTTGTTATATTCACAAGCAAAAAGGGACTCCGGTTTTTTTACAACACTATATACTTTTGGAGGCAATCATGACTTTTGGTGTGGGTTTCGCTCCTCCATCTGCCTTGTAGCAAGTACAGTACGACTCCCCACATCCCTCCTAGCCATGACGACTGATGTATCAGCATGCACACTTGCTGCACGGACACGAAGCTGCGGATGTTGTGGAGGCGGTTCATGTAACAATGCATCAGCAGCAACAGCTTGTTTGGCTTTAGATTCCTCCCGAACACGAGCCATACGTTCTTGATACACTTCACGGATACGGGCTGCCATGTCATCGTAATCTTGAATGATGGTTTCGAAATCACTGCGTTCTAGACAGTATAGCACACAATTTGATGTTGCACGGATGGTTGCTGTTCGAGGTATTTGGCCAAGGAGTGCGACTTCTCCAAAGAAGGAACCGTCTGCTAAAGAACCTACTGCTTTGCCTGCTACCACGATTTCGACGTGGCCAGAGAGGATAAAGTACATTTCATTTCCGACCTACGGTGCGGAGGAAAGCGAGTTACACACTGTGTGGATGAACAAAAAGCTTCAACATCTTCAGTATAGCTAGTACTTACACGACCCTGTTCGAATATGTGATCTCCCTTGATAAAGTAGGTGGCTTTCAGAGCATTGGCGATACGACCCAAGAAAAGTTCATCACGACCGTCTTGTTGGTGTCGTCTCAAGAAGGGCACCTTTTGAATCAAGTCACGACAGTTATGTATAGCAATTTCTTGTCTGAGTGGAGCATTTAATTCCATGATGATACCCAATTCGTCAAAGTACTAATTGAATGAATCAGAGATCAATGCTTATTTTTTTCAATCCACCAAGCAAGGGAAAAAGAAGAATACCTTTCCACGATACTTGAGCTCATAGTACTGCCTCACTTTAGTCTTGAGATGTTCCGTTAAGCGCTTGTACGTCATGTACTCATTAACTTCATCCATCTTTTGCTTGTACAAACGACCAGATGAGTCCATTCCAAACGAAAAGGATGAAATCACACCGACAAGTGCTGCATATAGTAATGCACCAATCAATACAGCTAATCCCGTAAACCATTGTTCAAGGACATCGGAAGGCTTGTATCCAGTAACAGGGAAGGTATTCGATAGTGCTTGGAAGAGCGACCATGTGTACTTTGTCAATATGCTTTGGCTCAACACGGTTTCTTGCAACGGTAGCCACGATTCTGCTCGATAATACGTAATCTTGCCGAATAAAAACACCATACAGGCGTGGGCGTGGAGGAAAATGACGAGTAAGAAGAGGAAGAAGAAGATGGCCATGAAAGCACCTCCAAATCCAAAGAACCGTTGGAATCGTTTGGAGCACATACGGTAGACGGGGTTTTTGCCGGTTATAGACATTAAATTACTGCATCGTATCAAACGGAGGAGTAGTAGTGTTTCTGGAAATTCACTTGCTTGGGCGAAGATGATGTCGAAAGGTATGCATGTAATCACATCTGGTATAAATCCATTTTGTATGTAGTTCATTTGAGACTTCCCCAGAGTTGAAGCACAACCGTTGATGATTTGAAGCGTGAACAGCGACAAGACTGTATCGACGCTGAATATAATGGTCATGGCCCAAGACAATGGTTCTAGATCGGCCCATCCGACGTCCTCAAAGGACACAAGAACAGGTATTGCAATCAGAGTGAAGAATAGAATTACTAGAGATGGGTTTCCGAGTTAGGAAAGACGATAAAGACAAAGATTGATTCGCGGCATTGAAGCCCGAAGACGTTCATACAATTCACTTACGCGACAGAATAAAATCCCAAGTAACACGGAATCGGGACATTGGATGTAAAAAGAAATGTTCTGGTAATGGCATTGACAGTATACGTTTGCGTTCAATGGAGGCCAAAGAAGTTCCCATTTCAGTATACTTGGGGGTAGCCAGATCGTGTAAAAAGATTTGAAATATCGAGTTGAAAGCTCCTGATACTCTGCCGGCAAACATTCGGGCAGCATATATACCAAAACTTATTTTCTCGGCGGTCTGTTCTACCTTGGATGCAATAGTGTCACCTAAAAAATCACCCAAGGATGGGCCCGGACCACCCTCATCTGGCCTTGGTTGTTCATCTCTAGGTCGCAAAGGTCGGAAAGACCATAATACGCTTGAACTAGTTTGGTGCTTGATTTTGCCACCGATGCCCGATCCGGTATCAGTTGAATCAGATTGCACGGATCTCATTCCTTGCTTTTTGGCCAATCTTTGGCTTACTGAATAAGGGGTAAGAGATGGTTTTGGCAGGGCTCCTGTAGATGAAGTTTGAATCTCGGATTTGGCTCTGACTGTATGTTTCGCTCCCCTGTTGTCTGTTAAAAGGGGTTGCGGTGTTTGTATTCGGAGGCTCAATGGTTGGGAATCGTCCAAAACTAGAGCAGATTCTTCAAATGATACACCCGACGCCGTTCTCTGTTGATTTGTGCCATCAACTGATCCGAGTTGATCCTCCGTAGGCCTTGGTATGCTCCTTGATTGGGTCGGTTGTGTGTTGTTGTTGGTATATTTCGAAATCAAAGATGTTATGCTGGGTTTGGTGACCATGACTGTTACTGGACTTGGATCATGAGGATCTACCGGGATTATTCGTAATGGTGCCCTCGCGCTTGCTGATCTTCCAAGAGTGGGTTGTCTTCCACCAACGTGCGATGATGGCACGGACAAGCCTGATGGCGGAATCAATGATCCCTTGTGTGAGATATCTTGGATGGGAGTATCAGGAAGTACAGCGGCGGTGATTTTGCTACTACTGGCGTTGATCTTGGTACTTTCTACAATAGCAGTTTCCAAGTACTTTGACCAATCTGGAGGGGAACTGCGTGCGGGGGTCTCGTTAACCGCATCTGAAAAAGGGAGGGGAACGGTTAAAAATCAAGAATGGAAGATATGTGCGATAAGTAAGATATAGTACCTTCATCAATCGCTGGTGGCAAAGAATCCATATCTCTGTCAGAGATTTCTAATACGAGTGAGAAAGTATTAGCGACTGACGATAGAAAGAGATAGAAAGGTGACGAAACCATGTGTCGGATGTCCTAATAGGAAGTTGACCAAAGCCCAATATTAGACTCACCAACAATATGCTGTTGTTCTGCTGAGTGAACGGAGCAGACAGAGAATTTTCTTGATGCTCCAGGTAGGATGTTGACCAAATCATCTTCTTCAACACTTGACTCACTACCACGAAATCGATTCGGTGGGTTGTCCAACGGATTTAGATCTAGACTCTTGTCCACATCTTTTCGTCGGGCTACGTCAACCTCAGATCCACTTCGACTGCTGGAGCCCGAGGGCATGTCCATACTACCCATAGGCGTCAGTGCTGGTAAAAATCGACCTAGGGTTGGCTTTGCTTTTAAAGGCCAATGTGGGACTGTTTGCTGTGGTTGTTGTTGAGGTATTGCTTCGGATGGTATGTAAGAGTCTAGCATGTCGACTGAGCTGGTAGCTCGTTTGCCATCTGCTTCTGGAGTGAGAGGACCACTGTGTGAATGCAGGCTATCTGTGCCCAGATCGCCATTATCAGCCGCGGTAGCTCGGGATCCTCGATTTCTCAATAAAGTCGAGATGTAGAAACCGTTTCCTGATCCCCATCTGCCCTCATCGACTGATCCACGTCGCTCCTCATCGACTGATCCACTTCTGCTACCTCCATCGACTGATCCACGTCGGTCTACGTTTAACAAACTAACGCGACTATTGGCTATGGATGGGTTGGCTGTAGCGAGGTCTATAGCGTGTTGTACTTCTTCATCTAACAGCTGTGTCACGTCTCCATCAAGTCCTTCTATTGATAGGAAACAAAAAAAGCCACTGTTGGGAAAAATTGCGTCGATTCTAGTCTTGACCTGTGACATACCTGACAAATGAGACTGTTGGACCCTTTTTCCAATCAGGACCTCAGAGAGCATATTCACATGCTCTTGGAGTTGTAGCATATTCCTTTGCTGCAATCGTAGCGTAGTAGACATCATACTGATATCTTTAAGGTATCGATCCAATGCTGCTGTTGGAGAAACAGAGGAAGGGGGATTTTGCACGTTCGTTTGACTATTACTGCTGGATGTAGGCTGTGATGGTAAATCCTTGTCCCTTTCCCTCCCAACCAATGATGTTGGCCGACTTGCAGAGCCTTTAGCTGAAATTGCTCTTCGATGGGTAGGTTCAGTGGCAGCAACATATTGGACTCTGCTGGGCACATTGAGCTTCTCCAAATCGTGCAATTCTGGTGATGGTGGTGCAATGAAGGTAAATAATGGTACTGCAACATCGACCGACACAGATGCATGTCTGCCTAGGCCTCCTCTATGCAATGTAGCTACACTGCCCATAGCCTTTGGCTTCAGACTCATTTTCCACCTCCGCAACTGATGGTCAGCAATATATTATTGCCCTCTATACGCACTTCCTAAGAAAATGACAGTTTGTAACATTGCTGGCGAAACGCGTCTGGGCAAATCTTCATCATCAATGCTGCAGATTCTAGGGTCATTGTAAGGAAGGCCTTGAAGTTTTGTGGATCACACTTATGTTTGTGGATCACACTTATGTTGTTCCTCCGAGCAACCCGGGAAAATCCCGAAATTTCTAACTCAAAAAGTGCTAAGAAACTCTTTTATCGGCCTCGGTTGCTGGGCCTCGGCTGATTTTTCGAGTCGTCTGGCAAGTAGATTTGGACCTTCTCTCTTCCGTTAGAAGTCGACTGTGAGCCCGAAAGATTTTTCACTACAAAAAAGTGCCGCAACTGCACACACATCCTTTAAAAAGAAGATTCACCTGGTATTAAATTCTCGAATGGACGAAATCCCTCTCATTGACGCTCCCAAGCCCGCCAAGACGTGGTTTTCCGGCTGGGGAACTTCCTCAAATTCAACGACACGTCCAGGTGTCTTAGATGTGGAGACAGCTTCCTCTTCTAAAGTCTCATTTGAGACGGTGCCAATTGATCCAAAGGTAAGCGATATGCACGAAACGGCGAAATTTCGGGGTGATTCAGATATGATGATGTACCGCCATATCTTTCGCCTGCTGTCGCGAATGAACTTCAGAGGACGAGAAATAAACGAGCTAGATTGATTATTGGAGAACTCGCATCTTTGATCAGCTCATCAATTCAAATTATAGTAGCTACGTGCCAAAGAAGAAGCTCTCCGGAGAAAAGAGGCCGATTTGCTCGCTAGAGAACGAGAATTGAAGAGTGCAGCTCAAGCAGTCGGTGAAAGATATCGAAAGAACTTCCCTCCATGCTGGCCTATGATGTGAGTCTTTATTAGAGCAATGCAAGATGGCTCTTGCGTTGATTCACTGACTGATAGCTTCTCTTTTTCAAAGGTACCATAACATAGACGCCGAAATTCCCTTAGAAGCAAAACCCATCGTTCGATGGCTTTACGTGTCATGGCTTGCCCTACCTTTTCTGTTAATATTGAACTCTATATCGTGTCTCGCTATTTTGGTATCGCACCCAACCGGCGTCACTACTGGAGGAACTGGTAAAGGTTCCCGCACCTCTCGTTATTTGGGTCAAGCTTTCTAAACCCGTTTTATTAGACTTTGGAGTGAGCATTACATACTGCTTTGTGATATTCTTTGCTTCCTTTTGGTTGTGGTATCGTCCAGGTTTGTTACTACTTGTCTTCGTGACAGTAACAACTCGACTCAGCTATTCAACCAAACTTTTCCCTTTCAATACTGTCTAGTCTACAACGCCTTCCTCAAGAACTCATCGATGTACTACAATATCTATTTCACGTTTGGTGGCCTGCATTTGCTGTTCTCTTACTACATGGTCATTGGCATCTCTGGTTCGGGATCCGCTGGAATCATCAACGCTATCGCTGTATTCTCAGATCAGAAATACGTGGCGTTTGCTTTTTGCGGTGTCAACGCCTTGTTCTGGCTTCTATCTTCGATTACCTTGAGTGTTTTATACAAACGTGTGCACTACCAGTATCGCCAAGGAGGGCTGTCTTTGGAGAACGCTCAAAATGAAGCCATTCAGTCAGTGGCTTCGTCAAAAGTTACGAGATCAGCTGTCACATCATACATGATGTCTTCAAGACAATAACCTGCCACTTGTATATTCTGATTTACTGCACGTGCTTGACGCGCTCATTAATTTTTTAACATTTTATTATAACCGTTTGATAACTCCATCAGGAGAAACCGTGGGAAAGATTTGAAGCTTTTGGAGCTTGTGTTGTTGTGTTGTCGTCACGATATTTCACTTCATTATGGAGCTTCATCTTTTAAAACCAGTTTCAATTGATGGTGGCGACGCGTTTGAATCAGTAACTGAAATATTTGTGACGTACATGCTTGCGATAATTGTAGTTCCGCGTCGTCGGTCAAAGCTGGCATTGCAATAGACACTTCGTAGCAATGACTGTCACAATCAATGAGCAGCAGCAGCTGAAGCGAACCAAGCACACGAATCCAGTCCCATCATCATCAGTCCTCCATTATTTGTTCTTGATCTGTATCCAAACACTCGCTCTGATACATTGGTGTGAACGATTTGCACTCTTTCAACTAGATCGCATCCGATATCTAATACTCAAAGCACCTCCAACGCCATCATCAATTAAATCAGATGTACATCCCCTGTCGAAACTGCCTGATCATGTCGCGCTAGTGTTTACTGGGGTGGGATGTCGTAGGCAGCATTTGAATCATCGAGATGGGAATAGTGCTAATGTTATTCTGGAAGAGGTGGAGGAGAAAGAAGCAGAAGCTGTACATAGTGTTGGAGAAATGGTTTGCTGGTGTGCTGCTGCTGGAATGTCACAGTTGACTATTTATGATGAACATGGTACCGACTCTGAATCGATTCTGCCAGCCGCAGCCACGACAACGTATGCTAACACGGTGTTAATTTATAGGTCTTTTAGAAAGATCTAGTGTACAAATAGCAACCGAGATTGCATCGCAATCTGCTCTCTTCTTTTCACAAGCAAGGAGCAAGTTTCCAACCATTCAGGTTCTCGTATCTGGAATACCTATAGAAGAACCGCCCATATTCTGCGCTCCTGCAAGTACGCAAACCTGTATTTCATTGATCAAATCTGTGCTCGCAAACTCACCTACACATTGACATAGCATTACGTCTCAATATAATCTCATCAAAGGATGGCCGGCAAGCCATTGTTAATGCCGCTCAAACTCTAGCGAAATACCGTATAGACAAGAAGATGCCACTTAAAAGTGACGACAAGAATGTAGGCAAACGGAAATCGGTCCAAGAAGATGTCACTGTCGAATCACTTCATAGTTTATTGACCACCAATGGCTTGGAAGAACCTCAACTTGTATATGTATTGACGGGAGTCACAGATCCGTTGACTCTTGTAGGATTTCCGCCGTGGCAGATACGTCTTTCTGAATTTTGGTATGCTTGAAAGTTGATCGCCCTTTGAGTCACAGAAGCACTGACATATTTTTTTTAGGCATGTACAGGGAGATGGACGATTACGATATCTAGACTTTATAGCGGGCTTGTCCCGATATGGCACTGTACATCAACGAGTAGGAAAATAGAAAATACCTCTGACACTCACACATGTACAAATACATATATGCTTCCTCTCGCGGCTCATATGCCATACTCTCGCACAATCCGCGTTATTGAATTAGTAGATCGGCTAGTATGTTTAGAGAATCGGCGACCATATGCTTCTGTGCAGACGTGTGTCACGTCCGATTTCTGCCGAACAGGGACGCGGAGCTTACCTGCGACCTTAAATATACCAAGAACAGAGCTCCTACAAAATTCCACATCGTTCCAGAGTAAAGAACAACCCGAGGAAACCTCCAAAACTGGGTAGCATTCTGTATAATTCCAACTTGTCTTTTCTTGCAGTTTTGCTTTGAGGATGCACATAGGTGAAAGACGCTTGGAGGATGACTTTGAGAACACGGCTAAGACTCCTACATGCTTGCTGGCCCATTTTTGAAGTGGCCCCTCACTTCGAAAGCACTCGGTGCCATCGTAACTGCGTGGGAACCAGATACCTGAATTGTGCGAGCTTTGACGGAACAGCACATACGGTCGCGCGACAAAAGTCAGTGACTGTCTTGTGGTGATGATTTTGAAACGTCTCACGCTACCCCCTATTCCGTGGTTCTTGGGGGCGATCACCGAAATGCTTGGATATCTCATTTCCACTTGGTGATGATAGCAGCATACAAGTTTGGTGTCGAGAGTTGCGTAACTTGAAATCCACTTTCTGAAAGCTTTCGCCAACATCATTTGGAAACTCTTGTCGCTACGGGGACAGAGATATACTGCAAAAGCCCAAACCAATTAACGGTTTCCATTGACTTGGGTATCTTGAGACGCTTGTTTGCCAAAGACAGAGTCTGGAGGTGTGATTTTTCTTGTAAAGTTCTTGCAGGATATACTTTACTGCCAATTGGAACGAGAAGGGCCAGGTACCTAATTAAAACAAAATAAGATGGTCAGCGACACACTGATGTGAAACACGGAACCTTCGGATCCAGAGCAGCATGGCAGCATGTTCAGTGTTTCTCCCCAATACCACGTTTTAGCCTATTGCAGAGATGCAGATACGATACGAGGAAGGGAGCTATTTAATCCTATCCAAATTTTCGTCGTATTTATCACACGTCGATTTCGTCTTTAACAAAAAAACTGGGACCGCCATCATCCCAGAAAAGCTGGCTGTGGAAGTGGCCCTCGACACTCCCCCTCTGACTTTGCGCACACAACGGTTTCAGAAGAGGCCAGTTTCCTTTTTACAAACTTTACGACATATTTGATTGGGTATATGAAACCTTTCTGGCATCCTCCGGCAGTTTGGTTGGGAGAGTGCTATGGCATTCGTGTGTTGGGTAGTTTGGTAGTTAGCACAGTTGGAAAACAATAAAGCTGTTTTAGTTTGATGTGACGAGCTTGCAGATTGGATGTTCTCAGTGCCTTGTAAGACTACTGGACTCTCGTCGTTTTATTCCTGGTCTCCTTCTGGATCTTTGATCCTGCTAAAAAACATTATAAGTTTCGAATTTTGCAACAGGTGATCCAAGTGCAGGAATTCTACGAAAAGCCTTCAGAGCGATTCAGCCTTATCTTACCAACCAGAGCCTGTCTCTTCTCACTGTGAATGTTCTTTCAAAGGCACTCCCGAATGACCTTGTTTAGATCAACAATGATTTTTCACATTCAGTCGGAAATACAACTAGGAGCGGTATTGCACTTGCTGCCACTTGGCAGGTCGTTCGAGGATCCAAACCTTCTCTCGACTCGCGGTTCGCATCAGCGTGGAAAACAAGACGAATCAAGAGTAACAACCATGAAGGAAAGCCACATTAACCAGTAGACATTTCATACCATACACCATGTTTCACACTCTCAGACGACTCATATATATTGCAAAGTATTAAGGCCACAAGCAACAGACAACTACAGTTTAATATCAACACACGCGCACACTCTAGGATATATAAAAAGAAGGAAGGTATCACGCATAGATAGCAAAGGGAAGGCCAATAAACATGCAGGGAAGGTAATAGCTTAGTCTACGAGAGAACGAGTAAAAAAGGTCACATGGCTTCGAAATGTTTTCCCTCAACAGACATACGACAGAGGAACTTACAGCAAATCTCGGCAAACGGATATTGCCCAGACGCACAATCCAAGACAATAGTCTCTATAGCAATAGTGGGTGGATTCTGTCCATTCACTGGTACTCCTGGCCTTCCAATCAAGAAGGAAACTATTCCGCGCAAGAGTTGCGCCGAAATTGGTTCGTCTATTGTCTCTTCAATGATCGACGTCGTCCTATACAAATGATTGGTTGTTAGTTTGTTGCACTATGTGCTCTTCTTATCACGAACAATATCTCACGTTTCTGGAATTGTTTCCTCTTCAACTACTGGCGGAGACAAGACTTCGTCGTCCACTGTTGTGCCACTAGTTTGAGCTACGGCTGCACCAATCTTGGGTGCTAATAATGTAGGAGCAATCTCCACATCAAATCGATTGTCCAAATCTACATCCATAGTGGTCGTGTCGTTCAGCAGCACCGACCCATTACAAAACGATACATCTAAATCAAAAGGGATGGATGGTGTAGCAGACGGTAACAAGGGCGATGAGTTGGATGATGGTGTGCCTGTTAAACTACGTTTACGTGGTGATGTTGAAGTCAAGCTCATTAATCGACGTGAGCGACCACCTGATGATGATCCAGAAGAAGGCGAAGATGATTTCCTACTCCTGCTAGATACATTCTTGCGACGCTTACTGTTCCTTAAAGAAGCTTCGTGTTGAGCACCTACTACATAGACGAGTTCATCACGTTCATCCAAGTATTCAGATAGAGATCGGTCCAAGCCCAATTCCCAGCCCATCATGAGGGATGGACTCCCCTGGACGAATGCTACAGGTGATGTTCGTGGATATGATTTATAGTGTTGTGTCGGGTACCCTTCGTCACCAGTTGTTGGATCATATGCGAATTTAAATAGACCCGACAACCACGACCATCGAGTTGTGTCGTTGCTTGTTACTACACCACGGCTAGAAGGATTGCGGATCTTTCGTTGTGGTGGTGGATAAGTTATAGCTGACTGCTTCCCCTCCGACCTTAGCTTTGATGAAGACGATATGGAAATTGTAGTACTAGTTATAGTTGTGGTGGCAGCACTAGTTATAATAGGAGTGACAGTATTGGTGCTGGATTTACCACGAGCTGTGCTTACAGAAGCTGGTGCAGATACAGGTGAGGACGCTGGTGTTGAAGTTGGGGTGCATATATTAGATAAGGGTGGAGTAGTAGATGGCCAGCTTGGCGATGACTCTGGAGTCATTCGCGGAGAAGTTGAAGGGGTTGTTGTTGTAATAGTGTTGTTTAGGTGATTATCACCGGCGGCGGCACTATCTATTATAGAGAAACCATCAGGACGAGAGGGAGATAGTGCGGGAGATGGTGGTACGGTTGGCACAATGTTATCAATGTCCATTATCTCGTTTACGTGGGGGTGATCGGAATGAATTGGGGGTGGTGGGCTCTGCATTTTCACTAATGGAAACGACGGAGCTCCTTCAAAGAATTTTGCATTGATCTGGTTCATTGTCTAGCAGATAATGGTGAATATTAAATAACGAGAATAGTTTGGATAAGCTGTACATTTGAAAATGGTGGTCATAAAAAAATGAAATGATTGCCATGTGATGCCCAATGCACACCGATGTGCATTGAACGAGACTGCGATAGCAGATAAGAGTAGATTGGGGCTGCTTACCATGGTTTTGATAGATTCAGCATGAGTCAATTGATCAGAGTGGTTTAATCTCAAGTCATCAAATACGCTAGACCTTCGTCGAGAGATAACGAGCCACGACGGAGATGATGCTGGACTTCCAGCACTAGTAATTTCCCATGCTTCTTGGTCGTCGAAATTTGACATTTTCTAGGCTTGTAATTATCTCCGTCAATGTCTCCACTTTGTTTGAGTTTTTATGAATAAAAGTTTGTCGCTTGTTGCTGCAAGGTGGCGATGAAGTGTGTGAAGATGTCTAAGCAATCAAAAACAAGAACTACAATGGTTTAATTGCTAGATTAAAAGTCGCTTCGAGAATCCGGTAGTTCCTGACTGTTCTGATGCTTAAAAAGCAACAACGTGTATAGTTGCCGTTGCTGAATAACGTGATTCAAAGAAGGCGTGATCTCCAGTGAGGTGCAAAGTTAAAGCATACGTGTTTCATAAACGCAATAAGATCCAACATCCAGTAATACCTCTTTTCTACGAAAGAATGATCTTGTCTACTCGCATCGTTATCGCTGCTGTAAAAAGCTTGCACCAGGATGACGCATCGACTAGGTAGGTCTACATACAGTAATGCGACCAGCAATACTGCTCACATTCTAATTACATTTACAATTCTATAGGCGGAAAACGTTACTCCTCCACCGTCACATTCTTCTCTAATTCAACTTTGAATCGCAATGGCGACATCCGTGCTCAGCAAGACCAGCTAAAGACCAAATTTCAAACTGCATCTATATTGGTATTCAAGAATGGAAAACCTCTCCTGTCTCGTGCATCTGGGAAGACGGCATTGGGATTCATCCCATCACACAGCTTCAGTAGTAGTTTCTCCCAGCCGCTGAATCCCGTCTATCTCGGAGATCGTGACAATGTGCCAATATTTGCCATTGATGCAGACATGCCCTCTATAGATGAAGGTGGGTTGACGTAACAAGGTTGAAATTTGAACAGTCGGTGCAAAAACGTCCAACGTTTTCGCGGACTTGGTGGTACTTAGTGGCCAAATCAAAAGGATTTGAATATGTGGATATGAGGCCGGCCTGTTTCCAACTACCCAAGGATGAAGCTGCGATTCTCGCACAAGGACGTTCTCTAACCGATTGGAATGCTCGAAACAAGGTAACATAGAGACTCGATTTCAAGCAGGTTGATTCATTCTTTACCAGCTCGCACTCACGCAACATCTCTCTCACAAGTTCTGTCCAGCATGTGGAAGCCCAACACATTCAATATCAGGAGGCTACGCCAAACAATGCTCAAACTCACACTGTATCTCGCGGAAGACCACCCAAAACTATTCCCATGTGCGAACAGATCCTGTTATCATAACGGGAATCATATCGCCGGACTCGAAATCCATGTTATTGGGACGCCAAAAAGTGTGGACGAAGGGACTGTATTCATGTATAGCTGGTTTTATTGAGGCTGGTGCGTTGCTGTTGTCGTGACTGAAGGCACGAGTTTCAGGATGCTTAACACCTTCTCGGCCTGTCTCTATAGGCGAATCGCTGGAAGATGCTGTGAGGAGAGAAGCCTATGAAGAGACTGGGACCACTGTAGGTCAAGTGCGATACCACCTATCACAACCATGGCCGTTTCCAAATTCACTGATGCTGGGATGCTATGCTCAAGTGGATTCTTTAAGTGAGATATCGCTGGTCGACAAGGTACGCTGACTTTCAATATACGACCAACCTTATGTGCTAACCCAAACCGCGATATGCAGGAGCTGGAAGATGCTAAATGGTTCACGAAAGATGAAATTACTGATACAATAAGGAAACAAACCCCAGGTCGTGACATCAAGACTGAAGGTGCTGGTCATTCCAATACCAACACACTGCTGATACCAACAGACTATGCTATAGCGCATCAGCTAATTAAAGCTTGGGTAGAAGGGTTTAAACCGTTCTAAGTTATAAATGGACGTTGCTTGAATACATTTTAATTTCCATATCCTCAACCATTGAAACTGTTGCATCAGTATAATATTCTTCACAAGATGCAGTCTATTTGATTATTGAAAATACCATCTTTCTATTCTATGTATAAGACGAGTTTTTATAGGCTAAGACTTTTAACATCGTCTACCACAACCACTACAATCCCTTCGCGGCTTGCGCCTTGAGCTTATTCCTCAGATACATGTTGAACTGTAGAGAAAATGGTAGGTGTGAACAAAGAATGAGGTGCTCGTCACTTCTTTTACAAACAATGTACTCAACCAACGGAAACAACCGTTGGCAACATTTTCCATCAAAACCAAACTCAACTCAACAACACACAATAACTTACATTTCCACCAAGCCCATAAGCAGGAAACATCCTTGCCATCCTTCCGAGCGAAGTGCCAACATACTCTCTTTTAATAAACGCAACTCGTTGCGCAACACTGTTCCCCGGATTGTTATACAAGTCCAACCCAAGCAAATGCCAAGGCGACGAAATCATTTGTACTGCACACGGTAGCAGCAACTGAGACCAGAAATCTGCTTTTGCGGCTTCTAAACCAGGGAAGGTCGCTTGTAGTTGTCGTGATACTGGTCCGGGAAGGGTGAATGATGATCCAATGGTTAGGGCATCACGAGATGCAAAGAGGACGTATGAAGTTAAGGGTAGTGGTTTGGGAGACACGGCGCCAAACCATTTCGTGAAGGCTTGGTCCTTCATTACTGTTAGGGTAATGTTGGAGACACTTGTGCCGAGGAATTTGGGGATGGCATAGTCTTTGCTCCCTCGTTTGTATAGACCCTCTATTGTGTTGGCCTAAGTGAGAGATGAGAGGGAGTTAGAGGATGAGCTTAGTGCATGACGACATTTGGTGTGGAAGAGACTCACAGTCACATATGTGCCCGCATACGCAACCCAAATGAATAAGAAACTAGGCTGCCTGACAAAGTATCTATAACGGTTGCGTTTAGGTTAAGAGGTGCCTCGTTCGAAAAAAACCCCATCAAATATCAAGAACAGAACTCACAGCGGTTTAAACAGCATGGTAGAGAAACCCTCCACGAGACCCGGCCATAACTTTTTCACACCGGAAGCGTTAGCAATAATAGCCTTATCAATCACTACAAACGTCGAAAGTTAGATCACGGATAATCAACCGTATATCTAGCAACCACAATTTTTTTTGCGGTGATCTTTCACGGAATTCACGACAGCAGACTAAACACTACAGATCTCAAATCCATACCTGTGACAGCTGGAGCCACCAATGCACCGGTAACGATAGCTGCCGACCACTCCAAACCCAACAAACCAGCTAAACTTAGACGAGCTTCAATTGGTTCTTGCTTTATCTTTTGGTTGGATTGTTTGGGAGCTGTTACGACTGAAGGCATTGATACAGGTGGAGTCATGGATGCGAATGATGGTGACGACGTCATTACTTTGGTTTCTTGTTTTGTAGAGGTCGTTGTTTGCGTATTTCTGTAGACGAAAGTTTCGAGCACTTCCGACTTTTGCCGAGGTAGATGCGAAGTAGTGAGCTATATCGTGACGTATAGACGTAGTCGTTCCAAGTCCCGTTTCTATTTCTATGTACCAACGAGAATATTTCTGTCTAAAACTAGTTGGATGACGACTGATTGTCGCTAAAAAATTGAAGTTCTTCCAAATCTCACTTGACTTGACCTCATTGCAAAGCCAACTGAAATTTCCGCTTCTGACAATCGAACGACCGTACGTCCAAAAAATAATAGATACTATTGCTAACTGGAGCATGAGGACGTATACAAGAAACAAAAGATGGAAATTACTACAATCGATGACCGAAATTTTGGCCTATTGTGCTGAAACCAGTTGGTAGCCAAGGGACGAACGGCCAGCCTGGAATGGTGGTGAACGCTGTTGTTGTGGTGAAGACTAGTAAAGAAGTATAAACGATGGTTAGTGTGGCGTTTACATTGGATTGCTTAACAAAATAAGAGCTCGTCTTTGAGGGATACGTCTCTTACCAAGGTAGCAGACATACTAATCATCAGAAACGAACCAGTGAAGAGAAGGGGATTATTGGTTAGATACAAGCACATTGAAGATTCGCACAGCAAAAGAAACCAACCTCAAAGTTCCAGGCGATGACTGTTGAGTTGGAGCAGGAGGTGACGTGTAGCTCACCGTTCCATTCGTTCCATAAGGCGAACGAGCTCTGTTATTAGACAGACCCTAAACGATGGCGAAAAAATGACACGGTAAGGCTCAACGCGTCAGCTAACCTGTAAACAAAAACTAACCTTAAAATACACAGGGAGATCGAGTATTTCAAGTGAACGTTCATCACAGTACAAGTTCTGAGCGATTCCATACTCGCCGACCTTATAGCTGACACAGTGAGGATCACTAGTTTGGAATTGGTGTTGGTGTGAGCCAGTTGTTGGCAGTTTTCAGGACCTGCATCGATGTGAAGCCTGCGAAGCTCTTCCAACGGCCATTCAACCCTTTCAACATGAACCGACTTGCAAAAGGCACGTACATCCATATACACAAATCAGCTGGGAAGTGGTTGTCAGACTTGGCCAATCCTATCTCCGTAATGACGGATTGCAGGAGAGAATCACAGCGTCCAGCATTGATCGATACGGCTCGGAAAGCATTGCCAACATGTGGCCTAGACAAATTACGAACTCGTTTAAGATCAAAGGCATTCAACCAACACGAAACACCAAACAACAGAATGCACACCTTGAAGGATCCCAATGTCCTTCAAACCTTCGTTCGAGAGCAGTAGAGAGCAAGAGTTCGAACTGCTCGACCTTGTCTCTGGAATAGTTCTTGGGAAGGTAGCTTTTTTGTGTCGCATAAGAGGAGGGTTAGCATGTTGTTTATTTTTATAACACAATAAAGGAGAGAGAAAGAAAAGACGAGATTTACCCTTGTGAGAGGTATTTGACGGCTTGTTCTATCTCTGTCTTCATGATATGCTGAATCCCAATATATTTGTCTTGTTGTTGTTAATGTGTGTGTTGTTATCTGTGGTATGGTTTCGAGAGCCAGTTTGATGAAAGAGGGGGGAGAGTGACGGTGTCTCTATTCAGACAGTAGCGATAATACAGATTCTTGCTTTGCTTTGATATTCTTTGCAAGCTTATTGAATGTGGTGGCCGCCTTGGGTCAATTTCTCAGTCTCGTGATGTTGGAAAGATAGGTCAGTGGAAGAGCACGGAAGGTCTCAAAGGAGTTGTTTTCACTATCTGAGTGTTAGGTATGCTTGCTGTGATAAGCGATTGGTGGTTTACTTTCGAAAAGATGAATGAAGTGTGCGATTGGGAAAAGTCGGCAAGTGTCGTCGTGACGGCCAGATTCAGGATTCGAGACCACAGGCTTTGAGACATCACAAGACATAGAAATCCCAAGCGACACATGAATCATATATTTTTACGATACATTTATACGCGATGGCTCCTTCTCTTTCAGTAGTTCTGATATCCATGGCCGAAATTCAGATAAAAGGGTACTTGGGACTCCATATGACTTATGACCATCAACCGACGTGACAAATTTCTCACTTCCTCCTCGTTCCTTCAACCAGGCCTTGGCTAGTTGCTTGATCTCGTTCTTTGTCTTGTCATTCCAGTCTGAGAATGCCGGTTGAATCGACTGAATCACACTATTAATACACAGCTAGTTAGAGAAAGCGTGAAATTTTGTACTTTTCTTGATTTGCTTACTTGTAGAGCCGTGTTAAACGTGATTCTGACGATATGCTGGCCTCAGCAGAAGAGGCAGCATTAGAAGTGGGAGCATAAGATACAGATATCGGTGCGAATCCGTTCGATGCTCCTATTGGCACCATAAGCATTCCATTAGGGCCTTGCATCAGCACAGTACCTCCTTGTGAGAACCCGAGCTGATGATGTGGCAGCATGGGCACAAATGCCATCGTGTTAGGCTGGTTGATTTTTCGGGCTTTATTGGGCTTGGTTTCATCGTTGCTGCTGACTGAATCACGACGACGGCGACGACGACGATTTGTTGATGGTTTGGCAAGTCCATCTTCTCCCAATTCAAGAGGAGACGCACATTCTGATCCTGTTCCTGTTGGTGTGGAATCATGTTGCGATGATGGTGTATTTGGTTGCTGTTGAGCTGCATGATTGATGTTGTTCATTGACGAGTTTAATGATGTGGCAGGCGGGGTTTCCGTGTCCAGCCACCGTCTAAGTCCAGTTTTTTCCGGGCGTCGAGATATCGACACAGATGAATCCTCGACGGAAGCAGCTGTTATTTGATCATGATCCAAGACTGATAGAGACGGTGCAGGTGTCAGTCTGTTTTCACTGAGTGATGCTGGAGGCTTGACCATTCCTCGTATCTGATTTCCAAGTCCAAGGCCAATGCTAGCACTACCACTGTTGGAAGAAGCAGAAACTCCTCCACCATCGTTTGATGCATGGAGTCGAGACTTGGCAATGATGTCCAATTGAGCTAGCACTGCTCGTCGTGATTCTTCTGAGAGGACTGCTGGATTGGCGAATGTGTATCTGGAGAAATAAAATCGGTCAGGTCCAACGTAATTTAGAAAAGATCTCACTTTTCTACAATCTACTTACTTTATAAAGCCTCCAGCAACCATCTCGACCTCAAGTTTAGCATCGAGCCATTGCAAATAAGCTGCACATAGGGTTGACGGAATACAAGGCACATTGCCTGCACTGAGAGCTAAACATTCAGAAGCAGCTACAGGTCCTAAGGTCTTTGTCAAAAAGAATCTAGTTCCATTTTCAAAGTGCTGCTGAATCTTTTGTGGAAGTGAGATTGCCTTTTCAGGCCATTTCCTCTGGATCAATGTGCTCCATGGTATCAATTCATCGTCATCTCGCTCGGTTGTTGGTAATTGTGTCAGTGATGGTTGTGGAGTTGGAATAGACGGTGGCTGTGATCGGACTTGTTGTTGCAATGATGATGGTTGTGGTGTTTGAGCTGGTGTAGCTGGCGCTTCACATGAGGTTGGTACAGATTGGCCTTCACTGCTCATTATCTCTGGCGACGAAGCCAATAAAGGCGCTGGAAGCTGTACTAGTTGTGGTTGTTGCTGTTGTTGCATTGGATTATACGTCTTGTATATAACATGGCCGGATGGTAGGCGATGCGATATAGGTGCTCCAGCAGCAGGAGACATTGCTGACTTTGACTGCACTGCAGCAGCAGTTTGCGATAGCCGACTTGGCTGCTGTTGTTGGCGTAGTATGGCCTCCATTTCTTCGAGTCGGCGTTTGAGCAACACATTCTCTCCTTGTAGCGATACACTCTCTCGTTGAAAGATGCCAACTTGATTTTTGAGATTCGTCATTATTTCTTCTGTATATCGTGCTCTCTCTTCTAGTCGAGCAACATCTTGTCGTGCTGACGATAGATCAGCCTCAGATTTGAGCAACTTGCCACTTAGAATGTCTCGGTCCTCTAGGGATGCGATGAGTCGATCTTGATAACTTGCCATTGTTGGTTTCTATCAATGCCAAAGAACGTGATCTTGAGTCGGTTGTTATTTGCATTAATGTGGCACCTCTTCTTAGGACACATTGGAAGATGGACTCAGTACTCACAGATCTGGAGAGATTTATCAACGAATAATTCTCTTTTCTAATGCATGAATTTTCTAATCCATCCAACTAGGGCCCTCTGATTCTGGGTTTTCGTTCGAAGAAAAACTTTGCATGCACAGCGGGTTGGGGATGAGCTCTGTAGTAGGAGATTTTTCTGGACGAAAAGGCCTCATAATGCTTCGATCAAAAATCACGGAAGCAGATTTTCATGTGTCGTAACAGAAAGCGGAAACCCTCGTGCATGAAGATTACTCAAAAACACGCAACGAAGAATTGGTACGACAATTGCACACGAATGAATTTTATAATGAGTAAATAAATTCTTTCAGACAATGAGTAAACGTAGGATCCATTTAAATTGCTACTAGTGTCAATTTATTTGGCCAGGGAATCCAACCAAGCACCCAAGTGCCCGTTGATTGCAGTTGGATCTTCCATCATAGCAAAATGACTGGTGTTAACATGCTGCAAGAAGTCAAAGATACCAGTGAGCAATTCGTCCAACGAAACAGTAGATTGTGGTTTAAAGCAAAGCTTACCTTTTTGGTAAGTTTCGGGCAAGTCAAATCCATTTGGAAGACATCGACCAATTCTGGTTTCAGCACCTCGTCTCTGTCTGCCATAATCATCAAGACATCTTGCGGGATGATTTTTCCCACAATTCCTGCAGCGAGATCTGACTCGAATCTTACTTTAGATGCTCGGTACCAGTTCAATGCACCATGGAAGCCAGACTTCTTGTACGTTTTGACGTATGCATCAAGCTCCTCTTGCGTGTTCATGGATTCATCCAACTCAACTCCTTTTGTAATGTCGGAGAGCGTGGTTGCAACTGAGAATTCCTCGATACCGCCACGAGAATGACTCTGGAACATGGCTTTGAAGAGTCCCTCTGGGTCATCAGCTAGCTCCTTGTCTGTAGAAGGTTTGCATAACCTATGTATTGTTGTTAGATCGTTGTAAAAGTCGAACCTTGGCAACTCATTGCGGCTAGACCTTACCAGAGCTGATACCGAAACTGTGGCATCGCCTCGGCCATGACCTCCGTGGGTGTGTACGTAGGTGACGCAGGAATGAATGGTGTGCAAACAGCTGCGATTGCAGTCACTTGGTCGGGATAGTCTGCAACCCAAACAAAAAATCAGTTCGGCGATGAGAGCGTCGAAGCTTGTCCCAGCCTTACACTGTGCAAATCTCCAAGCTGCTAATCCGCCCCAATCATGAGCAACAAGAATGCACTTCGTTCCCTAGCAACCAATTGTAAAAACTTGAGTCTCCATCTTGAAATTACGGGCAACGACTAAAGTACCTTTTTGCCTATGAGCGGAGAAGCGTTAGACGACCTTTCAGCAATACGTCAAATATCAGCGTTGAATTACCTCCAACATGATCAAGCAACTCGGAATAATCCTTAGTGCAGTGCGCCCAATCGTATAGTCTTAGAGCTTCCTCATCACCAGGAGCGGCATAGGGAGCTGAAGTTTCACCATAGCCTCGATTGTCAGCAGCAATAACATGATATCCCTTTGAGAAATGTGAGGGATAAAATGAGTTCCATAGGAATATCATTCATGCCGCTTTAGTGCAACAGTAGCTACTACGTCGGCCAAATTGTCGCAACGTGTAGAAGGCGCATACCAACCTTTTCCGCAAGGAATGGAATCTGGAACCGCCATTCGTACCAAAATTCTACCCATGAAAACACTCAGTAAGATGTCCAACTTTCAAAATGTGACAATCAAACACAAAGACGTTCAGAGCGAATTCGGTTACCTGGGAATCCATGGATCATCATAATTATCGGGTCACCTTTCTGACCAGCCTCTACATAGTCTACAAAGGGTGTTTGGTGTGAGAAACACTGTTTGCGTATATCTGTCTAGAACACTTACGCATGTCAATCCCGTTGACTTTAACGGTGTTGTGGCGAAACAGCTCATCATCAGGCTTGAGTAATGGTGGTTTGGTTACCGTCATTGTGCGTCGTCCAGCTTGTATTAGTGGTGGTGCGTAAAAGTGGTGGTTGCAAATTCCAATTCACCGACAGTGGTCACGCTTCACCTGTACCAAAACGAGACATGTCCTAAACTGCTACTTTTTATGTGTAGACGATGTGCTTCACGTCAATTTGGGGCTAGTACGCTCTTACAAGTACTGCTGCCCTCAGTCCCTTGGACCCAAAATTTAGAACAGGCTTCATTGTTGTGATTTTTTCCATGACTGCATTATCAATTGAGTAGATCTAAGCTGATCTGAGGCTTCAATACAAACTTTGGTACAGAATATTATGAATCTAACGTTCTGGTGGGTATGATCGTCACATTCGAGTTAGAATAACTGAAACCTGCCAAAGCTCATGCAGGTTTAATCAAAAGGGAGACGAAAACACGAATACTAATATGCGAATATAGGCTAAACACTCGTGTCCTTCATTGATTCATCATATTTCTCCTCGGCAGGTTCATTAATCTGACTTCGGCTTCACCCTTTTTCTTCATCACCTTTTTCCCACGTTAGTCAACAATCTCAATCTCTGAGTAGACCATGTATAAAAGCAATAGCACAACTGGAACAATGAAGAGCGCTGTACCTGAAGTAACAGAGACCGATGCCTTTGAAGCTGCTATATTAAGGATTCGAGATTCTGCCCTCGGTCCACTTGATAAAGCATTCTTGCTGTCGCAATTAGACCTACATGCACGGGTGAGTGCTTGGCATGTTGCCTTGATCAGTGATGTAGTGGTGGCCGATTCCATATGTCTATTGTCTTCCCACTGTTCATCTGGCGGTGTGTCGGGTTTCATTCATCTGGTGGTTGTAAAGGACGATGATCGCCCAATGGCCATATTGAAGCACGAATTGTGTGACGTTATAGTAGTCTTAACAATGTCATCTATCGATTGGATCCTGTTTGATTGTGAGAGTGGTGGTGATGTGGTGACGGTGGTGACGGTGACGATGTTTCTCTTACGAATCGATCCGCTTTTCGAATCTTGACTCACACACCAACTCTATATCTCTAGTTACCATTGCTAGTCTTGGCAGCTCCTGATTTGAGGAGTTTCGTCGCTTATAGATGGCAATTTCAACAGGCTCAACAATCTCAGCAAAAACAACAGGCAGCTGCAGCTACATCACCCTCCCGATCTGGTACTCCAATGAGCTCAACGAATGGTGTCCGATATAGTACGGTTTCCGCCGATGGTGCTATGCCTCAGAATGGTGTTGAGCAACAGCAACAGTAGTGGGTTTTAAAGGCCGCAACGATTGACGACTGCTTGATCCACCGGGATTGATTTTTTTCCTTTTGCATAATTTTAATATCATAAAACGCCCCTACTTTATGTTTTCGCTACAATTATTACTAGCAATAATAGCTGATGCACCATCTAAATTGTTCCTTATCCCGACGCGTAAGTGTGCGTGCTTCTGAAAAACACGTAATAAGCCATGCGAACAGCTTCTACCACATTCTTGACTGGCCTGGTGCATAATGCATGACGTGGACATTGATGTCTTTGATACGCGCATAGTTCTCACCACAACTCAAATCAAAATTTTCCTCTAAGTCGAAATAAGCTCATCATGTCGGTGATAGTGATCTGGAAGAAGGTGTGGATGATATTTTGTTGTCGTCGATCTCTGCTCTAGTTCTAATACTCTTTTAAACCGAGCAGAAGCAATATGAGGTGTTTTTCAAGAACGAGTTCGAACAATTTGGAGATTCTTGGCCCAAGGCAGTGACTCTTGGTGCTCTCGCTGCACGATTAGCTCAGAGCACAAATGTCTCGTTATCGAACATGAAGCTGCTTCAATCGGGAGGTAACACTTGACGGATGCATGGCATCTGAAAAACACATCAACATACAGTTTGAGCGTCACCTCACACGCCACTCTCCTAGTTCATATGAAAGATTTCAATGCTAAGCTCAGTGACTATAGAGTGAGGGCAGGGACAAGGATCACCATGTTAGGAGAAACCAGCCCTCAGGTACTGTTGAGAGAGTCTGACGCAGCGTTTGAAAAAAGATGTCGGACTCGAACCCTCCTTTTATTACCATATCTTTATAGATGGAGCAAGTGAAACCAGAATCCAAGATACCCATATCTAAAACTCATGCAACACCACAATCTCCCACCACCCCAACAACCACTACAACAACACAATCAACTGAAGCAACATCCGACGACGGAGAATCATCCCTCATAGATAAACTGAATGCAATTACAACCAAAACGAAAGAGACTCTCTTGCCAATAATCGAATTGTACAGTCATCAGGCTCAAAGCTTTATAGCTGCGCACACAGCAGCAAGCGAAGACAGACTCCATATGACATCGTCTCTGCCACTACCAACTATAAAGCATTTGAAGGACTCGCATGCTAGAGTGAGTGAACTTTTGTTACAACAACTATTGCAGCTCGACGGAGTTATCTCGGAGAAAGACAATGTACGTGCTTCACGACGAGAAGCTGTCAAGTACACCAACGCGCTATTAGATCGTGTAGATGGGCTGAAGGATAGAGTGAATTCGTTGATAAAGGATAAGGGATTGTTGTAAATCATAGATCATACATAGAACACTATCATCGCATTCAAGTAAATGCATTGTTGGAAAGTCTTGTATTTTGCACGATTGAGTCAGGCGTTGCAGCTCTTATTACCCACAGTCAAGCGCGTTGATTTTGTAGTTCTGGTTGTGACCACGTCCAGCGGAAGTGTGACCAAAGAACAGAGACGATACAGATTCTGCACACATTGCGGAAAGAGTGTTCGGGTCCAGCGTCTGATCCTGAGAATTGTGCAAACAAAAAAGAGACTGTTGCCTTTGAGCAATTTGACGACCAGTCTTCAAGTCTGGAGGTGTTCATGGCTATCAGATGTCTTTGTAAGCACAGCTGCACAGCTTTCTACCATTTATAATTAAAAGAAGAGTCAGACCGCATGTGCTTCAATGCGTCCAGCTGTAATTCTGAAGCATATTTTCTACAGACGCACGAGCGATTAAGTACACCGACAAGAGTGTACGTTCACAGATCCGTATCGATAAAAAGCAAGATAAAGACGTGACGATACTTTCAAATGGGTGGATATTCCACTTGGTATCCCTGTCTCGTTTCGATCATGAATGCAACAAACAATGAAGGTTAGAGAGAGCGAGAGAGGGTGACTTCAAGGCAACAGATGAGACGTGTCAGCGCTTCTTGAACCGTCCGAAGTGCTCGATTACTTTAGAGGTACTCAGAAGCGATCGCAACCGTTGAAAATGACAATAATTGTTGTTTGGAATTGTGGAAGCATTGACAGCAGTACATATGGTCCCCCGACCAAACGTGGTCATTCCTTCTGTCAGTGCTTTTGAAGTTGTTTGAGGTTACCGTATGGCGGAAATCCTGGTGAAATCACCAAAATGCTTGGACATTGGCAGTGAGATTGCACTTGGTGGTGATGGCATACCAGATGTTTGATGAAAAGAGTCTTGTGACCTGGAACCCATGCATTTTCAACAGCAGCATTCAGACAAGCCTCCGGTCACGGGAAACGGAGATACGTTGGAAATCCAAAACAAAACGGATGGCCTTGACTGGCGATCTCAACGTGTCGCTTGCTAAAAATCAGAGTCAGTTGGACTCACGTTACTGGAATTGTGTGGAATAAACAAGAGGAACAGGAGTTGTTGGATCCCAATATTTATCCAAAATTGAATGATCAGAGACACAGTACTGGAAAGCAAGCTCTGGATCCAAACATTTTTCAATTTTGTCACCAACAATACGTTTTAGCCCATGTTGCAGAGAAGCAGATATGAAACGACGAAGGGAACTATTAAAATACTGCATTTCAGTGCCTTTACTTATCACCACCTTCTTGCCGTTGAGAAAAAAAGTGGTACCTTTCCCAGAGCTCTAGCATACTAGAAGGTATACCTGGCTCCCTGGCCTCACCTTCTTCCAGTCTTGGTTCTTGATCTTGTTACTGCTGTTGTTACTGCTGAAGTCACAATTATGAAAGCTTTGGATTTCTGGAATGTCATCAAGTGAAAGAATGAAGCAAACTCCATCAAAGTCGTTCAGATCTACCCTCCCGTGGTCTGTCTCTTCGTGCATCGGCTGACGTGTCACTGGGATATGTTCTTTCAAAGACATTCCAGAGCCCGCATGTGTGGATCAACAACGAATTGGCCTTCTGTCGGAAACCCCACCAACAATCGAGAGATTGGACTTGGTTTCAATTGGCAGATCATTTGTCAGTTGAACATTCTATTGACTTGCCTTTGAAATCATGGACACCATGTTTCATCACCACAAGACGGGTCAAAAGTAACAACCTGGAAGCATGCTTGCAGTAAAGAGTCAGAAACCCGGACATTTTCCTTCAATACCGATACACTGCATACTGCCGTTTGTGTGAACTGCTGCTTCAACAACTAGTCTGTAATGTCAGAAGATTACAATGGATTTATTTCAAGAGGAGACGCGGCCAAATGCACTCTTTCAGATTTAGGTGGGCCGGAAGATCCAGTAAATGCGTTGACGAAAGACAGAGGGCTATGACACAATCACGTAATCATAGAATAACACGGAACACGGGCATTACATTTTATCTCGCGATCAACATTGCACTCTATGTTTTATTTGATCCAGGCGATTTGAGCTGCACAATCCTACACGTGAAAGCAGGAACGTTCGTGTTCATGTTTAAACTCACAACGACGTGAAAACAACCAGCTTTTGCAAGCCAAGATGAGACTTGACCCGGACAAGGTGGTTCAGTAGACGAATGAGAGACATATGCAAGGCTCTTTCGCATGGCCTCATCTAGTCAAACAGGCGACCTGCAAAACAATTTGTTAAAGATTCAGACAGAATTACGACATATAAAGTATCCGGGAACGATTGAAGAATACGGGTATGTATTCATTTATCCTCGAATTTACTCGCTTCGAGTGATTACGCGTATAAAAGAGCATGAAATTTTATGGAAAACCAAAAAATGCAACAACTTTGCAGTAAACAAGAGGATTCGTTGATGTGCAGAAAAAACTTGAACTGGTAGCATTTTTCACTTGTATGCGTACTGATCTCATATATCGTCCCCTTTAACAGGTCAAAGAAGGGACATCCATCTGCATTCCTCCCATTATTGCACTACATTCTCTTGGATTATTCCCAACGTCTAGCAAGGAGATTCGCGTCATCTGGTTATGAATTGTATGCTCAAAAGGACGCCAGATTTGTTGATTCTGTATACAAACTCTTACGAGACCAATTCGGATATCGACCGGCCCTGAGCAAGGAACAGTTTTTAACAACAGGCTTTGCCGAACGAAAGCTGATACTAATCGGAGACGTTATTCGTCTGTGTCGTAATCTCGACGTAGATCTAGCTCGTGGCATTGTGTCTGATCCAGTACAGCCAAGCCATATCATCGGATCTGCCACTACTGCGTTGGGTCTTGTAGTAGCAGCCAACATGGCCTCAGCGACACCGCCAGACAGTAATGGCCCGTTGACGTCTCCACTGAGCAGATCTCGACAACTCTCTGGACCATTAGCAAACAAGACGGTTAATGCACCACCTACTGCATCATCGAGTCTGAAGACAACACCGTCACGTCTAGTCCAACAACAAACAACATCGACAACGACCATGCCCAATGGTAAAAGGACGGGAACTTCTAGGTCTACGTCGGATTCGTCTCATATACCTTCTGCCGTGAAACCGCCTCAGCCTCATCGAAAGCTTTCACCGTCAAGATCGGCTGGAGTGGGTAATATACTAGTAGGAAACAACGTAATGCTTTTACCGAATAAATCGCCGGATGAAGTGTCGTCGTGGCCACGATCTCATCAAGATGGTAATAATGCATGGTCATTGCTTAAACAAGGTATATAGTGAGAAAACATTGTTCACGATACACGGATTCCTTTTTTTTGCCGATGCAATAAGTGTTCTCACTATCCAATGTCTTAGTAGGAACGAGTGATGTGCAACAGTCACACACGCATTCGAGATCACAATCGCATCAAAATATGAATGACTCGTTTCCACATTCATATCTGCAGAGTGCCGAAGGAGGAACTCTAGCATCTTTAGATTCGCCTTCTGATCAAATCGCATCATACAATTATAATAATAATAATAATGTCCCAAGACCCATAACATCACACCCTCCGATAAATCAACGTGAGGATATCCCACCAAACCATCGCCTAGAAGAGACGTATATAGATGCTGAATCTATAGTAAATCATCCACCATCTAGATTCATGGCTACAGATGCATGGTCTCTACATGTAGCAGGCAAGTCATCGTCACCGCGGAAGGGATTCGCGGATGGATATGACAATGCAGCTGCAGCCCCGTCACCGACAAATGGAATCTTATCTTACGAATCACCCCAACGGCAGATACTACGACCTAGTATGCCATCAGGCACTAATTATGCATATAATACTTGGCAGAATCCTGCACCTGGTGAACAGGATGGGAGACTGCTGGATGGAGATTTGGACGGAGGGAATGATGCTTCGATTGCTGTTGAACCTTCTGCACCACCGTTACCTCATTCTGATCTATTGCCTCGCCAACCAAACCAGTCGTCATATAAAGCTGACGGACTCGATTATCCTCCACTAAGGAGATCGATACTTAAAACTGGAGATTCGCCCCCACGACCTATGTCAACAACAATAGGCGATGGTAGTATTGGGATACGTGGAGTGACATATCCTCAGACATCACCGAAACGGTTTAGGATTGAAGAACCGAACAATATACCGCAAAAGGACATCCCTAGTTTGAAATGGTCGACGAATGTTAATAATAGTCAGAATACTGCTGCTCAGTCGCAGCAACAGTATCAACAGAGTATTTATTCATCACAGAATAATGACTATGGGTACATAAATCTTCTACCTCAAAGGCCGAGTGATGAGACAATAGCGAGCAGTAAAAGTAATCAGGTGGATGCGGACCAGCCTGGGCTAATACGTATGCTGATGAGCAAGGTGGAGGACCTAACAAGAGCAAATGTGCAACTACGTGTGGTACGAGAGAGGATGGTGCTCACAGTCACCTTTTGTTCTTTTGGATTTGACTTTTTTTCATCTTGATTCAGGAGGTTGTCGGGATGGCGAAACGAATCGATTCGTTAGAAAACATCATACATTCGAATGATGAATCGATAGGGTTACGGTTAGCTAAACTAGAACGTGTGTATCAGCAGCAGCAGCAACCAATACCGCCGCCGCATCCACTTCCACAGCTACAGCAACAACATCCTTCAAGTGAGGAGAAGCGCACTGGTACCCATTTGACGAATGGCAATGTTGCTGGAGTAGCTCTCAAGGAGTCGCACAATGGCGGAATGGATGGCTCTAACAGTGGGTTGTCATGTAAGTGATGAAGGTCTTCATTCAAATTGACTTAGTATTCATTTTTTCTCGTTTCAAGGGGTGCGGAATCCAACATTTGTACCCTCGACATTATCATCATCACTGTCTCGACAAGATACTGTAGACTCTCATGAACCTTGTCCTGCCTCTGATATTCGTCCATCTGAATCTCAACCAGAACGAAGATTTGCTGCTGATCCTGTGAGTGCTGTTGCAGTGTAATGGAGAAGAATGAGACTCACAAAACTACGCCACTCCTTCGTTATAGGATGAATCTGCTGTATCGCATCAAAGGCCACTTTCTGAGCCTGGTTCTAGCTCTGTACGTATAAAATATGACATAATTTTTTGGCTGTCTCATTTTTACTGACAACATAACAATAGGCGACGGGTACAGCACAGACCATTAAAAGGATGGAAGAAAAGATGCGTCAATTACGAGAGCGCACTAAGGGGTACGGGTCCTCAAGAGGACCTACATAAATTGTTTCTCTTTGCATATGACAAACCTATATGAATCGCATACTTTTGTATTTTGGACTCTCCTCGTTGTTTTTGGGTCTCTTTTTGTGAAATATAACCGCCTATTACATTACGAAACATGTGAAGGTGTTGTGTATTGATTTGCTGGTACTACAAGAGAGTATTTTTCTTTGTATTTGGAAGGAAACTATGGTTACAACGAGGTCTTTCTATACTAAAAATATTCATAATAATTGGTGGTTTGTTGTTTGTGGAGAGCTTTTACGCCTTGACCCTAGATTACTTTGATATTGGAGTCTTTGAGCTTTCTTCAGTGGCCAATCTCAACGATAATCGTTGCGACCTTGCAGGTGGTGGCCCATTCTTGGTCAACATACGTCTGCCAGCAGAACTTCCAAGAGTAGATGGTCTTCCACGAGTATCAATAGACAAGCGACCATTACTGTTTCCAGCATTGTTTGATTTTATATCAAAGGATTTGACGTCACGACCACTGTTGTCATTCAATGCAAATGTGGATCTATCTAAAGATTTACTACGTCCCAGACCGAAAGACGATGAAGAAGCAGCTGGAGCCAATGATGAGGTGAGAGAGAATCGGTCGAAGGATACACGGTCAAGTTCCGATCCTTTGCGGTCTATGGTTTTCATGTCGTATGATGGCATGCTGAATGATCTGGATAGAGAGGCTTTTGATGATTTTGTGGATGCTGAGCGGGGTTCGTCGTATGCGGATTCGTAGGCGTTTGCTGGGAGGATGTCATATGCTGAAAAAGGTGAAAATGTTAGTGAATCATGTAATTTGACTGAAAATATTGGCACAACTAGTACGACATAACATACCATATTCACCCAATTCAGAGAGGTCACTACCACGGTATTCCTCTTCGTCAGATGGACGCAAGTGAGTACCAGGCATGAAAGCCAATACGGTCAAACTCACAAACGTGATGGCAAATGCCCAAGCAGCAATTACCATACTACCGACAAATTGGTATAATACTTGAACAAAGTGTTGGTCCATCCAACCACCCACTTGTCCAGAATTGTCTAATCCAATTACACTGGTCTGAGAGAATATACCAGCCATAAGCATACCCCATATACCACCCAACCCATATATAGCAAATACGTCTGCATGATCTTCAATTCCCAACAAGTATTTAATCTTGGTCAGGAATTGGATAAAGAACCCAGACGAGATTCCGACTAGAATTGCTGCCCATGGTGCCATGAATGATGATCCAGGTGTGATTGCTACGAGACCAGCTATGAGGCCCTGGCAGAGTGCTGAGGCTGATACGCGACCGTGGGCCATGTATGATGCGATAGTCCAGGAGAGTGCACTTGAGGACGCTGCTAGTGCGGTGGATGCAAAAGCGACGGATGCACGGGTTGTCATTGCACCGAGAGAGCCTGTTGTGAGACCAAACCATCCGAATGTGGCCAAGCCGGTACCAATCATTACGTTGACCACTATTGGAGTTGATGAGGTTAGTATGATTTCATTGACCTGTAACATGCGAAATAACTACAACAATACAGTCAAATCAACTTACAGTTGGAAGGACGCACAACTTCAGCACGGCGGAATCTACCAACTACCAATAAGAAGGCAAGAGCCGAGAATCCAGCAGCGATATTAACTGGTCCTCCACCAGCCAAATCATAAATCCCAGTTCCAATATTTCTCAACCACCCATTATGTGCCCATGTCCAGTAAGCAGCGACATCATATACAGCTGTAGTCCAAATAACCACAAATATAATACCAGGAACCAACCTAATCCGTTCAGCAACAGCACCAAAGACAATAGAAACTGCCAAAGCAGCAACCATTCCTTGTTGCAAGTAGAATGTCACAGATGGGACAGCAGGAGCAGTGTATATTAAAGCGTTGGCACCAACATTAGCCAATCCACACATGGCACAGTTACCACCGAATTGGGAACCCGTTTCGGAATATGCTAGGGAGAATCCAAAGAGAGTCCATTGTACGAGTACTGTGCATACGGCGAGTATGGTCATGGCCATGACGGTGAGTGTGTTTTTGGTGCGAGCGAGTCCTGAATGGTACAAGGCAAGACCCATTATTTGTATAAAGATGAGGGATGTAGACCAAGTCATCATTGCTATTGCTCCTGTATCGGTGGGATAGGCCGTTGCTGAGTTGCCCCATGATGCTGCTATTGCCGTTAACGACGAGTTTTGATCGGTCCCAGAAGGCACTATTTTAGAGATTCGTTAGCTTCGTCAATTTGGTTTCGGCTCAAAGACAGGTGACAGCTCTTAGCAATTTGTGCTGTCACGCTGGAAGCTGGACTACCAGCTGTTTGTTATAAAGCTCTGTACGTACTTTTGCTATTTGCGGCAGTCGACAATCAGGTTGTTGCGAAGTAGCTGCCCCTTGTTTTTACGTAGTCCTGGTCTGGTAGGTCGATCACTGTACGAGAGAATTATTTGGGAACTTGTCAGATTTTTAAATTGGTTGGCCGCAAGATTGGCATCTGCAATTTGTTTGTCATGGTTGAAGAAAAGACAGTAGGTTTTTGACCAATCACGAAAGGACTTTCGATTTTCAATACGGCATGTCCCCAGCAAAGCACCGAGATGGCTCTCACTTACAGCATTTGTTCTGGGCTGCATTGTTTTGCCGGTTTCCTGCAGTCGTTGTTCGTGATCAGGATCCATGGGTTGGGAATTTTTGAACGTGGAGTCATTGAGTCATTCCACTCGCTGTTCACAATGGCGCACGACGAGAAAACACATTAGACCGAGACTTGAATAATAGATTGTATATTTTAATGACTACTGCTGATTGGCATTGGTAGCCCTTTACCGTCTTTGCCACCATTCGAGTTGACTTTAGAAGCAAAGTAAAATGCAACACCCATTAAAATCGAGCACACGGTGAAGAGTGTAGACTTTGGTAGCGAGTCCACCTTCAACAATACTACCACTACAATCAAGTTTAATGGTACTCTAAAGACGTTCATTACGGTAGCACGAATCTCTTCAGGTATTAGTTTCCCTCGCAAAGTTCCAAGCGTTGGGAAGTATAACCCACAACAGAGTTCAAAGGAACAGAACGACCAGAATAGAACAAACTGATTCTGTAAACGAGGATAAATGGAGATTGTGTGAGTAGGGGATATGTACACGTTCTATCACGTTTTGTCCGTTTTTCCAAAACGAGAAGCAACAAGCTTACATCGGGAACTACTACTGGAATGAGGAAAGAAACACATGCGACTGCCAGCGTCGCCCTTGCGATCTCCTCATGTGTATAACCCGCACTCAACATGGCTCTGAATATCACAGAACCAATCATAATGGCTACCATGAAGGATGCGAATATAAATCCATACGGTAGATCAACATTTTTGCCTAATGGTTTGAGAATGTTTAGCGACGAGGACAAAAAAAGAAGGGAGTCGCAAATGAATGCCTTACCGGCAGCGGCTTCCAACACAGGGGGATAAAGGAACACAAAGCTGTACATAGCACTCTCAAACAGTGATTGAATGGTTCCAATCGCCAATATGTTGAAGTCTAAAACAAGGCGGGCCAAAAAAAATCAGGAAAACGAGAACTGGCACATTCCAAATGGACAAACTCACCTTCGCGTATAACTTTAACGGCATCCATTATAGTCATGTGCTGAGCATTTGCTTGCTTCTGATGAACACCGTAGATATGATCAATACAATGAGTCTCGACCCGATACAGTACAAACAGACGTACCTCTCCGTAATTTTCATTCCATGAGGAGGCTATGACCACTGCACCCACGAGTAAACACACAACGGCTACCATGAATGGTGCTACAAATCCACCGATTGGAACGACAAAGTTGGCAATGAGACCTGATATGATGGCTACAAGACCATTGACAAATGTGGACCATGAAAAGATGTCTCCCAATAAGTTGGAAGAGAAGCCTGAGTAAAAAGGATAAAAATAGGGGTGAATGGCCAGTTTTGCTTGAAAAATATGCACATAGCTCTACCTCGTGAAAAGTGCTCTGACACCATCCAAGCTTCAAACACTGAGAAGAGCAACGATGTGCTAATACCACCAGTAAGACGTCCAAACAATAGAACGGTATAAGTAGATGATAGTTTGGTCAAGCAAGATATCGTGTACAGGACACAAAAGACCAGACATAGTCTCTTTCGACCACTATTTTTGAAACGGGAGGAAGGTGCGGATTGAGAAATCATTGTTGAGCGATGGAGCAGTATAGGGAACGAGTATTTACAATCGGTCAGCAACAGATCCAACCAGAGTTCCAAAGACGGCCGAGGACAAGAACCCCACAATGAAGAGAATGGCAATGTCGTTCAAATCGTAACCATAAGATCTGTACAGTGCATAAATATAAGGTCCTTGTAACCAGTCAGACACTATTGAAAGAAAGAGAGGGTTTTTGTTACTAGACGTCTATTTGGCGACCATGTTCGACATGACATTACATATGACAATGGCGTATACGACGAGGTAGTTCAATTTGAACTTTGTAAAGAGAGAGGATTCTCCATTGAGTTGCTTTGTGGCAGCTTTCGTCTCGTCGGTATCGACATTATCAGATGCGGGTGGAGAGGACTCCTTAAAATAGTAGGAGAGAACAATGCATAGAAACACTAGCAGAACAAAGGATTTGGCATAGAATGGTGATGCTGGCAGGAGCACCTCGGTTGTATTTGGGACCATATCTTGATAAGGGACCCAACGTAAATGCGAGAAGTTTGAGCCTCACATCGCTATGAGCGATGGAGTATCCAAAAGCGGTGTAGTAAACGAGGATGTGGATTTTATACGTGAATTTCAGTTTACTTCTTGAATTAAGTTCGTGACCTTCTATGTGATGACACGTCGCATTCTTCCTCATTTAGGTTGACCACATCGAACTCGATGGGCCGGAGAGGTTGACCACCAATAGCAAGATTAGACCTGCCAGAATCCTACAAGCTTTTCCTTTTTCAAACTGTGGTCATGGTTTACACGGGACCGCAATCTTGAACCTGAATTGACAGATTCTGCCGCATCACCTATTAAACTGGTACTTTGGAAGCCAAACGCAACCATTTTAATGATTCGGCCTTCCAAGTGGAGTTGATGGAAATGTCCTGACAACCCCTTAAGCAAGCACTGGTTGGTGATGTGTCCTTTGCGCTCTTAGAGAACATGCCTGCTATGATAAGACAAGCCTTGTTTGAATCAGTTTTGACGTTGATCCGTCCTTTGACACATCTGAACAATGAAAATGAGAAAGATGCGGTGCACTTTCGTGGGTGTTTGTCAACCAAGTCAAAAACACGGTCTGGGGACACAGAACACGTCGCTGATGAAAGAGAACATACTTTGGTTCGCGCCGATATGACGGCTCGTCTAGAACGAAAATACTTAGATTCATTCTCAATCACTACAAATATCATCATGGAACAATCAATATTTTACAGTCATTCAAAATTCAAACAAATAAAACAACAAAGCTACACGATTACTGTGTATTCTTCGCGTCGTACGCCTAGGGACCACGCGAACACGACAAGGGTCAGGGGAATATATGATCTATGTACTGCAAAACTACTCTTCTTGCTTTAAAGTTACAGGAGGATCTACTGCTTCCAAAAAACACCCCATCAAATCAAGCGAAGTCAGGATCAAACCTCACACTTGATTTACCCTCATACTCAGCCAACACACCAAGCTCCAGCTCTTCACATATACAAGATACTATAGCTCGTGTAGCAACAGGATTGATGATACTGAGCTTCGACACCACGACAGCAATGGATACTTGTTGAGTGAGATCAACAAAAGCTAAGGAGCCTCCTAAACCACCATGACCAAATCCAGTTGATAGTTCACCATTTTTCATATGAAGTGGATACTTCTTGAATCCATATCCGAAATCGTTTGTGGATGGGATTCCTGATGCGGCGTCACCGGCATACATGGTGGTCACATCTTCGGAGGTGTAGAGACGGGTACCTGTATACGATGGGTTCTGACAATCTATAAAGTGCTGGTACAGTGTGCTTAGACCCGCGGCAGAAAAGTTACCACTTGCGGCTGGGATGACTGATCGACGGATCCTCAAATGGTTGAAGAAGGTTGGGTTTGCTGCTACAGGGTTGACCTATAATGAAATGAGGGTTAATAAGACCCAGTCATCAACGCATTGCGTTTTTGCGCTTTTCGGTCACGAAATGAATTGAAAAGAAACTTTACCTTAATATTACGACTACGCAATCTTTGAGACAGGTTGGCTGTTTGTTGTTGCTGGACGGTATCTATTAACAGATTGATTTGAGTTCTGTTCCGACAGAAATAAGCGATGAGCGATGGTAAACATGCTTTTTTGGCTTACCTGGATCAGCATTATCAAACAAATTCGGCGATGCAGTAGTCTTTACATCATGTATACCAGAACCAGGTTTAGGATGTATAGCTCCATTCGTACTACCATTAGCTACACCATTACTTTGTGCAGGTGGGGAGGCTTGCAGAGGATGACCATTCAATTCGGTACTAGTGCGAGTTACAGGAACAACACCGTTACCAGTAGCAGCCATAGTATCAGCAGATCCATTTGGCATATTCATAGATATCTCAGTAGACGTTCCACTCAACATGGCATCAATACCATCTAACATGGCCGGGCTCATACCCCGAGCAATCATCATTTGTTTCAGCTCGTTAAGATCCCATTGATTGGCTCCTAATCTGTTTTCTATACCACTTGGAATACCTAGATATCCATATTCACCAACACCGACATTGTCAAGGACTTCGTGTCGGACCAAGTCTTTGAATGTTTTGGGTAGTTTGGTAGATTCAGGTAGAGCTTCTAATACCTTTTCACATACACCACCGACTAGCCACCCAAAGGATAGGAAATGATATGAGGATTTGCCGCCTGGTTGACCATCAGCAGGCTCTGATAGCTCCATCGATTCTAGCATGGTTTCCCAGGACGTCATTTTGAAGGGATCTGATTCCTGGATTGCTATAACAAAAAAAAATAAGACATAATACACTGGCTACGCGTCCATCAACGGCCACCTACCATTGCCAGCATCCTCTAATCCAGCTCGATGTGATAGGAGATGGGCTATTGTCGTACGTTCTTTGGCGGCTCGTTTGGCTTCATTTTCAATACGTGATGCAAACGTAGGCCAGTGCTTTATAACTAAGTCAGAAGGTTTCATGTAGCCTCGTGAAATCAATAGATTGGCAGCAGAGGCGGTTATCCCCTTAGAACACGAAAATACTGGAAACACGGTATTTTCGAGTACAGGCTGCGGGTCATAAACTGATATAGGCAAAAAGATTGTACTGTAAGCATTTGAAAATCACCAATAACGGTGGAAAGTCTTTGCAGACCCAAACGCATTCATACCTCCTTGAACACCAGCGGACAAATTTGCGACAATTTTGCCCTTCTGGATAACATGAACTTGAACACCGAGGATTTGCTTTTGATCAATCAAGTCCTTGACTAGTACTCGTAAGCGTGCATCCAGTTTCGACAATGGAGCAGGCATATCTAATAATTTTCCATATTTGCCAGTTTCTCCAGCCAAAGTCGTCAGCAAAAGTTCAGCAAATGGAGCCATAATCTCCAAATGCGATTGTCGTGTCTCAAGCTCGAGACACAGACCACGGAGCAAGGATATCACACGGCCAAAAAAAATTAACACTCCTGGGAAAGATTCCTAATTAAAAAGGGAAGAGTTAGCGTCAAACAAATTTCAACGAGAAATTCCAAGCACTCACTTTGGGCTTCTTCAACCCGGCCTTTTTCGCCTCTTCCTTCTCCTTCTTGATACGTTCACGGTCTTCAGCATAATCTTTCTGCCTCTTTTCACTCCTTTCCTTTGCAGCGGCTTTCGTTTCTTCAATCGACGTCGTTCGTCGAAACACGAACTGAATCAGCTCCATCGCTTTATCAGGGTCGTCCACAGGAGACTCAAATCCAAGTTGCTTGAAACTGGCTAGGAGACCAGCAAAATCCAGATTCCTGGCCGACAGTAGGCAGCGACAGAGGGCAATAGCTTCATCGCGAGTGGCTCGCTGTAGGAGAAACATGGTCAAAAAAGGCGGTCAAAAGAATAAATATTTTAACAAATCTCACCTTGCATAAACCAAAATCTAAAAGAGCAGCACGATACGAATCTGTGCCATCTTTTGAAACCAAGAAATTACCGGGATGTGGATCCTATTCATTTTCGATAATCTGAGATTCAGAGACATTGACGAAGCTGTGGGAACAAGTGATATATACTTACAGCATTCCAAAAAGATATTGTATAGAGCTACAATTGAGGTGTCGTGAGCTTCAGTCGTATGCAATTAAGTAGCAAATACTGGTCTCGTTACCTGAAAGGCGTAAGCACGAACAATATGCTTGACAATGTCGTCTACATCAGCACCAGCGGCTTTCATCTCCTTGGCCTGAAGCATTTTAAAACCATTGATATAATTCATGACCATGATCTTCTTAGTGGTGAGTTTGAGTACAGGATCAGGGAAGGATACGTTTATGTACAACGGGTCATCATTGCTGGTATGATTTCCCTTTTTGTTGTGTTCCGAGATTGCGTCTCGGACTTCTATAGTGTTCTTGGCTTCAGTCTGAAAGTCCAGCTCCTTCGGGACCTCGCTAGACCATTCAGAGACGATAGGAGTAAAATCGTAATCAGGTTCAAAGTATGCTACAATTGCCATCAGCAGTTTGAGATCTGCCAAGTCTTGCAACACCTGCATGAAATCGTATGAGCCAATGTATACATCAGTGAGAGGCCTGAGACATAAACTTACGCGTTGACCAACGTTTCGATGTTGCACCTTTACAACAACTTCACCTCCACCATATTCGGGCCTAAGCACAGCGCGATGTACTTGAGCAATCGAGGCTGTAGCTAGAGGAGTCTCGTCAAAGGATTCAAACACTTCCTTGAGGTCTGTTATCTGTAGTTCTGAGCAGATTGTTCGAATTACATGAGCTGTAGGTTTACGTGGCACCGAGTCTTGGAATGCTTTGAATTTGTCGACATAATTGGCGGGTAGGACGTCGCCACGCGTAGATAAGTATTGCCCAGCCTTGATCCAAAGGCCCTCCATTGATACAATGGCTTTTGTTACCAAGACTGACAGGCTTTCGTGCGTTTCGTCCCAAATCTTATCTTTCTCTTCCTCCGTGCTCTTCTTATGAAACCATTTGATCCTCTTCTGAGTGAGCTTTACGCCAAGAAAGAGACCTGCGATCGAATGGTGTGAGCAATCGAATATCGTGAACGTGCAATTCGTTCTCCACAGGCAGGCCCCTGGAATTTCTGACTCCAACACTAACCAAGTCCAATTCGAAACACATAGATGCGCCTGAAGAGCAGCTGTATGCGTTCCAGCAAGCCAAATGAGTCTGATTTTGAGAGGGTCTTGTTGGACGAGAGAAGAGGAATTGTTACGCTCATTTCCATAAATTTGGAAGCGGGCTGACGACTAGGAGGCGTAGATTGGCGATTCTTGACCTTGAGACTTTGCATCATCCTGATCGCTAGACCAAAAAATGAAGAATGAGCTTGGAGCTCGAGGACGGCAGACGATGCAAGGCAAAGAAGAAGAAATACGACTTGCCTCCAAGATACGTTGCTAGGATCCAGATATCCGCAGATCCTTTGCTCGTCGATAACGATTCTCAGCGATTCCCAGCAAACACAGTTGTTGCCAAATTACGTGGCAGTAGTCAGAGCGGCGGAACGCCTAAACCCTTAGACGCCAATACTCGAGATCCAGTAGATCTAGCTTACAGTACGGAAATTCGATCAAGTCGACTAGTTCGGCGCGTTCTAGCCAGGTTTACGCTACTGTGCTTACTTGCTTGCTGGAGTAGTCGAGCTTTGCATTCCTGGAGATCTAAACGCGTCTGTTTCGAACGGTGAGTAATTGACAAAGTAGCAATCGTGGTCTTATAGCGGTGTAGGCGTTTTCAGCTGTCTCTCCCTGTGTAGGGGACCCTGACTCTCTGAAACTCACAAAACTGGCAGTTTTCATGGTTTGGTTTGAAAGAACATAGACCTTCGCATATATAACTTATAGTAAGTATGTCTTCATATTTTGACGATCCATTAAATCCCTTAGCAGGAGCAGATGTGTGGGGAGATCTGCCTTCCAATTCGCCACGACGCCAGAAGTCAGCATCTCCAGAACTGCCTACTGCACCTCTCTCCGAACAAGTCAAGGAACCAACTCCAATATTATCTCCTACATTACCAAAACATAATTTATCGACGGACGACACAAATGTATTGGAATCAACCCCCACACTTAAAACAGCATCAACATTAGGAACATCGCAGTTACTCGCTCCTATCAATGGCAAACAACAGGTCGAACCATCTTCAGATTTAGCTCGTGTCGCTGCATATACCGATGCAAGTACCTCCTCATCACGACCGCATAGCAGTATCACAGTGGATCGCAAATCATTGGCATACAGTGTTGTCTCTGATTCATCTACTAGGCCAATACCACCTAGTGAAGCCGGTGACGCTGCAGAAACGGATGATGATGCTGCCTCTTCGTCGTCATCTGTAAATGCCATACCCACTGAACCAAGTAAAACACCTGCCACCCGACGAGAATCATCAGCTTCTAGCTCTCTTGGTGTTACTCCTGCTGGTCCGTTAGGACCAGACCGCATTTCCTCTGAATCGGAGGGAGGGAATGGATTGATGGCATCAGTCGAAAGTGTATCTAAAATAAGTGAAAGTCACAGGTATAATTATGACATTAGCGTGGGCGACCCGCAAAAGGTAACGGAGGGGCTCAGTGCTCACATAGCTTATACTGTTCGCACAAAGGTAATTAGCAATGATCATGTTTCTAATTTTCTGTTACTTTTCTTTTTGCTGTCGGTGCATACAGCCTAGGAACTAACAGTTCTCCCGTTAGACTGATTCGCCATCATTCCGAAATAAAAATGTCTCGGTGGTTAGACGGTATAGAGACTTCCTGTGGTTGTACACTCAGCTCCTCACAAAGTATCCTGGCATCGTTGGTAAGCCTGTTCCCTGACACCTGTTGAATCACCATCACGATGACCAACCGCGCTCCTTTTTTTCAATAGTTCCGCCTGTACCAGAAAAAGCCGCCTTGGGTCGCTTTTCGGATGATTTTGTTGAGAGTCGACGAGGTGCACTAGAGCGCTTCTTACGTAGAACAGCATCACATCCTATATTGTCAAACGAATCAGATATGAGGCTCTTTCTTGAATCCGAGACTTTCAATGTTGATGTGAATCAAAAGAAAAAAGAGGAAACTGCTAAAGTTGGTGGTTTGTTTGGAAGGTTGGGTCAGTCCTTGACTGTTGCTACTCCGTCGTTTAGCAAGGTTGTTGAAGTCGACCAGGTAAGATGTACTGTCGTGAGCGCGCTTAGTGTCGTGTGAGCGGGAAGAAGCGAGGGTTGACACATCATCAACAATATAGTGGTTTGATACGAAAAAGACTCAGATTGACTTGTTGGACGGACAACTCAAAGCATTGTTGAAGGCTTTAGAAGGTCTGGTGAAGCAAAGGAGAGGTAGGTGAAAGTGCCAAAAAGAATCGTAATTCAAGAAGAATTGTCTCTCACGACGTGATTACGTAGAACTTGCTCTTGGTTTGGCTGAATTTGGTGAATCCATGCTCGCTTTGGCTCAGATCGAGGTCAACAAACCACTGGCATTCCATCTGACGACATTGGGTGATATACATAAGAGGTTACGAGAGGTTCATGAACGACAGGTTTGTTCCATCAATCCGTGGTACCAATGATTTTTTGTTGGTAGCTGATAGCCCCTCAAAATTAGGCAAAGCTTGATATGCAGTCACTTGTTGCTACTACGGATGAATACATACGGATTATCGCATCCATGAAGGTTTGTGGCTTGTGCAGAGTTGGTTACCATTGGTCGTACTAGACCACTCATACACGAAAACACCACAGAAAGCCTTTGAAGCACGAGTCAAATCATATCAAGTCTGGCAACAGTTAGACGCGAATCTAACAAAGAAGTTGGAGGCACTAGAGAAAATGAAGACAGCTAAAGGAAGACAAGACAAGAGGACACAACTTGGAACAGAAATAGATGAGGTAACTTCTTATTCATTTTCAAAAACTTTGGCTGATATCCAAACGAACAACCTACGTTTTAAAGGCCGAGAAGGGTGTTGATCAGGCTAAAAGAGACTTTGAAGAAATTTCCAAGTTATTACGATCGGAATTGGCACGATTTGATGTTGAAAAAGTTGCTGACTTTACGGATTGTATGCGACAATTCCTAAAAGACTTTACTGATACACAAGATGAGGTAGATATAACAGAAATACTGCACTGGATGCGAGGTGATTCTCGTAGCCAATATGTTTTGCTCCTTAGATCATTTCCCTCTGGGAGAGCTATTTTTCTAGGATTAGTCAATACGTTGGGTCTCCAATTAGTCAACAACCTCCAACTCAGATACCAACACCAGGAGCGGCAACACCTCCAATGGTTGCCGACAAAGAACTGCCACAAGCACCACCAAAGCAGCAGGCACCGTTCGATCCGCTATCGTGATAGTGATGTACAGAATTATTTGGCAAGAATAATAAATACAGCGTTGTAGGATAAAATTACGTGTTTCGTTGTTTCTGGTTGCAGAAAAGTGTAAATCAAGCTAAAAGCAGCCATGACCAAACGAAGTAGGGATGCCGCGGCCGAGGATTTAGGATTTTTCTCGAGTATTGAAGCCGATATAGAGCCTGAAGCCGCCCCGTTGATGGATGATGCACCCATAGAACCAGAAACAAACACGAAAAGTGCAGAACAGGAAGTAAAAGGAACCGGTAGTAATCAGAAGCCATCTAATAATGAGCCTACAACTCGACCAACTAGTAAATCACGTACGAAGGAGTCATCCAGTGGCATCTATGCTCCATCGTTTGCAGAAGCAAGTCAAGACCCATTATCACATTTAGCAAAGAGATATTGGAGCATTCCCGACTTGGTATCGCGCCCATCTATACCTGTAGCATCAACTGCAGATGATGGCGCTGAAGAACCGACTGGTAAAAAGGTAAAGGCCAAAAAGGCTGCCAAGAAAAAAGCAGCTGCTGCTGAAGCAGAGAGCACTGCTGAACCAACCAGTAAATGGAATCCAGATGTCATCAAACAGATATGGACTGATCTTGTCAAGAGTGGATTTTCAAGATCGAAAATCATGTTGCTCGAGTACCTCCAAACTCTTGAAAATGTATGTGCGATGTGACTTGTTTTCTTTTTCGTAAAGCCTCATTTCTAACTTTATATTTACAGTACTTATGGCCACATTTCAATCCCGAAGAATCAACTCTGGAACACGTATTATGTCTAGTCATCAACATTAACGAAAAGTTTCGTGAAAAGCAGTTCTCTGTCTGGTCTTCCTTCTTGACAACTCCAGATACCGATAGTGTCAAGTTTGCCGCATTCTTCAAGAGAGTCATTCAGTTACTGTTGACTCCTCTTGATCTCAACTCGTATACATATACATACCACACGACAGCGACAAAGAACATAGAGCTAGATTTACAGATACGTAGATTCTTGCTGGTGTTTATGATTCATTCATTTGCTAGTTTGGAGACTAGTATAGTCAGATCTGAATGTCTTAAACTTGCTGGTGTGTCAACGTGGAGCTGTCTTGTTGACGAAGATGCGAGAGAATCCATATTTAAAAAGGCTGTGTCAACACGTAAATTATGGAATCGAGCCGAAAAGAAGCATCAATTAGCAACTAGTGCTGCCAAAACGGAGCTGGAGGTGGAACGTAGTGTGATTTCAGAACTCATAAAACAGTACTATATAATATTGGCCAGTATACCTGAATCAGGTCCAGCACCATCACATTCCATTGCATATTGTGAACGCTTCCTGGAGTTCCTGACTGATATCGAGTCACAGCTACCAACACGACGATATCTAAACACGCTGCTGCGTGATCATTTGGTAGTCGCCATGTCATCAACCTCGAACCTGGCTAAACGCGGTCGTCTACATATTCAGCATCATCAGGATATGTCCTTATCGCTACCCGACGACTGGAATGCCAAAGATGTAGATTCAGGCGCATTGTTTGCACTCATGGTAGACCGACTTGCATTCTACGTTAGCTTTGAGATTGACGAGTTGACTAGCATGCCATTGTCCGAAACTGAAATCACACATGCACATTATGAACGTATACAAACGTTTCAGAAACTGGCATTTACGGAATTTAAAGATACGTTGGAAGAATTCGCTCTTGAGAATGTAGCTAGCATTGACTCTGCCCAGGCTCTTGCATATCATCTTGGATTGCTAAGTCATGATGATTTGAGGAAATTGTGCCAAATGCTGGGAGTCCGAACTGAAAGGTTTTGGGCTGGTGGTAGCGCTGATGATGAGGGTGTTATGGCTGATGTAGCAGGGTACTTTGATAAAGAGTTTTTGATTAGTGTGTTGGTCTCAAACTATGAGAGGAAGGAATCTCAGATTGAAAAGATTAACGCTACGTCGTTGTATCCCGATGAGGTATATTGTTGTGAACTCAATTTGAAAATCGTTGAATCTTTCCCAACCAACACCTTTTTTTCTCGTCTGCCGCAGAATATATTATTTGATGATTCAGCCATACCAGACCCCATGTCATTCACCAACACCCATTGTCTGGCTATACCGAAACTCAACCTACAATTCTTGACGTTGCATGATTATCTTTTACGCAACTTTGAATTGTTTCGTCTCGAGTCTACGTATGAAATTCGACAGGATATTCAAGATGTTATTAAAAGGATGAATCCTGGTTACAGCTCTGATGTGTTGACTCCGGATCATGCTGTTATCAAAGGTTGGGCACGGATGGGTATCCCTGTAAGCTCGGTAAGTCCAAAATATGGGATCGGCGAAAAAGTTACAGAGGCCAATTGGTTGCTTTACACAATAGGTTCAAATTGTTGAAATCGGACCACCACGATTGGGAGAGAAGAAGCCTAGTTTTGTACAGGCTGATGTGACCTTCAACGTCACGCGATTCAATGAATCCTTGAAACGAGAATGGGATTCTCTCAATCCCCATGATATAGTATTTCTCGTCGCTCTTCGTATGGAGCCAGCTCTTAATCAACATGCTGATCATGATGATGAAGCTTCTGGTGCTCACTTTAGACGTAAATATGGAATCCAATACATTCGAGGTGCAGAAGTAATCCACTATATAGGAAGAGACAACAAGGAGGATTTCGTCAAGATTGACGTCCCCTTGAGTGAGCTCCAAGCCGTGACCAAACGCCCAAACATGACTAAGTACCCTAGTCATGACAAACGACCCAGCAACGAACGAATTTTACGAGTAGCACTCGACACAAACCAATATTTTTCCGATATGAAGACGAAGGAAGATGCATATGATAATTTCAATATCTTGATTCGACGAAGGCCCAAAGAAAACAATTTCAAATCTGTATTAGAAACCATTCGAGATTTGATGCAGTCGGAATTAGTGGTGCCTGATTGGTTGCAAGATGTGTTTTTAGGATATGGAGATCCTAGCAGTGCACATTATTCCAAAGTGGTGGTTAAATCTGCTACGGAGGAAGGTGGTGCTGTGGAATTGACCAAGGATTGGAGAGATACGTTTTTAAGTTGGGAGCATCTTGTTGAGAGTTTTCCTTCAAAGGTTAGTACTTAGTCGTTTTTTTCTCGCCGCATTGAGGATTGTGGTATTATCAACATTTGAAATATTGACGTTCGCATTCTATACGAATTAGAGCGTGACCTCTCTGAATGGTGATAAACCTGAACCACCATATGTTGTTACATTCCCACCATCCATGTTTGCTACCGATGCTCCAGCAGGCATGACTTCAGGGGTAAAACGTAAATTGCATGGGGAAGTGGTGGAAAGTAATGAAGAGTCACTCGTAGTACGCACATATACGCCACTGAATATGGGTCCATACCCTGAAGACGTGCCGAAGAAGAATATCATCAGATTCACACCCATGCAAGTCGAAGCCATCCATTCTGGAATGTCTAACGGACTGACTGTCGTAGTTGGACCACCAGGAACTGGAAAGACTGACGTTGCTGTCCAAGTTATTGCCAATATCTATCACAACCATCCCGAACAACATACTCTTATCGTCACCCACTCAAATCAAGCATTAAATCAGCTTTTCGAAAAGATTATGGCGCTTGATATAGATCCTCGGCACTTGTTGAGGTTGGGTCATGGTCAAGAGGAATTATTGGGTGGTGAATTAGGTACATGGTCGAAATCTGGACGAGTTGAAGCATTCTTGGAAAAGAGACTTCAGTTATTGGCTAGGGTTGATTTGTTAGCGGCTGCTATTGATGCTGTGGGTGCTCATGGAAGTACTTGCGAGACTGCATCCTACTTTTATACATATTATGTCTTGGCTAAATGGGAATCGTATTATTCTCGCGCTTCCAAGAAATCAGCAACCCTTAAAGATATTGTAGATGCCTTCCCATTCGCCAAATACTTTGCAGATGCTCCTGCACCGTTATTCAAAGCTGAAATGACGCCCAAGGAAGCTTTAGATGTCGTAGACGGATGCTGGCGTCATATAAGTAAAATATTCCAGGAGCTAGAAGAAGTACGAGCATTTGAATTGTTGAGATCATCTCGAGACCGAGGCAACTATTTGCTCATGAAGGAGGCTCGAATTGTGGCCATGACATGTACACATGCTGCTCTAAAGCGTCGAGAAATGGTGGCTCTTGGCTTCAAATATGAAAACATCTTGATGGAAGAAAGTGCTCAAATCCTAGAAGTAGAGACCTTTATACCATTGTTGCTTCAATCACCCGATACGAATACCGGCGTATCACGACTACGACGAGTAATCTTGATTGGAGATCATCATCAATTGCCACCTGTAATTCAGCATACAGCCTTTCAACGATACGGAAATATGGAACAATCCATGTTTTCTAGATTTGTGAGACTCGGAGTGCCGCTAGTTGAACTGGATCAACAGGCACGTGCACGACCATCTATAGCTGAATTGTTTAGATGGAATTATACGCATCTAGGAGATTTGAAGTCTGTGTTGGATGCGAATGATGAATTCAAGTACGGAAATCCGGGATTACCGTTTGAATACCAATGTATAAATGTAGATGATTACTTTGGTAAAGGTGAGACTATACCTACTCGGAACGTTATTCAGAATATGGGTGAGGCCGAGTATGCTGTTGCTATGTTTATGTATATGCGTCTTCTTGGGTATGTACAACGTTGTGTAGCAAAGTTGAATACGTCAATGCAGGGTGGTCGTTTCTGATTTTTGTTTATTCTTCACAACAGATATCCAGCCAACAAGATTGTAATCCTGTCCACGTATAAAGGCCAACGAGATCTCATCAATGATATACTCGCCCAACGATGTGAAATCAACCCTCTGTATGGTCGTCCAGCATCGGTACAAACGGTCGACAAGTTCCAAGGACAACAATCAGACTATGTCATTCTCTCCTTGGTTCGAACCACTACAGTAGGATTCATGCGGGATGTACGACGAATGATTGTAGCCATGTCTCGAGCACGATTGGGCCTATACGTCTTGTGTCGGGTGCAACTGTTGGAAACGTGTACTGAATTGCATCCTATATTTGCGCGACTCTTGACGCGTCCTACGGACCTGTGGGTGCGTCCTAGCGAAGTGTTTGGTGTGCCCGAACGGCTTGTTACGGATCCTAGAATTGTATATACTAGTAAGAAGGTCTGGGAGGCTGTTGGTGAAGGTGATGATAAGCAGGTCAAGAGCTTTGTTATGGCTGGGCTTGCGCATCTTGGAAGTTATGTTGCGCAGATGTAAGTTGCTGTTGGAGCAATTGTCTGGAAGATCATCCATCATTTTGCCTGACATTTTTTTTCTCCTTTCTCTAGGTATGAACAACAAAGGGCCAGGATTACGGAATTGAAAGCTTCCGCTTCTCAATCATCTCCAGCATCAGCTTCGACGTGATATTCGCGACCTGATCATAAAAATCTGTAGTTTGCTAGAAGAACAAAAGAACTTATTTTGCACGCCAACCTTATGTAACAATGTCAGAGCTCTAAGCGACGTCGCGACTTGTCGCTTGGTTGAACAGCACATGTGTCAATTCTTTTCGCTTACACAAGTTCATGACGTAAAGTCGTTTGAACAGTCAGCACGGAGAACAAGAGGAAGCTAGTAACTGGATAATAGTCTGTCACTTTATTCGAAACAGTTTTACAGAAAGATGCCTACATCTCAGGCGGATAATGTGTATTCGACATCACCACCCTCAGCGTCGCTTGCGAACAGCTCAACCCCAATAGAAAGACGACCCTCACGAGGATCCACAAATCATGCCTTGCACCGTAGACCATCATCAGCAATGAACTTGCCCGCATTACAAGTTGAATGTGTGGTTAAAACCAGAATTCCATCAGAATTTGGCGGAACTTGTATGCTATACATGTATGCCAACAACCATGATACCGTCGAGCATTTAGCCATAGTCTATGGAGATGATATACGGTCGGTGACGCTCGAGGCTGATCGACCTGGAGATACAGAGTATGATAGGATGGTGAGGGGTGCGAGGCCCAGAGTTAAAATAGATGCTAGTAACAGTGCTGGACCGTCGTCGTCGCATGATGCAACCATAGATACCCGTAATGACGACGAAGATCAAGTCATGGAAGCAGCTCAAGTAGAAGACGACGAACCGTTAAGATCTAATGGTATACCACTACCTCCAGGCTTCATACAACCACCTAGCGCTGTATTGATGTCTCAAAAGCATAGTAAAAGTAAACGCCATAGTCAACAGACGACGAAAGCACAGCAACTGCCACCGCTAGTACGAATCCATTCGTGCTGTTTTACTGGTGAAGTTTTGGGGTCATTACGATGTGATTGTGCTGAACAGTTGCAAGAGGCTATGAAGATGATGTCCATAGAGAAACGTGGGATTGTGTTGTATCTGGTGCAGGAAGGGCGTGGGATTGGGTTGCGAGAGAAACTGAAGTGTGTTTGTATTGGCCTTAGTATCTTTCTTGCCCCAAGTGACTCACCCACCTCTCTTTGCAATATAGAGCATACAATTTAATCGACCAAGGCCACGACACACTAACAGCCAACGTCCTCCTCGGCCATCCACCAGACGCACGAACATACCACATTGCAACAGCAATGCTAAAAGACCTGCAAGTGTCTGAACTCCGGCTCCTAACAAACAATCCCGATAAGTTATCATCACTAGAGAATGATGGTATAGTCATGACTGAACGGATATCCATGGTGCCTGCTTCATGGAAGCGGCTAACAACAATGGGATCAAATGGATCTGTGCTTGCATCAGCAAACATTCAAGACCGGGATGGATATTTGATGACAAAGGTGGAGAGGATGGGACATATATTAGATATACCGCCACAGATATCGTCGGCTGTTAAAGCGCAGAGGAAGGCGATAAATATAAGCATGTGGACGGGTGGTTGACGCGTGGAGAATACATAAAATAGAACGCGAGCCTCTTTTGTTTGATTAAAGTATTACATTTCTTGTATGGAAATTTTGCTGGTTGGAGAATTTCAACGTGAGGCACGGCAAATTGGGATTTTAGATGACAGATTTTCTACCTGCAATTTTCTTGTTGACACACACCAAAACAAGAATATCTACAACAAGCCAAACTTCTCTAATCAGCGCTATTTCATATTCACGCAACAATGCTATCAAAGACCGCAACTCCGCAAGACTACGAATTCATGAAAGTGGCTATCGCTGAAGCGAAGGTGGGACTTGGACAAGGTGGTATGCCTGTAGGTGCTTGCTTAGTTGACAAGTAAGTTCATCTACTTGCGGTTCGTTTATCAAACATTGTCGTGGTGCATCACCGTTATCTAACATCTAACATTCCCCCTTCTGAAAGGAATGGAAAGGTTCTTGGGGTTGGCAAGAACCAAAGAGTTCAAATGGTAAGATGTTATCAGTTTGAATTCAGTTTGACAGGTCTCGAAACTGATATCGTCTCGTTTGTAGAGCTCGATGTTACGACACGGTAACATACACGATAAAGATAGCTTGGACCGACCTGCCATTTCTGATCTTTTTTCATAGGCGAGACGGACTGTATTGAAAACATTGGAAGATTACCTGCTGATGTGTACGCTAATGTAAGTCGGTTGGTGGCGGTGAACTTTAAGAGGGGGGGTTGGAGCAAAGCGAAACTAACGAGGACACTGGATCGGTGTCATAGGCAACACTCTACACGACCCTGTCGCCGTGCGATATGTGTACTGGCACGATAATCCACATGGGAATAAAGCGAGTCGTCATGGCTGAAAACACTAGCTTCAAAGGTACGTTTTGAAAGTGTGGCTGCCAGATGAAGGACATAATAATTGACGACTTGCTCGTTGATTCTCGTTTCATGATTGTTTGAGAACGAAAGACGCGATCTATGATAATTTACTCGTTGACTCTCTTTATCGTGATTGTTTGAAGCAGACTTCTTTTTTAGGTGATGGTGAAGATTACATGAAAAGAAGAGGTCTAATTGTGATTAATCTCGATATCGCCGAGATGAAAAAGGTGACTCCAGTGAATTTTGACCTCCGTTGCTCTCAAAACACGAAAAGTAACGCTTCCGCATTTAGATAATGTCTGGTTTCATCAAAGACCATCCGGAACACTGGGATGCTCCAATTTAAAATAGTAGTAAGATTGGAGAATTAGAAAATACAGACGCAATGTCTTCATAAAATGCGTTGATGCTCTCGACGCGCAATTACAAGGAACAAGGAATTGATTTTCTTGCACATATTGCAAACCAAAAATACACTCGCTCGAAGCAGTCTAAAGTTCGCTTCGTCAACTCCAGTATCGAGAAACTACTGTTCTCCAAGGAAACCAAGGAAACGCGTCCGGAAGTCCGCTCCGGAAACCCAGCGCTTGTGATTCGTCAGTCACCCAAATCCTCCATTTGGACGCAAACCCACATTGTATCAAGTGAGCACCGCCTCCCGTGAACACCAAGCAGCATCATCAGTCTTACGCAATATGGTACGCGTTTTGGCACATGCACCGGGCGTGCTTCTCTCTGTGGTGTTGTGCATTCCGGTGTTTCTCACTCAGTTTGCTTTCAAAATACCAACAGGTTTCTTCCTTTGACCCCTGGCAGACTTACGTACACGTTCTAAGTATCATTGGAGGCTGCTTTGCCTTAAAGTCAGCCTTTGGTCCTCTGATTTACTGGCCAGCTGTGAAAGAGGACCCACCACGTCGTGACCATTGTTACCATGAGAAATCGCAATATGTGATTGGTTTTCTATGCTACGTCTCCTGGGTCGTACTAGTCAACTTGGCACCCAGCCATATGGATGAACTTGATGCTTCGTACCTTGTTGCTGTCATTCTTTATGGTGAGTGCCGAAACCCATACGCATCGGACAACTTTTTTGGCATAGCAGATTTTTAAAAGTTGTTCGACTTCGTTTTTGGTAACAGGAAACTATATTTTCGATCTATTGGTGTACCTGGTTCATTGGACAGAACTCAAGCCAAGCTTCAAGTCGTATTACATCGTACATCACGGTGTTTGTTTGGTCGCCCTATTGATTTGGCGATGTGCTGGTGGATCCTCTACGCTTCAACTTGCATATACTGTTGGATTTATCCTGTGGATTTCAGAGGTACGAACGACTAGAGGGATATTTTGTGGATGTGCAACGAATGAGGCTCTGTCGCTAACCTTTCCCATTCCTTTCTACTTTCTAACTATCACAGCTCCCTCTTGCATACCTCATCCAACTCATCCGCTTCTCCTACCCTCAAGTTTGGTGTACTCCACTCCAAATCGGACTTGCATGTCTCGCTCAAGTGTGCTCTTTGATGTCATACATTTACGTAGCCTTGCATATTCCAAAATCAGAGTGGTTTGGAGTGACGCCTATCTTGCTCTTGCTTATTGGACTAACGATGGGTGAGACCCATGTATATCTGAATGATTTCATAAGAAGAAAATCATTACTTATCGAAAATCATATCTTAGATGCTATTGACGCCTCTGGTACCCTATTCTTCCTGATGAAACGAATCAAAGGTGGTCGCAAAGCCAAGCCTACAATCGAAACCAGGAGGACACCTACGCATTCACAAGCTGCCTCTCCCCAGACACCAAAAATAAAGTCACCATAAGAGAATACAACATGTGTCCTAAGAACTTATTTTGTCATAACGTCGCAAATATATATCAAGTGGTGATTGACTTCAAGATGCGTACTTTGTTCCCGCAACTGTTGGAGACGATCCACGTCTTCCGCGTTTCTCAGGGAATTGAAGATACACTATTAACCACTCTGAGTTAGAGTTAGCATCTCTCCGTCCTCCGCAGCATCACCGAAGATGTGCTGATCAGGTTCAGCAGTGTCTAAAACCTCAAGTTGGTTGGTCTGTTTCAGGTTGCGTATTTGGTGTCAGCAACTTTGCATCCGTTTCCAGAAAGCAAAATCTAGGCCAAGATGAACCAACTGTGACATGATCTGATCCTCATCACGTCAAAAATGTATTCGTAGCACATCACGCATACATCCAGCGTTTGGTTCCATCACATCATCACAAAAACCGGTAAGCTTGTGAAAGAAGAGAAAGCAGATCGACGATAAACTTCCATAGGCGCTACACCAGCCTGCAAAAGTAGAACGATTCATCCACAGAACTGGCAGATCGAGATAACGACTAGCTTGGGCGGACTTAAGTTGAGCCAAGACAAAAAGAGAAAAGTTCTAAGGCCCACTACTTTAATAAACAGGACAAAAACCACCCAGATAATAGAATCTAACCAGGAAACCTCTAATGTAAGTCTACAGAGCCCCTACCAATGTAATCCCTTCTGATATTGCATCAATTGATGCATGCATCGCATTCCAAACCTTCTGCTGTGCTTTTTTTTGGAGACACCACTGGGGATGCGTTTTTGGTCAACCTTGTTCTAATAGTTACCGTCTGTTTTTTCATCAAGCTCGAGGCTCTGGGCTCATCTATTTGCTAATACACTACATGTCTTACTCAGAAATCAAGAAACAACCAATGGCATCAAAAGCAATGTCCGGAATGTCGTCCTTGGCGAAGGACTTTGGTGACTTCATCAAGAAGGGCAACCTCGTCGATTTGGCTGTCGCCTTCATCATGGGAACAGGTAAACAAACTCGATGTGAGAACGTTTGTTCACCCACATGTGCTAATGCCTTCATCATGCCCTTAGTCTTCTCGGCCGTCGTCAGCTCATTCACCAATGATATTATCATGCCATTCATTGCTCTCGCTGTTGGATTAAACTTGGACCAGGCTTTCATCTTCTTGAGAAACCCTAGCCAAGCGCTTTGTGCAAAGAACCCAACCATCGACTGTAACAACATCACTACAATTTTACAAGCTCAAACCGTCGGAGCGTGAGTAAATTGGACCCAAACAACACCTTCAGTGGATCATTCGGAAGTAAACACATTGCTCTTATAGTATCACATGGAACTGGGGTCGCTTCGTCAGCACAGTCTTCTACTTTATCATTGTTGCAATCATTGTTTTCTTTTTGGTATGTAGTACTGCCGCTTTCTCATTGTTTTGGTTCCGTTTGGGTTTCAAAGTTTTCAGCCTTCATCAAGTTCTTGATTGTCTACTCTGACCACTGGTCACTCTATGATGTACCAACCCCATTTTCCATCACAATAAGGTCCGTGGATACACCAAGGCCTTTGTCAAGCCCGCTCCTGCTGTCGTACCATCTCGCGCTTGCGATTTCTGTGGGGAAGATGTCAAGGACAGTGCCAAGCGATGCCCCCATTGCACCTCTGAATTGCCTCCATTGTCTGTTGAAATCAAGGGTTAATACAGAACTCTCAAGGACATTTTATAATATTCGCCGTCCCATCTCTCTTCACTACTATTTTCCCCAACCAATGTACACGGTGCTTTTTTTCCTTAGCCTGTCATTTATTGCGGACATGATTCTTTAATACACTCTACTCAATATCCCTCTATGCACTTTGTGTTTTTGAAGCGTCCTCTATACGTCTGATGTCTGTTGGTATGTTTTTTTATGTCGATCGCCGCAAAGTGCAAAAACGACGATATCAGACCGTGAGACCTTGCAGGAATATTGGATTGTGTGCGCTGATTGCAATGACTTGAAAGCGAGTTTCAAGTGTACAAGTCCCAATTGCTCGGCAAGAAAAGGGACAACAATAATACTCATGACCAAATGAAGAAGAAACAAACACTACACAAACACATTTTCCAATTAATAACAATTCTTGCAATGTGGGATACCATATGGCGCGTGCGTTATATATATTGTAAAAACCTTGAATGCAACTCAACCTACAGATCTATTTATAAACAACCACACACCCTCTTCCGATATTCTATCCTACACCCTAATATGTAAATTCAGCCACTACACCATCAACAACAAAAGGCGGATCAAAGTACAATACATGAGTGTTTCCACGTCCTGTACGGATCCCCTCAGGTGTAAACGCTTCTGCGAGTACTTCATTGCTGACCATAGGCTTGACACCATCATCACGAGTACCAACAGTAGCATGAGGATGTACATTTACACTCTCAACTGGCAAATCAGTTACCCTCAAAGCCATAGTTTTGGTTTCATCCCATACGACACTCGAGATTGTCACCTGGACATGTTGAGCACCACGAGCAATGATATTAGCTGCAAGGGCACCTGCACGATCATGTCGTTCATCAAAAGTGTCTGGAGCACCTAGCTTTGTCATGGCCAATGTAACGTGTAGTGGAGTTGTTTTGATTCTGTTCTGGGAGACGAGGTGATTATAAAAGGATGCTTCGTCAGGATGTGCTTCGAAGAGAGGATTCAAGAATTCCTTGACATCAAATCCATCGAGACGTATACCGTAGTACTTAGGTTTATTATCTTTACTGTTATTTTTGGATGGTTTGGGTGATGCTTTTGATGATGAGGCTGAGTTTGATACGACCTTATGGACAGTGATTGGAGTTTGTAAGGCGACATCTAGAGCTGTTTGATATGCTTCCTCTGTTGGTGGTTCCCATCCCATGACACCACATACTTTGATCAAGTTGACCCGAATATCATCTTCCATCTTCATATCAACGATATCGTCTATTGCAGCATCATCTGGATGGTCAACATCGAGAGGATCACGGTTTCGAGTAAAATTATGGATTACGGCTTTGTATCTGGATGTCTTTTTCGGTGTGAGAGATTGATGGTTCTCACCACGAGCATCTACGCGAGCAATAGCAACTTTGGCGACATCATCTGCATTTTCTGGAGCTATCTTCCAGTCTAGAGCTATGATACGACCACCTGGATATCGGTATCGAAAGGCTTCTGTTATACCTTTGCGATGTTCATGGAGGTGATTGTTTTTATCGGCGTAAACAACTAGATGATTATCGAATTCCTTCATGACAGTAGACACAAAGACGGCGGCACCATTCTTTTTGGCTGTGATATTGTCGTTCTGTACGTGGCTAATACCATACAATTGACCCATGATGAGACCTGTGATATCAAGTCAAAGCGCGAATTGGTTGGATGTTGCGTGAGCTGATCAACAGGAGCATGCTACGTCATACACATGGTACAAACCTAGTGTAGTCTTTCCAGCACCAATGGTAGCAATGGGAACGAGAAGAGTCTTGTCAGATCCATAGCCACCAGGGCGACGACCTGCTCCAACCATATCAACATCCGAGCCACTTGGAGCAGCTCTTAAGCCTGAAGCCTCGAAGCCATCGACCAAACCAGCAGCACCTTCTTCTTCACCCTTGTACGTATTTTCACCTCTCTTATATTCTTCTGTTGTGTTGGAGGCTTCAGAGACGATACCAGCACCGACACCAGGCAGATGATATTCAGTCAAGAAGGCGTTTCTGACATTTATGATACCTTTATTATCTGTGTAGCCAGCAAACATGCCTGGATCCTGACGCCTTTTGCGTTCGACCCAAGCGAAATACTGTTTGGACAAGGTATATTTAGGGACAAAGTGGTTTCCCTTTTCTCTGAGTATGGATTTGGTTCCTTCTCGCCATTCTCTAAACATCAAGTATGGTTCGTCGTACTTGACTTTAAAGAAGTGGGCTCGAGTAGGGTTTAATTTGAGGTGTGATCGTACTACAAATCCTTCGATGGCTCTACCATCATAGGATCCACTTGCTCTCAAAGCATCTGTAAACTCTTTTACTTGTTGTATATTATCCATGAGTAGAGTCTTGACGCTCAAGAAGCCAAACTTTTCAGCGAATGGTACCAGTTCAGCTGATGGCCAAGATGCAAATTCTGGAGTGTTTTGATTGATGCCATGTAAGAAGAGACCTCGACGTTCAGGTGGATATTCTAGTATATGTTCTTCAAAGTCGTCATCACCCAATTCAAATACAGCAGTGACGTGGTGTTGTTCAAAGAAGGCAGCCAATTCAGCTCGAGATTTTCCAACACTGGCTAGATGACGATCCATCCATTCTTCACCGACTTGAGCGTGTGACTTGGCGTCGGCACTACGAGCAGGACCTGTAGCGTGTTTTGAGGTGACGAGTAGATGACCTTTGACAGCAGACATGAATATGATACAACCATTTTCCTTTGTAGTGACTTCATATGGGGCAGTTGTGTTGGCTTGCAACCACGACCATGTAGTAGCTTGGACCTCATTGACTAAAGTAGGTGGAGCGAGTTAGTTCTTCTTGTTGGGGTACCTTACAAACGAGCAACGAGAGCAGAAGGATGCAAATGAATCGAAGTGGCGATTTCATTCGTCATCAAGGTCTGTCATGTCAAATACGACAACATACCATTAAAGAACTTATCATAGCCACGAATGACAATTTCCCAGTTTCCGTTGCGATCATCGTCATCAGTACGCTTTTTATCCTTGTCAGATGCAGGCCCTTCATTCAAGTTGCGAACAAAGAGTCCTCTGGCCATAGTAGGGAATGGACAGTCGGCCTTCTTGTAGAGCCATTCGTTGCAATTGTAAGAGTATACGTGAATTCCAGGAGGATCCATGACGTATCGAGATCTGCGGACTTGTTTTGATTTGCCAGTTCCCTTTTCCAGAGCCGAGAGGGACTGAACCATTTGGTTGGTCGTCATTGTTGCCATGTTGCGATGCTTCCAGATCAGATAGAGAGCTCCTTAGTCCTGTTTCTGATGCTATATTTGATATAAGAGATAATCTTTTACGACTGATGTACGAGGTTTGTTAATGAATAACGCAAAGTGCTTGAAAGGACTCCCGTGTCAAGGTGTCCAGTGTGTGTCTAAGTCGCCCAACATTTCTGAGAAAACTACACATTAGACTAATGAGCAATTCCAAAGTTCATTGCCGTGTATTTACGCGTCAAAACGTGTCTGGAAGCCTCGAACTGTCGAGTCAAATCTTGCTCTGCTTGCTGATTAGACAAATAAAAAGCGTAGTGATCTCCCCGCTGAAAGTTTAAATGGCACAACAAAGGTATTGTTCAATTTAAAATAAGTATTTAAAACGAGGGTCCGTCTCGCTTCGATCTGTTTTAGGAAACTTCATTGTTCAACTTGTCGTTCATATTTTTGCACACGCGAAAAGATGATGACGACAAGCGGAGAGCCTGCGCCGGAGGAGGACTTCAGTGGCCTCTCACTGATCGAAAAGCTTAATCATAAAGTAAGCCGTCGTCACTGTCCACTTACTTGGCAATCAATTCCTAACCAGTGTTGTTTTCATGTTTGTATCAATCCTAAACAGAGTTGGCGTGCAAGAAATGAAGGATATGTAGAGCTAGACAAGTTACTCAAGACATTGGATCTAGATGCTGAATCAGACTACCGCAAATACACTGATGTTGTCAAAAGGATCCCTGTCGACTCAAATCTCATTGCTCAAGAATGTGGTTTGACTACTTTATGGACGTTTCTGAAATACGCTCCCTTGTCTATTGCTCAGAAGTAGGCTGCAAATCACATATAACACTCTTATATCGCTGATCCAACTATTTGCTGACTTGATCACCGCTTGCAATTCAGAACTCGATCAGTCGTATTGCCCAGTCTCATTGAGAAGGGTCTCGCCTCTGCTCGATCTGGCACCCGTTCAAAGGCGTTGGAAATTACAATGACTTATGTGGAATTAGAAGTAGCAGATGGCGTAGTGGTAAGAATTGTACAGCTTATGGACGAGCAGTCGAATGCTCTGAATGTGGAGTACCTTCTTGTCCAACGGCTGTTTTGTCGCTATATAGGACGATTTGATAGCCGGCCTTGATCACAAAACACCAAAGAATATTGCTGCTTGTATAACAGCTCTCAAGGAAGCAGTGAGGTATCACAGTCTTTGAACTAGTTCCAATATATTTCTCTGATTATTCCTTCCAATCCTCTGATTAGACTGTTTGGGGTCAAGGTTGTTAGTCCGAAGTTAATCGTAAAACAACTTGGAAAGATATTTGATCACAAGGACAAGGCTGTTCGCGCTGAGGCATGTATTCTTCGCTTGGATGGTTCCGTGTTTACGTGGAACTAATTTAGTGAAGGATGTTAGGGCTTCGCGTTGGTAATTGAATTGAAGAGATGGCTTGGAAATGCTCTAGATGCATCACTTTCGGATTTGAAGCCGACGCAGGTGAGGACTAAAAGACTCGAAGTATTGTACTGTGAAACTGACCTTGGGATTCGCTATAGATAAAGGAGATTAATGATATGCTGGAAAAAGTACCGACAGAAAGGCCTGTGGCAGAAAGGCATACTAGATCCCAGCATGGTGTAATTGGTGGTGTTCCGTCTGGAGGTCAGTTTCTTTGTGCGTCAACATGTCAAAAACCCATGAGATAAATGAAGGTCTACCTCTAGGTGAACAATCTACAGATACATTGTCTTTAGCGCAAAATGCACCAGAACCTGATCCCATGGAGTTTTTGGATGCTATGAATATACTAGATCATTTACCTCCCAACTTCTATACCAATCTTGTGAGTTTTATTGCAAAATGTTGATCGTACGCAACCCTTAGATTTAATACCGATGATTTTTCTAGGTTGCACCCAAATGGCAAGATAAAAAAGAAGCTTTGGAGGCACTATTGAACCTGATTAAGGGTAGAAAGTTGGAAGATGGGAGGTATCATGAGTTATGTGGTGCTCTCTCCAAGGTATGAAAAATACAATTTCGCATACCACTTTGTTCCTTTCTCGTCTGACACGTAATTCTCTCAGCGTATCGCCGACACAAACATCTACATTGTCATTGCTGCTGCCAAATGTATTGACAACATTGCCAAGGGTCTCAGATCCCACTTTTCACAATATCGAAGCATTGTAAGTCTGTCAAAAAACACTCTCTCAAAGTTCTCCTATGTTAACAATAAGTGTTTTTAGGTGGTTGAACGTCTGATTGATAGGCTCAAGGAAAAGAAGCCCGCTGTTATTGAAGCATTGCGTACTGCATTGGATGGTGTTTCTCTTTCGGTTTGTAATGTTCTAGATTCTGCGTCTTCGTTCGCCATGGGTGCTGACCGAGCTTTAATAACTAGACTGGCATTGCAGACAATCTGAACGATTTGATGGAAGGTTGCTCGAATAAGAATCCTCAAGTCAAACAAGAGTGCCTAGCTTGGTTGGTTCGTCTACTCAAGGCCAGTAGCAAACCGCCATCAAAAGCTGATATTAAAGCTATTGCTGAAATGGCCATCAAGGCATGTGTTGTTGGGATGCAACCACGTCCTCCTTTCTTTTGGTTCGCTATGAAAGCTAAACCATTGTTTTAGATCTTGGATGATCCCATACCAGATATTCGTAATGTCGCTTGTGAAGTACTTGGAACTTTGCTTAAGAGTATTGGCGACAGAGCCATGGCGCCTTATATGGAACGAGTGTCTGATAAGATCAAGGCAGACAAGATTCGAGAATATGGTGCCAATGCCGATGTTGCAGCTGGTGGACAATCTGTGACTCAAAGACCCTCAGTCGCTATGCCTAGCGCTAGTTCTTCTGCAAGGCCTTCTACTGCAAAAGTATAAAGATCCAGAATGTCAACTATTTCAAAATGTTTTCTAACCTCTCACTACTTTCACCACTGCTAGTCGGTTCCGCTCAAGGCAACCAAAGGTGTTTCAGCGTCTAATTCGTCTGGAAATGTGAGTAATACTCTCCATATTTGCGAGCCTCCTTTCTGGTGTGCTCAATTTTTTTTGTGTTAGATTGCTGGCGCAGACAAGAAGAAGAGGCCACCATCGGCAGGAACCAAACAAGCTGCCAAAGAAATGGACAAGGAAGAGCCGACAGTGGTCTCCTTCAAACTCTCTGACGATGCAGCCGAAACGCATCTTGTAGAATTGGTTGGCCAAGAAGTCGTTGACCAATTGTCTGATGCCAATTGGAAGAATCGACTATTGGGTGCTGTTGCTATACTGGAATATGTTGAGAGAGCGACAATGTCGGAATTGGAACCTGAAGGGTTTGTCAGAACCCTGGGTAGAAAGCCAGGTTGGAAGGAGAATAACTTTCAGGTATCGATAGATTTGCCGCTCCTTTTTTTTCGCTTGGGTGAAAGCCCAACTTTAACCACAAAGCCCATTCTAGGTTATGACGAATATGGTCAAGACTGTAGGAACACTAGCAAAGGATAATGCGAACTTTGGTCGAGGTTCTGCATCCTTAGCTATTCCAGGTAACGCAAAGCAGTTGATTAAGGTTTGAATCACGTGGGACTAACTGGTTCCTTTCAGGCTTGGTTGAGAAATTGAGTGATGTCAAGATCAAGAAGCTTGCAACTGAAGCTCTCACATCCATTGCCGCTTCAACATCCCTGCAGTTCGTACTCCATGAAGGTACGTAAAGTCTTATCTCCTTCAAAAGCAGACGCTAATCTCGTCCTCACTTGTAGCTATCGAATCTCTTAAGCCACAAAAGAGTCCCAAGGTCTTACAAGAATCTCTAACATGGATGCAACAGGCTTTACTGCAGTTTGGTACAACAGGAGTAGCTACACGTGACATAGTAGACTTCGTCAAATCGGCGTTAGCCAATAAAGATGCTCAAGTACGAACTGCTGGTGTCAGTGTATTGGGATCACTACGAATGTTTGCAGGACCAGGTTGGTTTTGTAGCCCTTTCATTATTTGTGGTGTGATGTAAATGGACATTGACATATCAGCACATTGATAGATTTGAGAGCATTGTTGACTGATCTTAGTCCCGCACTATTGACTACCATTGATGCTGAATTCGACAAAGTGGCTGCATTGGCACCACCAAAACCTACTATTGCTGCCATTCAACAAGCAGTACAGAACATCTTGTTTGTAAAGTGTGAACATTTATCCGCGGATCTAACTTGTTTCTGTACTTAGGGCACGGATATTACAGAGTCGACAGAGGATTTGATACCTAGAACGGATATCAGTTCTCAGATGTCGACAGAGTTGATATCGGTGAGATGTATTCCTTTTCTGTTCTTGGTGTCGTTGGGCTGACGTGTTACGTTCACGGTTTGTTAGGAAATCAACGATGCAAACTGGAAGACTCGTCAGGAAGGACTGGACAAGGTGCTACAGATTCTTGAATCAGCGAACAAGAAGATCAAACCAAACGTTGGTATGTTGGGAGTCTGAACCACCAAACATAAGTCGTGATTAAAGCCCTTTTTTGCTTTTTTGCAGGGGAATTGATCTCAGCACTCAAGTCTCGCTTGTCGGATTCTAACAAGAATTTGACGATCAAGGCATTGGAAATCATTGGTGTGCTTGCCATCGCTATGGGCAAACCATTTGATCGATATGCTCGTCTCATCGGTACAGCTATTGCATCATGCACTGCTGATAATAAAATCCAAGTCCGTACAGCAGCCACCTCGGCGCTTAATTCCATAAGTACTGCCTGTAAATTGGAGCCCATCATCCCATCAATCGGTCAAGCATTGGCTGCAGATCAACCCTTGTTACGAAAGGACTTGCTTAAATGGTTGTCCGATCATTTAGAGGCATCTAAAGATACACTACCAGACATGCACCCTCTCGTGCATCCTATATTAACGTGCTTACAAGATCGTAATGCTGACGTGAGAAAGCTAGCACAACTGGTTATTGCATATGTCTCTGAAGGAGTTGGATATAATTCTTTGGTAGACAAGGCTGGAGAGATCTTCAAGGGTGCTGCTTTGGCCTCGATAATGCCATCACTAGAAGCATTTAAGTCAAATGGTAAACAGCATCAACAGTCAGCTGCATTGGCTAGTCCTGGTACACCAGTCAAGGCCGCTCCATCTGCTCCTACTAAACGTAGTAATCTTCCTCCACCATCTCTTAAAGAACCAGCGGGAAAGCTGACAGACAAGTCGAAACGACCCATTACTGCTCCAACCGCGCCATCAGCTACTACGAATCTGCCGACTAGACCGGGAACAGCCGCTTCAACATCTCTTGCGTCAGTAGCAGAACCACCCATATTAACGAGTGATATGAGAGCTAAGGATCAACGAGCACAGGCTGATCGTGGTCTAACCAAATGGACGTTCGATCAACCACGTAAAGATTTAATCGAATTTTTAGCAGAGCAATGTCAATCACAATTCTCTGCTGGAGTCCATAACTGGCTGTTCAGTACCGACCACTATAAAGAAAAGGATTTTATACTGGGTTTAGCTGCTCTAGACGATGGAATGGGTCAAGCTTCAGCATACGATCTTGAGCCAGAAGAACTCAGAGAACGATATGTAGCAAATGCAGATCTCATTTTGAAATACCTCACAATTCGATTTTTTGATACCAATACCACCATATTGCTCAAATGTCTTGACTTGCTCGAGAATTTAGTAGCATTGCTAGATGAGCATGGATATCGTCTTACCGATTATGAAGCTGCTTCGTTTATGCCTTTTTTCATCAACAAGGTAAACTGTTACCCATTTTTCGTCGATAAATTGTTCTGTAACACTGACGGACCTCCATTGATTTTAGGTTGGTGATCCAAAGGAAGCCATGAGAGTCAGGATACGTAACAGTATGCGTCAAATTTGCAGGATTTATCCAGCTAGTAAAATGTTTAGCTACCTTATGAAGGGGCTTGAATCCAAGAATGTGAGAGTACGCACAGAATGTCTGGAAGAGTTGGGTATTTTGATTCAAAGGAATGGGATGGGTGTATGTAATACCAGTAAAGTGCTGCCACCAATCGCTGCTCAAATCTCGGATCGTGATGCCAGTGTTCGAAATGCTGCATTGGGAACCATCACACAGTGTTATCTGCTAGTAGGTGACGCAGTATTCAAACATATTGGCAAAATTCCCGATAAAGATCGTAGTTTGCTGGATGAGAAGATCAAGAGGATGCCTGTAGATGCGGCTAGTGCACGACCAAGAGCATCGGAAACAACTGCTCCTGATCGCGTGAGTACTGCAGAACCACCCGTATCAGCACGACCTAGTGCAAGTACTCGAGAGAGTCCAGCAATAGCCTCCCCTGTCATTGAATCACGATCAGGAGGCGGATCGCCAATAATAGGAACCATTAAACGTGAATTTAGTTTGGAGTTGGACAAATTGAACATGCCGACTCTCTCTGGTAGCACAGCAACGGCGAGTAGAATCGCTCCAATATCACGAGCAACCAACCACTTTAATAAAAGTAATCCCGATATAGCAGCCTCCATCTCAACGCCAACCCCTTTTCGTAATCCACAACCTAGCTTTTCGTTTGACTTGCTCATAAACCAAATCATGGCTAGTGACGCACCTCAAAGTATTGATGCGTTGAAACAGGTTGAGAAGATATTGACCACATCTGCTGATGATGTGATTAATCACGTAGACGATATCGTATCAGCTATAACATTGCAAATTCGGATTGCGTTTACAGCAGTTGATATATCAAGTCCCAATGTCTCACGGCTATGTAAGCATTTGGTGAATGCTCTGGTACAGTTATTTGCCTATCCGAATTTGGCCAAGAAACTGTCACAATCGAATTTGATGACGTGTGTAAAGGAATTATTGCATCGGTTGCTGGATCCTACCTTGCAGACTTTGGAGCAAGGCTCTACATTAGCTAAAGCCTTGAATGTGCTTGTGGTACGGATCTTGGAGAATTGTGATAAGAATGATTCGTTCAGGTATGTGAAAGAGCTCCATTGAGCCGTGACATTGGAACTTGAGATGTAACCAATTTTTTTGTCAATTTTCTTGATAGTGTTCTCTTGAAAATCTTGGACGAAGCAGCTACCACTGTTTTAAGTTCCAAAGATCCACAGCAAGTTCATATCAACTCGAAACTGCTCGAACTAGACATGAAGTGTTTATGGAAGTTGACCAAACAAACGGGTAGCATGTTAGAGTCAAAAAGTTTAGCAGTAAACAAGCTATTACGAGACGTAAATGACTTTTTAACGTCTACACCACCCAACGAATGGAAGAAACGGGCAGCAGAGAAGGCACAATCCGCTGATATGCCTCTGCGTACCGTCAAGACTATATTACACGAACTAGTAGCTAATCTAGGATCGTCGATTTATGAACACTTCGATTTGATTCAAGATGCCAAGGCTAGTTATGCCTTTTCGTATGTGTCCAAGATGGTAGACACTAAACCAGCCGATCCGAGTTTAGCCAAGTCTGCAACTACCGAATTGAGAACACCCGAGACAAGGCCAGCACCATCCTCTATACTGCAGCCATCCTCTGTTAGATCTTTTATACCATCATCATTACCTCATCCGAGTCACAATAACCATAATGTACCTGTAGTAGAGCCAGTAGCCAATAATGGTAGTGGCATGTCATTGGAAGAAGAACTAGCAGCTATCTTCCATAGAATTTCTGAAAAGGAAAAGTCTAAAGAAGCCATTAAAGAATTACATGCCTTTCAGCTAGCACATCCAGAATCAAATCATCTTGTTGAAGCTCAATTGGCTACCAAGAATGGATACTTTAAGGTAAAGAAAGATCTGTAACATTCTCTGAATGGTTAGGTCCTTATCAAACTTTTTTTCGTTGCGTAGGGATATATTGAACGAGGATTGGCTGGTCTTGTTGCAGCTGATAATGCTAAAAAGGCACGAGAAACAACAACCACCGCACCATCATCGCGTCCTACTTCTGCGCTTACTACAACAGCTGTGCCTGCTCAAAGTAAGTTCAGCCATGCAGAGGTTATCGCCCGGTTTTTTTTTTGCATGCAACTCACAACCCCCAAAACTCGCTAAAGATGATGAAGCATACTCGGATACACTAAAGAGGCTTCAACGAATGTACAATCGACCTGTGGGTAGTGGAGCTGCAGTCATGAACACGCCAGCACCACCAGTAGTAGCGCCAGTACCAGCACCCGTTGCCAACATACCTTCTGCTAGTGGAGCTCCACTTGCTTCAATGCAAGATTTGATGGCACGGCTTGAGAAGATGAAGAAGGCATCAACTCTCAACAAATAAAGACACTACATTGTTAAAAGAAAAGCATTGTAATCTAAGAGTCGTGTTCCTTTAGATGCTATACTGTGTATTCCTTGTACTTATAAAAATAGTGTAACTATGTGTATGCAGTAAAGATAATATTTCAAGCTCCCAATAGTCTCTCGGTTGCAGCATTAGGATCGTCATTTGTTGCTTGTAGGGCTATAAAGGGCAATGTTATTACTAGAAAAAATCCATGTACGATGTAGCACAAATGACGTACCAGTAACAACTCGTTCTCGGTCAAATCCCATTCCTATCAGTAGATTTATGTTTCCTTCTGAAGGTGCTGCTCGTGGTCGTGCTGCAGGGACAGCAGGAACTGCTCTATTTGTTTGCATACCGCCAGTAGCAGGTCGAGCTATCTGTGGATCCACAGCATAACCATCGGCCGATCTTGTGCTTCGCCTCATTGGAGCTGAAGACTCTATGAATTTCAAAAAGTATGCGTCTATTACATTCCATATTCCTTTTGGAATCCTATAGTTGAGTTGGAGTTTCATTAACCAAAAAAACCAGAATCTCCAAGGTACCAATTGGCAATAACCACCTCCACTTTTTCAAATACACAGAAGCGACATCACTCTGGAGCAAGATCCCAGTAACCCATCCACAAGCGCTCGGTATGACTGAATACGGGTACGATCCGAGTAACAGTTGAGCAGCAAGCAAGTAAACAAACATCTTGTCGTTCAGTGTGACTCCCATGAGTTTGAACTTGTACGTTATTGGTATCGAGGACACGTAATTGTATAGCAGCGCGTATAGACATGACCATGGGCCAGCAGCGATACGAGTTAATCCAAAAGAGTTGCCAAGTAAGAGACATGTCACGTCCAAAACAGTTGATATGACGGATGACAGGACGACATATGATGCGAATTTGCGGGAGCCCCAGTGACGTTCGATTAGGCGCATATGGTCTAAATTGACGAGTGTTTTAGTGAGATTGACAGTGTTGACGTCGAGGTTGGCTCCTACACATGAGAAGTCCCCCAAACAAGATTTCAGACGAGTTTGCAAAAGCGACATGAGTTGAGACCAGCCTCCAGAGCTATTGTTGTGGCGAGTGAGATCATTGTGTGCTTCTTGTTGAAAGGCAATGTTGAGATGTACTTGATGGTGTTGTGATATATGAGGAACGATCTGCAAATGCAGCATCGGTCTAGCCTGGAAGATGCTTGCACAGATAGAATTGAGTGCGACACATAGTACAGTGGCCTTTGTGACTGGTGAGTTGTCTGTAAAGTGTGTCGAGTTTGAAGTTAGCACGAGCGATGCTGGAATACGAAAAGAAGGCCAACCGTTAACTGGACTTACAAAATCCTGAGACTCCTCCTGACTGCATCTTGACCGCTTAAATAAAAACCTTGGGACTAAGAAGTAAACTTAACTTTCGCGTTTTAGTTTGAGGAAAACAGAGAACGAGGTAAGGCAGGGGATGAATTCTGTTTAAACGTCATTTACACGCGTCGTATCACGCTCAAGCATCAATATTGAATCCATCAGAGTCTTGTGACTATCTGTTCGCGGTGCTCTAAGCACTTTTTTTAAAGTTCTAACAATTGCCGTTTCTTTCTGATCGTTAGACATACTAGACATGGAAGAAGCAACACACTCTATTGTCCGTACTCTGCCGCCCGTGAATGGCTCCTCAGCTTCCAGATCTCTCAAGGAACGATTCGTCGGTGATCTCCAAGGGACATCAAAGGCTTCCACTCTGAGATTCGAAGTCGAACGAGAAAAGGACTTTCCTGATGCTGATGGGCGCTATTCTCATGGTGTCGTCGACCTGAAGAGATTCAAGAGCTTGTCCTATGTATGTCGCATACTCGCCATTGCCGTTTTCTATCAACTGTCCCAAAGTTGCAGACACAACTTTACGTGTTGGTGCTCTTCCAACACCACAAAGTGCACAGTTTCCTTCATTGTACTTACGACTCCTTCATTTATTCATGTAGAAAGCCATTGATGCTGCTGGATCCATGCCAACACGAACTCGCGATGACGACTCCAAAACTGTCAAGGATCAGACCAGCACTCGAGAACGTAACGAAATCAGACATAAACGACGCCATTCTCATGAAACTGTCGCTGTTTCTGTCAGGCAGCTCTTTCAGATCGATGTACAAGCTACTGCAGGTACACCATCTTGATTGCTTGTCACATGGACCGTCGACTATGATTTTGTCGACTATGATTCTCCTTAGCTAAATCCTCAATATCCCACCCAATTCTTTAGCGAATTTGCTCAAACAAGAAGATACAGACGACAATGAACAAATCACTGTGGAAGATGGTGGCCCCAAAGTGTTTTGCCTTGCTACTGAAAACTCGAATGGCTTCCGGCAAGTCCCTATTCGTGGCGCCTATCAACTAGCAAACTTGTTGCAAGAACTTGCTATTGCTCAAGAACATAATCGGAAATATATATCCCTATCTCAAGAACGACTCAATGAACCACCAGTCACCCGATTGGCGAGACGTATCGGAGAGAACTTTTGGGATTCATTGACTAGACGTATTGATGAACAAGGTGAGTGGAATATCATCAAGCTTTGTATTCTTGCCTCCGAGGGGTTTGCGTCTAGTGCTTTGAAATTTCGCAACCATCTTCATGTGTCTCAAACTATGAACTTCAACTTAATAGGTCTGCTAGTCATTGGAAGTGATCCAAAAGACAGAGCTACCAATCCCATTCCTCGTATATATGTCCCTTATGAAGACGAATTCGCTCTACAATACTATCAAAAAGTAGCGGAGAAGTACTCGAAACGTGATCCACCGATACCTTTAGAAGTCATCAAGCTGCCTCAAGATATCACACCTGAATATGTCATGACTTTAAATGATACACCGGGCCTCCTGTCGCTGGCTTTACGAGTCACTGATAGAGGTACAGACAAGGAAGTGGTCAAGGGAACACCTTACGTGGTACCTGGCGGTCGATTCAATGAAATGTATGGTTGGGATTCGTATTTCGAAGCACTGGGGTTGTTGGTCGATGAACGGCCTAAGCTTGCTGCCTCCATGGTGGAAAATTTTTGTAAGTGTTTTTGGAATATCGACATCAGGTGATACCGTGTGTGCTCTTTTTTGCTTTTGACTTATACACCGACTTTAACTATAGGTTATGAGATTGAACACTATGGAAAGATCCTGAATGCTAATCGAACATATTACCTGACTCGCTCTCAACCTCCCTTTTTAACCGATATGGCTATACAAACCCTCAAAGTCCTTCAACAATTCCATGGTAACGAATACGATGCAGCACGTAGTAAACGGTGGCTGGGCCAAGCATTACGTGCTTCAGTCAAGGAATTGTTTTCTGTATGGCTAGCAGCTCCACGACTGGATAGAAACGTAGGTCTTTGTAAATACCATCCTTCTGGTAAAGGTGTACCTCCAGAAACAGAAGCCACTCACTTCGATCATATACTACAACCTTACGCCAAACGATACAACCTCAGTGTCGAAGAGTATATAGAAAAGTACAACTCTGGTGAAATCCATCAACCTGAATTAGACGAATACTTGCTTCATGATCGAGCCGTTAGAGAGAGTGGTCATGATACAACATATAGATTTGAAAAGATTTGTGCACACCTTGCTACTGTCGACTTGAATAGCTTGACCTACAAGTATATGATTGACTTGTCGAAATCTATAAAGTCGTTATATGATGGGTGGTTTACGGTCTCGGTCCGTCGTGGCAAAGATGATGTGCACTGGAAGCAATTTAACTCATGGCTAGAAACTGTGAAAAAGTATGGTGTTGAGGACTCTATTGGTAAACCAGCTACATTGAGTAAAGATGGATCCGTCACATATGATTCTTGGACTGGTCCAGGTGGTGAATGGGATTCTTCATGGGGTGCGGGCATCATCGTGATTGATGACCACGCCGCCACTACTCCAGTATCAGCAAACGGATTTAGTGCACCGATGGTAGACGAATCAGATCCCACCACCTTTATAACATACACTATACCCGAACACGATGACTCGAAAACATTCACGGTATCCATCAACCATCGTCTCTTTGACGCTCTAGCCAAACGGACTCGAGACTTGATAAACCTCTACTTGTGGAATGAAGAAGCTGGTCTCTACTTTGATTTCGATTGTAGTCGTGCCAACAGAACCACGTACGAATCCGTGACAACCCTATGGCCAATGTGGGCATCCTTATCCAATCCAGCACAAGTAGATCGCATGCTGCCTATCGCACTTTCTAAATTCGAAGTAGCAGGAGGTCTTGTTGCAGGCACAGAATCATCTCGAGGTCCTATCTCACTAGACAGACCAAATCGACAATGGGATTACCCATTCGGATGGGCACCTCATCAAATGCTGGCATGGAAGGGTCTCGCACAATATGGCTATCGAGATGTTGCTGAACGATTGGCGTATCGATGGATGTATACTGTTATGCGTGCTTTTGTAGATTTCAATGGTGTTGTGGTTGAAAAGCTTGATGTTGTTGGAATGACACATCGAGTTGCTGCCGAGTATGGGAATGTCGGGGCTGATTTTAAAAGGGTTGTTAAAGAAGGCTTTGGATGGATGAATGCTAGTGTCAAAGTATGTCTATACTGTGCTGAACGGGGCTTCGACTACATATCCTGTTTGCACTGACTTTTTTTTTGCCCCATGTGATTCTCATTCCTCTCCGAAATAACCGCTAGGTTGCTCTACACGAATACGTACCTAGGTCTCTATATATTCGTAATCTCAACCACTTGGTCCCTCCCGAAAGGGTTTTCTTCAAAGTCGAAGGCGATGGTCACATTGTTGTCGCTCGTGATCAACGGTCTCACGAGGAAGAAGAAGACATCAAAGGACAACCTATCTCGCCTTCATCATCACCCGAGCCTGTATTCGAAGATCCATCTACTGGTGACATCTTCGGGTCAGTAGAAGACAGCAGTCCACTACGCGGCATGATGTCACATCCATCAACTGGAGGTCCACCATCACCAATTGAAGTCAAAGCATCGTAAAAAGAGACATTTGTAAGGGAAAATTAGCAGATGAATCAGTTATTAGAAAACGGAAAAAGTATCTAGTTGAGGCCTCAGATTGACAAATGTATTTGTTGAAGTCATAAAAAGGAAGTGTTGTAAGGGTATCATCCTGTATACAACTTGCAAAGTTTATAAATGTAATCCATACTACTACTATAAAGAGAGAACAATCTGGTATAATTGTAAACTGGAGGCATGGTTTTGTTTTTTGTTCTTTCCAAGTTTTATAATGGAGTTTTTGGCATTGTTGGGGAATTCTTGGCCTTCATTGCGCGTTCCAAGCCGTCATGCGCAAATCGAGTCAATTCAATGCCAAGGAGCACTTTGATGGCTACCAGAGTCATGAATGTGACTGCCAGCAGCATGAGAAGAGCGACCCTCTAGGAAAAATGGGTTGTGAGTCGAGTTGGAGACAAAGAAAACTGTGCTTGTCACAAGACACTACAAACAAAAAAAATGATACATCATATCAGACCAACATACCGACGTGGTACTGAGAAACCCCAACATTCCAAGCGACTGCAATATGACTCGAATACATAGACATGCCAATGGAAGGGACACAAACCCAATCCGCCTAGCTACAGCCGGCGACTGATCTACAAGCGACATACGACCAGACGTAAAATCCCGTAACAAGTTCGATGTAGCTCGTCTCCTTCGCTGACGATCAGGAAATATATCACCTGGGAGTGCCGTACTATTGAAATCGAATCTACTATTACTATCTCCATTCCCATTCTGCTGTTCATCAGGCTCCTCCTCAAGATTCCACCCTCGTACCATTACCAGATCCCGATACAAGGATTCTCGAAACCTACTATATACATCTGGCCGAATGTGATTGAATTTAGTTATGAATGCGTGTTTTAGCCAGTCCACTAGTACTTCGGATCCAAAGACTACTACGATGGGAGTCAAGAGAGTTTCTAGAGTTTGGTAGATGGGTAGTGACATTAGGAACGTCAAGAATGATCCGATTCCGGCTATAGAGGGTACTTCTAAAAATGACAACCATTGCGATGGAGCGAAGAGAGGAGCTGACAGTTCGTAAAATGTTTGTATGGCTTCGTGGCTCCCTGCTTCCAAGTAATTGCGGACGGTGATGACAGCGAGAAACACGGATAGGTGGAAGCGTTCAATTATATCTATAAAAACAGGATGGCGTTAGCAGGCCATACCCTGGACGTCTTCTTTTTCCTGGGACATTATCACATCCAAGTATTAGAGAGGTAAAAAAAAATTGCCATTATCCAATGTAATCATAATCACATCACGGCATGCGCAAACCAACAATGATAGTACTCACCACTACAAGACAATTGAAACAGATTCTCCTTTTCAAACTTTTTGAATACGCTACCCTTGATTTCTACAAACTGATTGCTGACCAATAGCGTCAACAATGCATTATTATACGAGTTGATTGCCACATTCAGTGTCATGACTTGATAAAACAAGCACATGGAATGAGCAAACACGTATAAGAAGGATACAATCAAGTGCGTTACTGGTGCTAATCCTGGTCGTGGGTCATGATTGTGAGCTCTACTTGAACTATGCGACGTATTTGAGAATAACGAATCTAGTATATCGTGTCCGAATGCAGAGCACAGCTTGTCTCCAATCTAAAGCAGAAGGAGTTTGTGAATTTTCAGTAGGAAAAAAAGGTGGATGAATTTGTGACAGTACCTCGAGGACATTGAAAATGACATATAGCTTGAGAACACCTTGACCTCTCACAGAGTGATAAAGGCGAGAAGCATCGACATACTGTAATGCAAGACAACAAAATAGAATCAGACCTCCCTTCATCAAATCAACAACGCGTGCTGCTTTGATATGATAACTCCTAAAGACATATCTGGATGTAATCAGTACCACGAACTTCTAGGAGCTTCTTTTGTGAATGCAATTACCGAAAAAAGACAGACTTGAACAGTGCAAACAATGCAATGCAAATGCGAATAGGCAAGATGGTAAATATGTATAAGAATGAATCCAGACAAATAAAATAGCCAAACACCATGAGCTGGAAAAAAGACAAAAGAAGCAGTGAACATGGGCCAAAAAAACAAGATTGATAGTAGCAGAGATTTCTAAAATTCTTCGTACCTTCTCGAGCTCTTGAGGCACACTGAGAAAGTTTTGAACTCGTTCTCTCTTCAAGTCCACTAACGTCAATGCATCAAAGTCGTTGCTAGCCAGTTCCTGCCCAATATACTGCCATAACAGGGAATCAAATCGCGGCTTGACAGTCTCAAACCGTTCCAGCTTGATATCCTGGCCGACGGATGATGAATCTGACGCAAAGGGATTGGGAGGCGAGCCGGGTATACCATTACTACTATTATCAGAAGCAACACTTTGCCTCGTCGAGGACGATGATGAAGTTGGCTTCTCGTCTGCATGCAGACCATTCCATGTTAGCACCACGGAAGACGTTCGTTGATGCGTATGAAGTTGTTTTGATGATGTTTCTGGTGATATTTCAGGTGAATCGCTGTTGAATTGGTGCTGCCATGGAGCGAATTCTACAGTTGCTGATGATAATGGGTTACTACTATCTAGTAGTTTTCGCGGTAGAGATGGTGATATTGGTGCTGATGCGATACCAGATAATCCTTCGTCAGGTTGATACTTTGTCAGGCCGCCACCTATCCTAGAGCTACGTGATGGTTTGTGATTCGATCCAGAACGTGCTCTTCCATTAAATGATTTCGGTTTCTGCATCGGCAGTGAATGTGTTCTACCACGTTCCGTCTTTGCAGCGAGTGGTGTTGATATTGATGTGGATGCAAGGCTGGACTGCTCAACGTCTATAGGTTTATGCTGTTCCATTCCAACGAGATCTTCATGATTCGTAGGAGTTTGTAGAGGAGATTCACCAGTCATTATCGGCGTTTGCGGCAGAGGAACACTGGAAGATGGTAAAGTCAATGGAGTCATTTCACCATGGATGATTTGACCTTTTGTTCGAGGAGAAGGAGGAGTCCGTTTAACAGGACTTTGACTCTCTCGCCTTGTCACTTCCATGTTGGCTTCTACGTCTTCAGACTGACCAGGCACCTGTTGATCTGCTAATACGTTTGGATTGATATCGTGGTTTGCGTATAATCCTTCTTCGCCGTCCCTGACTCCCTGTTGTTCTCCATTCAAAGTTGAGGGTTTGATGTCGTCGCCTCTGTGATTGCCGTTCATGATGACAAGGACAGAGAAAGCCCAAAGATGAGTATTAACACCATCAAGGATTAATAACTAGGTTGAGATTAGACTTGGTAAGTCTTACAGCCTTGTCAATGAGTCTCCAAACACAACGGTAAATCTTCTCTCAAACGGCACGAACTGGTCGATTTGACGTGATTAAAATGAGGCCTTACGCGTAAAGTATTCAGCTAGAACCGCCAGGAGGTGGCCTGTCTCTTATTTCTTGTGAGAATGTTCACTCCGATTGAAGCACTTAGAAACAGTGCTTGACTGCTCGAGCTTTGAGAGTTTACGGGACGTGGAGAGGCTGAATACGTGTATTGCTGTATTTCGAGTGGATTTGCCGTTTCCTATTGTGTTGGATCTGAAAGGTATGTGTTTTAGGAGCGGAGTGCTTGCATGGTGCTAGCTAATCTGCCAAACTTGTTTTGATGTGCTGCTCACGAGAAAGCACTCATTGTGTTCTATTTTGATGTATATTTAACTCATTTCCATGCTTGTTAAATTACTAGATTTCGTGTGTTTGGCCAAGGAAACGCCAGCATTAAACTTTTAGATCAAAGATGTCGTCTAGAGAACAGCTTCCAATTTGGAGGTTCAAGGATGACTTGATTCAAGCATTCTCAACCTACCAGTTGATGGTGATTGTAGGTGATACTGGATCTGGTAAGCTACAAATACGAATTTCACCTAGTATACTTAATGATCTCAAGCATTCTTTGCTAGGTAAAACGACTCAAGTACCTCCTCTTATACTCGAAAATATCCCCGAAGTCAAGACTATAGGTAGCATTGCCAGCTCGTTATCGTTTGAATTCGTGTTAAACCTTACTTCAAAAGCTAATCAATACCCATGCAACAGCTGTAACTCAGCCAAGACGAATAGCTGCCATCTCTGCTGCTCGACGTGTCGCCGACGAAATGAGGATTCCTCTAGGCACCAAAGTTGGATATGCGATCAGATTCGAACGTAAAGCAGCTGCCAACACAGCAATCACGTATATGACTGACGGTCTGTTGCTACGTGAGGCAGCTTCTGATCCTTTGATGAGTAAATATGATTGTGTGATTTGCGATGAAGCCCACGAAAGGAGTCTCGAAACTGACGTGCTATTTGGATTGCTTAAGACTGCTGTGGTAAAGAGACCAACCCTGAGAGTATATGTCATGTCTGCAACTTTAGATGTAGAGAAGGTATACCCGTCTTTTGTGCGATTTTACGTTACAACCAGACTGAAAATTTTCGTCGCGTTTAGTTCTCTGACTTTTTTGGAAAATGTCCGATTTTTTCCATCCCTGGGCGAATGTTTGATGTCGACATATTCTATCTAAAAAAGATGAAGCTCGCTGCACTAAAATCAACGTACATACAACGATCAGTCGATACAGTATTGCACGTACACAAGAATGAAGAGCCTGGTGATGTTTTGGTATTCTTAACGGGCCAAAATGAGATTGATCAAGCCATGAGACGGCTAGAAGACGAACTCGATGAGTTGCATTCTGCTGACATCAAGTATGGAAATTTATTACGCAAAGTCGTGGCATATCCGATATACTCAGCATTAGAGACAATCGAACAACGTGCTATATTTGATCCACCGCCCAGAGACACTCGCAAAGTCATCTTTTCAACCAACATCGCTCAGACTTCAATAACAATCCCTGGCATACGGTAAGTACGAGGCTCTAGTCATTGTGGAAGTGGATTTAAAACTGACGGTCCCTTTTTGTTCCTCCTAGTTATGTCGTCGATTCTGGATTTGTAAAGCAAAAGATGTATGATCCATCAACAGGAATGGATGCTTTACTTGTGGTGCCGGTGTCCCAAGCATCTGCTACTCAACGAGCTGGTAGAGCTGGCCGGACAGACGTTGGAAAAGTATATCGTTTATACAGCCGAGACACTTTCGATGAAATGGACGTGGATACTATGCCAGAAATTCAACGTAGCAGTCTAATTGGAACTGTCTTGACATTGAAACAATTGGGTATTGATGACATACTTGGCTTCGAATTCATTGATCCACCAGATCCGAATCTAGTCCTTGCTGCGTTACGACAGCTCTACCTGTTAGGTATGCTGTAATTTTTTGATTGTCGCATAAGTTCGGCTTCTGACTCTCTGTTTCCTTTCTTATAGAGGCTCTGGATGAAGATGGCCGTATAACCGAGTTAGGCCATATGTTGCATGCTATCCCGGTCTCGCCGCACTTGGGCCGCTTTCTCATCGCTGCAGCTCGAGACCACGGCTGTTCCAAAGAAGCCCTTGTAATAGCGTCGATGCTCTCAGTAGAAGAAGTCTTTGTAAATCCACGTGGTCAAAAGAAGCAAGCTAAAGCTGATGAGGCTCGTCGAGACTTTCACCACTCCAGTGGAGATCATTTGACTCTATATCAGCTATATGAAGCATATCGTAATGCAGAAGGTGATGTTCGAGAATGGTGTCGAGACCATTTCGTGCATCATAGAGCTATGAGGGCTGCCGAGAATGTGTATGAACAATTAGTCGATTCGATGGAGAAGCTTGGTCTGCCTATCGTATCATGCCAGGATAAGGAGCGTAAACGAGCTAAATCAGAGTCTGGGAATATCGCCACATTTGATGTATCTCCCATCCTGAAATCATTATGTAAAGCATATTATCCCAATGCAGCCAAAAAGCATGCCACACGAAACTGTTTCCTCAATTACGCATCCTCTCACGGAATAACAAATCAGGACTCGGGTATGACTCAATTAGTAGCCCTCTTCGTATCCCCTACATCAGCACTAGCTGCTTCCGTAGAATCAGGTCGTGGTCGAATTGAGTGGGTTGTATATCAGGACATTCAGTATTCGGGAAGGGCAAACATGAGAATCGCTTCTGCTATGCGACCTGAATGGATTCAGGCCGACTTACCACGACTACGGTCGCTAGATGATAGCCGACTTGCCGCTGAACGACATCTAATTGAAAAGGTATTGGAAACGGTATTACCGACTGATGCTGCTGATGAGACTGGTGATGAGGGATTAGCACGTGGAGAAGAACCTGAAGGTCGATCAGGAGAAGTTGGTGATGAAGCAAAACCACCACATCACGAGTTACTTGTATCAAAGGACTCGTTTGAAGTTGTGCGTGAACAGATTGATGAAGCTCATCATGCTGAACGTGTTGCAACAGGGAGTGGTAACAGTAATGTTGGTGAGGCGAAGCAGCCACACGCAGAGGTTGTAAATAGTAAGGCAGAGGAGGAACGTGATAAGAAGGCGGCAGAAGCTAAAGCGAGATTTCTCTCGCGAAAAAAGAGGCAGATGTCGCGATATAGATAGATTATAGATTGTATGTTGCAACACTAAACAACGTGTAATTTAAGCGGTTACAACACGAGCCCTGTTATTGCTCCGAAATTACGCGTTCTTGATGGTCTTCAACATCACCAACACCGTCAAACTTCATCACTTCATTCTGCACAACATCTTCTTGCTTTGACTGAAACGTTCCAACTATGGGCGGAAAACAGACCAAAACAGAACCCCTCGTGTTCCATAACGAGCCTGCGGTTCCTATACAGGTACCAATTCCTGCTGTTCTTGTAAATTCAAACAAGCTCTTAACAACTCCATTTTCTCAAAGTTTTCATCCAACTTTTTACGACAATTACAAGGCTTGCCACCAGACAATAGCGTATGAATGCATCTGATTATTCCATATTATGTCTCCCCCTCGTCTCACTTTTCCCTTCTTGACATTTTAGGTGTTTCCTTCATCTGGGACATCACCATCAGAAGAAGATTTGGACTCGATTATAAACAAGAGGGTGCAATACGAGAACGATTTGCAACGCCAACGACGTGCTGCCTATGAACAGAGGTCGGCTGACCAAGTTGCTCGTGAAGCTGATGATTTGATACGAAGAGCAAGAGGGTGCGTGAGCTTGGACCAGTATGTTGCTGTATGACAGCTCGAGCTTAGCACCCTTTTCGTTTGAGCTTTCATGTATCAGCAATGCTGGGCTGGAAAGCACTTTGAACAAAGTTTGATGTTTGGAATCATTGCAACTCGCACAGTCAAGATGCGCTTCAAGACTACTGGCTCAAGCACTCATACTTATTTTCTTCATATCTATAGAGTATCTCTACCAACTCCAAAACCAGAGTACATAGAAAAAGAGCAATCTGTTATTGATTGCTATAAGAAGAATCCAGGCAGGCCATTAGATTGTTGGCGTGAAGTGGAAGAGTTCAAGCTGGTGGCGAAGAAGGCTGAAAAGGTAAGAACATCGCGAAGTTGAGAAGTTTCTTCAATTTTGGGCGAGTCCTAAAGTCTTTTCGCTTATAGGACTTTGTCCTGGGATTATAGAGACACAACGGACACAGCTCGACCATGTACATCATCCAACGTAATAATAGAACACACCTTTGCTTTACTATTCTTTTAGTTTATGGATTACTGTACAAATTGACTTTATGAAGGTTTTTGTGTTTTATAGGGATGTTTTATATTTCGGTAATGGGGAGCTTGTCCGTAACCGGGATTATTTACAATGGGAAACCCCGAGTATATTCACTACTTTTCGTCCAGAAATCCATGTTATTGGGTTGTGGAATTGTTTTTGGCTTTGTTTGGGGAGTTTTGAAGGGGGCTAGGAATTGTGTGAGAGTGTCCAGTTTCCAAAGGTTGAAGGAAAGAGTATGAATAATCAAAAAAGCACGTATAAGGTGTGACCAACATAGCACAGCACATAGCATCATAATTCAGTCCATGAAGAGCCTCCAACCAAGGACAAATGTCTGTCGACGTGTTCGTTTTGGGATTGAAAAACACCCAAAGCAAACCGCATCTCTCTCGTTTCATTGTTCGGATACAAGAAGCGATGAATTTCCAGAGAAACTGATTGAATCGAGGGTTGTCTTGTCACAAGTCGTATGTACTACCAATACCTCAGATGACACGTCACCGACCAGTGATTCTACAGGTTTGCCAAGATCTTTCCATCAAGTCCACTTGAAAGATCGATATTGGCTCAATGGCAATAAATAGAACTGGTGCCAAACTACCAGTTTGTGAAGTGATGGGGCAGTATGATGTCCGCAAGATCGCGCTCTAGTAAGAAACAAGGGCCACTACACAATGGTGCAAGATTTAGAAACGAGAAACGAATTTGAATATTGCGAACATGCCCAAACTTGCATGCCGCACGTGGTTACTCCTCTTTTCCTGTGCTAGATTTGATGCAGCACAACGATGAAGACAGTGAAGTGTCACACGACTAAAAGCTCACAATCCCACTTTGCTATTTCATTTCTCAGCTACAGTACAAACAAGACAAGCTACTATATTACGGTTTACTAGATGATGTTGAGAGTTTGTTCAGCCCAAAACTAGGACCGCCTCCATAGGAGCGTACACGTTTGAGCTCGTGCCCTTCTTCAGCGCGTCTCTTTCGCAATCCTTCTTCTAGCGTTGGCCTAATAAGAAACGGTGTGAGAGGGTTTCGCAGCCTCAGATGCAAGGCCAGTAAGACGGGTTGACTCTTACCATCCTGGGGCAACAGGTTGCTCAGGAGATACATTTGGTGAGCTCAATGCGTCACCAAAAAACACTCCATCGTCGTCATCGTCGTCTAGTCTGTCCCAGCCAAATCCAGCCTCGACAGACTCTCCACGTATAAGGTTATCAGCTTGAAAACAAAATCCAAGTCAGTCAGAATTCATGAGCAGATGCAATCAACAAGGGCGTCATCTTGGATAAAGATTGACTGAAACTTACAAGCGACGTCAGCATAGTTCAATTGCGCCTGTGTCACGAGAGGAGGCACAATTCTGTCTGAAACAAAGTCTGAAACGGCGGTTGGCCCTAATGCATCGATGTAGAGGTGGATCATCCGGCGGAGATCAGTCCTAGACTTTTGTAAAGCATTTGCTGCAGAAGTATCAGTGATGCCAAGCCACAATGGTCGTAGGGAGCGAGCTAGAGCCAATCCCTCCTCCGAGATTCTTATAGTGGCATAGCCGAGGAATGGCCATGTGATCCACGATAAGCAAAATACCAGAATCTTGTATCGTCTTCGTAATTCAGCCCTTCTTGAACTGACCAGGCTCAATACGATGGTGGAATAAATGGTATACAAAAGCGGAGAGAGGACGAGCGTCACCAAAACCTTCCAGGTCGATATAACATCTCGTCCACTAATCTTGACTGACGATCCTTTAAGGGCAGCTATAGGAAGACAAATACAGATTCAATGTGAGGACCCAAGGTACGCATTGCTTGAAAGAACAAAACCGTACCTTTAGCCATTCTGTGTGAATAATACCTTGCGACTAGAGCCGTTGGTCCGAATAACAGCATTCCTGGAGTAGCCAACACCATCAGAACCAGCAACTCCAATAATCGCGCTATAAACAGATACATAGACCTAGCCCGATTTACTTGAGTCGTGTACTTGACTTCACTGTCTCGAATACCGTAAGACTTAAGTATCTGATTATAATCAGAAACTCGTTCCAACAAGTCTCTCTGGCGAGGGTCGTCCTTAAATTTCAGGTAGCCCGCCATTAATCGCCTCGTTAGCTCGAGGTTTTGAGCGAGACTGAGTTTGTGGGTATCAGGTGCATATAATCGACGACTCGCTTGAATCAACACTGGTTGCAAGAAAAATCAAGTCAGTTACCGACAAGAGAGGGAGTCAAACATGGAATAGGATGGGCTTACTAAGGGTATCATAATCTGGGGCCGTCACAGTAATCTGCTTCAAAGCATATAAAATTGTATCCAACAAATTCCCACAAACAGCACGTTTATCTGTTCCACCTCGTTTGAACTGTTCGACCTGCTCGGGCGTTCTATTTGTCAAAGATTAGGTTAGCAGACGGCTACCAACATTCTCAGAATGACCAACGTTCTCAGAATGATTCTCTGACATACATTGATATCGGCTCTCCATATTCAACAACAGCTCTAGACCTGAAACGATCGGGATTGAAATAATTCAAACCAACAGGTATAATCTTCACATCCAGCCCATCATGGGCAGCCATAGCAGAGAGTGCCATAATAGTAACACCAGCCTTCAAAGGCAAGAAATCTGTTCTGTCATGACTACCACCTTCTGGAAAGATACCGACTACTTCTCCGTTTGCCAATCGTTCAATGACAGATTTAAACATATTAGTCTGATCAACAAATGGCGTTACTTTGTACGTTGACCCAACCGTTTTACCCTCTGAATTCTGCCTTAGTTTCAACAGACTAGCTAAAGCGGCTGGGTCTTTGCCTTCGAATGGCTTCTTTATGACTAGTTCGGTATCTGATAGGATTTCGACGACTTCGGCTGATCCACCTGTGACGGTTATGGTAGATCTTACAGATGTCTGTGTTGTGAATTTAGTACTGATTCCTTTGACGGTGGTTGATGTTGGCGAATCCACGTATATAAAACCACTACCAAGTTTGGTGAGATCTTGAGGTCGGTCCACTGGAACTAGGGACAAAGAGAGAACAATCTATGAGTTCGGCGCCGATTGCATGATGTAATGATATACACACTTGAGCTCATCCATCGTGCTAGCGCTCCAATAAACCTCTTTTCCATGCTAGATCTCGCTGCTACGAATCCAACCTTGCGAGGAACGAATCTTGAGACCAAGATTGGATCACTACAGATCAGGAATCAGTTCAATAATCCGAATTTCGTTGGTGAAATCACATTCCAAGTAACGAATGGTTGGAAGAAATCCAAACTGCAAAACCACAAATTGATGCACAGTGTTTACGTACATGAATTGATTCGAGTGAGGTGCGCACACGAGGATACACGGGCCACTAGAGCATATATCAGTTAGTTCCTGCTTCGAGCTGCAATAAAGATTCAACACAACTTACGATTTAGGAACGTGAAAACTGGAACGTCCTCGCACATCCCTGAAGAAGGTGTCAAGCAAGCCGAACGTCACAGTGGTGACGATCCTGTATTTCAAATCACTGTTCGGGTCCTGCATCGTGAGAAATAACGACCTCAAACAATTCTGCAATATGCGTTCGTTGGACACAAAACACAAAATCGGTACAAAATCCGTGTTGGCGTGGTAATCACTCCAAACACCACACTACGATCAGCCTGGCGTCGCGTCGCGTGTTGAATATAGTAAGTATGAATTCTCTTGCAGTACTGCGGTAGCAAACACGTCGATTGTCGTGTTGTAATCACGTTGCAGAATCTAGCTTTATATAGAATAATAAGGGAGCTTCAGCTAAATATTTAAATAAGTAGACTCCAGCCGTGGCGTATTTACAGGTGGCCTTTGAAGTGCGACACGAGTTCCATCTTATCACCATAAAATGGCAGCAAATCAACCATCTGGTTCAACGAAGCGGCCAACTTTTCTGATGGCTCATTAGCCAACAGGAGTTTCATGGCAGCCAGCTTGCAATAGTCGTGATTGAAGTCACCAATCAGTTTTTGCATCTAGTGGGTAATAATGAATGTTGCTTGAGATCGTTGAGTACGTTCAAAATCACCAAAAGACTCAATCTGTGAATGATATAGGCCCAAATTACACTCACTGGGAGAACAGAGACTTCTTCAGTTCCAGCAATCTCAGCAACAACAAGCAACCTTTCGCGGTCACATCTAGCATGTGCCATGCGAGTGTAAACATCACCAGCAGTCAAGTTTGGCACTGTATCAGTGGTTACAGTACTTGCAGACGTAGACGATCGATCGGTATACATTGATTCATGTGCATTGTGTTGGAATTTAGAACCAACTGGAAAATTGAGTGCTGTTGATGAAGCCGGAATGCTTTTTGGATCGACTGGTTTCCTTGTACGGCTCCAACTTCGTTTTCGAACATAGACTGTAGGAGCTGCATTGCCTATTATGGTAGTTATGATGGGAGATGGGTCGTAGCGATGCACGAATACGAAGAAAGACAAAAGCTCGAAATCATAGGAAAGCGATATACCTTGCCAGTGTTTTGCGTTGAATGAAAAGCCATAGCACTAAGGGAAAGGTGAGTTTCGAGTAAAGCACCATACCATCTTTTTCATAGCCATAAACTCACCCATCCTTCTGCGTCTACATCCCCGTGCAAGTCTAATACCCAGCTTGGTTGAACCCATGCCCAACCAGGTGGTCTATACGAGAAGATCTTGTAAACTTTAATATGTCAAATTGTTTCTAGAATGACACGTGGAGATTACGGATTCTGATGCTCTTTTTCGGTTCTGAAAGTTCCGCGAGTATCGCTCCATGCAGGGAAATCAGATGGTAGCAAGGACTTTGATGAAAACCGAGGTTTCCCAAACAGTGCTGACCTGTAAGTGGAAGTGCAGGGGTATTTTAGGTCCAAGTATCAAACACTTCAAATAAATCAGATCATGGATCAGATATCAAATTATTTCTATAGATCATACTGTAAACACGGATCTCACCCTCTTTGATTTTCTTGTAAATGTTCAATGACTTGTCCATGTTGCAATGGTACCTTTTCCGTTTGGAATCGAGGCACCTTGAAAGTAACATTAGAGCGAGTATTTCCTTCCAAAGATGGTCTAGGCGGTTGCTGCAAGTTTGGGCGAGGAGGTTTCTGTGATGCAGGCACGTCCATTGAACGTCGCTGCTGAATGTGGTGAATGTTGTGAATCAGTTGAGCACAGAATGGAAGAGTCAGCAGATGAAAAGAGGTTGAGACTGCCATACCGGTTCCATGTTTCTCTCCTGCAGATCTGCAAAGGATCAATGCCTGCAAATGGTAAGTGGTTTTCGGACGAAACACGTTTTGCGACTGGAAAGCAACATACAGCGCGTTTAGACCAGCATTGAAACTTGAATATATTTATATTTCGCTTCGATATTTTGCAAATTTTACAACTTATGATCTTTTGAGCCAATGAATGGTGAGGTTTATATTTACAGCAGCATCATCAATACCCGCATCATTCTTCTTCAAATCCAGCTACACGTTTGGCAACAGCGAGAGCAGGAGTGACATCTTTGCCTCCAAGCTATCAAAAGGAGCGAGCAGTGAGAGACATGATGGTACGCTGGTCAACCCAGATATGATGGATCAACCGAAATGACATTACCAATATCGCAAACATCACAGCAAGCAATAAGATGACATACCTCTTCCATCCCGACCTTGACAGCCTTTGCTTCTTCAACCGCATGGTGTTGTTTGTCAACAGCGCTCTTGTCTGCGACACGATCATCACGTTCTTCTTCTTCGAGAGCCTTGATACCTTCCATACGACCAATACGAGTTGCTGGAGCAGATGATTCATCCGTATTGGCCATCATTTCGTCCATGAGCTCGTGAGATTTCTTGTGCACTTGTTCAATCAATGATGGATCAGTTTGCAATGCTTCCTTGCGGCCAGTTTCTTCTTGTTGTTGGATGCTCATTATGATAGTAGATCGGCGACGTTCTTAGTTTGACTTTGTTTGTAGATGTGGTTTTATGCGACAAGGTTTTCGAAGTTGCTCGATGTTCTGCGGCCAAAGCATGCATGATGACTGCAAATGAGCAAGACGCGAATATCACGTGGAGAGCATAATGTATTTGACAATTAGACATAAAGTTAACATGGATAGTTTGCTTGTCCATCGTAATGCAATTCGGCTGCTCGAAATCAAAACGCGTCCAATCTTGTTTATCACGTGAACAAGCCAGAAGCTCATTTAACTGCAATTTTTTCCGATTTGTTCAAATAATTATTCCTACATTAATGTCACATTACGGTTGAGCAATTCCAATCATTTGAGCTATTCGTTCCCATTGTCCAGCTTTTCTTGGTCTTGCGAGAATGAGAAGAGCAGCAAACAAACCCAAGACTTCTGCTCCAGTGCTCCAGTATTTGGAAGGGCATGCATCGTAGTAGTTATACACTGATATTGGCACAATTCTAAAATATAAGAATGACTGTTAAGACATTGAAATGCCTTTGGTTGAGATTAGGTACAAATAGCTTACATTAGGAAGAAGAAGACAATGAAAAATGCGGACACACTCTTCATAAAGTAAACCTCATCTATGTGCACGAAAATTCGGTGTAAGCTTCCAAGCTGTTCTTTTTCGCTTTTCGCTCTTGAGTGTCTCCAAATTTTACCTTTGGTGACAGATACCTGACCAGACAACAATATCCTGCCTTCAGGTTGCGTTCCAGATTCGGTGGCATTTGCACTATTATGAACATCATCAAAGCTAACAGCCTAAAATAGTGAAAGCGAGCCTGTAAGTTTCCAATGAACAAAACAAAACCAGTGACTATCATGCATACCTTGGAATTCTGCGAAGGACTACGACCGCGTGACAGTTTTCGTATACTTCGGATCGAGGGCGGAGAAGATTCCACAACGGGTGCAAGGAGTGTCGGTAATGTTTGCTGTTTTTCCGGAGATAGAGCAGATTGAGGCATGGATGCGTATCCTTCGTCATTGGCTGGTGATGACGCGGGCGCTGATGATGCCGGGGATGACATGGCTGATGTATCAACTTTAAGAGACTCGGGAGTAGATGGTGATGCAGCAGAGGAATCCTTCTTGGGTTCGGTTTCTTTACCATCTCCAATTGCATCCAGTGAAGGCCATTCAGCTAATTTGACACCAGCTGGCATATCAGATGGCAATTCACTTGATTCACTGTTTTCCTTTTGTAATGGTTCTGCTTGTGGTGGTGCTAGTGTTAATTGTGCGGTGGCTGTTGACCTGTCACTGTGCTGAAGAAGTGACACTCGTAGATTTGCAGCCTCTTCGGCCAATGCTTGGCATGTGTTTTCCGCCTCTACCGCCTTGGCTTCAGCAGCAACCAGCTTAATACGTAGAGATCGGACACCGTCAGCATGAAGGTTGGATCGTTCCTGAATTTCTTCATGAAGTTCAGCAACACGTATACGAAGCGAGTCGACTTCAGTCAAATCACTAGGATCAGCGACAGATGGTATTCTCTTGTTCAATTCGGTATTCAATTGAGACGTCAAGTGCTCAACACGAGAGGTGAGCAACCGAATCTCGCCTTGTGCCTCGGCAAATTGCCGCTTCCATTCCTTGGCATCGAATTCAACAAGGATTAATTTAGCCTGGGTTGAAGCTGACTTTTGAGCAGTTTCGTGAGCTTCCCGTTCAGCTTCAGCCAGCCATGCTCGTACTTGAACAATCTCTTCTTCTCGATTTGATATGACGGCCTTCAAATCAGAGACATCGACAAGAGACATGTTGGATGCGGATACAACAGATTTAAGACCTGTTGTCGGAGAAAAACCATCCACAAGAGAAGCAGCATTGGCTTGAGTCATATCTTCAATACGACGTTCCAGTCTGGTGACCATGGATTTCAATTTCGCGTTTTCAGTCATTACACCTTCCAGTTCGATCGGTAGGGAGGTGGAAGCTCTGGATTTAGCAGCTTCGACAGGTTGAGGAGCAGGACTGACCTCTGAAGATTGAGGCATTGCTACCAAAGCGGCCTCCAACTCGACAACACGAGCTTGCAGTTGAGCTTTTCCAGTAACCATGACCTGTAGCTCCTCGAGACGAGCTTGAAGCTCAGCGACTTCTGTTGAGAGCTGGATACTTTCAGCTTTGATGGTGTCCAATTCAGCAGTACGTGCTTGTAATTCATTGACTTGTGATTGTAGAATACGGTTTTCTGCCATTGCATTGTCCATTTCGACGATGCGACTAGCAATATTCTGTTGTGAGGAGTCTCGATCTATGGAGAATCCATTAATCAGTTCACACATTCGTTGCAAGAACCCGCAATGAGACTAAGTAAGCAACGGTTTTTTACCTGCACCGGCTTCTTCAGCAACTTTACGCAGGAATTCCATTCGCACGGTCAAACGACGAATCTCGTCATTCTGTTCAATTTCCGAAGCTTTGAGTTCATCTCGTTCCTTCATGGTGACTTGCAACTGAGTCTGGGATTGCTCCATGACTGCCTTGAGCTCGTCTCTCTCCTTGATGGCAGCTTCCAACGAAACTTTGCAAGCGGTTAATTCAGCTTGGATATCAGCACTTTGTACGGAATTTTGAGCCTCCCGTAACTGAGATTGGAGATCTACTATAGCAACTGCCTGAGTTTGGATACTAGCTTCCAACTCAGCTACTTTGGATACAGCTTGTTGTAACTTCTCACCAGAGACTTCAGCATCTTTGGTTAAATCAGCTACCAATTCACGTAACGGAGCGATCTCGGTTTCGGCAACTTTCTTAGCGTTGACGGCATTCATCATTTGCTCCTTCATGGATTCCATTGAGGAGGACAAGATTGAAACTTGTTCGGCATATACGACATGGTCTCGCTGTAAGTTTTGGATTGCTTCTTCTCGTTGAGCCAGGTTGTTGCGTAAAACTACAATTTCTTCTCGTGCAAAGGAAAGAACGGATTCCTTTCTTTCGAGTGCAGCGGCGGCGCTGCTTGAGGAGGCCAAGTCTGCTCTGAGACGTTTGTCAGACGAGCTCCATTCCTTCTTGACTTCTTCGACAGCCAAGTCTCTCAGTTGAATTGCTTGCTCGACCTGATTTTTGTAGTTCAGATCAGTCAGTGCCTTCGTAGCCAAAAACGACTTGTGATGACAGATGTGCTCACCATTATGGTTAGCTCTGCTCTTTGAGATTCCAATTCTTTAATCTTCAAAAGAGACTCTTGCAATTCTTTTTCGGTATTAGCAGCAGTATTCAATCGAGCCTCCAAGTCAGAAACCTGTCGAGCAACCAGTGCTCGTTCCTTGGTAACCGTGTCGAGTAGACTCATTTTTGCAGATCCAGCTTCGGCTTTAGCTGCAGCGTGCTCCGCTTCAAGTGCTTCCAATCGGTTGGCCAGTTCATGTTTAGAAGCTTTCAGAGCAGCAACTTCTTGTTGGGCAGCATCCTGTTCTTGAGTGAGGATCTGGTGAGCTGCTCGTATTTTACCCAACTCGGCTTCCAACAATGCCAACTCCGATAGAGCGTTAGCAAGTTTATCAGCAAGATCTTGTTCGGCCAATTTGGCTTGTGATATCATGGCGGTAGATTCATCCTTAGAAGCTTCTAATTCCCTGAATACATGGTCGAGTTCCTTGTTGAGAGTCGAGATATGTGTGTTTTGAGAATCCTTCTCAACAACCAAATCCAAGTTTTCTTGTTGCAAGGTAGCGACTTGGGTGCTCAAATCCTCTAACCGTTGGTCCAATTTGACTTTGGACGCTTCTAGTTGGGCTACTTGTTGAAGAGATTCATCCAATCTGGCAGCCATATCGTCCATTTCCATCTCTTGAGACTGAATTTGCTCAGCTAATGTGGCTTGAACCTTGTCCTTGAGTTGAATTTCGTGGACTGAAGCTGCGCGAGTTTGAAGTAGAGATGCAGACCGTTCAAGGATCTCTTGTTCCTGAATCTTGAGTTTGGATTGCATTTGTTCAATCTAAAGGTGGAACTGTGAGCTTTCATTTGCAAAACAGCGCTGTACTATGCAGCATCCACTCATTTTCGCTGATACTGACTTGGCTGAGGAGAACGTTCTTTTCATCACTCAAAGAAGCTACTATCGAGTCCTTTTCTTTCACCAAGAGCTCCAATTTATCTTGAGCTTCCTTCAGTTCAACTTCAAGCTGAACAACTTTCTCTTGTTTCGTTTTCAGTAATGCTTGAGAATCAGCCAAGTTGGACTTGACCTCAGAAACCTAAGTTCATCGCATACATGAGGAATTGTAACAATGAAACCCATCTTGATGGAGAATTACAACGATGTATATTTACCGTGGCTTCTAGACTAACTTTGTCCTTCACAGCAGTCTTTGAGAATTCAGCACTCAGATTCTCAATGCTTTGCTTATTGCTTTGAGACACTCGAATGACAGACTTGAGCTGCACAATCTCGGACTTGGCGGCATCCCGTTCAGCTTCAAGATTGAAGACAGTGGCATTCAATTGCTGAATGTCACGAGCCATTTGTCTCTTGAGTGAGTCCACTTCACCATTGGCATTCGATAATTGGGTTTCAAGATATTGGATTTGAGTAGTGCACACAGAGAGTCGGGTAGAAGCTTGCTCGATTTCAGCTTCAAGAGACATGATGGTTGATTGCTTGTTTTCTAATTCGATAGCTTTCTCAGCATGCACTTGTTGTAGTTGGGAATCTAATTGTTCAACGGATTGCATTGCTTGAGCTTTTGCCTCGAATGCATGACTCAATTCGAAATTGGTGGACTCTACTGCTGCCAGGATAGATGTTAATTTGGTCTTGTACTCTTCCACTTGGGATTCAAGTTCTTTGACGTGGGATTCTTGGTCCTTAAGGCTTTGATCCGAGACAGCCTTGACTTCAGATGCTTTGGCGCCCGATTCAGCAGCGGACGCTTGAGCAGCATTCAATTCAGCCTGCCTGACGACGACGTCTTTTTCAGCTGCAGCCAATTTGACTTCCAAAGCAGCCACCTGTTGGGACAGTTCTTGAATTTGTACTTGGTACTTAATGCATTCAGCTTCCAATGCATTGACGTTTGCTTTGAGCTCCTTTTCAACAGCAGTGACCAGAGACTGAGTACTGGCCATAGCTTTGGCTCTCTCGTTAGCTAGGTCTTGCATCTCTGCCATCTCAGATTGTATGCCGGCCAGCTCGTTGGTCTTGGATTCTAAATCGGTTTCCAAAGTCTTGATGGTATTAACCAAATCATCCTTCTCCTTGGTTTGTTCCTGCAACTTGCTGACGGTAGTTTGAAGTGCTTCGACTTCTGAGGTCTTGGCGGTAATAGATGCTTGTAGAGTCTTTAAGGTAGCATCGAGCTCACTCTTGACTACTGAGAAAGTGCTAGTCTCTTTTTCTAGAGCTTCCTTTGCAGCGGTATATTCGGCACGTGTCTTGGCAAGATCCGCGGCCAATTTTGTAGCTTGTTCACAAGCTTGAGCACCTTCTTCCTTCAACTTCAGGATGGTGGCTTCAGTTTCGGCAGAGTTGAGCACGCCTGATTGAGACTGACTGATTCGTTTGACAAAGCCAGCTTGTCTCCTTGAAGTCTCAATCTGTTCTTCTAGTTTTGTGACCTAAGTGACAAAGCTTAGCATTTCAATTGCTCACCTAAACTACCAAACCAAACGCGATTTCCGCTGCAAAAACACACTACATTCCAATATTTCCAAGCATCGTACCTTTTCTCCCATGCTCAAAAGTGCCTTCTTGGCTTGTTCATCAATCGTTTGCACAAGTTTACGTCCACGAACGGCTGCATTCTTGTCTCGTTGATCATTCTTGGATCGCACATCCTTGAGTTTGGTCAAGTTACCGATATGGGTTCCCAGCTCCACGGCAAGTGCTTCGGCTTCTTTTCTCATTTCACTACGATCAGCTTCCATACCGGCAATGATTTCACGAGCTAGTTGCAACTCATGAAGAGCTTCTTCTGTAGTGTATTGAGCAGCCATGACGAAAGGTAAAGCAGTGCTTGAGGAGGACGGCAGTCGACGTCCGATGACGGGACCTTCGACAATGGAGGGCAAGGATGAATTGGAACCAGGAGCAGAATCAGTTGATCGACTTAGAGCTGTAACTCGCTCAGCTTTGGCTAACTGATCTGCAAGGGTACCAATCTTGAGTTGCAATTCCTTGTTCTCATCTTCAAGCCTCTGTTGTCTTGCCAACGTCATTTGAGAAGTTTGTACAGACAAACCGGATTTGCGGCTAGTATTCATGGAGGTTGATAGTTCTTCAACAGCAGCGATGTAACCCTTTGGATCAGTTTCAATGATGGAAGAACGAGAATTTGAGCGTAGTTCTGCCATATCTCGTGGTTTCGGTAGTTGGGAAACGGAATCTTGAGCCTCGGCTTCTGTAGAGATTGATCGAATTACTATGATGGGCTGACTGGTACTCTTTGAGGATTTGAGGAGTGGAGATACAGTGTCGTCCTCTTGTACATTGGCACGTTGATCTGCATCACGTTGACGTTCATCCCGTAAGGTTCCGACAGTGTCTTGCAACTTAGTAACCAGTTCTCGTAATGCACCATTTTCAGCGTTGAGGTTGATGACTGTATCTTTAAGCAGAGTGTTGTCAGCCCCTTCTCGCTGAATTCTAGATTCTCCTCTAGCCTTTTCTCCATCTTCGAGTAATGATTGTATGGATTTGGTGGATTTGGATTTGCTCATGTGTTTTCGGTGATCGGTGCCCCAAGACAAACGAATGGCTGCCACTGAAGGTGATGAGGGTGAAGGAGGATCAGCCAAAGCCTTAACTTGAGTGGCGAGGTCGACATTCTCAGCTTCTAGCTTGGCCATGGCAGATTGATATTCCTCAATTTGTCGTAGGTGGGATTGTTTGAGAGCACGGTTGATTTCCAAGAAACTGCCCAATTGAGCATACAAATGTTGAATCTGAGCCCATAATCGTTCTTTTTCAGCATCGGATTGTCGGGATTCCTTCTTCAAATCGGAGATGGTGACTTCGGCACGTTTCTTATATTCTTGTAGATCCTTCAAACGTTCTCCGAGTACACTTGAGTCGGCAGTGTCTTGTCGATTTTCGTGTAGTTGTGTAGATAATCGAGCAATGGTCGCTTCAGCCTCAGCCAGGTCCGCTTTAGCCGCATCTCTAACCATTTCAGCAGCAATTTTCTGTTGAATGGCTTCATTTTTGGCGTGCTCCGCCTCTTGTTGAGCATCGAACACTTCATGACGTTCATCCTCCACTTGTTGTCGTTCTTCCTCGTATTTGTGAAGCTGAGTTTGGAGCTCTTCATTCTGTTTCAGCAGACTTTGGCCAATTTCAGAGGCGAGCATCAGGTCACGTTGGAGTGTATCAACATCAGTATCCTTATCCTCGCAAGCGACGTGGATGAGATTTTCCAAGGATGGCGACATAGAGACGTCTTGGAATTGTGAACCCATCCGTGAGACTAGGAATGCGTTGCTTCTGTCGGCTTCTACCCGTAAATTCTGAATAGCTGGTACTGGGCCGGCTTGTGGTCGTAGAGACATTCGTGAACACGACCACCTTGCTTCTCCCAATACGACTTTGCGATGGTCTCACGTGTAGTTCGCGTTCAATATATCGATCAGAAAAGTAGCCTTTTGCATAGCAAATTTCCTCAAATATATCAGCATTGCTAGAGCCCAGTTTGATTCGGTTTTTGAGGGCGATTTTGGGGGCACATTTTGGATCCACTGAATTTCGGAGGTCACAGATTAACACTCTAGAGCGACTCCATTAGTTCAAGCCTATCCTAGTATAACTTTAAACAGAACTAGTTAGTGCTTGCTTCCCACTTCTCGATTTGAATAAATTGCCAAAAGTTTAGGAGATTTTGAAAAGGAAGACTTGATCATTGAAATTGTAAGAGGACGAAGACAGGCAATACATTAAGAACATGGGCAAGGACGGATTCCTTACGGCAAAAGCAAGTTTCACTATTTAGTCTTATGCTCAATTTCACCTTCATTTGTCAAACACTTTCCAACATTTGCTGCGGTCAGTCAAGACACTCTAATCCTAACCTTATCTACCTCTTATTCATAGGCCATTGCTACCAGAATCAAAGCGAAAGGTCTGTCAAAGCTTCGATGGTACTGCCAAATGTGTGAAAAGCAATGTCGAGATGAGAACGGATTCAAGGTGGGTATTGGTTTGTGATGTTTTAGATCAATCCTGGAGTACTAACCATAGCTCCTGTATGTGATAGTGTCATTGTTCGTCTGAGGGCCATATACGACAGATGCAGCTATTTGCTGATAATCCAAATTCATTCTTGGAAAACTACTCGAAACAATTCTTGGACGACTTTCTGAAACTCTTGTCAAGGAGGTAAGCGGAGAGGCAAATCGTATGCATATCATATCTATTCATAGCCGAGCATATCATGAACTCCCATTCTGTCTCAATAGGTATAACTCACGACGAGTCCATGCCAATCTCGTCTATCAGGAATACATCTCAGATCGCGAACATCTTCACATGAATGCTACACGATGGAACTCTTTAGGCGCTTTTGTACAATACTTGGGTCGTGAATCTATATGTGAAGTCGACGAGACAGAAAAGGGCTGGTTTATAAAATGGATTGATCGATCACCTGAAAATCTGGCACGACAAGAAGCCATTCAGAAGAAGGAACGAGGAGAAAAGTCAGATGCTGAGCGAGAACAAAAGATGCTGGATGAACAGATTGAGAAGGTTGCTGCCGTCACTAATGCCTCAGAAGCTGTAAGTTGAAACCATGTTTTGGGTTCATCTGTTGTGAGATTGAAACTAAGCTCTTTCTCATTTCCCTTTAGCAATACACCGAACTGCAACGAGACTCGGAAGAAGAAAAGATCAAATTGAATCTCAATCTTAAGGTAAGGTTTGATCTATCAAGTTTGTGGGATGTTTGCAACGCAAAGCGCCTCCTCATCAACACACTCTCAATATCCGTCCAGGTTGGTTTTGCCAAACCGCTATTCAAGAAACCGGAACCAAAGAAGATGAATGCTTTGGCCATGGCTTCCAAAAAGTCGGTCGACGCCTCTGCATCAAAAGTTTTGTCGTCTTCAGCTCCTCTGTTAGGTGAGCATACGAGTCTTCTTTCGAAGGTTTTAGAATTGTGTTCTAACCAAACGAAAACTCTAGGTAAAAGGATGAGTGAAGTCGAAGCTTTGATCAATGAGGATAGGTTGAAGAAACAGAGAATGGAGGCTTGAGCGTCGTGTTTGTAGTTGTTGCACTCCTTAATATATAAAATCAGATTATTTTTACAGAAGATCAATATTCAGTCTCATTCAGCCAAGGCCAGAGTCAAGGATCTAGTCAGAGATGCTTTTCGCGTCTTTTGTGTCGTTATATTCTTGATTGCGTTTTGTGTTGAGATACCACATTCACCACCAAACAAACATCAAAAGCACCTTCCAGGAAAGCTCCAACACGGTCAATCATGGCAGACAGTAAGCAATTGGTCTGGGACCGCACGATGAACGCGTTGCGACCAACACCACGTTAAACCTAACTCATTCCAAACGTACACTCTAGCGGATATTGAAGGATGTTTTGTCATCGCGAATGCTCTCAAAAGTCAAGGAGTCAAATTCGTCTTTGGTATCGTCGGCATACCTGTCATCGAGGCATGTGTTTCTCATAGCATCAACCCTTCGGAAGTCGTACAACCTACCTCACGTTTTCGGTTGAACGAGTGCATGGGATATTTGACGATTTTAACTCGACCTAATATGATATGGTGTACACCTTGTTTAGATTGCTCAAGCATGCATGGCTGTGGGGCTTCGCTACATTGGATTCAGAAATGGTAGGTTTCTTGGATAATTGTGGGATTACGTCACAAACTGAAAGAGAAAACCTGAAAGATATTTGATTTATTGTCTTCGTAATGAGGCCTTTCGTGTGTACTGCTTTCCGTGATTCTGTCTTTGCAACCTGGTGACACTCTTTGCATCAACGATTTGCAATTGACTTTTCTCGCTATGTAGAACAATCCGCTAGTTACGCCGCTTCTGCCGTCGGATTCATGACAGGTCGCCCAGCTGTCTGTCTTTGCGTGTCAGGTCCTGGGATGATTCATGGTAGAAAACAAATTCGCGTCAAGGTGGTTTGCAATGCTTCTGACCCATGAACTTTTATAGCTATTGCCGGAATGGCAAACGCTCAAGTAAGCATATTGTGTCGTTTGCCTTGTATTTTCCTTGGCTAACATTTTCACTATCTAGGAAAACGCTTGGGTATGAGACATATTCCAAAATTGAAATTGGATATTCAAAACCATGCGTGACATTTATTGTGGAATCGAGTACTAAAAATATTTACGGATATTTCTAGCCCGTCATTGTTATCGGTGGATCATCAGAAATGGCTCAAGTACGAAAATTTAGCAAAAACAGCTTAAGGAATTATGTATTAATAGCTGATTTTCTAGGATGCTATGGGCGCCTTCCAAGAGTTTCCACAAGTTGAAGCTGCTAGACTGTACTCAAAGTACACTGCTCGCCCCGGTAGCATCAAACAAATTCCTCACATTGTCGAAAAGGTGGGCGTTGTTCGAAAATTGCAAGATTCGTGTATGAAAATCCTAAAACATTGAATCGCTTGCCTTCCTCTTAGGCAATTCGTGAGAGCATGTATGGTCGTCCTGGCGCCGTTTACATTGACATTCCTGCCAATTATGTAACTGGAAGAACCGATGTGAGCAAGGTCAGCTACCCTCCAATCGCTCCAGGGCCACCAAAGGCTATGGCCGACCCAGCAATGATTGAAAAAGCTGCCATGGTGCTAGCTAAGGCAAAAAGTCCATTGGTTATTGTGGGCAAGGGGTACGAGAAGGGAAAATCATATTATGCTAAATCCTCTATGAAACGGTTTTTGAAAATCCCCTCTTTGCTTGTTTCTAGTGCCGCAGCTGCATTTGCTGAACATGAAGTCAAACGACTCATTGAAGGAACAAATTTGCCATTCTTACCCACTCCAATGGGCAAGGGTGTAGTCGATGATGATCACCCGTTGTGTGTATCAGCTGCTCGTTCATCGGCACTGAAGGGAGCCGATGTCATAGTGCTTTTGGGTGCCCGATTAAATTGGATTTTGCATTTTGGTCAGGCCCCGCGTTTCATGAAGGGCGTGAAGATTATCCATGTTGATATTAAGCCTGAGGAGATGTGAGTCTTTAAGAGAACGCATCCGAAAAGAGAGCTTGGCTCAAGATTCAATTATTTTCAGGGGAAACAATGTTTATGGTGCACAAACCGTACCATTGTTTGGACACTTGCAATTGGTTACTCAACAATTGTCTGATGCTCTCTTACGTCATCAATTCATGTTTAAGGCTGCTGAACCATGGTAATGTCAGGTTATAATTTTCATTTCTGCCTCATGTTTGGAAAATCTTACCAATGCAAACTACTAGGTGGAAGGAAATGAATCAAAAATGTCTCGCAAACAAGAACACCACCGCTGCCTTGTTCAAAGACGAAGCACTCCCTATGTCGTACTATCGTGTATATGCTGTCATCAAGGATCTCATGCCAGAAAACTGCATGTTTGTGAGTGAAGGTGCCAACACTATGGTAAGTTACATGTAGGACACAACGCCAGGTGCATTTTTTTGTCCCAGCACACGAAGCCGTGCTGTTTGCTCATGCTAATTCTCTTGATAGGATATTGGACGTACTATCATCTCTCAGCACAAGCCCAGAGCTCGCTTAGATGCTGGATCCTTTGGTACTATGGGAGTTGGTGTTGGATTTGCTATTGCTGGTAAGGTGTTACGTTGTTGTTCCGACACTGCAATGGAATGATAACCGTACCTTTTCGTAGCTGCCGCCGTATACCCTGAGAAGCGTACTATTTGTATTCAAGGCGATTCAGCCTTTGGTTTCTCTGGAATGGAGATTGAGACCGCTTCTCGAGCCAAGTTGCCAATTATTTTTGTTATCATCAACAACAATGGAATCACCATGGGAATGGACGAAGCTACTTTAGCTACATATCCTCCTGGCAAACAGTTGCCAAGTACCGTCTTAGGAATCAACACTAGGTACGACAAGATGGCCGACGCATTTGGTGGGAAAGGTTACTACTGCAATACCCCTATCGAAGTCGAGAAAGCCTTCAAGGCTGCCTTGGCTGATACCTCCTGCATTCATGTAATCAATATCACCATCTCGACGAACACGTCTCGAAAGGCTCAAGAATTCACTTGGTATGATGACTGCTTCTTAATAAGAGTGAGCTCAATCTAACTTGACCCTTTTCATTCAGGCTCACACGATCTGGAGAACACGATGCAAAGATCTAAACAAACCCGGTTGGATCAAGCTGGGATCTAAAAACGTGGTTGTTATAAAAAACATTTGTCGCGACCCTAAAAAAAGCGTTTGAAACGAATGAATGAGTAAAAGGGAGGATTTCAGTCCAAGAGGATAAAATGCCTCTATTCCGTGTCTTAGTTCCTTTATGTACCGTATTCCGTCGACGTTCTCTAGTTTTCACACATTTTTTTCCTAAATTACAGCCTGTGTTAAGCTTATCCATTACGAAAAAGGCGTGATCAAGACACATCAAAGCATTTTGCAGTCGTCGATATTGATGCGAATATAGGCTTTTCCTTGAGCGATTGATCTTGAAAAGCCATGGATTTAGCATTGGTGTTGGAAGCATCAAAACTCAATGAGGCAAGCTACCAGAACACAAAATGATCTACACAGAGGTACTCATTACATGAACCTTCCATAGTTAATTGGATCGCATCTTGAGATCTGTCAGAGCTGGCAGGAACAGGAAGTTGAATGCCAGACGTTGATTGATCTCATTGGAGACGGGCTGAAGGGTCATCAATTGCAGGTAAGCGCTTTGTTGATGAGATGGATTTACACATAAATTGTATATTTTGATGAATCTCATTTATTTCGCCACTAGATCCCGGTTGGAAAGGCTGCTTTTCTACCGACAACACTCAAACAAGAGTCACGAATTGTTGTGTCGGTTGGTGATGATGTTTATATTGAGACTCAGATCAAGTACGCCAAACCAATTTTGGCCCGACGAATGCTTTGTAAGTTGGATCTGCAGTTGTGCAGCTTTGGATCTGTTTACCAACGGTTTTGTACAGTTCTTGCTCGGGCTATTGAAACGATTCAAGCCAAAATTGAAGGATTCGAGTCTTTACGAAACAAGGTACTTCGAGAGCCATCACCAAAGCCTGTCCCTCGTGCTCCAGTCCCAATGGTTGGAAAACCCGAATTCGTAGGTTCTTCGTTTCCGATAAGAATGCTACAATGTTGGATACTCAATTGTTGGACCTCTCTTCTACAGCTGGCACAGATCGAAGCTGCTACCAAAGCACGATTCATTCCTGTTGATGAAGAAGAGCTCAAGTCGAGGCCTGGACTAGTGTCTGCTGGAATACAACAAGTAAGGCAGCCTTGTCCAGCTGGTCCTTTTACATAATCTCTGACTCGTCCTCGCCTCGCGTCTGTAGGGAACTATTGGAGATGAGACTTTTATGGATATTCATGAAGAGTACACGGACTGGGCAGGTACAGAAGGCAGTGTCGTTACGGATTTTATTTGACGGTTTATTTTGCTCACATTGCTTTAACACCGTAGACATAAGATATGCTTCTGATCAAGTTATAGCTGAAGAGTCCAAACAACAAGCCGCGGAACGTCAGCGTCTACGCCTACACGATGGTAGAGCTCTGCAAAAAAAACACTTTGAGGAACCTCCCCTCCCCACCGAATCAGCTCGATCAAAAGACAAGGATAAACCGCGCTTAAAGAAACAAGTCTCGTTTTCCGAACTACCATCTTTAAATGACTCACCACCTCGAACAATAGAAAGTGCAAAACCAGAATCGCCATTGGCACACGTCAAGTCACCTGCTGATATATACAAACTTATGAGTAAATTTGCTTCATTATCTACATCTGTAAATGATGCAAAAGGTGTATTGGTGTCATCGCCCACTGAAGTCCAAAAACCAGTCCAGGCATCTGTAGCCTCACCAAAACCAACGAAGCCCATAATCAAAAATGTCAAAAACAGTGTAGTCTCACTAAAGCCATCATCACCGTCATCGTCATCATCTATTGTAACGAAGCAACCACGCATACCAGCTGCCGAGTTGATTATGAAGAAACAGGTACAAGAAGTGGAATCACCAACACAACCGCCACCTATGGAGCCCTTTGATGACGATAGTCTAGACTATGATGTATCAACAGCAGATATATTAGCTCTAGCACAAGAAATCATACCAGCTTCCATGGTTGGAGGAATGCCAAAAGGTCGTGGTAAACAGCCTGGTAGTAATCAATTAAAAGGCAATGATAACGACGAAGCAGAGGATGAAGAAGAAGAAATAGACAACGATGATTATGACGATAGCAATGAGGATGACTATGACGATTATGATGACGAGTATGAAAAAGAGGACGAACAATGGTATGCTCAAGAGATAACGCAAGGAATCAAACGAGAACTTGCTGAATATGAGGAGGCATACTTTGATCAAGTTGTACGTGAAGACCAGGATTCAGATGCAGAGGAATCAGTGGCCTTCCCTCCAGATTATAGTCCGCCATTGACTCAACCTCCCAAACTTAAATCCACATATATCAAGAGTAAAAATAACAGTGCTACTCTTTCCAGTGCGAACGGTAAGCTTGAAGCGACTGTGTATCCCATGGTGGTGGAACGAACTACCGAACAAATAGACAGGAAGCCAGAAGACACAGTCTCAACAACAGCACCAGTCTCTCGCTTCAAACAACAAAGGCAATCACTAAACTCATAAATGGCAAGAAGATCTCAAATATAACTTAGGAATTTGTATATATTGCATTTCAAACAAATGAAAGCATTTTATAATTATAGACGGTTTGGTGGTTGTTTGTTGCTTTTAATGTGCTTGCTGGGCTGTTGCTTGCTCTCATTCCACTCTCACACGCTTGTTTCGACCATCATCATCTTCCTCGTCTTCTTCATCTCCTTGTTGAGCTTCTTCAAAGGCATCAATCCAATATGTATACAAATCAACAGGTGCCTCCAAATCTAAAAGCAAAAAAAGACGCTATTGGTGCTCGCGCATGACTTGCTTTTGAAGCGCCCACAGTACACATAACAGGACGTACCAGTCAAGTGCTTTCTGAATTCAATACCACAAACTCTGCATTTTAAGGTCCATAGCGTCTTCTTGTCTTTGTCCCTATGCGATATATGTGGTTGAATGAGGTTGATGTTGATGCGATTGAACAACCCGGACACTGTCCAATAACAAAAAGAAGATCGTAGACTGAACTTACGGCTTACAAGTGACGGTTGCTTCATGATTGCACGATAAGCAATTGAATTCCGTATCGAGCTTTTCCTTGACCTTTTTGGCAACCTACGTTTTCGAGACAATGTAAAGAAGTTAGTGAGGATGAGAGGACGCTTTGTGAAGATATGCATGTAGATATATGGCTTACCTTTCTCTTTGCTTTTCTCTTTCCCATGGTCGTTCAATCCCTGACAAAATGTTTGGAAATTGTGAGATTTGATTTTGGAGCTAACTTGAGCTTGAAACTGCAGATCGCGTGTTTCAACACGTTTTCATAACTTTGGTGGCTTCAGTGAACGTGATGACTGTACTTGCTTCTTCTCTCGTCGACCTATTTCCGTTTAGAGTCGCAGTCACTATATTCAATTTCCTGTTCTTCAAGCCTGAGCTGGGATCAAGTCTATAAGAAGCTAGCATCATGAAGTAAGGCATTGCTTTTACTCGCATTTAGCTGCGATTTGACGTATTTAATTACTACCTTGCGATCTAACTGGCTGCATTCAACCAGGCTCACAGTTGATGGACTACCAGTTCTATTCCCATACGATTACATATATCCTGAACAATATGCTTACATGAAGGATCTCAAGAGAGCTCTCGATGCAAAAGTATGTTATCTGTCTATTGCATGGACCTTCGTCGCAAGCCTGTTGTCTGATCACACATTTACCAAATTTTCGAATGCCAACCAATCTTTCATCTTCTTACCAGGGCCATTGCATGCTCGAAATGCCTTCAGGAACTGGCAAAACTATATCCTTGCTATCTCTGATTGTCGCATACCAACAAGTAAGGAAACTGATCCAACTTGTGAAAGTTCCATCATATACAGGCTCATATCCTTCGTTTTGGTTAGCATCATGCCGAAAAGCGCAAGCTGATTTATTGCTCACGAACAGTCCCTGAAATCGAAAAGGCTCTAGCTGAATTGCAAAGGTTGATGGCATATCGCAAACAAATGGGTCAGAATGAGAACTTTCTCGGTTTGGGATTGACTTCACGTCGGAATCTATGTGTTCATCCTGAGGTGTGATCAAAGCCATGATGTCGGAAGCTGGTACCCCTTTTCTTGACACATTATCAATATTTAGGTATCGAGAGAGAAACGTGGCAAAGTAGTCGATGCTCGATGTCGCGCTCTTACTGCTCCATGGGTTCGTGAAAGGGCCAAAAGTGCTGAAGAAGCTGATAATGTTCAGACGTGCTCTTTTTATGAGGTATTCAGTTACACGTGAAGCTTGCCTCGATTCAACTATATAATGACCGCGCTTGGTTTTTTCCCACCCAGAGTTTGGAGGATGCAGAAGATACAGCATCGATGCCTGCAGGAGTGTACACTCTGGAAGACTTGAAAGAGTGGTCCTCGGCTGCTGGATATTGTCCCTACTTCTTGGCAAGACGAATGGTCAGTGGACATGATGCCGCGAGAAAAGCTTGTTTTTTTGGTTCTGAAACTCACCATGAATGTGTACAGATCCCATTCGCAAATGTCATTATCTACTCATATCATTATCTGTTGGATCCAAAAGTGGCGGAACTTGTATCAAAAGAAATGCCCAAGGATGCTATTGTTGTATTTGATGAGGCACACAATATCGGTAGGCCGAATTCTTGCTCTCGGCTGAAAGCTGTTTTGTTGAACTTGTCGCACTCAATAATGGACTTTGTAGATAACGTGTGTACTGAATCATTGAGTATTGACCTGACAAAGCCGTTACTGGATCAAAGCGCAAGAAGTGTCACTGCTTTGAGTAACAAGATTGATTCGTAAGTCCACAAGCAAAAACCAAATTCTAGATATGTCAACTTATATATGCTTTCTAGATTGGAACAAAGTGGCTCTGAGCAATTACAACAAGAGTATCAACGCTTGGTAGACGGAATGAGAGATCGAGATCAGAATCGAAACGAGTATCTGGCCAATCCAGGTTAGTTATTACAAGTTCCTGTCTTGTCGTTGTTTTCCCTATACTAAATATATCAAAATTCACCTAGTACTTCCTGATGACATACTTCGTGAATCTGTGCCTGGCAGTATTCGACGTGCTAAACACTTTGTCAACTTTATGAGACGATTTGTCGAGTATTTGAAGGTTTGTGCGAAAAAGCCTCACGGAATATGCACCATTAGAAGTGTCATGTCTACTTAATGCCACCAATTGTTCACTATTTCTCGTATTTAGACTCGTATGCGTGTTATGCATGTCGTTGCAGAACATCCCTCTTCATTTCTGCAGAATGTCAAGGAGCTGACATGTATTGAGAAGAAGCCTTTAAGGTATTGCGGGTCAATTCTACGGTTTTTGTCGTCGACTCAGATGCTTCCATTTTCACCGTAGATTTTGCTCTGAGCGACTGTCTTCATTGGTGAGAACACTCGAGTTATCAGATCTGGAAGACTTTGCTGGATTGCAGAAGGTTGCACAATTCGCTACATTGGTCGCCACGTATCAGAAAGGTGCGAATATATTCGATCTGCAACTTGCTCCGATGAAGCTTGTTCTCGCAACGGTTTCCCGCTTATGACAACGACAATCGATCGCTGTGCCCGTCACCTTGTTAACGCTTAACTCAAAACAAGGCTTCATGTTGATTCTTGAGCCATTCGAAAATGACGGAGACGTTATACCAAATCCCGTACTTCATCTCGTCTGCCTAGACGCTACGTTCGCCCTAAAACCCATATTCGATCGATTCACTTCTGTTGTGATAACATCTGGTACCCTGTCACCCATGGAATTGTATCCCAAACTATTAGGATTTACGCCCATCATCATGGAAAGCTATCAAATGACCCTTACTCGTGCTTCCTTCCTACCATTGGTTGTAACCCGAGGCAGTGATCAAGTAGCCGTATCATCCAAGTTTGAAGTCAGAAATGATTTGGCTGTTGTGAGGAATTATGGCAACTTGTTGATGGAGATGGCAAGAATTGTACCTGATGGTATAGCTTGTTTCTTCCCATCATATTTGTATATGGAGTCTATTGTATCTGCTTGGAATGAATTAGTGAGGAATGCTAGAGAGATGAGAAAAAAGCAAATTTTCGCTATGGTCACTCTTTCTCATGAACGACTCTTTTTATGTAGGGTGTGCTACAAGAAGCGCTCAAGTACAAACTGATTTTCATTGAAACTCCCGATGCACCAGAAACCAGTTTGGCATTGGAGAACTATCGAATGGTAAGTACTATTCGGAAATGCAAAAAAATCGTCCTTGACTCCAAGTGCACAGGGTTTCGAGCACTGCCTTCACCCGCCACACCTTTTACTTATATGTTATGATAGGCCTGTGACAATGGCCGTGGTGCCATCCTGTTGTCTGTAGCACGAGGCAAAGTATCGGAAGGAGTCGATTTTGATCACAACTATGGGCGAGCTGTGATCTTGTTTGGTATACCCTATCAATATACCGAGTCACGATTGCTCAAAGCACGACTGGAGTATCTACGAGAGAATGTGGATATTCGAGAGAATGATTTCTTGACGTTCGATGCTATGCGTCATGGAGCTCAATGTGTCGGTCGTGTATTGAGAGGAAAGACTGATTATGGGCTCATGATCTTTGCTGATAAGGTATGATTTGTGAATGAACCGACAGTGAATGCGTATAGTGTGTATCTTTCTGTCGAATACTTTTCTACTCAACGCAATATTTTTTTTCCGTGTACATCAACATTATCAACACAAATTCATGCATTTAGAGATTTGCTCGAGCAGACAAACGATCCAAGTTGCCTAAATGGATTCGTGAAGGCATGAATGAAGGATACACAAACTTGAGTACTGATATGGCTATAGCTGTCGCCAAAAAGTTTCTTCGAGAGATGGCTCAACCTTCGAAAGATCCTTATAATGTCAGTACGTGGGATTTGAAGCGTGTGATGGAAGAAGAAGCGAAGGATGCAAAGAGGAAGGAGGCTTTTGAGGATGTGCACGGTGGAGGTGCAGGAGCACAAGAAGTGCCTATTGCTGATCCCATGGATGTGGAGCTTTGACCTGTAAATTAGAAACCCATGTACCAAGCTTTTCTTGTATTATTCAGAGATCGTACTCCTTGCTTATAAATCATATAAACACGTGTAGGCTATGGAGAAATACGCGTTTTATGTAGGAAGCTCTCGTAAAATTTTGAGGCATTTTGTAGAACGCACGGTTGGCCTGTCAAATTTCTCACCACATTTTCTGTAAGTAAGACAGTCCAAAACTCTGCCACTGGAACGCATTAAAGCCCTACACTCGCATCTCTCAGACAATACCAACACGATGGGAGCAGATTTGGAGACTATTTCCGTTGATACCATAAGGTGTTTGGCAGCCGACATAGTTCAAAAGGCCAATTCGGGACATCCTGGAGCTCCTATGGGATGTGCTCCTATGGCTCAAGTCCTATGGTCGAAATTCATTCGCTGCAATCCTACAAATCCAAAATGGGTAAGCTATTGTTGACTAGCAACATTTGTGATGTTTGTTCAAATTTGATGGTATTTGTTTGATGGGCGCGGTGAAGAGGAGAGATTAGAGATTTTTTGATTTTTTTGATGGTTGTGGAATCAAGTTTACAAGGAAAGAGCTCGTTGAACCTGCTTGTTTCTTAAGCTTCCTATACATTATGCTTTGTCAAGCTCTCAACAATCACTTGTTTTCAGATCAACCGTGATCGGTTTGTACTCTCAAATGGACACGCTTGTGCTCTTCAATACATCATGCTCCACCTTCTTGGTTATGATTTGACCATGGACGACTTGATGAAGTTTCGAACCTTGAACTCAAAGTAAGACACCTCCTACCTGTCAAACTTGATCAGGACATCATGAATCTTGATTATATTCACTCATTGACGCCAATCTATCAACCGATTAGAACACCAGGTCATCCAGAAGCCGGCCATGCAACTCCTGGTATCGAAGTGTCAACCGGTCCACTAGGACAGGGATTCTCAAATGCCGTTGGTATGGCTATGGCTCAAGCTCATATGGCTGCTCACTTCAACAAGCCTGGATTTGAGGATTTGATTGACAACTTCACCTATTGTATTATGGGTGATGGGTGTCATCAGGAGGGCATAACGAGTGAAGCTGCCTCTTTGGCTGGGTGAGTTCTTGAAAACTGATTTGAATATAGTGCGTATAGTATCGCTGACCGCGTCGGCTGTATAAATAGTCACTTGCAATTGGGAAAGCTGATTGTCTTGTATGATGACAATTTGGTCTCTATTGATGGTATCGTATATTTCGGACTCCATCTTTTTTTGTACTCTCAGCAGCATTTCATGCTCACGTCCATTTCTCATGTCCCAAATAGGTGACACGGCAATGGGTTTCACTGAAGATGTATTGAAGAGATATGAAGCATATGGCTGGCACACACAAACCGTCAAGGACGGCGACGTCAGCTGCTCATCTATTGAGAAGGCTGTTGAAGCTGCTAAAGCAGTCACTGACAAACCAAGTATCATCAAAATCAGAACCGTTATTGGATATGGTTCCAAAAATCAAGGAAATGCTCATAAAGTACATGGAGCTCCATTGGGAGAGGATGATATTGTTCATGTCAAGAAATTGTTTGGGTTGCCTGCTGATAAGAAGTTCTATGTTCCTGATGAGGTGATTTTTGCGTTAATGCTATGCTCCTGGTTACTGTTCGTGTCTTTTTTTGTGTTTTAGGAGTTCTCTAACAGTGGATTTTCTGTATGCTAGGTTCGAGACTTTTGGGCCAACGTTCACAAGAAGGGTGCTTCTTTGGAATATGCTTGGAATGAAAGATTAGAAGCCTACAAGAAGGCATACCCAGACTTGGTAAATATGATCTCACCACGTACATTTGTTGGCAAAGAACTGGCTGTCTTTGAAGTGCAGCTATTGGTGCTAAACAATCCTATTCTTTCGTAGGCTGGTGAATTAATCCGTCGATTCTCTGGTCAACTACCAGAAGGATGGAAGAATGCTCTACCACGATTCACCCCTGCTGATCCCGCCGTCGCGTCTCGAAAGTCATCTGAAGTTGTCTTGAACAAGTTGGCTCCCATTATGCCCGAATTGATTGGAGGTTCTGCTGATTTGACTCCTTCTAATTTGACACGGTGGACTGGTGCCGAGGACTTCCAACCTGTGAGTTACGGATTCATGAAACGGATTGCGACAAGTTTCTCTTGTAGTCGCTTCCGTCCATCTGTTGCTTTCGCTGACCAAACGCTGTATACTAGCCAAGCACCAAATTGGGAACCTATGCTGGTCGATACATTCGTTTTGGTGTTCGCGAACACGGAATGGCTGCAATTTGTAACGGAATGTCAGCTTATGGTGGTTTGATTCCATTCGGCGCTACATTCTTGAACTTCATCACGTAAGCATCTAGCAGAACTCTGAGCATTTTTTTTGCGTTGGTGAGGAAAGGATCAGAGTTATAATACATCAAACTCATTCTTGCCATTCAACTAGATATGCATGGGGATCTGTACGATTGAGTGCCATCTCTCACCATCAAGTCATTTACATCATGACCCACGACTCTATCGGTTTGGGTGAAGATGGTCCTACTCACCAACCTATTGAGACTATGGCCGCTTTACGCGCTCTTCCAAACATCTTGGCTATGAGACCTGCTGATGGCAATGAGGTAATTCGCCATTCCATTGACGGTGTGAGTTTTTTGTCTCGTTTACGAACCTCCAAAACTAGACCTCTGGTGCATATGCCGTCGCTCTTGAAAACAAGAACCGACCATCCGTATTGGCTCTGTCTCGTCAAAACTTGCCCGTCTTGGAAGGCTCCTCAATAGAAGGTGTATACAAGGGTGCCTATGTCTTGACATCAGACCCATCGCCACAAGTAGTTCTCGTATCTACTGGCTCTGAAGTATCGATTGCTGTAGCTGCTGGTAAACTCTTACAAGCAGAAGGCTTCAAAGTCCGAATGGTATCTATGCCATGTACTGCTCTGTTTGATGAACAGACGGTGGAATACAAGGAAAGCGTCTTCCCTGATGGCGTACCAATCGTCAGTGTTGAAGCTATGACTACATTTGGATGGGCCAAGTATGCTCATGTGCAAATCGGATTGACTACTTTTGGTGCTTCTGCTCCTTATCTGGTAAGTTCTATTGGCAGTAGTTGGAGATATTGAAGACGTTGAGAGATAGAGAGAGAATACACCAATGCACCCAGCAACGTGTCTTCCGTCTTTGTTTGTCTATTGACACTTCTTATTGGTCTAATAGGATGTATACAAGTTCTTCGAATTGGTACCAGAAAAGGTTGCAGAAAAGACAAAGAAAACCATTGCCTTCTACCAAGGCAAACCTGTTACATCACTGTACAGGCTACCATTCTAAATGATGAAAACTAGTAGAGGTGATTGTGAGCATTTTTAACAGCGAAGAAACCAATATATATCCTCTGATCAAATCAAAAATAACTGATGCTGGCTGGACCGATGTCGATGATAGAAGCCAAGATACAAACATGGCAGCGTAGTAGCGTAGTACGCGGCGTATTCAGCTGGCCTGTTATCGCTTCGGGTTGTTAAACGTCTGTCAGCTATCCAAAATCAACATCAGTCGCGTACAGAGCCTCGTGACGTGTCGGGAGCCACATAAATTACTAGTAAGCTCTTTGAGATCTCATTTTCGGAAGTTTACCACGTATTTGATACATGTTTCCCTATTAGCTAGTGCATGACTTGCAGCCTGAAATTGCATGGGCATTTCCTGACTTCAAATCCAACACGAATTTCGGGAGGCGTGTTCGAGTGGACAGGGAGTAGCCAGCGGGGAAGCATCCTGCACTGTTGCCAGGTACGTCGTGATGGACTCTGTACGCTCTACAGCGCTTCTCTTACTCTCTCTCATCGTCGTAAATCCTTCAACAAAGGCGTAAAAAACTGACAGCATGTTTTATTGCAACAATGCATTGTCGGATGGGGTCCATTGGAAGTGACTGCATCTAGCATTGCCAGAAGTGGCCTCTGCCCAGGTACGTCTTTGAGAGAAGTATTCGCTACGGTGCGGCAGCGTTACAAATTCTTGGACTTGCATGACCCTTAAAACTGCTATTGGTTACTCCATGTAGGTCTCAGGATAATGTCAATCTTGGACCGCAGCATTTCCTTACCTCTTCCTCTCTGAAGTCACCTAGCCGAAAAATCAAGAAGCAGTGAGCCTGAGTGAGAACGTGGGTCTCACCGGGTCTCACTACAAGCCTTGTAGTGTCGGTACCGCGGTGACTCCCATGTCTGTACCTATCACAGCTTGGCAAAATAGCGGTAGGAAGCGTTGCTCTGAGACCCCGCCAACTGTTTGTTTCGGCAAACTTTTGGGTAGTTTGTGGTTTCAAATTGGGCAATTTACTTTATTGGAGGATTTACTGGACCAAGACCCACTCGCTACGACATCGATTCGTGGCTTTGCGGTGGGGCCGCTGTTGAGTGATCATGTACACTCTCGACAACAGTGGCAGAATAGCAAATTATGGCTTGCTGTGACACCATTAAAGGCCAAAGCATGAATGTTCCACATCAGAGCATGTACGATGTGACTTATCTCGTTGGAAACAGAAGCCCAAGACCTACTCTTCCTCTCTGCCCTACGACTTGATACGACTGGTAACTAATGTTTTTGACCGAGTTTTGATTACGAACCTTGTAGGCAATGTGGTCGTAGACAGTCCCAAGCCCGTAAAGCACAGAAACCCTACTTGTTTTCCTCTTTAGAAGCTGTTTGCATGGTAGTAGCTAGTAAGTATCTACTGGTTGAAATAATTTTCTTTTGTAATCATACTGCTGCTGATTTTGAGATTGAAAATATTTTTAATATGTAAATACACGTTCATATCACGGGTGTCTAGCTCTGAATCTGCGGCTCACTGATGCAGTTTCACATACGATGAATTCACAGCACTTAGAGAGCTACTTAGCAAGCAGAATCAACCATGACCAATATGGAGACAGAAGTCGAACGTGTCGTAACAGATGCCATCAATAATTCTGGCTTGACTGTTACAGTGTAAGCCTCCCTGCATTCAATACGAGCGTCTGAACCATATATTTTGACACTTTGGTGAAAACCTAGGCATCCCTTGGTGATTATGAACATATCAGACCATACTACTCGAACTCGAATTATGAGTGGAAATCCTGTTTGGCCTCTAGGTAGGTATAGCCTTATTGTTACTTGAACAAGCGAAATTAACACTCTGGTCTAACGAGCTCACATTTCCGTACTTAGTCATTGGAGCATTATTGGGGACACAAGTTGGACGTGAAGTTCAGATATATGATTCATATGAAATACCCTTTGTGACTGTTGAAGGCTTGCATGCTCTAGACAAGAATTACTTTGTGCAAAAGCAGGAACAATGTAAGTTTCAAGCTCCTTTGCTCCATTGGTGAAGACGCATATCATTCTGATTTATAATTTACTTTCATTTTTAGACAAGCAAGTATTTCCGTTATATGATCTTCTTGGATGGTATGCGACAGGCTCAAAACCAACTCCAACAGACATGCACATTCACAACCAAGTAAAGCTTGATCGATTTTGTACTCCAAGCCGACATTTAAAACTAACGTCTGCATTCTTCTGCTAGTTCTTTGAATACAACGAATCACCACTATTCCTACAATTAAATCCAGCTGGAGCAGTCGCAACCAAAGAATTACCAATCACTGTATACGAAACATTCGTTGAAGGTGTCGCTGAAGGAACTCCAAGGAATGCATTCATCAAATCAAACTACAAGATTGAAACAGCTGAAGCTGAACGTATTGCTGTTGATCATGTTGCTCGTGCTGCCAATGAAGGTGGTGCTGATTCCTCGAGTTGTAAGTTGGGCAAATTACTTTGGTTGGAATAAAGATTCGGATGAGCTGACTTTTTTTTGGCTTGTCTAGTGATATCTCATTTGGTATCCCAACGAAATGCCATCAAAATGTTACTTGCTCGAGTGAAACTATTGTATCAATACGTGGCAGATGCTGAAGCTGGACTTGTGCCCAAGAATCATGATATATTACGACAGATTGCTAGTTTGTGCAATCGATTGCCTACGTTGGACTCTGCTGACTTCCAAACGGAATTCCTTGCAGTAAGTCCAGTGTTTGCGTTGCAGTGTCGTGGAACTCGTGCTGAGACTTTCTTTCTACTAGGATTACAATGACGTTTTGCTGATTACCTACTTGGCTACCATCACAAAAGGATCTCATGTCATCACAGATGTACGTCCATTGTGCCCTGTCAAGGGAATTTTCGTGATCTGCTTTGTTGAAGGTCTGACATGTTTGCTTAGATGGTGGACAAGTTCAACTTGGCTGTCGGAGATCGTTCCAGTCGACGTGCCTTTGGGTCGCGGGGAATGGCTTAATGATGCTGCGCTGTTGTGTATATAAGAAGTACCTGAAAATAGAAATTGCAAGATCAATACCATTAACTACCAGGCCTGCTAAGATATACTGATTTATGTGTTACTGGCTTACAATTACTGTACAAACTACTTAACTAAACTAAATGACATTTGCTTTTTATGAAATGTATACTCAAAGCCTACGCTTTATCTACTATGCTTTGCGATGCTTTTTCACAGGGTATCGGGATATCCAGTGTTGAGCAAAAACTCCTTGAGTTTAACAGTAGGTGGCGCGGTCGCCGTCGCGTATCCCCTAAACTCTGCTTCTCCTAAGCCAATAGTCCAACCAGTTGGCTGCCTAGCAAACCTTAAATGAAGCTCCTTCAGCGACGAAACTTCGGCGAGGGTCTTTACTATTGCATCAGGAGCCACATCACCACTTATACCACGATATGTTAGATCCAACACCTCCAAGCTAGGAGCTCGCGATACAACCTCTATTACAGCCAGAGTCAGATTGGTGGTTGGCGTCTTTGCTATTAATGTCTTGAGATACTTTAGATTCGCCATAGCTTGACCGACAGTGTCCACCCAATCCGAGTTTGCAACAGACCTTAATTCCGGCAAAATCAACGACTTTAATGGCAGAGTACTTAATGGTGCTAATAGTTCTGGTGGTGGGTACGCTGTTCTCGGCCCGTTATCGGCAAAGTGAAGAGGCATAGCGAATAACGGTTGTCGCAGTAATTCAAGACTTGTTATCGAAGATTGTTTAGCAATGGCCAGTCCTAACGTAGTATTATCATAGCTCCATAAGACATTGGCTGTTAATGACGTTAGATTCGGTACCAAGTCGGGCAGAGATTGTAGCAATTTATCGCTGCAATAGTTGGGGAAGCTCAGTTTCTGTGGTCTGAGATACGTCATGGATTCTGCAACATCTTTATCCCACTCTCCTTCGAGGACTCTGCCCATCCATGGCGCTTCAAAACGAATCTCGTCAAGGAAGGCTGTGAATACAGGCCATTTATGGGAGACCAATTCCTGCATAACGCTATTTATGATAATTCCCTGTTCGGCAATCCAGCTGGTGGTTGCTGGAAAGAGTATTTCACATCCGTATAGGACTTTCTTTACAGGGCGTCCATGTTCGTGAAGCTTGCAGATTGCCCATGATGGCAAGGCCCTCAATTTGAATGGTTCGTTGGGTTCTCCACGTTCAGCAGGATTCCTATACGTGGAAATAACATGATTTTGTTAGTTTGGTTGGTCAGAGAAGACAGAATTGTGTTTTGAGCCATAGTGAAGGTTTGAATGATGTTGATGTTGGAATTGGACAACAGGTCGTCATACCAACTCCAGCCAAGCTCTTGCGCCAATGGAACAAGTACCGTGCAATTACATACCAGCCATAGTGTCTTGAGAGAGTTAGAGAAACACCAGCGTTTTTAGGATGTAGCGATGTTGCCTCTCGAAACTTTGAGCAAACCAGACCTAATTCAGCATAGAAGACGTAGGGAGTAGAGCTTAAAAGCAATATAGGAAGCAACACTTCAACAGGCAGATCCTCGATCACTGCCATTTGGAGACTCGATGTCTCACTTGGTCTCACTCTGAATTTGGAGCCTTGACTTGATAAAGAAGGAGGAAAACACAGTAATCAGTGCGTATCACATGAGATCACGTTCTAAAACGCGGAAATATTCTATCCATCAGAGTGGTCCAGGAGAGTGGTGCCCTGTCCAGTTCCTTGCTTGGTTTGTTCAAACACCGCTTATATCAGTCAAGATAATTTATTTGCAAGACTAATCCAAGGAGAATGAAGGCAAGGCTTAGTTGCAGATCTATTGGTTTATTCTTGATGCATGCGTGTAATGGCATGAACTTACTCTCTGTACATGATAGATCCTCGTATGTGGAGGCGCTGGGTATATTGGTTCGCATGTGGTTCGGGAACTATCAAAGTTGTCGCAGTACGATATTGTCATTTTAGACAACATATCCAAAGGTCGTTTATTCACTGATTTTGCCTCCTTTACATTTGCATCGCTCTCATCAAACTTCAATGAAACAGGTCATGCTGAATCTGCACCTCCAAACATTCCGCTGGAACGAGGTGATATTCGCAACTCGGCATTCCTGAATGATGTCTTTACAAAGCACAAGCCTGATGCTGTCATCGTACGTGCTGTTTGATGTCGGAACTAACTGATGTGGACCACTAACACTTTCTTCTTCTAGCACTTGTGTGCTTCCATTGAAGCTGGTGAAAGTGTCAATGATCCATTGTCCTTTTGGGATAACAATGTATACGGAACACAGAAATTGCTAGAAGCCATGCGGGATCATGGATGCAAAGTATGTACTTGGCAGTTTGTGGCGGTGAGATACGTTAACTCACACACAACTTATCTTAGTACTTTGTGTTTTCATCAACTGCTGCTCTATTCGGTCTACCAAAACGTGTACCCATTGAATCGGATGATCCAATTGCTCCAGTCAATCCATATGGAGACACGAAATATGCTGTGGAACTCATGCTTCGAAAGTAAGCTATACATTCTTCCAAATTCCAGGCCTTACCATTAACTCTCGCATATGTCGCTCATAGCTCTGATGTAGCTCACGGTATCAAGTCTGTATGCCTTCGTTACTTCAATGCTTGCGGTGCCGATGCCAGTGGTGAAATTGGAGAAGTACATCAACCAGAGTCTCACTTGATTCCAATCTTGTTGCAAGTGGCTTTGGGTCAACGAGAAAAGGCATATCTGTTTGGTGACGACTATCCTACTCCTGATGGAACTTGTATTAGAGACTATATTCACGTTACGGATTTGGCTTCTGCTCACATCAAGGTAATACAAAGGAAGGCCTTGTTTGAGTCCGAGGAAGGCATTCACCCTTTCAGAGATGTTTTGCACTGAATCAATCAGTAACTGTTGATTCTCACTGTCGTTTAGGCTGTCGACTTTCTGGTGAAAAGTAACACCTCTGATCGATTCAATTTGGGATCTGGACAAGGATTCTCTGTCAAGGAAATTGTAGAAGCCGTGAGAAAAGTTACAGGTCATCCACTTCCTATTGAAATCAAGCCTCGTCGTGCTGGCGATCCACCAGTACTGATTGCTGCTTCAGGAAAAGCCGAGGAGATATTGGGATGGAAGAGAACTTATACAAATGTAGAAGACATCGTCCGCACGGCATTTGTGTTTCACCAAAAACATCCTAAAGGGTTCTAGCTGGTGGGCTCCGAGAGTGACAACCATATAATAATTTGTGCCGACGCGATTTATAGATTACACATTACACATACATATTTCGCACAAGGAGCCGTATTTGCTTTCTTGCCCTGTCCCTTTCTTTTGCATATATGGTTTTCTTTCCTCTCGTCTTCAATCACAAAAACACTACGCAAGCACCAGTGTGACTTCAAGGAACACAACTAGCAGTGATACCAAAAATAAGGTAATGATTTGGGTACAGAATACGAAACATCTGACGCATCGTGTTGAAGCTTGAGAGCTGCTCATTATGAAGAAGGAAGCTGTTCTACTTTTCCACGAGTTTTGCTGACTGGCGACTCTTCTTTGAATGTAGGCCAAACGACCAACCCAAATGACATTAGAAGAACACATGTATTCTCGCGAAGTTGGTAACGGCTCTAGTGGCTATGAAGCAGGAGACTTGAAACTGCCTCCATTAGAACAGCTTCAAAATCCGAAACGACCACAACGAGCTGCAGTGAAGAACCGACTTCCCATAGTAGAGGATCCTAGTGATGTAGATGAATTAGATGATGAGCAACCTGCTGCCCAAGACAAACCAAATGATGCCGTCTATCCGTAAGTCTTGTGTCATGTGCTTCAAGGTGGCTTGATGCTTGTTTCTTCGGCGTCATTGTGCTCAAGCATCTAATGCCATTCCATTTGCATCTAGACCACAATCTGATTACAATCAAGGCTATAACATGTATTACAACAACAATCGAGGTCCCTACGGCTCGCTTCCCCCACCACCACGACAACAGCAATACAGCCCTCCCATGAATGTACCTGGTTACCCAGTCGAGCCTCCGATAGTGCCACACCGTGAACAACAGCAACATCAGCAACAACCTGTATATCCTCTAGATGCACCAGGTACGCCAACATCTTCCGACGATGGGCCAACTACGTCCAACACGAAAGCTCGCCCGTCCAACTCGGCTTCGCGTGGATCTCGTCGCGCAATATCATCAGATGGAGGTCCATTCTTCAAAGCGACTCGTCAAGTACGAGTTCTTGAAACTATGGAACGTGACGAGCAGTTTGGAATCAAAATCCAGCCATGGATTGATAAAGGCTTCTTTATGGCTGATGGTGATTGGACTTGCTATCGTCGTAACTACTTCCAGGTGTCTACGTCTTGGACTGGCTCGACTCTAATATCTGGGAAATCGCTGGACTTGCCGTGCTTGGTATATGATGCCAACAATCCAGCTGAAATAATCCGTACTATAACATCCTTCCATATTGGCCTGATTGCTCGGTCAGCTACTACAGGTCGTGATATCGAACTCGTACAACATACCGCTAAACGTGATAAAGGTCCGCAAACTATACCACTGCCTCGTCAATGTAACCCTACTAAACCAGGAGCTAGTGCCATTGTACAAGCGTTTGAACGTCTTCAATTCAAACAAGCTACAGCAAACAATGGGCGTCGTCGAGCTACTCAACAATACCATGTACTTGTAGTCCAGCTCCACGGTCGAACAGCTGATGGTATGGATTTAATTGTCGCTGAATCCGAATCAGCAAACTTGGTAGTCCGTGGTCGTGCACCTGGACATTATCAGGCACAGGAGAATCGTCACTCGGGAGAAAACTCGAGAGCTGCTTCACCTACATCTGACGGTGATGATGAGCAAGATCTCCACGATCACGGCGGTAATAGTAGTAGCACTGTGGGAGCTCCCAGTACCATGCCATATCAGTCCAGCTTCCCTCAACATGAGCAATTACAACAACCGCAAATGCCCCAACACCAAGTACATCATCAACAACAACAGCAACAGGGGCCTACGCAACCAAACGTAGGGTATGCTACTCAGCCATTCTACTCGTATCCTCCTTCTTCGTATGGTGTCCCACCTGAAGGTGACTGGAACCATCGTGGACAACCAGACTTGGGAGGAATACATCATAGTAGATACCCAGATCACTTTGGAGCTCCTCCGTATTATAGTGAGCCTCCACAGCGTGGACCTCCTACATACAGGTATCCTCCTCCAGAGCAACCAATGGCGCTATCTCACCTTCCTCCTCAACAACATATGGGGTGAGTTTCAATTTGCAAGTTTGAACAACTAGTCTTCTACCTTTGTCTGCTGAATCATCCTTCTGATACACAAAATCCTTGTCTGATACATAGTCGCAACAGTATGGACGGCTCCCGCAAACGAAGCATGTCTGGTAGAGATGATGAAGAAGAAGCAGAGTTTGATGACTATCCTCAGCATACCGCTGCTGCTCATCATGATACTGGTGCAGATGAAGACGATGGGGAATCGGGTGAGGAGGAATATCAAGATGAAGATGATGAAGATTTCGGTAGCCGTCGTAAACCCGCAAAGAAATCTCGAACTCGTCGTTAAAGTCATTATTCCAAAAACCAAGCAATACTTTGTAGTTAGATACCTGTCGCTAGCTAGAATTGCTACAAAAGGTAGTCCAGAACCGCAGTCTTTATTAGCACGCCATAGTTTTTTTCAGCACAATATATTTGAATCAAGATGTGAATCTGCGAGATTTTTTTGGGGTCGTCAAAGATGTTAATTAATTCGCGAAAATTCTTGCGCTGTTGGCTGTGCTTAGTGTTGTTGATTCTGGTCCTCGTGAACCAATGGACAAACAAGAGGATTGACACTCTTTCAAAACAAGACAATGCAGACGAATCCAGTTGACGACGAGGGATTTGATGAATCTCATACAATGCCGCACACTGTTGCTCAATTTGACACTGAAGAGCAGAAAGCTGGTATGGAAAAGAGTTTTGCGGTTTGGTTGAATTGTTTACTTCAACGGAGAAGAGAGTGAAAGACCCACAAGACCGTGAATTTGCTTGTGTTTTCACTTGATCAAATTCTATGAAACAATGACCGTGTCTGGTCTCCACTTTCTCCCCACTCTGAACTTGAAATATTGGTTCTAATTGCCAAACATTCAGTCAAACCCACACATTAACATTTCCTCTTTGAAACACAAACAGAGTATGCCTTCTTGTTACTGAGTACTGTATCTACGGCTACGTTAGCCAATGTCACCAATCGACTGGTCCCTTTACTACAACGAGATTTTGTATACTTGTTACCTCAAGAACTCGCCATACAAATCCTGTCTTGTACCGATGCTAGGACTGTAGGGCGGGCTGCTCAAGTGAGCAAGACCTGGAAACGTATCACATCTGATAATGCTATATGGAGAGCGCTATATCGAAAGAATGGATGGACTGTAAATGAACAATTCCTGGATCAATGGACCAACAAACCGTTACCTATAATGCCCCCGACCTTCACAAAGGGGAAGAGTCTGCCTGATAGTGATGTACCACAGCAGGAAGCTTCAGAAGAAGGAACAATGTGGAATACTGAAGATTATGGATCTGGACCTAGGTCAGGAAATCGACCAACAAACCCTGCTTCTGCTGATATTGGTGATCATGATCCAACTGCGTGGGGAGACGACGGCACTGGATCCGCATCTGGATCTGTTCCACGGCGTCCTAGAAGAGGGACGGATGATGGAGGTGCAGCTGGAAGTAGTGGTAGTAATAATCCGATAAATGATCCCACTCTTGACGAAGACGATGGGTATTCTCATTCTATTGGTAGACGTCCTTCGCTCTTCCAATCTCCAGTACCTACGGATGATCTACAGAGTACTTTGAGACGTGATGGAGTCTTCTCTGGTCAATCGTCATCGTCGCTACCTCGATCCCCACCTGACTCACTACCACGACCTTCTGCTGCCATGTCTTTACCACGACTAGGTAATACAGGACCATCAGATTCGTTGGCTCGAGCACTGGCACCTACATCGTTGTCTCTACCTCGTACTATGGATGTATCACCAAATAATTTGGCAGAGTCGCTTGAACAAACCTCGATATCAGAACATTCTACAACAACAGGTGGTATACTCGTCAAACCACTGACACGATCTCTAACCGATAACTGGGATCGTCATGCTCATTTGGATTGGAGGTATATATATCAGCAGCGTGCTCGCCTCGAAAAGAATTGGACGGAGGGTATATTCAATGTCCGTGAACTAGCAGGTCACTTTGAAGCCATATACTGTCTCCAATTCGACGAATCGAAAATCGTCTCTGGATCTCGTGACGATACAATCAAGATATGGGATATGAAGACTGGTGAATGTACAAAGACACTTCATGGGCATGGTGCTTCTGTATTGTGTCTGCAGTACGATGATCAGTATATAGTGTCCGGATCGTCAGACTCGACTGTTATTGTATGGGATATAACAACTAGTGAACCCAAGAAGGTGTTGAGATCTCACACCGAGTCTGTCCTCAATCTGAGGTTTGATAAGAGATATATAGCATCTTGTTCGAAAGACAAGACTATCAAGCTGTGGAATACTAGTACTGGTGATTTGATTCGTACTTTACGTGGTCATCGAGCTGCAGTCAATGCTATACAGTTCTCGGAGGATTTAGTTGTATCTGCCAGTGGAGGTGAGAACCGAAGACAGCTCGCGGATTCTATTCAATTGAGTTTGCATTTGTTGATTGCTAAACCACGTTCCTTTTTTGTTAAAAGATCGAACCATCAAAGTATGGCGAATATCGACAGGTGATCTTGTCCGAACATTAAGTGGCCATTCAAGAGGTATTGCCTGTATTCACTTTGAAGGAAACATTATTGTTTCTGGATCATCAGGTATGTTTTGTTTTCGGTAGATCAAAAAAAGAATGTCGCAAATCGCCGACGCCTTCTTGGATTAGATCGCACTATCCGCACTTGGGATGTCAATACTGGAATGTGTCTACAAACCGTCAGTGGCCATACCGAATTAGTTCGAACTCTCCAATTCGACAATCATCGTATCGTGTCTGGTTCCTATGATGTGACTCTGAAAGTATGGGATTATCCCAAGGGCAATCTGATTCTGGATTTGAAGAATGGTCATAGCCAGAAAGTGTTCAAGCTGCAGTTCAATGATACAAAGATTGTGAGCTGCAGTCAAGATCAGGTAATTGGTTGCAGCATCATTTATCCTTCACTGCGTTTTTTTTGCGTTCTTGGGCTGACTTGACTATTATTTGTTAGCGTATTCTTGTATGGGATTTCTCTCAAGGAGTAGATACGAGATTCTTTGTTTAAGCACCTAGATCAGTTTTTTTATGGGAGCCACCACCACTTGTACCTTACACTCTCTGATACGCCAGTTACAAACCACATTATTTCGTTTTTATTTGTGTGTATATATCAATAAGTCATTATGAAAAATAGTCATTAGCAATGGGAATCTTGGAACAAATTGTATTAGTTTTGGAGTATGCTCCGGTTTTTTGTGTTAAAAATCATGATGGTAGTGTTTCAAAATCACAGATCGATTGTTTCATATGTGGTAATGGTGAAACCGCGTTTTGATTACATCTTTACCGTGGTATAGTGGTAATGGACGCATTTTTTCGCTCAGTTGTCGATTACCATCCAGTGAAACAACTTCGCTAGGACAACAACCATGTATCGAAGACGGCATCTGCCGTTGGAATCTCGAGGATCAGCATCAGAAATACCAGCAGTCTTCTCTCAACCACTCTTGCTCTCAGCAGCAAAACAACATAAATTCCAAACCAATGTATCAAACATCCACACCTCACAAACGACACCAGAACAAGCCGAAAAAGTCGAAAAATCATCTCAACTTGGTCAAGAACTACCCTTACTACCACGCAATGCCTCAACCGTGACCGCATCTAATCTAGATCAACATGCCATCACTGATTTGGAACCAAAGGTTTTCATCCAATATGCCACCAACACTGGAACGGTTCCTCGACGAGTCGATATAGAACGACGTAGACGGCTTTTCGCTGCTCAGAACATAAAGGAATTGCTTGAAAAAGAGGGGATCAACAATACTACGTCTGCCAAGTCGACTAGTCAAGAACGGAATGCACCACAAACAACAGACGTGGAATTCCTACCTTTATACTGGTTTGACAATGTAGATTTTGATGAACGGACAACCACCGAATGGGCATATTCTGTTGACGTTGCTGTGGGCAAGGGCAAACCTGCAAGGGCTAAAGCGCAAGTTACGCCTGGAGTGTGGATTGATGTTAACGTTGTCGCGTATCATCCTACTTCTCAACGGTGGAGAGTTGTATGGAAGCATAATGATGTCGCGCTGTCGACTGTGTCGAGAGTTGGGGATGAGTGGGAGTGCTGGGTTCATCGGTAAGATGCGTTGAAGAATACGATTGGTCGCGTTTTGTTGTCTGACTTGTGAATTTATTTACTTAGTATTGATTTGATGTTTGAGAATGAGGATCCCTTTCGATTCGTACGAAGAGTCGCTGCTGCTCATCGTCTTCGCTTGGAGATTGCACAAAAGTTGGTAAGACCTGCATACTTCATTGTCATCTAAGATTCTAGAGCAAATTGTTTTGAAATAGCGCTACAACTTTTTCGTGGATTCCATGCCAACCAATGGTGCTCTAGAAATGACGGATGATCAAGTGGAACGCATCTTCAAATGGGCCATGGCAGGAATTAAACAACTCAGTGTCTTGTCGCCAAACTCGTCGCAAGTCTCTGCTTTGACTCGTGAACTCAAGTCGGACTATGCTCGTGCTATGAACCGTATGATATTTGATGACGAGGTACGTACTGGCAAAAAAAAATATAGCTTGTTGTATTTGGAATGGAACTGTAACTAATCTTAACTTCATACGACACAGATCGGTAAACCCAACAGTGCCCAAACATACCCATCCGTCGACTTGCCATCTGATATTGTTCGAGCTGAAATCATCCCAGTACCACTCACCGGCAAGATTGGTATTCAAGAATATGATTTCACGGCCCGACGTGATGAATTCGCATTCTCATCCTTCTTGACTAAACGAGAAGTGATAAAAGTATTGGCGCGTGTTCATACTGAATGTGAACGAGTTGCCAATGGGAACCTGTTTCAGACGGCTTTTGGAAAGACTGTTAAATTGGATGAGTTTGATGCTATTCAACAGCAGGCATCGACTACTACTTCTGCGATGCTGAAGGACAGGTTTGCAATTGCACTCCATTTGAAGTATATATTCCTCGAGAGTTGCTAATTTTTCCTTCGTCTTGCTAGTTGGATTAATACACTCAAGACGGTCATCAAGAATGGATTCAGAGATGTTGGGAAAGGGTGGTATAATATGCATGAAACCAACCCTGAAGTGTATCGTATCTCGAAGCTCAAGAAGTTCATGACTGTAAGTTATGCAAGACGCGAGGGACTTCCATTTTTTGCCACATTCTGAAAATTCTGAATTTGTTATTTTAGACGGTCAAATTCAACATGCAGGATGCAATCCGCACGCTAGTACTCAACTCGTTTAGCGAGTACATTAAACTTGTGACCTCAGTGGCATGCCAAAACATTCATGTAAACTCGACAAACGATATACGTATAGGAAAGTTGGCCTCTGCCGATGCACCTACTCGTCGACCTCTCTTCACAATCGAATTGCTCTTCCGAAACGGTAAACTTGTTTATAGTACGGATCCAAATACCTTTGAAACGGCCGTTCTTTTTGCCTTTGACAGAGCAACATCGGCAGTTGAGGGTTTGCCACAACTAGAACCACTAGTATTGGACCAGCTGTTTTGGCCCGCTAAACCACCACTCCAATCGCCACATCCTCGAGAACCCGAAGTCATTGCTCTTCGATCCAAACTGCAAAAGGCTTTGAGGGAAGGCCTTCGCCCATTAGACGAGTATCTACAGAAATTCGATAAACATCTAGCTCGAATGAATTTAGATCCAGCTAAATATGCTGTCGAGTATGAAGAAGCCGCTCGCTCTCTACCTGAAGTTGAAAAGGATGTGATTGATCATATGAAGGATTGGGAGCAGCTAGAACGTGATGTTCCTGCTCATACGAACCTTGGAATGTTTTGGGTTGGTTGTGACTCGATTCGAACTGCTATGCGCAAGGACTTAGCTAAAGTCGTATTGGATGTTTTGGCCAAGAGGACTGCTAAGCTGGCCCAGAGTGTTTGTGCTGCGGTATGCAGTAGTGCATCCATATTTGTTTGCACTGTTTTTTTCTGACCTCGAATTCGCATCTGTAGTTTTCTCAAGTCGAGAAAAAGCTTCGAGAAAAGCCTAGCAAAATTGAAGAAGTCGCGGAGCAACGTGAATATATGGCAACTGCCAATGATATTCTCCAAACCCAAACCGAACGCATTGCCGAAATGCTTAAAAACCATGAAGTGTTGGAAAGATTTAGACATGAATTGACTTCTGAAGACTCGAGGGTTCGTTGGCAAGCATATGGCTGGCCACGAAAGATTGAAGAGCTGCTACGTGAAGTAGAAACTAGTCTTCACGCAGATGAGCAAAACTTTGCTCGTAACTTGACTAGCGACCAGGAACTATTCAAGGAACGTATCAACAACCTCACTAGTATTGTCAATGACTTTGGTAAACACTCGGACGTATCCAAGGTCAATGAAATTGTTGCTGAAGTCAATAGGGTTGCAACTGAACTCAAGGAATGTCAGTCATTGGCTGCCTTGATTAACGGACGTGAACGACTCTTCAGTCTAGAACTGACTCGATATGATGATGTTGGTCAGCTTGCCAAGGACTTTGAACCGTATAAAGTATTATGGATTACCGCAGGCGATTGGGTTAAATGGAAAAATACCTGGCTTAAAGGACCATTTGAAGAACTCAACCCAGAAGACGTTGACAAGTCATTGACGAATGCATGGCGTAGCATGTTTAAATCCGTAAAACAATTTAAAAGTCAACCTGGTTGTTTGGCAGTTGCCACTCAACTCAAGGACGAAATGGATGCATTTAAACCCAATATTCCACTAATCCAGTCACTACGTAATCCTGGCATGCGTGATCGCCATTGGGAAGCACTCTCGAAAGAAATTGGTGTTGAAATCAATCCCACTGCCAAAAGTGTTACCTTGACTGACTTGTTGGCTATGAATATTGTCGAACGTATTGCTGATATATCCAAGATTTGTGATGTGGCTGGTAAAGAATATGCTATTGAAGCCACTTTGGATAAATTGGAGAATGATTGGAAGGGCATGCTGTTGGATATTATACCTTATCAAGATGGGTACTTGATGAAGGCGTCTGATGAAGTGCAGAGATTGTTGGATGACAATATTGTTATGATCCAGTGAGTGACATCCATACCATCCGTACACGAGTTTTTTTCCTGTTGGCTTCTCACATCTCCTGTTTTCAGGTCACTTGCATTTTCGCCATTCAAAAAGGCATTTGCTGAACGTATTGCTTCTTGGGAAAGCAAGCTCAAAACTGTCCAAGAAGTTTTGGAAGGTATTGTGTTGTGTTTAAGTCTCAGTGCTAGGGTTCACGATGACATAATCGCTCTATTCGTAGAATGGATGGCTTGCCAGAGACAATACTTGTATTTGTCTCCTGTTTTTAGTTCTGATGATATCGTTACTCAAGTAGGTGTGGTATAGTTTCTTGATACATGCGCCCTCTGAACCTTTCCGCTTTTGTTAGCTCCCTGTGGAATCGAAACGGTTCCAAACCATGGACAGAACATGGCGTCGTGTCATGACTCAAGCCAAGTCTCGACCCAATGTTATTGAATGCTGTGGTGATTCAAAGCTATTGGATAGCTTTAGGGAATGCAACAAGCTCTTGGAATTGGTCTCTAAAGGTCTCTCAGCGTACCTGGAAGGCAAAAGGTTGCTAGTGAAACATCAATGTTTGAGGGCCATGGATTTTTTTTGCTAACTTCACAATATGTAGAATTGGCTTCCCTCGATTCTTCTTCTTGTCCGATGACGAATTGTTACAGATTCTATCTCAGACCAAAGATCCAACTGCCGTACAACCCCATCTTCGTAAATGTTTCGAGAATGTTGCCAAACTCGAATTCCAACCTGATCGCAAAATCACTGCCATGTTCTCTGGTGAAGGAGAAAAGATTAAGGTCGTGGATCCCTTCTATCCTACTGGAAATGTAGAAGCGTGGTTGCTCAAAGTCGAGCAATCCATGCGTCAATCTGTCAAGAAGGTCATCATGGATGGTCTCTCTTGCTATCATCTAAAACAGCGCACAGAATGGGTGCTAGAATGGCCTGGCCAAGTAGTCTTGTCCGTGTCTCAAACTTATTGGACCAAGGAAGTCTCTGAAGCTCTCAAAGACGGAACAGCTGGTCTCAAAGTCTTGTACACTCGATTGTTAAATCAGTTGCAAGGTCTTGTTGGACTAGTACGCGGTGAATTACCATTCTTGCAGCGTCTAGTATTGGGAGACTTGATTGTTATCGATGTACATGCTCGTGATGTAGTACAGCGACTCATTGATGCTGGTGTAAGCTCTGAGAATGACTTTGAATGGGTCAGTCAGTTACGATACACTTGGGAGGAAGAAGACTTGAGAGTCCGTATTGTAAATGCCAACTTCAAGTATGGTTACGAGTATCTTGGTAATACTGGTCGTTTGGTTATTACACCCCTGACGGATAGGTCAGTGCATTAATCGTTGCGACATTTTTTTTGTTTCTCACCCTTTTGCTTCCTCGTAGATGTTACTTGACGCTAACTGGCGCAATGCATTTGGGCATGGGTGGTGCTCCAGCAGGACCAGCAGGAACAGGCAAGACCGAAACCGTAAAAGATTTGGCAAAGTCACTTGCCAAGCAATGTGTAGTATTCAATTGCTCTGATCAGTTGGACTACCTTGCCATGGCGAAATTCTTCAAGGGTCTTGCTGCTGCTGGTGCATGGGCCTGCTTTGATGAATTTAATCGTATTGATATTGAAGTGCTGTCTGTCATTGCACAGCAAATTATAACTATACAAAAGGCTGTTGCTGCTGGACTCACTTCCTTCATGTTTGAGGGAATTGATTTGCCACTTGATGCCTCCAATGCTATATTTATTACCATGAATCCTGGTTATGCGGGTAGAACTGAGTTGCCAGATAACTTGAAGGCTCTCTTCAGACCAGTGAGGTGTTTTTCTTCTTGAATTCGTCTTTTTTTTGCTCACCCTTTCTGCTTAGATGGCTATGATGATTCCCAATTACGGCATGATTGCTGAAATCTCCCTCTTCTCGTTTGGCTTCTCGAATGCCAAACTCCTGTCAGAAAAGATGGTGGCTACCTTTAAACTGTCTTCTGAGCAACTCTCTTCTCAAGATCATTATGATTTTGGTATGCGAGCTGTAAAAACTGTAATATCTAGTGCCGGTAATCTTAAACGATCACAGCCTGATGCTCCAGAGGACTTGCTATTACTTCGAGCACTCTGTGATTGTAACTTGCCGAAATTCTTGGCTGAAGATGTCCCAATGTTTGAGGGTATTATCTCAGACTTGTTCCCTGGAGTAGTACAACCCACCATTGATTACGGCGACCTGTTGGCATCCATCAACACTACATGTCAACAAATGAATCTTCAAGCACACCCCAACTTTGTAAAGAAATCTATTCAGCTCTACGAAACCACCATTGTCAGACACGGTCTCATGTTGGTTGGTCCTAGTGGTGGTGGTAAAACAAGCTGTCTTCGACTGTTAGCAAAATCTATCACAGCTTTGAATGGAAAACTGGCTCCTAATGGAACCATATTTGAGAAAGTGCGGGTTGATACGCTCAATCCAAAGTCTATTACTATGGGACAGCTGTATGGTGAATTCGATCAGCAGACTCATGAATGGACTGATGGTATACTCTCGTGTTTGATGCGTGAGGGTGTTGCTGAAGATACTCCAGACAAGAAATGGTATGTCTTTGATGGACCAGTCGATGCTGTTTGGATTGAGTCTATGAATACCTTGCTGGATGACAACAAGAAGGTAGTGATGACGCCCTCCGTAATATTTTTCGCGTCAGCCTCTGACAAACTTTATACTAGCTTTGCTTGTCGTCTGGTGAAATTATCAAGATGAGTGACACACAACGAATGATTTTCGAAGTGGGTGATTTGGCGTATGCTTCACCTGCCACTGTATCTCGTTGCGGTATGATATATATGGAGCCGAATGCACTTGGACTGGAGCCATTGATCCAGAGCTGGGTAAATAAGGTGTCTCGTGAACTGACTCCATCCTTGTCTGGAGGATTCAGTGCTTCCATCATGCCACTGTTTGAGTATTATCTAGAAAACTCGCTACAGTTTATGCGAAAAAACCAAAAGGAGATAGTCCCCACCATGAATGGTAACTTGGCACAAAGTCTGATGCGATTGATGTCGGCTCTAGTTGCTCCATATATGCAAAAGGCTGACGATCAAGCCAATGCTCAATCTGGTGGTGCACCAGAACAACTGGCTGATTTGCCCGATGTCATTGAGCCACTCTTTATTTTCTCTCTAATTTGGTCTGTTGGATGCACTGGTGACTCTGAAGCACGTCGTAAATTTGATGGCTGGCTGAGAACCGCCATGCAAGGACGGCCACCAAGAATTCCATTCCCTATGAGTGGACTTGTATATGACTATGCCTTTAATCGAGAACGTAAATTATGGATTAATTGGATGGAAAGTATGGCTCCTCCCGGTGAATCCAGTACAAAGAGTATGGAAATGATTGTTCCTACTATCGATACTGTCCGAAACTCCTTCTTGATTGATTTACTTCTCAAGTCGGGATCCCATGTCTTGTCTGTTGGCGCTACTGGTACTGGTAAATCCATAACGACTCAGCAGAACTTGATGAAGAATGATGAGACTATAGTACCCATAATCCTAAACTTCTCGGCTCGTACAGGAGCAAACCAGACGCAAGATCTCTTAGATTCCAAGATGGAGAAGCGTCGTAAAGGTGTATATGGGCCTCCTGTTGGCAAGAAGTTTTTTATATTTGTAGATGACTTGAATATGCCTGCACTGGATATTTGTGGAGCTCAACCTGCCGTCGAATTGCTCCGACAATGGTTGTGCCATGGTGGTTGGTTTGATCGTGCCAATGTCGGCAAGTTTATGGAGATCGTGGACATTACTCTAGTGGGTGCTATGGGTCCTCCTGGTGGTGGTAGAAACCCCGTTACCTCGCGATTTACTCGCCACTTTAATACTTTGGCGTTTATTGAAATGGACGACCAGTCACTCCATCGTATCTTTAGTACCATTTTAGGCACCTTCCTCACCAAATTCACGGCCGCTATCGCTAGCAAGAATGACGCAATCGTCAATGCTTCGATACATATATATAACACAATAAGAGCTGAGCTGCTCCCTACACCAGCCAAGTCGCACTATACCTTCAACTTGAGAGATCTGTCTAAAGTCGTTCAAGGCTTGTTATCTGCAGATCCCAAGACCGTGCAAGAAGACAAGGATATTGTACGTATATGGGTGCATGAACTACAACGTGTCTTCCAGGATCGATTGGTAGATAACAAAGACAAGGGCTGGTTTTCTCAACTGATCAAGGTATGGAATGAATGAGTTAGTGCCAGAAAAGCTAGTATGAACAGAGAAAATGACATTGGCTGTCAATCATTAGGACACGATGTCTACAAAAGTTGGCATGTCGTGGTCTGACGTGGTTACTGTTGAGCCATTATTGTATGGAGACTTTTTAACTGCACCCACAGGTCAACCACGCCCATATGTCGAGATCAAGGAATTACGTACTCTTGCCAAGAGTGTTGAAGAGTATATGGATGACTATAATTCCACGTCAACATCACCTGTTAAGCTGGTCATGTTCTTGGACGCTATCGAACATGTATCTCGTATTTGCAGAATCATTCGTCAGCCTGGTGGCCATGCTTTGCTTTTGGGAGTTGGGGGTAGTGGAAGACAGTCCTTGTCGCGATTGGCTGCATTTATGGAAGATTATGAGCTCTTCCAGATTGAGGTGGGTTGATTCATTGATCGTGTCAATAGTGGAACGTCGGCTGATTTTTTTTTGGTAAGAACACAAAATCTTATGGCTTGACTGAATGGCGAGAGGACTTGAAAAGAGTTCTTCTCGGTTCAGGTGTAGAAGAAAGACGAATCGTATTTGTGGTTTGTGATACTCAAATCTTCTCAGAGTCCTGTGTTGAGGACATCAACAGTATTCTCAATGCTGCCGACGTACCAAATATTTATAATAACGAAGACAATGACCGAATCTTAAACGCCATGAGATCTGTGGCAGTTGATGCTGGTATTGTCCCAACTCGAGAGAATATGTTTGCTTTATTCATCGGTCGGGTCAAGCAAAACCTCCATCTTATTGTTTGCATGTCACCTTTGGGAGATGCATTCAGAAATCGTCTAAGAATGTTCCCTTCGCTTGTGAATTGTTGTACCATTGATTGGTTTTCAACGTGGCCTGAAGAAGCTTTGCAGTCTGTAGCTGCCAATTCACTTGCAGGTGGGTTAATAGTTCTCAGATTTTTGTGTTTTGGATATTTACTTTTTCTTCGTGTTTTCAGAGGTACCAAATCTCGGATCGGAAAAGGTGACAGAGGGTATTGTCAAGCTCTGTGTCGTCATGCACGAATCAGTCCAGGCCAAATGCATTCAATATCGCAGTGAGCTTGGCCGATTCAACTATGTCACTCCGAAATCATACCTGGAGCTGTTGGGTCTCTACAAGAGCTTGCTGGACAAGAAACGTAACGAATTATTAGGTTTACGAAAGAGAACCGCAACAGGTCTAGAGAAATTGTTAGCTGCTACCAAAGAAGTCGAGGTGCTTCAACTCGAATTAGAAGCCATGCAGCCCATGTTGATACAGACTTCTAAAGATACCGAAGAAGCCATGCAGCAGATTGCCATAGATAAAGTCAAGGCTGAAGAGATTCGTGAAGTCGTTTCTCGTGAAGAATTACAGGCTACCCGTAAAGCTGAAGAGACTAAAGGTATCGCCGATGATGCTAAACGTGATTTAGATGAAGCTCTGCCTGCTTTGGATGCTGCTATGGACTCCCTCAATAACTTGTCCAAGAATGACATTATTGAAGTTCGTAGTATGCAACGTCCTCCAGAAGGTGTCAAGCTTGTCATTGAAGGTATGCTGGCAATTTTAGAGCTACAGCTGTGATTTTTCGCTCATTCGTCCCTCCTTTTAGCTGTGTGTATCTTGAAGGGAGTCAAACCAAAGAAGGTGAAATTTCCCGTTTGGAGTTTGTTCCCATCGAAACCCATTCATCTTTTATTGTAACAGATCGATGGTGACAAGCCAGGCAAGAAAGTGGATGATTACTGGGAAGTTGGTAAAGCCTTGTTGGCTGAACCTCAAAAGTTCTTGGAATCTCTCGTCAACTTTGACAAGGACAACATTGGAGAAGCCGTCATACAAAAGATCAAACCATATATTGACAGTGAGGAATTCCAAGTCGAGGTCATTGCTCGTGTCTCAAGAGCCGCCACTTCGATTTGTCAATGGGTACGAGCGATGGAGAAATACTATTGGGTTTCTAGATCTGTAGCACCTAAACGGGCTCGTCTCCAAGAAGCTCAAGAGTCACTAGATGTTACACTAAAAGCTTTGGCTGAACTCAAAAGAACTCTGCGTGAAGCGGATGTTAGCATAAAGGAGGTGCGTTGCACGATTCAATGTGTTTTTTTTTTTTTTGCTTCTGTCTGATCATTTCACGATTTCCAACAGATGGAGAAGAAATTCGCCGAGTCAGTCGCCAAGAAGGAGGAACTGTCTCGAAAAGTGGAGGAATGTAACATAAAACTGAGTCGTGCTGGCAAGCTCATTTCTGGATTAGGCGGAGAACGTCTGAGATGGGCTCAAGCTGTCGAGGCCTTTGACGAAAGTATTACGAATGTAGTAGGAGATGTTTTGCTCTCTGCTGCTGCCGTAGCATATCTTGGCCCCTTCACGAGCGAATATCGTGCAGCTTTGATGAAGCATTGGGTGGAATTCTTGTCTACTTCACACATTCCGCACTCGGATAATGTGTCGTTCTGGAACACTTTGGGTGAACAAGTCAAGGTATTCTTGTAACTTTACCGCTCCATTTTGCCATTCGATTTCTGACTCCTTTTTCTAAAGCTCCGAGAATGGCAGTTGAATGGTCTCCCCAAAGACAATTACTCTCGTGATAATGGTCTGATTGTTCAGTATTCACGACGATGGCCTCTGTTGATTGATCCTCAAGGACAATCTAACCGATGGATTCGAAACAAGGAGAAAGACAATGCACTGGACGTTATAAAGTTGACCGACCGTGACTTTGTACGAACACTTGAGAATGCCGTTCGTTTCGGAAAACCAGTTTTGTTGGAAAACGTTGGAGAAAAGCTTGATCCAGCATTAGAACCAATTTTGCTGAAACAGACCTTCCGTCAAGGTGGACAAACCGTCATCAAAGTTGGAGATAGTGTGCTGCCATATCACGATGACTTTAGATTCTACATCACCACAAAGTTACCAAACCCACATTACTCTCCTGAAACATCGGCCATTGTAACTCTAGTTAACTTTACATTAGCACCCAGTGGCCTAGAAGATCAGCTGCTTGCTCTCGTAGTTGCCAATGAACGGCCTGACTTGGAAGAAGCTAAGAACGAGCTAGTCATGAATAATGCTTCTATGAGAAAGGAACTGAAGGACATTGAAGACAAGATATTGTACTTGCTGTCGTCAGTACAAGGCAGTCCTGTAGATGATGAGCGTCTGATTGACACTCTCGCTGCTTCTAAAGAGACTTCAGAAGAAATCCAGAGTAAAGTAATAATTGCGGAACAAACCGAAAAGGATATTGATAACACTCGTATGAAGTATCAACCTGTCGCTATCAGGACTCGTATATTGTTCTTCGCCATCACAGAATTGACTGGTGTCGATCCTATGTATCAGTATTCTTTGGGTTGGTTTATGAATCTCTTCACTACTGCTATAGCTCACTCTGAAAAGGCTGAAGATGTTGGTCAACGGGTGGTGAATATTAATGAATACTTTACTTTCTCGCTCTTTTCGAACGTCTGCCGTTCTCTGGTAAGTCACCGCATTAGTAGAAGTGAATGTTCACTAGCTCACAATCATCACACAATACAGTTTGAAAGACACAAACTCATGTTCTCATTCTTGTTGAGCATCCGAATCTTGATGAATGACAATATGATTGATTTGGAAGAATGGAGGTTCCTACTAGCGGGTGGATCAGTAGTTGAATCAAAGATTAACAACCCTGTATCTGACTGGCTCTCTTCAAGTGCATGGACTCAAGTACTCATGTTGAGTGCTTTACCCAACTTTGCAGGAATCGAGACGTCGTTTATATCAGATGCCGATACATACCAAGTAATCTTTGACTCTTCATCACCTCATCGTGAAGTGTTGCCTCAACCATGGCATTCCAAGTTGAATGGATTCCAAAAGTTGTTGGTATTGCGATGCTTACGTCCAGATCGTGTCACGTCTGGAATACAAGACTTTGTTGCTGCCGAGTTAGGAGAACGATTTATTGAACCACAGACGTCGGATGTAGCTGCCTTGTTCAAAGAGTCTAATGCTTTGACGCCATTGATCTTTGTCTTGTCCCCTGGAGCGGATCCTGCCAGTGCATTGTATAAGTTTGCTGAGGATCAGCGCTTTTCAAAGAAACTATCAGCTGTGTCTCTTGGTCAAGGTCAAGGTCCTCGTGCTGAGGTTTTGATTCGGTGAGCTTTGCTATTGATTTCACCCACACGTTTTTGCCAGATACTGAAACCTTCAATCCGAATAGGGAGGCTGCGGAAAGAGGTTTGTGGGTACTCTTGCAGAACTGTCATCTGGCCCCAAGTTGGATGCCTAGTCTCGATCGTCTTGTCGACGGTCTTGGTCAAGGAAACGTTCATCGAGACTTTAGATTATGGTAATTGAAGAGTACTTCGGGCTATCAATATTCTTAAAATCTGACACTACAATCTCAACTCCTTTTTTTTAGGCTAACTTCTATGCCCTCTGCACGTTTCCCCGTTTCTATTTTGCAAAATGGTTTGAAGATGTCGCAAGAGCCGTAAGTGTTGTGTTTTTGCGATGTTAATTCGGATGAAGATTGCATAATAAGTATTCTGCTTGTTTGGTACAGTCCTAAAGGCATCAAGGCTAATCTGATGAGAGCATACTCTTCCTTCTCGGACGATATCCTCTCTGGCTGCGAGAAACCCAAAGAATGGAAGAAGCTCCTGTTTGCTCTATGTTTCTTCCACGCTGTTGTGCAAGAGCGACGTAAATTTGGCCCGTTGGGTTGGAATATTCCGTAAGTGCATGGATTTCTTTGTACTTCGATACAGCCTTTTTTGCTCACATGCCTATGCTCATCCTTCAGATACGAGGTAAAAAAAAAACGAACAAACCACGATGAAGTGTCTTTTCTGACATTTAATTGTAGTTCACTGATGGTGATTGTCGAATCTGTACTCGTCAACTCAAGATTTTCTTGGAAGAATACCGCGAAGTGCCATTCAAAGTCCTGAAATACACTGTAGCTGAAATCAATTGTAAGCCATTTTCCCACACATTCTTTGAATTTTCACTGACGGTTTCTCTTTAGATGGAGGACGTGTAACTGATGATTGGGATCGTCGTTTAATCTTGAATATTCTGGACGGTAAAGCTTCATAATGAATGTTTAACTCGAATTCAACCTAACATTGATTTGCACTAGATTTCTACAATTTGAACGTGCTGGAGGATGGACACAAATTCAGCTCGTCTGAAGTCTACATCTCGATCCCGGCAACCAACTATGCAGCATACCGAGACTACATCAAACAGTTACCCATCGATGAGTCTACAGAGATTTTTGCCATGCACGACAATGCCAATATTACCTTCGCTCAAAAGGAGACCTTCACATTGTTTGAGACTCTAGTTGCCTTGATGCCAAAGAGCAGTTCGAGTTCGTCGGGCAAGACTCGGGAACAATTCTTGATGGAGCTGGCTACATCTATTCAAACCAAGATTCCGCAACCATTTAATGTGGATGAGATTTTGAAAAAGTATCCTACCGAGTAAGTTTTACATCTGGTTATGGATTTTCAGAGTGTCACATTTAAGTATTTTGTCTCATTGCCAAACAGCTACAAGGAGAGCATGTCAACCGTGCTCGTTCAGGAACTCATCCGATACAATCGTCTACTTGTCGCACTCCACTCATCTTTGGTGGATGTCCGTAAAGCACTGGTGGGGTTGGTAGTCATGAGTGAGGCACTTGAAGCGGTATGCAACAGTCTGTATGTAAACCAAGTGCCATCCATGTGGGCAGCTAAAGCCTATCCATCTTTGAAACCTCTGACTGGTTGGGTGTCGGATCTGATGGCTCGTTGCGAGTTTTTACAGAAGTGGATTGATCAAGGACAGCCTGCTGTATTCTGGCTTTCCGGAATCTTCTTCCCTCAGGCATTGCTATCTGGGGTGTTGCAGAATTATGCTCGAAAGGTATGTCTGAACGACCAGTCCTTGTGAAATTTATCGATATTCCGATATCCTTTTTCTTCGTCATCCTAACACCTGACTTGTATCATTAGTACAATATCGCCATTGATCAACTCAGTTTCGAATTCAAAGTTTTGGACGGTCGTTGGGAAGATTTGCCATCGAAACCATCTGACGGCTGCTATCTTCGAGGCCTGCATCTGGAAGGAGCAAGATGGGATTCTCAGCGACGTCTGCTAACTGAATCTAGAGCCAAGGAACTATATACAGAGTTCCCACCTATATGGTTGGTTCCTAAACCAAATCGCAAGAAACCTGAGAGTGGATATTATGAATGCCCAGGTATGAAGCAACTGCGAGACAGCGTTTTGCCGTTTGAACAATAATAACGTTTTTCTTTTCGTAGTATACAAGACACTGACTCGAGCTGGAACTCTATCCACAACGGGACACAGTACTAACTTTGTATTTTCAATCGAGGTGCCATCCGATCTACCTCAGTCTCATTGGGTTAAACGCGGTGTTGCCCTGGTTTTGTCTCTGGCTGTATAAAAGCATATTTGTATATACAAATGAGATGAGTACATATAGACGGGGAAGATGGGATGATTGTGTTTATATATATCTTCAATAAGAAACAAATTTAAAGTTACAAACTACTACTATGAGCGATAATTGCTTGGCATTTGTGCAACTTCAGTCCAATGTGTCTTAAACTAGTTATTTCCGGCAGCTCATCGCCCATTTGGTCGTCCAGCTCATCTGCTAGCCTTTCTGCAACGTTCAGTCTATCTGTCCGATTGCGCAACTGAACCTAGTTTAAAAACTGACATTTAGATCGAAGGCTAAAAAAAACCTAAATCAGACCAAGTCATCTTACTTCAAAGTTTTCGAGTGTCTCGCCGGACCCAGTCTCATACAGCTTCCTAGGTCGAATTCCAGGCAACGCACTTTAAAGGCTCCATGCTTGTACGCCAACTCAATCTGATCCGAAGAAAACCTCGCATTCAGGTCTTCCTCTGCAGACAACAACCAACCTGGATATCCGGTTGTTGTGGTATACTTGGTATAACGTTCTCGCCAACAGATGCGACTGATGATGGAGTCGCAACGTTGTTGTGGATGTGGAGTTGGTGTTGAAGACCGGTACGTGGTTGCGACCACTGTCTTTGTGGATGCGGAGATTCGGTTCGTTCTGGTGACCCTTGTCGTTGCAGGAGGTGGTGCTGAGATAGTGGAGTCTGTAGAAGAATTCTGCCAGTCGAAACTGCTGAACTGGGTGGAAGTACTGTCACTTTTGGGCAAGTTGAATGTCGCACTGAAGGCACCGAAACAACTCGCTGGTTGGCTTCCCGGCGACGAAGAGTTCAACGTCAAAATCTTGGGAGAAGTGACTCCATTTGGTCCAATATTTTAGAATTCCTATTGAAGCATCGGCTTTGCATGTGTATCGATCGGCCCTGGCTGGTTGTCCGGGAAACTTTGATAAATTGGCAGTATAACAGCAGTGTCTTCAAAGTGTTGGGTCTACCGAAATTTATCCGAGGCATGGATTTCGACTGGAGTCCCTGCTTTATGGTCTTGCAAGGGCATACTGGTGCTGTCAATGGTGTCGCCTATCAACCGGATACGCTGGATGTTCCGGGCAAGATCATGGCCACGGTGTGGTCGGATCGTTCGATTCGGCTGTGGGATGTCCAGTTAGACCTGACTGGACATCCCAAAATCGCACAGTTTTGTCACCATATCCAGATGCGATGGTCTTGCCATCAGGAGAAAATACGACGGAAGTGACTCATCTAAATTGCCACTCGCCGTTGCCATGAGCGTCCCATCACAGCCTCTCGATGCTCCAAAATCAAAAGGCACGGTCCCTAGTCTACAAAGGCGACCCGTGGCATTTCAACCCGGTTTTGTACATCATAGTAGTAATGCTTGCATAGCCGGCTTTCTTGTGGGCAACCCGCAAGGGCAGAGAATTCGTCTCCATGGCAGTATGATAAACCTGAATAAGGCGACCGGCATCTTTCAACAATTCCAACCTCCAGAGGGTCCCGACGTTGCTAAGACAGAACTAGTCAGAGAAGAGCTCACCAGGTCTTTCCATAGTAAAAGGCATCCTACTAACAGGTGGAGCGGGCCTCACCACTCTCAATGGATTGCCATTTGATGTTTCGATTTGGGTGATTGATGTACTTGGTTTCAGCGGCGTTTTGCATTCTGCATCCATATATACATACAATTGATGGTCTTCGATGCCATCCAATGACTTCTTGAAGCGTTTATGATTGATGAGATATTCGCACAGGCCATCAATGTTCTTGACTGTCGTTACATCCACTTCAGTTGCACGTCCCAGCTTGTCAAGCGAGGCCAATGAGTCGTCAGCGTCTTCGGCACCTCGCTTAAAGAGCTGTATCCAGAGCACTAAAGTGTCGCTCATATTTATTTCGTTGATCAACCGTTCACATTGATTGTTGGATGGTTTTTGAGCCTTTGTGATGAGGAGTCAGAGACCAGGACTGCGACGAATACGCTGTATACTATCAGATTGAAGCCAACATTCCTCTCGAAGCTGATGCCACAATTGACGAACAAAAAGCTCGAGGGAAAGCTTTCTGGATTATTTGGGGTCACATCGGCACATTAACAAGCACTTTGAGACCTCTTCCAGCTCTTTCTTGTGCATTTTTTTGCCATAATTCAATCATGCTTTTTACTTACCTGTCATAGACGTGTTCTCCCTCGTCATCATTGTTCTTGTTGGTTGGCAACGAATTAGTCGAGAAGGATGGGACGACTACATCTTTTTCGTTCAGACAAACAGGAAACACGTCTACTTTGCTTGCCAACGCGATACAAGGCTTTTGACAGCTCTTTCGTCCTTTACAACTTTGGTTCTAGCATTCTTCCGCCTAATCTTGCCTGAGTTACAAAACATCCAAAACCAAAAGTCTTTGTTGGAGTTTGCATCCCAGCTCAACAAGTATCGAGGTACGTATTTTGCAGTAGATGTGTCATAGAAGATCAAGCTCCCGTTCTTTTTTAATAGCGATTGGTAGAAACTTCACTGACTAATTCCCCACACGGTTTTTAGCATTCGCAGCAATCAACCACTATACCAACTCGTCGCACTATGGAGTTCTTTTGGCAGGCCAACTTTTCAGGCTGGATGTTCTACATCCTACACATAATCCAAGTGGTACTGTACTATTACTCGATGATCTGCATCATTGTCACTCACAAACATGTGTTTTCAGTCCCTTGCTAACTCGTCCTTTGAACTCCAATTCTCGTAGATCTTTGGAGTCATGATCGCTTCTATAGCTTACAACCAGGGCTACTACAACAATGGCACAATCATGTATTGCTTACTGTACTTTCAAGTCAATCAGGTACAAGCTAATGCCATGTCTGCAACTCGAAACTTGGATCTCAATCGAAATCAATTCTAGGGATACCCATCTGTCCTGCCCTGTGATTTCGTCTCTGGAGTGGGCGCTGTTGACTGCGTCCTAGCTTTTATATTTGCGTTACTCCATTGCCTTACAACTACCCGCGGCGAAACTGGTCGTCATTGGTGCATCATTTTCACATTTGCCTTCTTAGCACGTACGTAAAAACCAAACGTTTGCCAAACACTCATAATGGCCGAATTTGCTCACATCAGCGTTTCACCAACACTATCCAGTCCTTTTGGCAGTCTTCAATGGGGGCGCCGCAATTCTAGTGACAGGCGGCTACAATTCATTGTGTGGATCAACGACATTGAGCTGTGCTGATGCACTTGGAGCACTTGGAAAATCCAGAACGTCGTGGTTGGCACTAATCGCGTCTTGTGTAGGTGATTTTTTCTGAGCAACGAGCTCTGACATTTTTGTGAGATTTTAACGAGACTTTCGTCATCTAGTGGGCATCTGCCATATTATGGGTACGAGTCAGTTAATGATGTCATTCTCTTCGAAGTCATACCATCATCGTACTCTCGTTAACCTCAACTTTACATTTCCTAGCTCCTGTACGCTGTCGTTGAATTCTACAACTTCCACATGAAAAGACACGAGTCTGAAGAAGGCTATGAGCCTCATCACGGGAGTCACCCTATGATGATGGAATCGGAAATGATGGCAGAAGAGATGGAACATGCGCATGGAAAGGAATAGGTCGGTTTCCGTCATTGATTTGCCAGTAGACACGAGTTACAGAAACGTTGAACTATTGTGACTTCCGACACAAACGCTCTTGACTCTCGATATCTGCACCTCTTAATATTTTTTAATTCAAGTATTATACTCCATTGTATTATCGTAATCAGATTGCAATTCACAATTAATGTCACAATTTCGTGCTCTCGAACTGTTTCAATTGGTCAATTGTCAAAGGGTATTTGTTCCTCTGTCTCGTTTGAACGCAACAAGATGTCGATATACAACGAAACAATAAGAATGGCAGCTGAAAAAGTATTCGGCGAGAACGTCAGCGTAGCTGCCAACCGTAAACGATCCGCTCAAAGAATAAGTAAGATCACAAGCTTTCAGTTTAACATTGTTTCATCAACCCACCAGGGCTGAATGAACATGGATCGGCAAAATATCATTACGGAACAGCCATCAAATGCCCTTCGCCCTACTGATCTATCCAATCCATGTTGTTTTTAGGGCCGAAAATCCTGTCATCATTGCCACTCCAAGTGTTTTTGTATTCCAGCAAATACTTGTATGTGGTGTGGACGGGAGCGATGATTTCTGTTCTAGTTATCAAGGTATGCGTACATTTGGGTATGAGAGTCTGGCATGGTGGTTTGAAAGATTGTTTTCAACTCCACGAACTTGTAACGATGAAAAGTCGTGACTCAGAGACATGCACTTAGCACAACCACTTTAATTGCATCTTTTAATCATCCAAAACTGAATTAAAATTTCAACCACTAATTCCAATCCATCACAATAGTCACTAGCCGACTCATCACCTTCAACACCAAACCTATTCATGTACACGCTCTTTGCTGGGTTTATGCTGCTAGAGCCATTGCGAATCTTTATGGGATACACGGGGAATCTACGAGAACAAGTGGGCGAGCTCGCCATATGCGTCATACTGGGAATACTGCAGATCGTGATTTGCGTCTACTTTGTTAATCTGCAGCAGCTGGCTGGAAGTAGTCCATTACCATGGGAGTTTGGTATTAATATAGGTAATAGCGCGGGTTTGTTTGTCTTGCTGTTGATTTGAACTAACAACTTTCATCACGTTCAGCCTACATAATATGGCTAGTGCCTCAAATCTTTCTAGCAGTGCTTGCTGGAAACAGATTCATTCAGGCACAGAATCAAGCCTTCCTGCTATCGCTCGATGAGCATACGGGCCTACTTACTTCAACCCCCACAATACCACCACCAAACAAGAAAGCCTTACTGTGAAACTTCTTTTATCTATAATATATGTACAGGACGCTTCTCTCTTCGTTTCTACACTCTAAGTAATATGTACTTTATGAGCAGGTCCAGATTTTCACTGTTTGATCAACACCACCTGTAGCCACTAGATGTTGATCAGGATTCACGTCGATGCATGTCACGAAATGTGGATGGGCATCTATCGTTTTCGAGTTTCGTCCTGTTCTTAAATCCCATATTCTCATGGTTTTATCATCAGATACTGATATGAGGTGTTTTCCAGCTGGATGTGTTGTGACTCCTCGGACCCAATTGTCATGACCATTCTATGACACAAAAAAGGAGTAAGGTCGACTGTCGGGCTTGAGTGAAAACAACAAAGGCTTTTTTTGGTCTCTACCAGGGTGTGTATACACTGGCCTGTGGCAACGTCCCAAATTCTAATCGACTTGTCTCGTGAACCTGATACTACATATTGTCCTTCTACAGGCTGTTCTCTTGTCTTGGTTCCCTTAAACATAATTTGAGGTTAAGAAAGGTGAAAAAAAAGACGAAATTGTTCTTCTTCAGTGCGTGCGCTCACCTCACCACCAACCAGTTCCTTGACAGCAGGATAAGCGATCACAGGTATAAATGTTACGTCTTCTACAACATGATCATGTCCACGAAGCTCTGCCTTGCATTCACCAGTCGACACGTCCCATACTCGAACAGTCTGATCGGCAAGAAAACAGCCGAGTCAGTGCGCCACATTGATTCATGAAAAATCGAGCATATTAATCTACACACCTGATCGGTAGAGCAACTCACCAACAGCTTCCCATCTAGAGACGGTCTGACGACTCGAACCCAATCTAAGTGGCCAGACAAGGTCTTGACACAAAAGCCAGTGACTGTTTCCCATATCTTGATTGTCTTGTCTCGAGAAGCAGAGACAATCAGGTCTCCTGTTATCGTGAATGCTACAGACGAGACACTGTGATCATGGCCATGTAGTGTTTTTATACACTTGTAGTCCGAATTGGCATCCCATAGCTTTATCGACAGGTCTGCCGAGCACGTCACTTGTACGCGATAGATGTTAAAAATCTCAATCATTGATAATCCATAGAGTAATAAAACTACGTGTTGAGCATACCTAGATGGTTTCCTTTAGCGTCAAAGCACAAGTCATGGACAGCTTTAGTATGTCCCTTGAGCGTTCTCTCGAATTCACCAGACTCAAAATCCCACATCTTGACAGTCGCATCCTCCGAAGCTGAACCGACAATGGTGAACACAGGATGAAAGGCAATACGTGTTATGGGAGATCTGTGGCCAGTGAGAGCCAACTTTTCAGGAGCTCTAGGCAACCATTCGTTGCTTCCAGAAGCTTTCCGTATTGGACCAGATGCAACTTCTTCTTGTAGTTGTTGGATCTTTGTCTCTAGGTCCAGGATCTGTGTGTAGAGGGGTGTTGGTCAAATGTCTCCACTATGTATGTTGATCTTGAGCAAACACGCCTTCTTTTGTAGACGAATAACAGACGTCCATTTCTTTTCCAGCATTCCCGAATATTTTTGTTTGCCATCAGGTATGAAGTCATCTAGACCAGCATCCTGTTTCAGAGCTTGGAAGGAGGATGATAGGCCAGACGAATTCAGGTAATCGAGAATAGCGTATCGCCTAGTTTGAGAGTACAATGCTAGTTTTGATGATTTTATGCATGCTACTATGATGGCACTTACAGTTCCTCTTGCTGCTTATTCGTCAAATTCGACATTCTCCGATTTGGTTAGAAGTGGTGATTTTGCGATTCGAAGGTCGAAACAGTGAAGGTCGGGTTGACTGGGATTTAATCATGTACATGACGCGTAAGAATATCAAAAAACGACATTTCTTTAGCGAACGTGATGATGGAATGATGCATCACCCTCGTCGTCGACTGCGAAAAACAGCTTACTAGCATCTAAAGGAGCATCACGTAACTTGCAAGTATGGCAACCGTCTCGACGCGTTTATGGATACATTACGTGCAGATTCGCCCTCTTACAAGCACTGTTTACTAACGCATCGCCGTAGATACAACCTCCGCAAAGCACAACATGGTCTTGAGGTACACAGCGAGCCGTTACACCCTACAATCGCCCTGTTTAAACACTTCTGAATGGCCTTGTATTCACTCGCCTTATGTTATCTTCCATAGTGATGCGGAAATGCTTGCGTTTGGCGATAGCGTCTTGAACCAATTCAAGGCATTGCTAACTGATATTGACTCGGGAGCCGGATGGAAGTCTGAGGGCGACAAGGTATTCTTAAACACATACCAGCCATATTGGTTGTGCTCAGGTGCCCAAATCGCTGATCGTGTGCAAGTGCCTAAATCGTCAACTATGTGTAATAGAACGCTGTTACCATTTGCACAAAGCAAATGGATCCAACCACATCGATACTTTGTTGGGCTGCCACTTGTGTGATGCCATTTTCACCAAAAGCTGTCTTTGATTTGATTGTTGATGCTTCTCATCGCTCGTTGTGGGACAAAGTCACGTCTGAGGTATGGTGTTTGGAGTTCGATTTCGTGGATTTATTGTATACTTACATCATCCATAACAGATGACTATCCCATTGGCCTACCCTGCACCTACTGGATTGTGTGAAATTACTTACAGCGTCACAAATCCAATGTTTTTGAATACAGGTAACGCGATCGAGACGAAAGTTATCCCTTGAAATGACTCTAGTAACTCATTAATATTTTCATTTAGTGTCTGCTAGAGACTTTGTCGATGTCAGAAGAACCGACTCAGATGGCAATGGTGGTTTCGTACTTGCGTGGCAATCCGTCGAGGGAATGGACGTCGATGCAGCCCTGCAAAAAGAGAATGAAGGAAAAATTCGTGGCTACAACTGGACTGGTGGCATGAGATTCAAAGCTGTCGAGGGTGGCAGCAAGTGTGCTTGCAGCTATGTTGTAAGATCTGACATTCGAGGAGGCTTACCTGTGATGCTTGTAAACACGGGTACTGCTCAGGCTATGCGTTCTGTTATGGCAGACATTCAGAGTGTGCTTGCTTCACGTGGAGCCAAGTAAAACAAAAAAAAAACCCCCCTACGCAACTGATGATAATTCCACCAATGGGTCACTTTGAGCGATAGATAAACTAATGCTGACTTCCTTACGAATTGAATAAAGTAGTTTTGTGATATTTGAGCTTCAATGTGGCTGATTCTGTTGTAACTTGTTTCGTGGTCTGTCAACTTTTCCGAAAAGTGGGTCGTACTCAGGTCAAGGACAGTTTCGAAGAGCTTTCAATTATGGTCGGCTTTCTTTTTCCCATCTCATCAGGGCCTCGAACAAGCGAGGACCCCAACTTTAGAGCTCATGTGTGGCATATCGCAAGTCTCGCCATTTCTTGAAAATCGATAAACCAATATGAAATAATGTTTTTGATTGCTTTTAGCTGCTTTGGATAGATAAACATTCAACTATAACTGAAAACTACTTTAATTTATGATGGCTTCCAAAGTTCTCCTCTTGGGTTTTTTAGACCGAGATAACGGTAGGGATTCCATAGATGTTTAGGGTAGATACACTGTTTCCAGTAAAGTTTACATTTCCTGATTGCAGGATGTACATGAAGGCATCTACTCTTCCAACAGATGAAGCCCATTCTGCAGCAACATTTACATTCGAAGGATTCAACAAGGCAGTTCTTCTAGTCTGCAAAAACGCGTGCAACCACGTATTCTCATCAACATGTTGACTGGTGCCAGCAACTCCAGCAGGTACACCACCAACCGATTTAGTAGTGGCAGCAATAGTAGCCCAAGCGGAATCCGGGTTGGTGTTATTGCTTCCTTGTTCCATGAATGTGTCATAGAGTGCTGCTCTAGATACAGCGTTTACGAGTCCCAGCATATCGGCAGCTGTTTGGGATGGGTTGTAGACTTGATCGTCGTTGGCAGAGATTTGGGCAGAGATGAAGACTGGGTCTTTGCATGTAGCGTTCCAGTTTGTGGGGAGGTCGGAGAAGAAATCGATGCTGGATGAGCCTGAGATGGAAACTGTTCCGAGACCGGATATGTCGGATAGGAAGGCATTGTCTGGGTATGCGATGGAGTAATAGTTGATTACGTTCAAGATAGAGCCAGACGCACTATGAAAAGTATTCGTTGAATGATAACTGAGATATGATTTTCGAATTTCGTCCAGATTTGGACGAGTGACCGGTACTAGCTTGATACGAGAAATCACGGAAAATGTAAAATCACAAACCTGTTGAATCCAGCAAATCCACACGTGAATCCGTTACCGTCCAGGAGGTTCGAGCATTGGCAGTATGGCATCGTGGTTACTCCAAAATCAAAGAAAGCGGATAATTGCATGGTCAAGGATTTTTGTGCTGGAGTCATTCTGCAGGCGTTGTTGGCACAGACGTTTCCATCAGCTAGAGCTTGGGTTGCTAATAAAGCGGAAACCAAAAATAACGGGAGCATTTTGATGGATTGCTGCTTCGATTTTGTTGCTGATGGTTGTTGATTTTTGAAGATTTACGAAACGCCAAGCGTGTGCAAAATTCCCGAAACAGCTTGTTGAATTCAGGCGAATCAAAAGCGAGAACAGGGAATCCAAACAGATGAAGATGTCGCGTAAACGTTTGCTTTTTTCCCAGATTATGCTTCATTGGTTGTTTCTAAACTTCCATGAAACACGTCACAGAAATGCAACAGGCACACTGCCACTACTTGTTTCCTCAATTGCAAACGCATTTCAGCAGGCAGGCTCCTAGAAAGGAGAAGGTGAAGGGATTATTAGCATATGCCAGTCCCTTAAACCAGATCTCGACTGTGCAGTTCAAAAGCGCGCCAGTTTTTTGAATTCCTCTTTCTCTTTTCCAAACCCCGACCAGTCGACAAAACAAGTCATGTTGTTGATCTGGGCAGTTGTCCTGCTAGTAGCACCAGCAGTACATGGTCATGATAAAGACTCTGATCATTGGTGTGGCCATGATATGCAGCACCCGGCCACGCACGTCCTTCAACATGTTGATTATGAAACCAGCAAGTTGATGAATAGTGTTTCATGGGGCCCTCTGAGGATATACACCGACACTTCATCGCTTCTGACAGACTTTTCAGGGGATCAGCAAAGACTTGCTACGGCTCAATCCCTTGTCGGCTTTGTTGGTCAATTCTTTGCCTCGGTTTTGAAAACTCGACAAGTGAGTGGATGTTTCAAGATTGATCCTGGCTTTCAGAGGCTAGTTCTTCGCAGTTCTAAGATACTTTTACTTATTTTGACCAGGTTTCTGGCAATTTGACTATATCGAACACATCTACTTGTGGAGAAATCACCGTTCCAATGAATCATGCCGTTTATGGATTGCCAAACACGGATATAGTACTTTACTTCTCGATGAAGAACTCATCTGTGTGCAGCTCTGGGAACTATATAGCACATGCTATTCATTGTCTTCAAGATCAACAAGACAGGCCGCTGGCCGGCAACATTAATTTATGCCCATCTACTAATTGGGCAGCGAATCTTGTCGAAAGTGACTCGTGGGGTGTTCAGAGTACCGTAAGTCTCCATCGCTTTATAGCTGCCTCCTGGATATTGAACTGATACTACTATGAAGATCCAAACTTTAGTCCACGAATCGACCCACGTTTTGGGTCTCTCGTCAGCCCTCATACCATACTATCGCGACCCTAGTGGTAATCCATACACTCCTCGAGATGCCGCCGGACATCCTGTCACTGACACGACTGGTGCATTTGCTATTCCATCGCAATATAAAATCCAGGACACAGAACGAGGTGTTGCTGTAACGAAATATGCCTTCCCTATTTCTTTGAGCAAGGCCAGACAATGGTCTGGATGTCCTACGCTTAATGGTGTTGAGATGGGTAGGCTTTCACGACTTATTCACATAATTTCGACGAGAACCTCTGAAAAGCATCCTTACTCAACTTTTACTCTACACACTAAAGAATCGCAATGGGGTGCGTCGACGGCGGGTTCGCACATTGAGAAGAGAGTTTACAGCTCAGATTATATGACTGGACAAACTATAGTTGGCGTAGATTCGGGCAAGTATTTAAATCCGTTGTGTCGCACGAAAGCTCAACAGTTTAACACCTTGTACCATTCAATTGCACAGACTATAGTGAAATATCGCTCGCGTTCTTGGAAGACTCTGGATGGTACCAAGTCGATTACACCTATGCCACAAATCCACCATTAGGACAAAACGCAGGGTGTGGATTCATGAGCTCTTCCTGTTTATCAACACCAACAGGAAGCAATTTAGTGCTACCTTCAATACCTGCTTTTTGGTATGTCAACAAGTTCCTGTGTTCAACTCCGTCAAAATAGCCCGTTTCGCTAACACGGTACGCTAGCAATGGAACAAATCCAGATCGCTGTGCAGCTGGAAGATATGCTCGAGGATACTGTGGTGTTACTTCACCTTCAAATGGAGCGACACAAGTCCCTGCTGAGTATCGCTATTTTAATTCTGCGATCCCAGTCAATCTCACTGCGTCGCAGTTCGAAGGAGGGTACGTCCCTCTCATGGTAAGCGTACTTTGCCAAATCGGGAGTGAAAATAAACTCCATCTCACCCAACCACATCTTTGAAAATAGGATTACTGCCCAACGTACCTTCCATTCGGTACCTTCTCAAGCACCGCAGGCACCAACTCTGATTGTCGGTACGCCTCGAATACACCCTCCAGCAACACACATGGAGAAACATATGGTTCATCATCGAGATGCTTTGACCACACCCTTGGATCACCATCGTCGGCATCCTCGTCCGGATGCTTTAGTGTGAATTGCCAAGGTGACGCTCAAGGCAATACTCAATATTCAGTAACTGTCAACGGTGGATCGATAGATTGTGGCGCTGGTGGCTTGAATGCTGCTGCACCGTGGTTTGCTTCTGGTAGTCTGTATTGTCCTCCTGCTGCTGAGGTTTGCCCAAGCGGTACATCCGTTGGATGTCTAAATGGGTGCTCAGCAAGAGGCACATGTCGAGTTAACGCCAATGGTCCGTACTGTGTCTGCAAACCTGGCTTTAACGGGCCAGACTGCTCGTCTTCTGGATTTGCATTTGTTGTCGCTGGTACTGTCGTATCAAAATCTACAGGATCGGTTAATGGATCTACTGGTACCAGCCCCGTCATAATTATCATTGCTGTGGTGGCCAGCTTGATGATGTTGATTGGTTGTGGTGTCGCAGCCTTCTTTCTTAGAGCTGGTCGGCCAAGGAAGGGCAAACATCAAGCATCTGTCGGTCCATCTCCTACTAGCGCTGTTACAATGAATATTCGTAATCCCGCTCAAGCCTCTACCATTGCTAGACCAATCGCTGCTGTAACTGCTACTACTGCTAGACCTGCTACTGCCGCATAAACTGCTACATAAGTTAACGTAATTTAATATGCTGCTTCTATACCTAATAATTTAATCATAGAGCTCAGTAATAATAAGATGAGCCTGCTTCTTCTACTAGACGTACAAGTTAATATAGTAATATGATTGTCAACTCAATGCAACGAACTGTCGCGAAATGTTGAAGCATTTTAGGCTGATGCAGCCGGTAGTTTGCATGAAAATTCAAATTAAACACGTGATTTAACACGTGTAGCCTCCATAATTCCACTCCTGTTGACTTCATCTCAAATTCACGATCTTCCACGTCACGGCCAAATTTCGAAAAGCAACAATTCATAAAAGGATGGCTATCATAGAAGAGAGGGTCTGTAAGGTCAACGAACTCAAGAATGGGCAAATGTATGTATCTCTTAAATTCTTGTTCTGCTTTTCGATGCATTAAACCACGAAACTTTCACGTTTTTGACTCACGATTTTTACGGAGTACAAGATGCAAACCAAAATTTACATGAAAGATCTGAATTTCATGCTCTAAATGCATTTGACAATAGGAAGGAAGTCATGGTCGGAAGTGCTGGCAAGGCTCTCCTTTCATGTGTTGACGGTGTCTTTCGAGCGACTTCCCATCTATGCCCGCATTATAAAGCTCCTCTTGCTAAGGGCGCTCTGAGTGAGGATGGTCGCGTCATATGTCCCTGGCACGGTGCCTGTGAGTTCCACCTGCATTGCTCTTGGATCTCGTAAAACCGCAGTCTTAATGCTAATCTTTCAATGAAAGGCTTCTCGGTCAACACCGGTGATATTGAAGACGGTCCATCGCTCGACAGTTTGCAATGCTTTGAAGTTATTGTGAAGGGATCTGACGTGTACATTCGTGCTGATGAAGATGCCATCAAGTTGGGACGACGTGTACCTCCCTCAGTAAGGATATCGTCAACAGACAAGCGAACTGTTGTCATTTTAGGGTATGTGATGTGCTTCGAGACTTGAGAGACTACTGCTAGTTAGCTTTGTGCTCAACCACTGCTTCACTCCTAGTGGAGGAGCCGGTGGAATGGTTTGCGCTGAAACACTTCGAGCATCCGGTTTTGCTGGACGTGTCGTTCTTGTCTCTCGAGAACCATATTTACCTATTGATCGTCCTAAATTGAGCAAAGCTTTGAAATCAGAGCCAGCTAAAATCGCTCTCCGTGACGAAAAGTTCTTTGCTTCTCAAGATATCGATATCTTGTTGGGAACTGAAGCCAAATCTGTCGATGTCAAGGCCAAGAAGGTCACTCTTAGCAACAAAAGTGTGCTTGGATATGATTATTTGGTGTTGGCTACTGGTGGTGATGTGAGTTTTGTTTGAACGTGAACTCGTCAATTCTCTCCGTTGATGTACTTCTCTTTTTAGCCAAGGACATTGCCAGTTCCAGGAAAGGACCTCAAGAATGTATTTGTGTTACGAACAGCTACTGATTCAAATGCCATCGAAAAAGGTAAATGATATGCTTCAATTATTTGAGAATTCATCATCGGTTTTAACTCATGCACCTCAATTCTTTAGCTGTTGCTGATGCTGCAGCAGCTGCTGGAGGTGGAGATGCTAAGCCCAATCTTGTTATTGTTGGTTCGAGTTTCATCGGTATGGAAGCAGCCAGTATCTTGGCAAAACAAGCCAATATTGCCGTTATCGGAATGGAAAAAGTACCGTTCGAACGTGTTCTCGGTACACGAGTTGGAACTGCTATGGCCACCTTGAACACCAACAACGGAATCAAGTTAAAGATGGAGGCTGTTGTTGATCGATTTGAGCCCTCTGGTAAAATTGTCGTTTTCCAGTTTCGTGGAATCTTTACTCACATCCAAACCTCATAACCTCAAAACAGCGTCCGACAAGACTAAAATTGGGGCCGTCGTTCTCAAGACAAAGGAAGTTGTTGCCGCCGATGTTATCGTTATCGGTGCTGGGGTGATTCCCAAGACTGACTTCCTAAAGGACTCTGGCATCAAGTTGGATCGTGACGGTGGTATCACGGTTGATGCCCAACTTCGAGTACCAGATGCTGAAGGTGTCTTTGCTGTCGGTAAGTGCTCGAGTCTTAGACGCAATTCTTCACCTATTCGAGCGTGTATTTCGCACTTGCAACATGAAGATAGAATTAACATATTTCCAACAAGGCGATGTGGCACGCTACCCATACCATGTGACTGGTGAGATGGTGCGAGTGGAGCATTGGAATGTTGCCCAAAACCATGGTCGTCTGGTAGCCCGAAATATCGTATCCTTGACAAAAGGTCTGGAGCCCAAGTTGAACTTTGTCCAAATACCCTTCTTCTGGACTGTACAATTTGGCAAATCAATCCGATATGCTGGACATGCTGAATCGTTTGATGATGTGATTGTTCAGGCAAGTGAGAAAACGTCGCAGGCGAAAATATAGAACATCATTTCCTTTTCAAATCTCTTGCATTTCCTCTTTCATTTCTAACTTTTTCGCAAAAAAAGGGCTCAACTGAATTGGACAGCACTGGTGGCGGTTTAGCCTTCATGGCCTACTACGTTCGAGGTGAAAATGTGTTGGCTGTTGCCGGTTTAGGAAAAGATCCGCTTGTGTCCTATTGTAGCGGTGAGTTTGCGACCCATTATGCTATCCTGACCCATCAAATTGACGTTTTCCAGATGCTAAACGCCTCCTGTCTACATTAGAGTTATTGAGATTGGGCAAGATGCCATCTGCATCTGAACTGAAGACTGGCAAGTCTCCCAGCGAAGTCGCACTAGCAGATCCGAGCAAGCCAGTAAAGGCCGCATCTTCTGCCTCTGCCTCTGCACCTCAAAAACCTCAAGCATCTACTGGTGCAGCTTCAAGCTCATCATCGTCAGCATCCTCTTCATCTGTTCCCTCTTCCAACCCAGCATTGCTTGTCGTGGCCGTAATAGTCGTAGTCGCTGCTGTTTCCATATACTTTTACAATGCTAAGAAGAACTAAACTGTTATACTCCCCATCTTTGTCTGCTCGTCTCGTATCGAAATAAAAATATCATCAAAAATATGACGGAAAAAAACTCTTAGGTATGGTCGTGTATGTGTAATTACAGAAGAAGAAGCTGGTGAGATTGTGTACAAAATTATACAATTACTATCTATATGGTCCAATTTACCTCAAGTCAAATACTTTAAGAGACCCATTCACAGATAATACATGGCCTATGCCTAAAAAAAGAGAAGAATTTAGTTACGTGAAGTTGAATGCTTCCGGTTGTCCAGCCACGGACCGCGTATGCAGCGTATCTTACCCTCTTCATTCGCCTCTCGATACAACGGTAGATCCGGATGTGGGTGAAACATTTCACTTGCAGCACATTGAGTAATGACTTCAAGACCAGGAGGGTCTGTCAGTCTGAATATCCCACGCTGATTATGCTTTGGACTGACCACAATTGCTATAGCTTCTGGCATCAAGACCTGAAACATGCAGTGTGTATGAAGATCCACACTACTCATGAAACAAGATTGGCTGGGATGTGTATGTATCTAAACATAGCGGAGGTCAGTACCAATGCGAATGTGATCATTACTGGCAGTTGCGTTTTACCCAGCCGAGAGTCAATAAATCTTCTTTATCTTGGACCTCAAATAGTTCCTCCTCGTTCTGAGTTGTACATGAATCTGAAGTTGCCGTCTGCTTTGGTATTACAAGGGTTGTGACGTATAGTCTATCATGTTTGAGCTTGCCGCAGAGTATACCACACGTCTCTAAATTCTTTCTAGTATTTGAGTCTGCAATACGTAGAAAAAGATCATAAATTTCTTCAGGCACAATGAGGTTTCGTAATCTGGTCCCGCTCTCAGTTTTAGCTAGGTGCAGAAAACGTCAGCTCAGACAAGACATAGGATGTCAACACGAACACAAACTCACGCATCAAACCAAGACCATAGTAGGCTACAGGTTTGGGAGGTATAGAAGGTGTCTTTATATTGGCATACGACGTAACCTGCGATGGATCTAAGGGCGGAATATACGACCTTAATTCTGACGGGTCTGCGAATGGATCCTCTAGCACCGGTTTAGGTGGAAAGGCTGGTACAGCTCTGTTTGGTTTTGGTGGCGGTTGAGGTGGTTGAGGTCTAGGCTGATAGTTCAGGCTTTCACTTTGATTCTGTTGAAGCGTTGGATACGAGTCTAGACTTCTGGGCAGTTCTATTCTACCATCGTTTTTGATTGCGCTCGAGCGTCGAAAATCAGCACTTCCGATATCATTCAGCTACAGAGACGTGTCCAAGGTTAGATGGGTCTTTATGCAAACGCAAGTTTTTACTCACACTCATGTTTTTGAACGTATCTTCCACTTGCCGATATGCACTCAAATCTTTGACCTGATACCATTTATCATCTTGCGGTGCGAATGACGGAACAGGAGATGCCGAAGGTGATATCTGTGGCGGCATGTTGCTTGCCCCAAGAGGAGCCTGATTTGGGAGAGCTGTAGCAAGACTTGAGCCACGAGGTGGAGCCTGATTCGACGAAGAAGCTACAGCTGGTGGCGGTGGTGTTTGAGTGCTAGATCGTGTAGGGGGTTGCTGGTTTGATCGTTTCTTGACCTCCAATTGTTTGAATTTACGCTCTACTACAGGCTTCAATAGTTCAAGAGCGTCCAAGGCTTGTTTACAATTCTCCTTTAATATTTTGACCTCCTTTTGGTTGGTCTTGAGATATTCTGGATGCGATGGTAGCTCTGATATGATCAACGTGCTGTAGCGGAGGTACAACATGTAAGCTCGAATGATGGCACCATCGTTTTGATATGCTTTCGCCTAATTTGAAATAGAATTGTTGAAAATTAGAGTTCGTTTTGTTGTCTAGTCGTCACACTGCACGTTCGATGTTTGGAATCCGATACTTAATGCTTACGGTTCTAAACATCGTGTCCGCAGCTCGAATGTAAAATCTCAAAGCTTTAGAATTATCAATCTTCATATCGGTCCTATCAGGTGATCGCATGGTCAGAATCAAACGACAGCAATATTACGGCAAATGAGGATGGCAAATGATCTTGGCTGATTCAATACTGAGAGTGTGAGATCTCACCTCTTATGAAGCTCTTTGAAGTTTGTGATGTCCTCTTCATCACCGCTGTCGCTCATTTTGCTTGTCAATAAGTGTTTGTCTGATGGTCGGGACCAGGACCCAGCACATCACTCCGCCGCCTTTACAAATTTATCCTGGAAATTTATTGATAGTTGAAGTAATAATTTACGTGTTTGCTGATATTTTACATGTATTTGACGCGTCATCATGCTGTTATGATATCAGAAACAGCTCTGTCTGTTGGGAGGACACCACTGCGAGCACGCTTTGATTATCTACCGTTCCTTCAGCGACGTCTACAGGCCAGTCATCCAGATTCAATGCAGCAATTTGAATCGCATTCTCGTAGAACCTTATGGTTGGCTCATGGCTTGCTACAACGAGCCAATCCGCCATTTTGGGCCAGCCTCTAGAAAAACTTGCAAGTCGTGATGGTGTAGCATCGAGTTTGAACGCTAGTTTGATCTGAGTGTAGATAGGCTTGAGTAAGCAGACAGATTCTTAGAATGTTGGAACTCAGAATTTAAAGACCACGTATGCAAGCCAATGACAAAGGATGCACTAAAGACTTACAACAAAATCTTCCATAAAGTAAATACCACCGTCAAATGCAGCTAAAGCTATGACGGTCTTGTTACTTGGGCCAAACTTGCCTGCACACATCTAAAAGGAATGACGAGTGTCAGCAAACATTTCGATAGTGTCTTGACGGCAAATAGCACCCAGACTCACCGCATTGATGGTAGATGGAGTCTTGACAGATCGTAGCAACAGGCCATCAGCCAATACATGTATGTAGGGAGCGGATGTGCACGCCAATACGATTGAAGCGACTGAAGCGTTCTTTTCAGGAGCTTCAGGTATGCGTGCAGAGTGAAGGCAACGAACACCAGTACTATTGAGCGGATACTCCTATAGATCGACGTTTAGCAAATCAATCATTCACAAAACGAGACACAGTGGCAATACCTGGATATTCGAAGGTAGGTTTATTTTCCAACGAGTGTTTGAGCCCAACGTGAACGCTGTCACACAGCCACTCGTATCTCCAGCGACGATAAAGCTATCACCACTCATCTCTTCATGATGAATCATTGCTGTTATGCAACGTCCGATGTTGACACGTTCGAGGATTTGGCCCCACGCCATCAAAGTTACGATACCAGACATATCTGCTGATGCCATATGAACTTGAGAATATAAAGCAGATGTCGGTGCAATCTTTGTTAGCACGAGAGATGTAATATTTGTGCCCTTTGTTTCAATAGTTTCCTAATTGACCAAAAGTGTAAGTATGCGTTCTTTACGCAAAGCGAGTGCAAGTGATGTACCTCGTCATTAGCAGTAAACTTGGTTACGTGCCCATCTTCACGACCAACCAAAACGGCATCCAATATTCGTAGCGATGACGTATTTGTTTGAAAGGGAGCGACAGCTACACACATTCCACCAGGTCTCCGTGTCCAAAGTTTCACTGGATGCACTCCTTCAATTGGTGGACCACCTGCGTTCATTTCTTGATTCTTCAAATGCAGTAGGAATGGGTGCACTCCTTCAGCTGTTCCTACAACTCTTGCGTCCATGTTGGCGATACGATTAGATGTGAATGCGATGCAACCTTCAGCGTGGGGTTTCGGGTGAGGGGCTGTCCCAAGTCCACACTCCATTCCGTCAATACACCAAAACATGTTGACTTTTCTATTGTAGCTCTCCTCAGGCACTTTGGATGCCGACAACAACTTGTTTGACGAAAATGCAACACGTAACAAGCAATCTGATGTGGTACTTACATGATTTCATGAATTTCAACGCGTATATATGGAGCTTGGAACTCTCTGCAGTAATTTACACTGTGTGGGTCGCTACAGTTTGCTCATTCAACGTAAAAGCACTCTACCCAACCTATTTGTCAAACACAACGGCTGTGAGGAGGAGACTCGTACAAATCCTATCTTAAATCTCCTCAGAGTAGAATCGCTGGCGCCACCATGCTGTATTCATGGGTCTTCTGCTACTGGATGGTGTTATTGGGTTTGTTGGCCGACGCATCAAGGGAGTCCTTCATCAAGAATACACTGGGACCACTCCGAAGCTATCCAGAACCCGTTATTCAAGTACACCAGGTACCTGCTAGCTGTGAATTGCAACAGATACAACTGGTACGGGGAAAAGATTATTTTGCTTGTATTGTTTGACACATTGGACATGTTGAAATCTTGATCGCTCTGCTTATGCATGCGCTTTCAACTTACAGTGCCTTTCTAGGTGGCTCGTCACGGAAAAAAGTTTCCTACAGTCGGTTGGTACTCAAAATTCAGAGAATTGGAGTCTCACTTGCAGAAACATAATGAAGTATTGAAACGCACGAATCCGTATCTCGCGCAATGGAAGGTCCCATTAAATGACGAGATGATAGGGCAAAGTACCAAGTCAGGGTTGGAAGAGATGCGTAAAATGGCTGTAAGGATGAAAGGACGTCATCCGGACTTTTTTTCAACTTTGACACCTGAAGATATTATCGTAAGGTCGTCAAACATGAGCCGAACTATAGAGAGTGCAGCTGCTTTAATTGGAGGTCTATATGGTGATGCAAGTACCTTTCTAATAGAAGTACTTGTCAAGATGTTGACGCAGTCCTGTCAACGCTACTGTGATGTACATAATGGCATGACACACGATAGTAGTAGCCACTCTCGGGTCTTGCAGGTCTCTGCAGCAGAACGGATCGATCTGGATTTGAGAAACTCTGGTAAACAAGAACACATCCAATATATCCTAACGCAGCTTCCTACCTTAGTCAGGAGACTAGCCAGGAACCTAGGAATACCCTTAACGAACGAATACGTACTCAATATGCTCGAACACTCAGGAAGTCGCTGTCTTCGACATGTTTGATGGGGTTTGTACTCTATTCAACAAGGACGAATTCTTGGTCCGTGAGGTCTTAAAAGATCTTTCAGTATATTATGACTATGGGTATGGATTTGATATCAATGTAGATAGGATGTGTAGTCTTGTCACAGACCTGTTAGAAACTGCCATCGGTGGGAAAAACTATACTGTCTTGTTGAGATTTACACACACAGCTGCCATGGCAGCACTAGCTGCTGCTCTGGTAAGTCAATCGAGAGTCTTCAATGTTCTGTTTTGCTTGTCAAATTTTGAGATATCCTTTAACTCCAACTTTTGTTGTGACAACCGCAGGGCTTCTTTGCTGATCCACCTCCAGCTCTCTCCCATGTACATCATCCATCATCGAGAGCATGGCGCTCATCGTTTATAGGACCATATGGAGCCAATCTACAAATCGAAACATATCAATGTCATGGTCAAAATAAAGTCAGTCCCTATGTACGAATGTTGTGGAATGAAAGAACACGATTCCACAAGATGAAGATCCCATATTGTAACGATTCTAAACATACGTTATGTCCGCTGGATAAAGTACTCGCTGCATACGTTTGATGTGTTTGATAAGGAGGACTTGTTGGACTGCAAGAGATCTGTTACATGACTTTGATCATGGATATGGATTTGATATCAATTCGAATATGATTTGTAGTCTTATTAGAGATTTGTTGGTGCTAGTGGTGGGAAAGAGTATCCTGCCTTGCTCAGATTCACTCATGCTGGAACTTTGGCATCGGCTCCAGTAAGTGGAACCTTTGTGCTGTTTGGGAGCGCCAATTTTCCCTTTCTTAGTTATTTACCACCTTCTTTCACACTTTAGTAGTTCTACAGTGATTCACCACCAGCTCTCTCCCATGTACACCATCCACCATCTCGAGCATTTCGTGGCTCGTTTATTTACCATATTCAGCCAACGTACAACTCGAAACTTATGAACGTCTCGATCAAACATACGTACGACTCTTGTAGAATGAAGGGACTCCAACTTCCAACTTGGGAGATACCAGGCTGTGATCATGAAAACGAGCTGTTCTCTTTGGATAAGTTCCTTCACGTATACGGAAAGTACATGCACTGTGACTTTGATGCAATGTGTGGTAACGAAAAGCATACAGTGGGAATGGGATGAGCCAAAGAAAGTGTATGTGTGTAAACCTATTGTGTCGGTATAGCGTCCACAAAATGCATAATTCCACAAGATTTGCGCGCCAAAGGTTCCAAGATTCACTGGATGAACGCCTTCTTAGTCGTGAGAGGCTTGTGTCCATTTCTTGTGTGCTGAACGTAATGTGAATGCTTGAGCGGTTCTTTCCGCGAATAGTTCCCGTCAGTCTATAGATAACAAGGCTTTAATATACGAAGTATGCTCACGTCTATATCATGGCTTTTCTCCAGGTGATTCTTTGGCTGACGACGAAGAAACTCAAAACTCAATTCACCAAAACGACATAAAACGTCCAATAAAAGGTAATTCGAGAGAGTCCCTGATCGAGTTTCTATATACTAACATATGTGCCTGGAGGCTAGACTCTTCGTAGTCAAAACTGACCACGTGGGTCAATTCCTAGGCTGACATTCAACAAAACCGAACGCCTTAGCAGCCAAGAGCGTACTGAGAACAAGACTTGGACAAACGCTATCTTTAACCTGTTGGAACTAGGATTACTAGTGCCACCATGCTGTATCCGTGGGTCTTCTCTCTCTGGATCGTCATATTGCTTTCGTTGGCCAACCCATCAAAGGAGTCCGTCACGAGAAAGATGACAGAGGATAATGTCACGGTTCATGGATCTTCTTTTTCTGAAGAATCCTTTATAGAACATACGCTTGGATCACGTCGCAAATATCCAGAACCAGTCAGTCAAGTACAGGATGCACCTGCTAGGTGTGAATTGCAACAGATTCAACTGGTACGGCACAAAGTTTCATTGTTGAAAATCTAAAGATCGAGATGTAACCACAGCAGTCTCATAGGTTACTCGTCACGGAACAAGGTATCCTACATTCGACTGGTACTCGAAATTCAGACAGTTGGAATCACACTTTGAGAAGCACCACGAGGTATTGAAGAAGAGACACCCATACCTCGCTGCATGGAGAATGCCATTTGATGACGAAATGGAAGGTCAGCTTACAGAATCAGGATTGGAAGAGATGCGTCGAATGGCTATTCGTTTGAAGAAACGTAACCCAACGTTCTTCGCATCTTTAAAACCTATGGATGTAGTCGCAAGGTCGTCAAACAAGAGTCGAACTCTAAATAGCGCAGATGCTTTTATAAAGGGACTGTATGATGGAAACCATACGTGTCATGTAGAAGTCCTTGACCGAAAACGGGATGCCGACCTCGTGCCATGGGAATCCTGTAAACGCTACCGTAGGGTGCACGATAGTAGGACACCCAGTATCGACAGCCAGACTCCGATCTCGGCGAACTTGAAGCACGCTATAGATCAGAAGGAAATCGATATGGAAAGGCCTCGTAAAGGAGAATATGCCAAATATATTGACGAACAGCTGCCTAGGATAGTCAAATCGACGAGCAAAAGGCTAGGAATACCATTAACAACTGAACATGTACTCAACATGCTCGAAATGTGTGGCCAAGAAGTGACCATTTTCAACATGTTTGATGGATTTTGTACTATATTCGAAAGGCACGAATTCTTGGTCCGTGAGACTGCAGAAGATATAGAACGATATTACAGTTTTGGATATGGATTTGACATCAACTTGGATATGATGTGTAGTCTTGTAACGGATTTGTTGGAATCTGCTAAGCATGCGGAGGAATATCCGCTCCTGCTACGGTTTACACATGCAGAAGCTATGGCGCCATTAGCTGCAGCTCTGGTACGTCAATAGCCAGTTTTAATTTCGTCTCACTTTTAAGTCTCTCAAAATTGACGATTTCTCCCAATCCTGTAGGGCTTCTTCAAAGATCCACCTCCACCTCTCTCCCATTCGCATCGCCCTCTATCAAGAGCCTGGCGCTCATCCTTTATAGCACCATATGCAGCCAACCTAAAACTGGAAACATATAAATGTCATCATCACGATGTAGTCAGGCCATACGTACGAATCTTGTGGAATGAAAGAAATCGATTCCCTAAACTAAAGATACCAGGCTGTGAGTCTAAAGGGCTATGTCCACTGGATTCAGTGCTTCACGTATACGGAAAGTACATGCACTGCGACTTCGACGCAATGTGTGGTAATGAAAAGCCTAGCTCTGGAGGGTGGAATCGTTGGAAATAGTAGATCAAGTTCGTGCTGTATAAGTTTGTATTTGTTTGTATAATTTTTGCACAAAACTGTTTTGATACATTGTAATTTACCAGTACATATGAAATCAGAATAACTTATTCGCCGTTTAATCTTTGTAACGATCTGCAAGATAGACGTATTTTACTGCCATAAAAGAATAGATGATTAGAGATCCAACGATGATCCCAGCAGTGAGAAAATAGAATTTCGCAGGGCCTGGAAAATACTGATGTGGTTACTTTTCACCCAACATAATTTAATCAAGGTATGCAGGCAGTGGACTACATACCTAGAGACTCATATACTGGTGCAAGAAGAGCTGCGACAAGATTGCCAAGTGCAACCATAACCAACCACCATGCACTTGCGGAAGACTTCATGCGCGGCCCAACCTCCGCATAAGCAAAGTTCAAACCAGATACCGAGAAAAGAACCTCGCCACAAGTTATGATGAACATAGGAATCATGGACCATGCACCATGAACACACTTGGACGGATCTTGTGGATTACAAATAAACTGTCCAGCTGCCGCATCGAAAATGAGAGCATCTGGATTCGAATCAATTCGCATCTGGACATAAGAGAAAAGAAATGTTAACCAATTGTTGAAGTAGCAAATTTTTGGAACATGGCCTTACCTGAATGAATGCCATGACAAGAAAGGCACAAGCAGCAAGTAGCATTCCGCAAATCATGCGGTCCAACAATCTGAATGTACCCCATCGTTTTTCAATGAAGGGATAGACTATGAACGACATGGTGGGTGCAAGAAGAATGATGAATACTGGATTCAAATTACTATTCATCTCTGCATTGATGTGCAGAGATCCCCAATCCTGATTCATCATCTCGTAAGTGTTTTGCCATGTACTGTCCTTTTGATCAAATCCTGGTATTAATACAAGGTGTCAGGAAATCCTGGTTTAATGAAAAAACTACAAGATAGCGAGCGACATACCAAGCCAAAAGAGGACACAAGGAGTAAGCAAACCCACGACAATCAACAGTTCAGTCGATTGCCTTATAAAAGATTTGGGGAACGACGACTGGACACTATCAAAGTATGACGATCCAGCTCGTCGACCAAACTTGAAATTTCGATACGTAGCCTTGATAATCATCTTGGCCACTTCGAAAGGAATAAATCTGCGAAGTGGTGGAATGATTCGATACCAGGGCTTTCCAATAATGAAGAGAGTGGTTGCCATTAACATGACGAGGGCGCAGAGACCAAATGCAGACGTGTAGCTTTGAGGGCTTCCGAAGCACTGCATTTCAGCGATGACAGGAGTAGCTGAAAAAAACCAAGACGTTAGAATAGACAGAGAGGAGTGACATACATTCGTGAAGGGACAAGATCTTACAGTAACCCGCGATTAACGCTCCTCCGTTGATGGACATGTAAAACAAATTATAAAATCGATTCAACATTCCATTTGTTTGGAGGCTGGCTGGAAATTGATCACCCCCATGTGAAGAAACGCAGGGCTTGATACCTTTCCAAAAAAATAGATGGGAAGTTACTAACATTGGAGAAACCGCGGCATATGTATATATGGACGGCTGCCGTAGACGTAACATAATTGTAGATCACATTTTGTAATATATAATCGACGCTCAAAAAATAATTTACTGTTTCCTACCTCCAGTTCCGAAAGCAATCAAGACCAGTGAGAGCACTGGGCCCCAAATAGGCAAAGGAGAACCCATGACAGCAGGCGTTGAGAATAGACTCAAAAGAGCAACGCCCAGAATATAGACAATTGAAAGCACAACGATCGTCACATATTTTCCAAAGTATGAATCAGAGAGTGCAGCACCTACACGAGACTTGCATTTAGCCATCGTAAGATAGAAGTGACGAGAGTTCAATACCAATGACTGGCGTAAAGTATGCCAAAAACTTGAAGAGGTGAACCAATTCAAGAGCAGATTCAGCCCTCTTCCCCAAGTATCGTTTGAAGTAGTTGTTGAGCAATGGCTAGAGAAAGACGTGAAGCGAGTTAGCGAGAGATTCGTTTCGTAAAAAGGCTCGTCAAGACAAACAGGAAACGGTCGGAGACAACAAGGGCGCCCTTTGACTTACACTTATACCATAAAACGTAAACCTCTCAGCAAATTCGTTGGGTATAATGAAGAAAATAGCTTTGGGCATCTTATCAGCTCTTTTCAAGATGAAAGAATCAAGTTGTTGATTGATTGCTTCACTTTCCAAATGTTGAGCTGTTTCATCGTCATCTTCCTCGTCCGACTGCCTTTCAGAATCGAGTTTCATCTGTTCCACTGGTGCTTTATAGATTGCATCAGCTTGCTTCTCTTGCTTCTCAGCTGGATGTTTGGCAAATTGAGTCAAATCAATTGACAGGTTGCCATCCTTGTTGTTTCGGCCATCCTGAGCACCTGAAAACATATTAAAGTTAGAAGATAATGCGGTTGAAATACACGGAATCGCAATCTAATGTTGATCGCGGTGTTCTTGATGCGAACGGTGTCTGCTCCTGTCAAAAATGATGCGACCAGTGTGACTTATGACGCATCATAAGCTCGTCGCCTCAACCCACCTCTCTATGCAAAGCGCAGACGCATATACGAGTTGATAGCAAATTTATCGTCAATATTATGTCTCACGCGCTCAAACACCCAAAACGACTCCCAACAGTATGGGTTTCAATTAGTGGCAGATTGCAAAGAGCAAAAATACAAGTATTTCAACTCATTAAACTTTGGAGACGCCTCCAACAGGTCTGGGTACGAGTTCAATCCAATAACCTATTCAAAAATCCTCTTAGTACTCAATGGCCAAATATCACAAACGATCCAAACACTTACCATCTGGGTCTGCAACAAATGCAATAGTCTTCATGTTTCCATCTTGAGGCCTTTTGATCCATTTCACACCAAAAGTACTCATGCGTTCATACGCTGCATCGAGATCATCAACAATGATGGCAATATGGCCATACCCGATACCGTCTGCGTTCCCGACCTTGTATGATTGTTCAGGTTGGTCTTCGGTACCCCAATTGTGTGTTAATTCAAGTACTCCACTCCTTGAGAACATATAGGCTCGCTTTTCTTCATCCGTTCCTTTGAGAATGTGCTAAAAATACCAATAAGTCGTCAGTGTGTTGCCTCAATACTGACAGGCCGCCAGTCCCGAGTAAATACCCGCATTCACAAAGAATTCGAAATGAAGTGGCAGTTCGAGACTGCTTGTACCGTGAACGGATGCAGTTGGAAGCATCAGCAAAACATGCAAGTCGAGATCTGAAACTCACATCAGGCACTCCAAAAGCCAGGAAATGTAGAGAAAATTTGGCAGCAGGGAACTTGAATTCAATGATATGCTTCATCCTGCAAAGTGTGCTGCAGTTAGCTCTAACCTCAACAAAAAGCTGATTTGGTTTAATGTCCTCACCCAATGACCTAATTTGATTGTAAGTTAGCAATGAGCGACGTAATCTGGAAGCAAGAAGCTTACATTTTCGTAGAATTCGATACTCTTTTTGGGATCTTTAACCCTGTACATGGTATGGTTGAACTAAGCACAAGCTGTGTTAGAATCGAGAGTTGACGAAAGTGGGAATTAGCAGATCATGCCTCATATGTGCTTGGGTCTGTTGGCATGATGACGTTATCAACTTCGCTCCGTCTATAGAGGGTTTCTGTTGCGATGTTTGGTGTGATTTTGTGATTTTCAAGGCTAAACAAAGACGCAGTTGAACTTTATAAGAAATGGCGATGAATCGAGGCATTAGTAAATGTATTCAGATTCAGTCCATGTACTGCTTCACTTTTCTATATAACTAACGTGAAAATCACGTCCCAAAATCACCAAACCGCAGCGTTATCAGTTGATGCGTTTTTCCTTTCCAGACCATTCCTTCTCCCTCAGTACGAATTTCTGAATCTTCCCTGTGGATGTTTTCGGAAGCTCCTCCATAATCGTGAACCTGACCGGTACTTTAAAACCAGCTAGTTTGGTCTTGCAGAATGCAATCAGCTCCTCTGGAGTAGTCTTTGCTCCTACTCTCAGAGCCACATATGCCGCTGGAGATTCGCCCCACTGCGAAAGTTCAAATGTTAGCCGCTTGTTCTTCAACAAATGTACGCAACAAAACTTGCCTTGTCGGAAGGTGCAGCAACTACAGCGGCTTCAATAACACTGGGATGTGCCATTATTGCTGATTCAACTTCAATGCTAGAATTGTAAAATATTGAAAGACGAGATTCCAAACACGACAACGATTCCACAATACATACGTGCTTATGTTCTCGCCACCACTGATGATGATATCTATGCAATTGAAAATTCAATATTTATCAGACGAGCCTCGTTGTCAAAAGTGTGTAAAGAATGACGGTTACCTTTCTTCCTGTCTTTGAGTTGTATATACCCATCTGGAAACTTGACGGCAAGGTCTCCACTATGGAACCAGCCGCCTTTGAAGGCCTCTTTCGTCGCTTTCTCGTTCTTGTAGTAGCCCAACATGACATTATTGCCTCGAATGATAACCTCACCGAGCGTTTCGCCATCCATGGGTACATCCTCCATGGTTTCTTCATTCACTACTCGAACTTCGTCCGACACCAAGTAGTTGTGCCCTTGACGCGACAGCAGCGCAGATTGGTCGTGTGCGCTCATACTTTTCCAGTCATTTTGCCATTCGCAAATGGTAACTAGAACAAAACGGGTCAGATCATTTTGATCCAATGGAACACGATGTTCAATAGCTCACCTGGTCCATAGGTTTCCGTGAGCCCATAAACGTGAAAAACGGTAAAGTTTAGCTTAACTGCCATCTCCAGCATAGTGGGAGAAGGCGCGCTAGCTGCTACCATTAGGCGAACCGGTCTCTCAAGTCTGAAATTGTTTTGTAAGAATCATGAAACTTTTGCAGAAAGGAACTTAAAGAACAAAATACCTTCGAGCCTTAGGATGTGTGAATAGGAACATATGGACGGTTACGGCACCACAGTAGTCTTAAACAAGTGAGTACAAATAATTAGCTCCGTGTTTGGCTGAAGGAAACTCAATAAATTCTGACTTACGGGTAACGCCATGTTGTGTAAAGGAATCCCATATCAAGGAGTAATCCAGCTTTCTGAAACAGAGATTGGTTGCTCCAGATGCAATTGTTGCCCCTGAGAACGAGAGAACGATTGTGATGTTAGAGTGCTTCCGTTTCAAGAGTTTGTGGGTAACTTACAAGTGAAAGTCCAGCCACTGCAATGGAACACTACAAGGAGCACCACGGTTAGCTTTACTCCAGCATTTGACCAGCAAGTTGCTGAAACCAGGCCTTACTTGGCAATAACCAGGCGTAAACGCTAGATTGATCCATCTGCATAATCAACGATTCATTTATCGCATTCAGATATGCTCCACGGGCATGGTATAACACTCCTTTAGGTTTCCCTGTCGTTCGTATAGACTCAGAGTCAGTACAAGAAATGGCTACCCTAAATCCAAACACGCTTATCTGATGTAAAGTTCAACGTGATAGGCGAATACTCGGCCTCCCTTTGAGGAAAATACGTCCAAGGCTCGTCCCTTCCAGAGGCGATGAACTGTTCGTATGGATCGTCGGCCTTTCCACTGTCTTTTATTATAACGACCTTTTCCACACCAGCCTTCTTAGCTGCTGCGGCAAGCGACGCGTACTCCCAATCGATAAAGAGGATTCGGGACTCTGAAAAGCTCAAGATGTATTCCACCTCAGATTCATTCAGCCTCGTGTTGATTGCCACGAGAACTGCACCGGCCAATGGGACCGACGTGTGCGCCTCAAGCAGGGCTGGTATGTTTGGAGCCAGGAAGGCAATCTTGTCATCAGGTTTAATGCCGTAAGCAATCAATGCCGACGCAACTATGAATTTTAATATTGTCAGCATATCGTTCACAAACAGTGTCTGGCAAGACTTACACTTGCGCACACGAATGCTCATCTCCAAGTACGTGACAATTCTTCCCGTTTCGGCATGGATCGTCGCAATGTTTTTGGGCCATATACGTGATGTTCGTTTGAGGAAATTTGTTGGATCCAATTCGGAGCGGTAGACCTAGAAAAAGTAGAATTTAGCAACAATGAATCGGCGAATTTCACGATGAATATTCTCTTTGCTCGCGATCAGTTGATGCTCAAATGCTGGCATGGAAAACAAGTTTCTGTTACTCAACTGGATACGATTCGCTCGACAGCAAGCTCGTCCTGACGAGCGATGCTTCTGGCCTCTCGCCACCCTGGAGATGATCCTTGATTACGTGTAGTCTGTTTGCCATTGTGGTTGTTTGTGTCAGAATGCGACGTTTGACGAGTGTGAATGATCACGAATATTTTTTGTAGGCCGCTTAAAACTGAACCGCAACACGCTCAGATGCATGACATCGTTCTTAATTTTCATTTGAGAGTCCAAAGTTGCAGCGATCTATAGTGATTCTGAGGCTCTATTGCTCGAAATATTGATTATAATATAAATTTTACAACGACACTGTACACGCTGTAAGACGGACAGGAACAGAACACATAATCGCGCTTTATCACGTCGAAAGACGTGTATTACTGTTAATTGCTAAATTTATAGCATCATCTCTGTAATTCGTATACTTTAAATCTGTTCCACGGTTTCTCCTGATGGAGTCATCCACCGATTATAATAAAACTGTTTTAAAAAAGGGAGGCCATTTGCTTATAGTAAAATACTGATTCAAATGATTTCAAGGATTGTTTGGTCTCAAATCAATCAGCATACTATCCTCCTTGCAATTCACAAACAAGTCAGTCTTGAAAATGCCTCTGCATTCTTCAAACCAAGCTGTTTGTGTTTCGACCAGACAGGCGTTGCTGGAGATCTTTGAAGTTTTTTCAACCAAGTCGACCAATGCAGGAGGAATCTCTCCATAGATTGGGACCATCATAGACAAACAGCCTTTCCATCCGTCCCAAGGCAAGACTATTCGGCCATTCAATGCGGCAATGTCTCGCTGCACGTTCCCGACTACTAGACCAATACCTTTTACGAATGGCAGACCAAAGCTGTCCTGTTTCTCGCCTTTGGATTTTACGAGTTCATATGCGTCACCTGTTAGTTGTGGGTTGTTTGGAGAGACTTAGCAATCGTTGTCTCAAGGTAAACATGCAAAAGCAAGCTGCTCATATACCTCCTACAACAAACTTGTTACGTGGTACATTGAGTGTATCGAAGTCAATCATATTTTTAGTCTTGAATATATCATCAAGTTGTGCATCAACCAGAATCCATTCACTAGTAACAGCGTTCCAGTACTCGACCACCCAATGATCCATATAGAATTTCGGCACGAAGTAGGTTCCAAAACCACACCTCGCACGAGCAGATACTCCAGATTCTCGTAAAAAGGAGAGCAATAGCGTGGAAAAGAACCTACAATTTCCAACTACACGGTTTGTAGGATCAGAAGGTTTACAAAGATCCGTTCCATTCCTAGCCTTCCATTGGCTTAATACACTTTCAGCCGTCCTTAGTCCCAGGTCACTTTCTCGTTGAGCTTCTGGGATTGATTCAGCTCCGTACCTACAAAAGATCAGCTTGAGGATACAGATAGCTAAGAAAGCGAATGTACCATCCTCTTGTATACCATGAAAGTACAAAGGGGTGAATTTGGACATTCTGACATGCTTTTACCAAAGTTTCGAGATTGTGATTAGGCAAAGAGTCGTAGAGCTTCTTTCCGGCAACTCCAAGTTCAGTCTGAGGTGTATGTTGACGATAAAAATCAAGGATATCTATCATAGACATAGGTCAGTGACTGTTTCTGTTGTTTCACCAAATGTAATGTAACAATATGTTAAACGGATAGCAAGCAAGCTGGAGGGCAAAGAATATTTTCACATACCTTTTGAAGCCATATTGAGCGTACAATTCGTGGTTTGACCGTTCTTCAACCGTATACTTGCTACAACTAACAGCTTTGTTATTGTTAGCTCATAGACAAAAACATAGCCTTTCAAGAACTTCAAGCTAGCTACATATTGGGAAGATGTACCCACCAGGCTTACGGAACTACCTCCCAGACTATGAAGAATTCAACCTGGACGATTTGAACGACAAGAGATGGAAGAAGATTGATTCTCTTGTGAATGTGCGGTGTTTGGGAGGGCTAAAGACGAATTCGGGCCTGATAACCGTGTCGAATCGCGTTTTCAGAGCTGCTGGTACCCTTTGTGCTCTTGTTTTGCAGCTTAAGAATCATTAACTTTGACCATTTCTTAGATGTTTGCAAAATAAACGACCTTGGGGCTCAACAGTTAGCTCAGCAATTGGGTGTTAAAACCGTTATTGATTTCAGGTTGGCATCGTCTCCAACCTGCCAAATGATGACAGACTACTTGAAGTTGACACAATTCCTACCTTTCACGAACAGGAATGAAATCGAGACAATCACCTATAGCGAACCGTCGTTCCTGAAGCAGCATGGGCTTGTAAGAAAATGGGTGCCGTGCTATCTGGGCGGTCATTGGTCGGAGACTGGACTTGGACCGGATGCTCAAGTTTTAACATGTCAAGGTATGGATCTACCTTTGCAAATCCAAACCACAACATCTAACGTTAAACTCTAAAGGTCCTGAAGGATGGGCCGAAGTTTACTCCCGAATCCTGAAAATGTCAAAGTCAGCATACAGGACGTTCTTCGAGGAGTTATTGAATAACGACCAAGCTCTTGTCTTCCATTGTACAGTTGGCAAAGATCGAACTGGTGTTGCTGCTTGCCTCTTTCTCAGTATTCTTGGAGTCTCCGATGAAGACATTGTAAGGGATTATGCTTTGACTCAAGTCGCTCAGGTAAGGAATTAGTCTTACTTTGGCAACAGTTACGGGCCCTCGCTTACTCGGCTTCTGAATTAGGCCCATCACCTGACAACTCCAGAAGGAGAAGCGTTCCTCAGTTATATCTCGGCGCCAATAGATGGACGCCATACATTTACACGAACTGAAGCCCTTCGAATAATCTCAGCAGAACCTGAATCGATGCGTCAAACGCTTGCACGTCTACGGCAAGAATATGGGAGCGCGAAAGAATATGTTATCAATTATCTGGGTCTGACTGAGGGCGATATTGAGCGTTTGAGGTCGAAATATTTAGAACCTGCAACGAAACTTTAGATGGAGTTGACCATAATTATTATCGTCTGAACATGTAAATTTTATCGAAAAAATTGCACACAGCTCTTCTTCTTTCAACTGGATTTGTTGACCGAAGAAAGAATCTACCACCAGGTGTCGACCCATCTAAGAAATGCCCCCCCTCCAGCCAGCCAACAAAGGTTTTACAAAAGCACAACATAAAGAAATCCATCCCAAGTTAAAGCTGAAAGTATCCGTTCCAGTCTATGAAGCCTGACGTCGACAGCATAATTACTGAAAACGCCAAAGTGCCGCAAATTCTTTTTTCGTCGGTAAATTTTGCAACTTCATTTCATTTTCAATAGGCTATTCTCATGATGTTGTTTAAGATGTTGTTTACTCTCGAATATCTTAAAACGACCATGTTCTTGGCTCTTGCTGTGATGTGTTTTCTTATTGTTGAAACGACTGCACACCCGAATGGAGCTTCTGTCTGTGATTTGGCGACTGGAATGGGCAACATGGGTGAGTTTTTACATGATACCAGCAGTGACGCTCGTCACTTTGCTAGTTACGTCAACTTTATCACCCGTGACGAATGCGCGAATGAACTTACAAGTCTTAACTTCCAGCCAGATTCAACGCTGCTCACGGCTCGACACAGTCCGGTGACTTCCATTTGAAGATGGGAGTTGCTGGTGGTGAAGGGTACAACAACAAATTCGCAGCTGGACAAGTAAGAATCCTCGACATCTTTGTTGTTGCTTTCATATATATCAAACTCACTAAAATGTATCTCCATTGATGACCAAAGGTCTTGGACATTGCAATTGGAAGCTAAGCATATCAGAGGTCTCTTGGTCTCTGTCAACCAACCAGGTATACTCGAAAAAATAAAACATCCTTCCTAAAAACGAAGTGAACACTCACTTTGTCAATTCCTAGGCCACGATGCTGGTATCTCTGGCTTCATCGTGCCAGGATTTCTCAAGACTTGCGGAAACAGCATCACTCATGCTCAACCCCTGTCCACTCCATTGCTAGTCCTCTCGTTGAACGTTCCAGCTGGAATTACCGATGACTTTCTTACGGTTAATGCTCTCGTGGTTTGCGAGGATGGGTCCGCTGAGCCCCATTGCTGGCAGGTATGAGCTGTGAATGATGGCTTTGAATACGCTGTCAATGTCATTGTTACTTTTTTTGACTGATTTTTGTATCTCTTCACTCAGAAACTGAGTGCCAAAGTACTGAATCTCAGGAACCATCCCTGAGTGCAGCCATATCAAACTGTGTGCTGTGTGGGTTGTCGTTTTTGCCTTGCCTTGTAGCTTGTCTATGTGCTATTTAAATAGAGATCCCATCAAAAGCTTCAAACCCGGCTATCATATAGTGCAAATAAGTTGCAGGCAGACAATGTGCTGTGTGTGATGTCGTTTCAAAGTTCCAAAGATAGCTGTCGGATATTTCTAGCTGAAAGTTTCAGTGTTTCCCAGTAGAAACTCCGTGTCCAAGTATGGCCAAGTCAGAAGCCATCACGCCATCACCAAGTGCAACCATATGCCAGTATCTTGTGGTCGTTTTTCCCTCCACTTGACTACGTGGTATTGAGTAGAAAAAATCCTGTCTAAACTTCAAACCACAGATCAAGTCAAAACGCTTCAAAACATTCGTACCAAAATGCTGTACAATATTGCGACACATCTATATAAAAATCAACTCGTAAATAAATTCTTCATAACCCGAATGATCCCCAACACTATAACATCCGTCTCCTCACTATCTCCCCCAAGCTTATTCGCCGGCAACCCAATCTCAATCCTCCTCTCATTATTCTCAAACCATCCTTGCACACTGGCATGACTGAGTGCCTTTCTTCTCACATCCACACTCTTTACTCGGAAGAATGGGTTGTATTCGTACTCGTCTCGCAGTAGAGATGGGACGTTGGGTAAAGAGGCAGTTCGTTTCTCTTTAGCACCAATCAGGTGCTTTTCTAGAATTACGTTTGATGGTTCGAGTGTTTTGGCAAATGTGAGATTCGAGTAGGAGTATTCGTGACCTGGATATATGTATGTGGATTTTGGGAGGGTTGCAATGGTGTTGTATAGTATTTCGTACATGTCTTTGGGTTCTCCTTCAAAGAATTTGCCTTTGTAAATTGGTTGAACAAAAGAGACAGTTAGAAAAGAGGCCAAACAAAGCGAATTTGCAAAGATGGTATGCTCTCCAATATTGCTCTCCATGCGTTTGGTATTTTGGTACTTACCACACCCTCCAACAAAGATCGTATCACCAGTAAAAAGCATCGAATTGCTTTCTCCTTTCGGCACATTTGAATCACTCCCTCCAATACAAGACTCAGGATCAAAATAATACATGACGCTCCCCATAGTATGACATGGAGCTGCGATGGCCTTGAATCTCATGCGTCCAACTGTCACATCTTTGCCGGGATCGACTCTGATATTGACCTGCGGTTTGGTTGTTCATAGAAGAGGAGATCAGACACTGATTGAGAGGGCTTCGTGGACAAATCAAAATGGCTGTTTTCTATACCTGAAGCCATGGATCAGTTCCAACCCAATTGTTTCTGCAATCTTCTGTAGGACCCCAGATTTTCAGACCCTTGACGACGTCTCTAAGGTATACGTTTCCAGCAGTATCTACATATACAGGTGTTAAGAATGATCCTTACGCAAGAGTTGACTGCAAGATTTCACATACGATCCCAATGCTTGTGCGTAATCAACACCGAGTTCAATACAGCACCAGGTACTTCTCGTTGCAGGACTTCCAATACACGTTTTGGGTCTACAAAAGTACATCGTGAGCCCTTAGGGCAAAAGAAGAAGGACCAGCGGCTAAGATTCCAGTATGTACCTGACGGATCAACAGCAACATAGTACTCATCCTGCAAATCCAATATAAGATACGAGTAATTGTCAGCTCGTATAGCAACTGGAATGACTTTGAATCCTCCTTCAAAAGTCTTGACTGAGCTTGCATCCACATTCACATGAGGACGTGGCAGTTTATCTGATGGTCGCGACATGTAGTATCCGATGGGAGAGTTGTAGATGTGCATTCTAAAATAAAAAAGAAAGGTTCGGTTAATCGTTTGATAGTTTTGCTGCTTGTGTGTTGGAACATTTCGATGCTCACGTTAATCTCTGAATGTCTCGAGCAGAGAGTTTACGGATGACGGTAGCGTAAAAGTAGGGCACGCCTACGAGCACTGAAATGAGAGCCAGATAAAAGATCATGGCTAGTTTCCTTGTAGGGGCTTTCCTATACTTCTGCAAAGTTATGTTTGGAGTCTAGCAAAACCAGGACTGGCGCTACGTGACTTAAGTTTAAAACGATGGAGATTTTAATGCTCAAATACTCTTAATCTGGCAGATTCCTCCTCGTTATCGACTTCCACCGAGTTTCGCCTATCTTTAGCTTAAACTACGTCCTATAAACTTTGGCTTGTCAAGAGACAAAGTCATCGCCTTCTCTCAGACGTGCCAACGCGTGTCAAAGTATCAATACCACATGAGAACACCTTTTGATCGATAGATCTTGACTGATCTTTGCTGTTCCATCACTGACGAGCATCGCAGCATTCAACAACGAGCTATGACACCTCTTTCATCTCAAGACACTTCTGATATAAAGTTAAAAAGCATATACACACAAATTTAATGTTACTATTATCGTGCCCTGAACAAACCAGAGAGTGTGTGTCAGTCAACATTGTCTAGCCAAAATGTCAGATTGCAGCCGCGATACTCACTTGGTAGTCGTATTTTGCTTGAGTTTAGCCACAATGTGACCCGTTGACGACGCCAGCGAGGTCGTTAAACTTCCACCTCTGTCTTGATTACTATCTCGTCTACCACCATTATTCCTAACTTCGCCACGCGATCCACCAGGAGACACCTTCTCAATAATTTCATACGAGCCATCGTCAAAGTTATGCGACAGACTCTTGTTTCGGAGGTTTCGTGGTAAAGAATTCGTCTTTTCAGAGTCCGTTAGTCGATCATGATGATAGCTATTGCTGTTGCTCTCGTACGTTGCCGATGTAGGACGCATTCCTGAAAACGAACCGGACCGCGATGATGACGATGGCGGTTGGTCATCACGGTAATCGTCTTCGGCTATGCCACGAGATACAGGTCGTTTGTTGGATGCAGTGCTGCTGATGAGTGTGTTGGAATTGTTGCGTGATGACTGTAAATCTTTACTGCTCTTGGTGCTGGTGCTTGCTGTTGTAGATGTAGATGACGATACTGCTGGTGCCACTATCCGCGGCTTTTCAGGTATAGATCCAGTCCTCGGTGGTTGTGATACAGCGATACTTGGGAATCGGTCTGCAGGCTTGCTATTGGTCATGGGAATAATTGGCAGACCAGGTAATTGTCCACTGGACAGTCTCATATTGTTTGATGATGGTTGTGCTGAAAGCAATTGTCCAGTAGAAGTCTTCATAACCGAAGATGACGATGACAGTCCAATTCCAAGGCTCTTTCTTCTGTTATTCGGCGGGGCACCCGCCTTTGGTGAAGCTTTCGATGAAGTCCCACTAAGAGAACCTCTCTTAATATCTGATGTAGCTCGTACTCTTGGTGCACCATCTTCACCGCAGCCTCGCTCAGCTTTAATACGATCCTCTTCTTCTTCACGTTGTCGATCGAGCTGGTCTTGACTGTCGGTTGTTAGACCACGTGTACCCAAGAATCCAGCTCCAGGTTCGGCACCTTCAGGAGATGAATTCAGTTTACCAACTAAATCAGTCATGGCTCTTTCTACATCTCGGTCTCCATCGTGTGTCAGTAAATCGCCCACGGCCTCATTCAGTCGTTGTAAAGCTGCAGACTCTTGTGGTAGTTTCAGTCGTTTTCGAACCACCGGCAGTAGTGCTACCATCCGTAGTCGTATGTTGGCGACAGGGTCATGACACATTTCCAGAAAGTTTACAAAGAAATGCTCCTTGAAAAACCTCATTGATGAAGTTTCGAGCAAGATCTTGCAGGCTGTCATGAATAGTATTCTGGTATGATAGCTATGTGCCATCACAAGATCTATCGTAGGATTTGAGGATTTAATTCGTAAGTCGTAAAAAACATGTGTATAAGGGAGCCAGACCAAGTACGGTTTCTTACACTCACCATTCAGCATTCTAGAGACGCGATCTCGATGTTCCTGCCTCCTCAACTTGCGCATATACGTACAAAGATTCTCCAATGCTTGTTCCTTGATAGGTATAACCACATTCTACGCAAACATGATACAGTTAGCCAATGCAATTGGAATGCGAATAGGCACAAACAAAGGCAGCGTGCTGGGACCCTAAGTTCAACAAAAGAACAAACCACTCACATCCGATAATATTTTGAAGAGAACTGGCACACAGTGATCATGTACCGACTCTGACTCGAAATATTCTGAAAAGTGCTTCCATTGTCGCAGCATGTCCAAATGTGTCCGCCAACCCCATTTTCTATGAGTAGCACAGTCACGTTCACGCCGTATTATTGCGTATAGTAATTCGTCATATTGAGGATTCTAAAAATGAGAAAACCGATAGAGGTGAGTCTGACAGAAAAAATCACAACCCATATATTATTACACGAGCATTAGACGTGTCTCTCGAAACTCAATTAACGAAACTCTGATACTCACTCTCTTAGCATCCTCATCAAAGGAGAACTGCTCCAGAATTGTATCCAGTGATTTCACAAAGCACTGAAAGACTGTTATATCTTGTTCACCCACCAAACTTGAAACAGCTGCTCTCAGCCAAGTAAAAGCGCGATCTCCCAAAACAATGGCAACTTCTTTGATACCAGCAGCAATCCGTTTCCTAACTTGAACACTACTATCTTCAGCTAAATCCTCTATTATACGTTCCAAGCCAAAAGCGTCGAAATTGGTGGCTCCAATGGTTTGAGTGACGGCAGGGAAGTTGTATGCTGCTTCACTACGGTATTCTTCGACCTCTGATTGTGAAAGGCTGACGAAATATTTGAGGAAGAAGGATATATCATCGTCGGATAGTTCTGCTCTAGACTTCCACAACAATTCTCCAAATTGATGCGCTAAAGGGATTACGTGTGGGCCCGATCTCGATTCACAGAGTCCCTTCCACATGGGTATAAATACGTCTCGTCGGGTGTCAGAGTCGAGGTGATCCAGTATAGCACCTGAAGCGATTATGGCTGCTTCTTGAACACTTCGTTCTTCGTCTACCAGCAATTCTTGTAATTCGCCTACTATTTCGGCTCGTGTCATTTCGGGGCCCAGACATTGTGCTAGTGCTGCTAGTTGATTGCACATGCATGCTCGGACTTCCCAGTCAGTGTCTTGACATAGTGCGAGGGCTCGCCGTAGAAAGACGTCTCGGACACGACGAGCTTCCATTCTTGTAGAAGCAGCCCCGAGCACGCGACAACACCATATTCTTAACGGTGGTGGTTGAGCTAGACCGCTATCTGCTAACGCTGAAGGTAGAATATCGGATTCGATGACATCTGGTGCTAGATTCCGTATTCCTGCTAATATTACTTCGGCCCATGCTTGCACCGCCTCTGCAAAAGATTGTATGTGAGTTCTTTTGACTTCGTGGATCAACAGCACTTGTCTCAAACCTTCTGAAGCTGAATCCAAAAGCTTTCTACTGATATTAATAATATTCTGTAATGCCCTCGACGGTATTAGTCCAGTTCCAATTAGATTCACCATGACTGTAGCCTTCAACGACTGTAATTCTGGAGGCTCGGTTCCTATGCTCTCCGTGATTGCTGGTAGCACTTTGGTACGAAAGTCGGTAGTGTATTCTTCTAGTAGTCGTAATAGCGAATTGACTACTGCGGACTTCTGTACGGTTGCTCCCGTCCTACAATATCGAAACGTTAGTGAGGAAGGAGTCGACACTGAAGATAAGGCAAACAGCATTCACCTCAGCAATAAGACAGCTCTATCAATCTCATTCAAACTCTCGTCCACTGTCATACGTTTGATTTCTTCCTCGGTCTATAAAAAGTTTTATAATTGCGTTTGAGCTAGTTTTCTCAGAGTTGCTGTGCATTCTTGTATCTGATGTGAAGCTGTGACTATACGACCGATTATGGGATCAAATGGCTACCTTGTTGAGCCGACTAGTCATTTTGAGCTCATCAGTGCCCTTCATATCGACTTCCATAGCATCTTCACTCATGTCGAGCATGACCCCATCCCAATCCCATGCTGCAGAGGCTGATGCAGATGATTCTAGTGCCTTTTTCATAGCGATCACTCTACAATCGAATAGGAATGTTAGATATTATCAATACGATCTAAAAATTTGGCCTTTTTCTATATCTCAAAGTGAGTTCTTTTCAGCACTTCGCATACCGAATATGGGACTCTAGCAAGAGACCAATTTTCTAAAACCCAAAGCGAGAGACCAACGAGAGGAAATCACGCGGTCAGAGCGGACTGCATTTTGCATATAGAGTGTTTACTTACTGGCAAAACAGCCTAGATTGGTCGGAGTAGTCTGGGAGCAATCAGGAAGAAACTTTCCGCAGTTGGTTATGGTCAGGCGAGCCATAACGAATACCGGCGCCATTGAAAATCTAAAAATCGCGTTCCTGACGTTCTATGTTGCTTGTGTTGATTTCTGCTTTTGCACGTTGAAAATTGAGCTTTATTGTATGCCAATAGATCTATTGAATAGAAAGATAGTGATTGCAATTGCGCTGAATACGACGCGACGAGCATCAAGTTTTTTCCTCCTAAAGATGCCACATCATCTTTTGATTTGTTCAAAATTCCTAGAGCTGTTGAGCGAGGTCCAGACAAGCTTTAAGTGATGGCGACGGTGCAGGTAAGAGTCTCATCGGTCAATCAGCGTATACAGCAATGAAAGTTCAAATCTTTTCCTCTTTATTAGCAACTGCCGTTGTTGCTGCTTGAATCTGTTGGTTTGGTGAGCGAACTAAGAAACGCTCTCCTTCACCATATAACAACACCAAAGAGCTCAATACGGACTAGCTCATCTACTGCCTCGTCATCCCATCATGAGACCAGTCTACTGCAAGAACCACTGTCCAACGAACATGTCAAGACTGAAGTTACATCATTGAATGTTTCAGATGCCACAATCAAGACAGACCATAGCAACAATAGCAGTCCAGTTCATCCAAGTGATACTCAATCATATCCAATATGGGCTTCTCCTCTATTTGGGCACATGATATCACGTAGGCTTCAACTGCTACAGCCCAACACATTCAATCGCTGTACAGTCCATCAACGACGATCATTTTGGACCGAACGGAGGCTTCAAAGGCTAGAATTTGAAGCTGATGATTACGCTTTTAGAACTGATCCGAGGAAACAAGCTGAACTTTACAAGGTATCGTTCACATGACTCACATCAACATGATCACCGATCGCAACTCACACTCTTCTTGGCTACTCAAAGGAATTGTTAAAGAGTGGCAACTATTCTGCATTGATACACCGATACGAGAGCCAGCCTCAGTTGGGACCAACGTCAATGCGTTACCCATTGTCAGCTAGAACACTCGATGCTCAACGTATACAGCAGGATAGAGACTGTCTCAAATCATACGTGACAGCTCTAGCTCGTGATGGCAAAGTCGATACGTTGTCTGATCGCGTTGCTGCTCTAATGAGCAGACAAAACATTCCTCATGAATCCGATAGCTTTAATAATAGTAATAATAATAGTGGTAAACTCGATGATATATTACCGCCTATATCTGGTACCAGCAACCTCTCTTCCGCGTCGTCGATGCCAAAAGTCACCATGGCAGATGGCCGTCAACATAATGTCAAGACCTCAACCGCAGAATGGGAGAGAGCTATATCTGCTAGATCAGCACCAACGACACGAGCTCCATCATTTAGATTTGGATCTGCCATAAGTGCTTCTGGTAATGGATCTTCTGGTATGGGAGGATCTTCAGAACCGCTTCCTGGTGATCGAGATGCTCCCATTCAAGTAGTGATATCTGAAGCATGGTCATGGGGCAAGTTTGCCAGAACAATGACTAGTAAAATAATACTAGGAGTACTACTCATGACTGGTTTATCAGTAGTACTGGATCAACAAGGAATTATAAAGTCAGGAATGGCATCGGCTGAAGTAGAACCAAACAATTTGACACAAGCAATCAAGTTTGCTGATGTACAGGGTGTCGATGAAGCCAAGCAGGAGTTGGAAGAAGTCGTCTCCTTCTTGAGGGAGCCCAAGAAATTTATGGAGGTGGGTGGTAAATTACCCAAAGGCATATTATTATATGGGCCTCCAGGAACTGGCAAGACTCATTTAGCACGAGCTGTAGCAGGAGAAGCAGGAGTGCCCTTCTTTCAAATGTCGGGCTCAGAGTTTGATGAGCTGTATGTTGGTGTAGGAGCTCGTCGAGTGCGTGAATTATTCGCAGCCGCCAAGAAGAAGGCACCATGTATAGTCTTTATTGATGAAATCGATGCTGTGGGTAGTAAACGAAGCTCCAAAGACCAATCATATATGAGACAGACATTGAATCAGCTCTTGGTCGAATTGGATGGATTCTCGTCCAGTGAGGGTGTCATCTTCATAGCTGCTACCAACACCCCAGAAGCCTTAGACAAGGCTCTCGTCAGACCTGGTAGATTCGATCGGCTAGTACCCGTCCCATTACCAGATGTAAAAGGTCGATCTCGTATATTAGAAGTACACATGAAATCCGTCCAAGTATCAAGGGACGTTGATACGACCACCATTGCTAGAGGAACGCCAGGCTTCTCAGGGGCAGATTTAGCCAATCTTATAAATCAAGCTGCCATCAAAGCTTCAAAAGATGGAGCTAAATCTATTCGCATGGGAGATTTGGAATGGGCCAAGGATAAAATAATAATGGGATCGGAACGTAAATCAGCTGTAATATCTGAACATAATCGCCGATTGACTGCATACCATGAGGGAGGTCACACTCTGGTAGCTTTGTATACAGCAGGTGCCATGCCATTACACAAAGTCACTGTGATTCCTCGAGGCAATGCTCTAGGAGTTACAGTGCAACTACCAGAAGGCGACGTGACAAACCATACACGTAAAGAACTATCCGCTATACTCGATGTCTGTATGGGAGGTCGGGCCGCTGAAGAAATGGTGTTTGGAGCTGAAGAAGTAACTACAGGAGCAGCATCCGATCTCGAGAAGGCCACCAGTGTAGCAAGACAAATGTGTACTAGCTACGGTATGAGTGATAAAGTTGGATTGTCTGCTCATCAAGAGGACGTGTCGCCAGCAACCCGGGCGGTCATCGAAGCTGAGATTGATTCCATGCTGACAGCGTCATACAAACGAGCACTCACTGTCTTGAAGACTCATAAAGAGGAGCTTCATAGGCTTTCTAAGGCCTTGATTGAACACGAGACTTTGACTCTTGAGGAAGTCAAGACTGTTGTGAAAGGTGGGTGTCACGAGCCGTAATTTTGGAGAGGTTTTTTTTAATGAATGAGCTTGTTTTCGGTTTCCTAATCTGGGCTTCTTTGGTAATAGGAATTGATCTGGCGAAAGGCCGCAAGACGGACACGTTTTGATTAGCTTCCTAACTAATGTATATGTTTCAGTTTCTCAACACCACGAATATAGTATTTGATTATCTAGAACACTAGATTCTAAATCTCATGCTTTACGTGCTGCTTGTCTCGTTCTTTGCACGTGCAAACCAACTGCGCTAACCAAAAAAAAAAGACTATGAAAAACTTCCCTCCTAAACAACAAACAGAAAATCTCCTTGACGAAGGGAAGGCACAGCAGGCCATTCTCTTCTCAACTATACAATCCAAACCTTATACGAAAATGTTACAATTAAAGGAGTAGAGGTTTGCAAAAACTTCTCTCCACAACCACACGTTTCTCCCAAAGTCGAAGCAATCCACACAACATATATAACTTACGCAACGAACCCGGCCACCCTTTATATAAACCATAAACGGAATCCAAGTCAGCCCTCCCTTCCCTACACAATCACTCTCAACCTCATAATGGCTGATCATCAGCTCTTTGAATTTGACGATGAGAGCGAGTTCGTCAGCTCACCCACAAACACAATGGCCGATTCAGCAATATACTTTGAACATGCCGGAGCATCGTCTGGTCGAGGTACTCCTACTCTCTTCCCACCAGCGCTGATCAACGAAGAAGACGACGATGAGCACGACGATAATAATAATAGTAATACACCAACATCTCCAGATCACAGCAACCGTAAAGCCATACCGCATCATCAACAGCGTATCATTGTCGCTGGAGTCGAAATGGCTCGATCGCCGAGTATTCCCATCGCTGGATCATCATCAAGGAGGAATGACCACAATAACAACAGTAATAATATATTGGGACAAGTTACAAACTCGATGGTACTTGAAGTACATCAATTCCAGTCTCATGATGCAGCACAGTCGTTTGGACGATCTGTTGGTGGTAGTGGTGGTGTAGCTGCAGCAGTGCAAGAGCAGCCGAATGAGGAAGTCAAGGTTGGGTTGGAGGATTTTGAGATGCTGAGTGTTATAGGCAAGGGTGCATTTGGGAAGGTTTACCTTGTCAGGTTGAAGGGTACTTCTCGTGTGTAAGTGTATTTGAGAGTGACGAGTGTTTTGGGCATTTGGGTGACATGTCACGTCATGGTTACTAGGTTTGCTCTCAAAGTATTGAAAAAGGCTTCTATTGTACTGCATTCCAAAACTCATGAACATACTCGAGTAAGTCGTGATACCCGAATCGCAAATGTGGTCGTATTACTCAATCAACTTTGTGCATTTTTTTACCATTGTCTCATTTCTTCATCGTGTCAATCTCGCAACGTAGAATGAACGAACCATACTCGAAGAAGTCCGACACCCCTTCATCGTCAAGCTCTACTATGCCTTCCAAACTCTCGAGAAGCTCTACCTGGTCCTCGAATATGCTCCTGGAGGAGAACTCTTCAACCAACTCGCCATTGAACGCATGCTGTCTGAAGAAGCCACATCCTTTTATATCGCAGAATTATTGTTAGCTATCGAACATTTACACAACCTCGGTATAATCTATCGAGACTTGAAGCCTGAAAACTGCTTGCTGGACAAGGACGGACATATCTTGCTTACGGATTTCGGTTTGTCAAAGGTATGTGTGTTTAAATACCCGTTGGTTCAGCCTATATCTGCGAGTAATTCTGACTTTTTTTCGTTGATGCCAACCTTCTTCAGACGAGCTTGGAGGCAAAGACGGTTTGTGGCACTGTGGAGTTTATGCCGCCAGAGATTATACTTGAGCAAGCGTATGACAGGTATGTGTTTGGTTTAAAAGTCAGTGTTGGTTGATATGTCGACTTCTCAAGCAATTTTTTTACTGAACTTTTTTTCCACCAAACACAGGACGGTAGATTTCTGGGCTTTGGGTATCATGACATTCAACCTGTTGACTGGATCTGCACCATTTACTGGCAATAATCGTAAAAAAGTTGGAGAGAAGATTGTTAAGGGCAAGGTTGTATGTCCCAATTATATGTCTTCTTTTGCCAAGGATTTCTGTATTCGAGTAAGTACGCTGTCTCTTTGGTTTTTAATATTGTCGTTTGTATCGGAAGTGAAAGCTCTGGAGTGTTCTGGTGCAATATGAGAAAAAAGTCATCGTGGTGCAGTCGAAGGAAAATACAGACATTCTTTTGAATGAGCAAGCTCTTAATGCCTTCCTCGATTTTCACAATAGCTCTTACGAAAATCACCTACTCAACGCCTTGGTTCCGGTGGCATAGCAGACATCAAGAAGCATTCCTTCTTCCGTAAGCTAGACTGGAAGAAGCTAGCTGAACGACAAGTAACACCACCCATCGTGCCCAAGATTGAATCTACCGTCGACGTTAGGAATTTCCTAGACAGTTTCACATCTATGGCTTTGGAATCACCACCTTCTGCAGATGGTGCTCCTTCTCTTGGAGTTGGATCGGTGAATGTCGAGGATGCTTTCAAGGGGTTTAGTTATGTGAACAAGTTCCTGACGTGAGGGCATCCTCCATCATGATGTGATGTATTTATGAATTATTTTATTAGTAGTAGTATCCTAAAGCCTTGTATATACGGCCATGAACATTATAGAAAACTTATAGATTTGATAGATTCAATACAAGTCATGAACATCATAGAGCCTACAGCTTTGATAGATTCAACACAACACTTGTTGGAGGGTTGCGTTTGTACAATAAGTAGTGGCATTGCTGGCAGTGGCGTTTAAAAGTAGTTGCTATCACACCTCCTGCAGGACGAAACGCGCAAGTAGAAGCATTCTCACATCGATTGTAACTTTATAATTCCATCAGGGGCTCAAACTTTGGGTGGATGGAAGGAAAACAATAGGCATTAGGTGAGCCTGTTTCATAAATGTCACAAGATCTGCTACACAGACGTGTTTCGTCTTTTAAGAAGTACGGTTCATTCATATTAAAGTCATAACTCCAATTGCTTCAAAATCTATCCGCCAATCAAGGAGCTTCGCCGTATTTGTATCTTGTTTCGCTTTTGTTTCATCTTGGCGTAGTCACCGACAAAGTTTGGAACGTAAGGACGGTCTTCATTGCAATCATTCTTCCAGATTCTCTATTCCGATAAACTTTTCAGACTGGGATCTCTGCCTTCACTACCACGTGTGGGAACCTTGTCACCACGTGTGGGAACCTTGTCGTCACTCTACGAAGCTTAAATCTGCCAACATCCTGCAAGCACAAATGGTAACCTCTATAACGATGATGGAAGCAGACGTGCCTTCATACGAACGATATCGCCGTATATCTATTGTAAATCCGTCGGTCAAACCAGCAAAAATACGAGACACACAACATTCGTCAACTGCCATGGACATGTTTCCACCAAAGACCGTCGGAAATAGACGACGAGTCGTATCTGCCCACTCGAGACTATTCAGACATTCCACCGCAGTAATACATCCATCCGAGACACCACTATCGCCGATATCACCAGTATCAGACAACACGACCATGGAAGACATCCCTGACCTCATATCGCATACGCCCGAGATGAAGACACGGCCGGTATATGCTGTATCGTCAAATGGACTGGAGATTGGTCCGTATAGGATTGAACGCAAGCTCGGCGTTGGTAGCTTCTCGGAAGTGAAGTTGGCGACGGATACAAGAACAGGTCAACCAGTCGCACTCAAGATGATGAGTAAACAGATGCTACGAGAGTCGGAAAGGTTGCAGATATGTGTGCAGAGAGAGATTGAGATTACTGAGGTATGATGGAACACCGTGTGGGGAGATTTTAGTGGTGTCACCTTCACCATCACTCTGTCAAAATATTACCTTATGTTACGATATGTGCTCTGCTGTATCTGATACTTACACTTCTACTCTTCTACACCATAGGCCGTGCGACATCCAAACATAGTAGGATTTATAGAAGCTTTTGAAACATCAAGTCATCTGGTGCTAGTTTTGGAGTACATATCAGGCTATGGTGAACTATACGATTATATCGTTGATGGAAAGTGTAGTGTAGCAAGAGCTAGAGATCTCTTTTACGAGTTAGCATCTGGTACGTTATCGAGAACAAGACTGCCAACACTTGTCAAACTATCTGTCTGCTTCTCCGTGTGCTTTTTTAACACTTTTGCGCTCATCTTTTGTAGCTGTCGCCTATCTGCATTCAAAAAACATCTGCCACCGAGACATCAAACTCGAAAACGTCTTGGTCGACTCTTCACATCACGTCCACATATGTGACTTTGGTCTCGCTCGAACCTTCACTCCAGGAGAAGTCTTCAAGACACGATGCGGGTCAGAAGACTATGCATGTCCAGAAATCATACTGGGATGCGTCGGATACAATCCTATAAATTCAGACTCATGGGCTCTCGGTGTTATATTATTTGCCATGCTTGTTGGCGAGCTGCCATTCCAGCCTGGTCCGGGAGGAGCTGTGAAGCCCATGTATCATAAGATTGCTAGGGGCGATTACAGGTGGCCTAGTAATATTGATGTGCCGGAGGATGCAAAGGATGTTGTGAGGGCTCTGTTACAGCCCAATCCTTCGAGGAGGATGACTGCATTGGAGGCTTTGAACTCGCCCTGGTTGTCGAGAGGTGACAACAAGGCTGGTGTCTGTGGGAATGAGCATCATGATGGTAGTGGTAGCATAAATAAGTGTCATGGGTCATCAACAGCAGCTGCAGCAGAACCGGATGTGATGCGAGGTTTGGGACTTGACTTTATGAATGGTCCTAGTCCAGCAACGTATAGTTAGTAGATCGTTTTGGCTTTAGACGGGGGGTTTTGTACAGAGCTGTAAGGTTATATTTTTTGGCATCCTTATTATACATAGAATAAATCCCAGTCGCTCATAGTAAACCAATTCAATGTCTTCAGTTTTCTTACATGTTAATCTATTTACTATACGAGAATAAGTTTATAAGTACAAAGCGATCGGCGACCATCTATTTCTTAAACATCTTAGGCACGACATCATCCTCCTTTTTCGTCTTCTTTTTCGGTCCAGCCTTTTTGAAATCTCTCCAAGACCCCACCCGGTCCTCTCTAGTCTCTTCCCAAGCCTTATCCAATTCCGCTTTCCGTTTCTTGGTCTCTGCTAACCGATCCTCCTCCTGCTTCTTCCTCTCGACCTCATTCCTATTCTTGACAATCTCTCGACTCTCCACATCCCTAATCATCCGCCTAACCTCCATCCTGATAGCGACGATCGTCTCTGATGCAGTAGCTCGTGCCTCACTAGCCGAGGCAATCTTAAGCTGCTTAAACACACTATTCCTAGCATCCTTAATCATCTCAAGCAGGCCAGACGTCTGTTCTTTATCGTTTGTGAGTGTTGATTCTGATTTTTTGAGGATTTCGAATGCTTCGGAAGCTTTGGGGTTTGCTGACTTGTCAGGATGTGTGAGGAGGGATTTTTTACGGTATTGGAGTTTTACTTGTTTCGGGTCTATTATGCCGGATATCCAGACTTGGGGTGGGAGTTCGAGGACTTCGACGCTAGATAGTTAGTGAGTGCGGTTAGTTATAGACGTGTGAGTGTGTGTGTGTGTGATGTGTGATCGTCAATGATTGAAATTGGCTTCTACGAGCGATCATTCAATCCGTAGAAAAGCAGTAGAGATACCAATAGCAAGCGAACACACTGAATATAATATTGCAACTTACGCATTGTGCTTGACACAATTGAGTATCCTGTCAATTTCCAAGTCTTGATGAAACTTGGTAGCTTCCGTCCTGAGAAAGGTCTCTACATCGAATGTATCGTCGGTATTGCTGCTAGCTGAAGCCATCCGAGATGTAAATGGATGAGTTTCCTTATCTTAGCTAGCCCTTAGCTGACGCTGTATGCTAATATAATGGGTTGGAATGTGTTGACCATTCAAGCAACGCTTCACACGAGGACAGGACCTCTTCACGAGCTTGAAAAGAGTCCATAACGTGTAAATCACGTAGAGATCAAGTAAACCATGCTTTTCTTTCCAGTCCTCATAGTGTGTATGGGTTGTAACTGTCGCTCGAGCCCTTTGCAAACAAACCTAACAGGTGGATAGTGTATAGAGACAGCGTTTAAAGCATTGAGCAGGAGAGCGAGATCGACATCTGCTAAAAGTTTCCGTGATTAACTAGCTCTATGGTCGCCCGAAGTGGTCGTCCGTTGTCCGGCACTGGGGTGGCTAGTCAATAAATCGAATTGGTATTGGACGTCGTCACCTCCTATAGCCCTTCCATTGAATCGAATCTCACATTCCAAGAGTGTATATATACGTGCAAACATATTCCTATTACCCTGAATTCGTTTCATCCACTGTCATCAACATTTAGATTATCTATTCACACATTTGTTGAAGCCATTGGAAAAAGCTTCAACGACCTACATACCCACATTTACATTATCACTCGCTGGCTATTCCGCATTATGTATCGTACATTTTCTGAGAAGAACCCTCTCACCGTTTCATCTGGCTGCCGATATTATTAGTCCTTGAGTCTCCATTCACGACCACAAAGGATAGAAAACAAGGCTACTATTCAGCATGTTATCAGGCACCACATTGTCCACTGGTATGAGTTCAGGTGAAATACCTGGATTTATCTCATCGTCGTTTTCTTTGTGCTGCCCTTTCTTTTTGCTGGTGCAAATCCGATTTGCAAAATGATGTTTCATTGATAATGAAGATATCTCAATCGTTTCTTTTCATCATTCTCTACACTCTCGTGTTGACTCGTGAGAAGGATTGGAAGGCTTTGGACCCAAATGTAACGGGGTTTGTCAAGCAAGTTTATGAAAAGTCTCTGATACAATCTTCAAGTTACTTGACTTTTCGGAAAAGTAAGTTTAAAAGTGATATTAGTTGAACGCTGATTTGGAAAGCGATTCGACATACCACATCAAAAGCTAGGTATCCAAGTCAAACTCTCGTGAAGCTTGTTCAGTTTCTTTGTCAAGGCTCGAAAGGGCTTGTCTGAAGAGAAAGTAATTGCAGCAATGAATGAAGGTGGTGCTGGTGAACGACGCGCACTCGTAAAAGTGTCTTATATGTAGTGGTTTGATTTTTTTTGTATCCATAGCGAATTGTAGAAGGAAGTACCATAAAAAGGGCATGAAATATATAAGTGTATCTATGATCTATCATATGAACCGATTGGAAGTTGAGTGAATCGAGTGAATAGCGGAACCGAGTCAGTTCACAGTACCACTAATAACATTTCGCGTCATTTCAGCTAGCCATTACGTGATTTGTCATGCTAGGATTTGAATTTCGAATTTTAAAGTGATTTGAAGTGAGCCACTCCGACTATCATCATCTCCCATCTTTCGACCTATCGACTTTCGACCGATCTGTGGCAACTGAACATGGCATGGGAAGGCAAGTCCTACCTACTTCAATATGGCGTTCGGACGAAGTCGCCCACTTTCTGACCATTGATTCCTTGCTATTAGAGAGATACTCGTCGTCGAAATCGCGACTCTATTATTTCAATACCGAGACTCAGACCAGTCAATGGGAGAAACCTGAAGGAGTAGAAATCACTCCAGCTGCTGTCGATCAACCTAAATCAAAGGCTCCAACCTATCAAGTTCGTGCTTCCCATCTCCTTGTTAAACATAATCAATCTCGTCGACCATCATCTTGGAAACAAGTACGTACAAGTGTGCAAAAAAGACATTTGTATGTTTGATCAGCCCAAGTGAATGATATGATCATATTGACCTGAACAAATCTCTGTAGGCTACAATAACACGAACAAAAGCGGAAGCAGTTGCCAAAATAGTCGAATATCGAGCTCAAATCGCTAAAGGAGACACTGATTTGCCTACTTTGGCACGAACGGAATCGGATTGCTCATCTGCCAAACAAGGAGGTGATTTGGGAATGTTTGGACCTGGTCAAATGCAGAGTATGTTGTGCTGATCAAGACACTGCTTGATGCTTTGACGATTCTAACGGAACCCCGTCTTGCTGATCATTTAGAACCTTTCGAAGAAGCGACGTAAGATAGATCTTTGATGAGTTTACTGGTCAACTTGCTGACACTGATCGTTGAAATTTAGGTATGCTCTTGCAGTCGGTGAAATGTCAGGACCAGTTGAGACAGACAGTGGCATACATATTATACTGAGAACACAGTGAAGACTCTTTTCTGCCCCTGAACTGTGAATAGATCTGATCGTTTTCCCTTTCACGTAACAAAAGCGTGTTTTGGTTGTAAATGTGTAAATGAGAGCAATACGAGTCTTGCATATTGCATACATATCTTCGCGTAGGACACCTGCTCTTCTCGACTTTCCATCGAGTTTTTGACCAATGTTCATATCTCATCAATTGCTTCACACATTTCACCATTCCTTGAGCAGACGGGACCCGCGGGAAAAGCTCTATCTGGTGTGCTCAGAGCACAAGCGAGCCCGCTTTTCGAATATAATGGCTTCTCTGGGGACATTTTCTTTCGATTTGGTGCGAAATGCTACAATCTCCTTTGGAGAATGGTATGCTGTTCATGATGCTATAAATAAGAATGAGCCAACTATATGGAAGTGAGTAGTATATTGCACAAGTAATATCGCTGTCGTTGCAGCTTGCTGTCACAAGTCTGGGTGGTGTGTAAACTGTCCAACATTTCTTGCGCCATGACTTCCCTTTTTGAAATATCGTCGCCACCATTATCAGAGTGATTTATCTGTTCAAATGTCAAAATACTAACTCTGAATCTCTTACCTAGCTTCTTTGCGTCACCACTGTTTCGGATCTTGATTGTTCAGGTGCTGATTGTCAATAGATGTGCTGCTATAGTGTCGCCCAGGAACCCTCAAAGGACGTGGAATACCTATGCCGCTAGTGTGATATTGAGAACACCGCTTGTCATATATGGAGCCTGGACGGGAATATCACTATGGAACATTATAGTCAATCCAGAAGAAACACATAGGACGATTGAAGATGTCCTTTTCTCTCTGTTTCTTTTTCAGAGCTGCACATATATCGTTGATGTCTTTCTTAATTGCCTCGAACTTGGTCCGATGCTCGCTCAAGAGCTCCACGGAGACTCTCCAAATGTGAGCACGCTCCTTTCTTGTTATCTGCTCGTAATTCACTCACACCTATCAATCTAGCTATTCGAATGGGCGGTGACATGGCACTTCAACCATTACGGTAGAATAGGGTATCGTCCTGGTGAATCGCCATCTCCAACACCATCCACGACCGATCCAACGCAATCGCCTGATCCTATATTACAGGCAGTCAACAAAACAACTACAATAACGCCATCTCAGACTATATTTGGAACGCATCTACCGCCTATATTAGCCATAGCAGCATTGCAATGTCTCCAGCTGTGGACATTGAATGTACTAGCCTTGTTTGGCTTACAGCATCTAAGATTAATACCAACCACAACATTCTCGTTTCTGTCTATGGCGCACTTCTTGTGGTGCTTTGCTACGAATCAGGCTTCCGTATATCCGGTCTTACAATGGATGGCCAAGATACCAGAATTATCCATAATGACCATAGTCGTAGTAGTATCGACGTTACATGGTGCAGCTTTGCTTATAACAGGTGGTGCCGTCAGAACACGACGTATATTCAACCTTTCCATTTCTCTCGCGGAGGACTTTAATCTAGTCTTGTATAAAATCGGAACTGCTTGTTTAGAAGCCACTCAAAATATGGGTCTGATGCGTGAATTGGATCCTATCGTGATTCCATCGGACATGTCGGCACCAGTCTTAGATTCCAATAATATGATGAATGATGTGTCTGGATTTGCTATGAACGACAGTAGTCGGCCACTCACGACTGATGATGATGATGACTTGGACATGGCAGGCCAATACCCTCGTCAACGAGGTATATTACGGTTGTGGGTCACATTCTTCAAGACTGTAGTGTATCTGATAGCTAGAGCGGTCAAGTTTGTAAGAAACTTTAGGCAGGCTGAAGCTGCAGATGGTACTTCTAGTCAATGCAATGAAGTCACACGAGGAGCTGAGTGGAATGAACTGGTAGAGGATCCAGATTATTTACCTAGTGAATCTGAATCGTCCAGTGATGACGATGATGAAAATATCGAGGATGGCGAAATTGTAGAAGAATCTGGAGATGCTGGCACTAGTATTCATAATATCGCGATGACGATGCCACCAGAAAACGATGAAGAAGAAGACCTGTATCGTGAAATATTTGAATTGGCCAATGATCTCCATCAACCAATGACACCAGAACCAAACAATACTAGCAACAACAATATAAATAGCAGTAGTAGCAGTTTGATGTCGCTAATACCATGGCCTTTATCATCCTTGGTTGGATCATCACCATCGTCACCAAATGCCATATCGCTATTAGCACACTTAATGCAAGAACCACCTATCATGACTCGGTCAGCACGACATCGGTGGGAAGAAAATGCTGTTGGAATGCTTCCTTCATCACCTAGACTTGGTGGTAGTAGCAGTAGCAATCGTAGTAGTGGTGCTACGGAATGGGCGGCCTTGCTGGACTTGGTGAAGGCTCGTCGAGACTCTGGGCCTGGTTCAAGTCAACAACAGCAGCAATCGGATGCCATATCGCAAACCTTTTCAACACGGCTTTGTGTTGTATGTGCTGCTGAATCTCGATGTATTGTCTTGAGACCTTGTGGGTGTCTTTGCTTGTGTGATGATTGTCGTGACAGTCTTGCTCTGAGAAAGTTCAGTGAGTGAAGTAGCGAGCATTGTTACAGGTCTTCATGCTTCTCTGTTGCTGAATTTTTTCGTTCGTTTAGGGGATTGTCCTTGTTGTCGTCGTCGTGGTAAGCCCCTGCCGTTTATCCATCAGCCTCTCCACCTCCCAACCTCACACAAAGCTTCATATTCAGTCGCAGGGTACTCCAGGATCTTTCAGCCGTGAAGGTATCATAAATTAAAACAGTTCATAATCCTCATTTTCAAACAATATAAACAAATTTTGGCATACACGGTTTGTCAGTGGAGTGTCGTGACGATCATAATGATTTCAGTCCCCTTGAAACAAAGAAACCACAAGCTTTTGATGAAACATCTCTTCATATTTTTGGGAGTTAAACGCAAAAAACTTGCAGATTTACATTTTAGATTCGGACAAACCAGAAGCAATCCACTTTGATACATTCTCCCTTTCACGCTCTAACCATTTAGTATTCGAACGTACTTTTTCCAAGGATTGATCAAGCATTCGACGAATTGACTTGATTTGATCTTGACGCTTTCCTTTGCCTTGGGGACCTAATTCACGTCCATCTAAAATTAATTTGCGGTGAGAAAAAACTACAAAGCAACACCCGCTAATTTGTTACACGTCGAAACCCTTTGGAAACACAATTCTTACCAGCCCAACTATCTACTTCATCAGCAAAATCAAGTCCAACTCGATCTTCAACGCAGAGTTGGCAGACGCGGCCGAGAAGAGTCAAACTAGGCTCATATCGTGGGAAGATAACCTGATCCCAATTGCGTTTCAACCAGTCCCACAGCATAGCTCGTACTATTATTTATGACGGTTTGTTAATTTTAGAAGTGGAAGGGCATAAATTTATGCATTTCTACCTTCTGCTGTTGCTCGATTGTGATTGCTGATACCTACGCAATTTGAGAGACGATTTAGGTTCGACTGGAAAAAGATGCGACCAAAAAAAATCGAATCTTATCAATAGTAGAATGCCATACCGCTAATTGGATACATCAAATCCTGCGAACGAACCAACTCAGTGTTGAGGATAAAGTCATCAAGGAGAGACTTGATGATATCAAGAGAGTTGATACCACCCAATGACTGCAACACTGATAGTTTCTGGTCTGGAGTCGCGATTGTTCTACAAAGATAAAAGTGAGTGAGAACCAAAAGCTTTTTAAAAGATTTCTTCTACATCTCCGCGACTCACTTGTAAAGATTGGCAAGTACATCAAACTCTGCCTTGGTGCTTGAATGACGAGCAAAAGTGACAAAAGCAGCCCCTCGCAAGTTTGCAGACAAGGCAGCTTCGTTGCCATTTCGATATTCTCCGAATCGTTTCAACAGTTCACCGACCACCCTAAAATAGATTATTGTAGGGGTGAGAACAAAAACAGAGAGTCATTCAAGATATGTAACAACGTTATACACTCACTCTTCATCACCAGCTTTAGCAGCTACAGCAATGACTAGATTTCTTTTCAAAGTAGTCAAATGATCTTCACCCTTTGGATATTCGTATCCAATGGCTCGAGCCTTTGACCCAAAGATCTGTTTTTTCAAAGTCAGGAGACCTTGTTGGACATGCTGAGGTTCTGTATGCCAAATGGACTGTAATGACGACAATTGAGCATTCATCTCAGTCAATACACTAGAATGACGGTATAAGTCAATATATACGTCGTAATTTGAGGGTTTTTTTTGGCCTTGAAAAAACGAACCATACGTACATGTAGCTTTCCTCCTTGGCATACCAACGCAAAACTTCGAGAGCTCCAACAGTAGATCCATATCCTGCACGAGCCAGTGCCCAAGCATCAGTCAACACTCCAATACGATCTGATGAGGAGAATACATCGCCTCCCGTTCGATAGATCTCTTTACATAATTTCAATAAAGTATCCTGTGGCAGCTTGACACGGAAGAATCCCGTACTCTCGTAATTCAACTTCCAAAAGGCATGATCAGATTCGGTATATGGAATGACGATACTTTGCGTCTTGCCCGTCATCATAATACGGTGAGGATTTTTACCAGTCGCGTTGGTAGATATGACGAGAGGTACCGTCCAGATGACTTTATCTTCTTCGGGTTTTACATCACCAGAGGACAAGTATCGAGATTGGGTGAGTGTGATGTGCATTTCATTCTTGACTGCGTCATATTTCTCTGAATCGATGGTGAGGATTGGATATCCCATCTCTCGAGTCCATGGATACATGAGAGCGTTGACGTCGACTCCAGATGCTTCAGATAATGAGGCCCATAAATCTGAAGTGGCGGCATTTGAGTATGAAAACTTTTTCAAATATGAGCGAACACCTATGGTGAAGGGTGACGAAGTGGTGAGTGTTATGTGAAGCAAACAGTTGCAATGCTTTCCAATTTCAGTACCTTTCATAAAGTTATCACCCCCTAAAGCACCGTTCAGCATGCGGATAACACTGGCACCTTTCGAATAGGAGATAGCATCAAAGATTTGACTGATCTTTATGCAAAAAATGCCGACAAATAGATTAATGATTGCGCAACGCTTTCTGATGTAAACCTTGCACTGACATTACCTCAGCAGGATTCTTGACATCCACTTCGATAGGATGTGATGAACGCAAACCATCGAGCTGGAAGGCCCTTTGTTCATCGTCCATAACGAACTGCGTCCAGACATCCCAATCCGGAAACAAGTGGTCTGTGGATAGCCATCCAACAAAGGTAGCAAAGCCCTAAACAATTGGTTTAGCTGTAAGCAACGATGCAGCGCAACAAAAGTCCCAAAGCCTTTAAGCAAAAACAGAACGTATTTTTACTTCATTGAGCCAGAGATCACTCCACCAATCCATGGTGACGAGGTTACCAAACCACTGATGTGCGAGCTCATGACCTTGAAAATTAAGTGCGAAAGAGATAAATATGGAGATTTAGACCTCAAGCCTAAACAATCAAGGTACCAATGACGTAAGCAATCCTCTGTTTCGTAGCAGCACTGGTATTTTCTTCATCAAACACTAAGGAAATTAAATTTCATGTTTCAAATCAGTAAAGCTTCATAGAGCCCGTCTACGTTCTATGGTCAACATAGTGACTCGTGCGGTGTCTTACACAAAAGAACTGTTCGGTATGTAACAAGCCCCCAATTTTCCATGGCTCCAGCTAAAATAGTTATTGTTAAACTACAAATTATAGTTGAAATAATTTTTAACAAACAAAACTTGCCTCCGAAATCGGGTATCGCAACCAAATCACTCTATCCAAATTTCAAATCATGTATCAGCAAAACAACACTTCATAAGTCTCAGGACGCATCAGAATACGCTCACCTTTGACAATGGATATGCGATATCAAAGTATTCTGAAAAGAACTCCAATGTCCTAGTAGCGACAAATAGAGCAAATCGTCCTTGTTCGGCCAATCCTTGTGGGGTAAAGACTCTGACTTTGATGGGCTTGGCATCAGCTGGTGATTTCGGATGAGCATAGTCTTCGACCACATCCAGAGCAGACACGACGTAGGCGACGAGATAAGTACTCATGATGGGAGTACGTTCAAACTTTAGCCTAGTAAAGTCTTTGCCGTCGACTTGGACGATCGAGTCTTCGAGGACATCCATGTTTGACAACCCGGTCAAACCAGTAGGGATGATCAATGTTGAGTCGAAGGTTGCCTTGAGAGCTGGTTCATCCCAACAGGGGAAGCAGCGACGGGCGTCTGTAGCTTCGAATTGGGTTACAGCCATGTACCTGGTTTGGAAACATGTCAAAAACAAAGGTCCTGTTGTGCAAGTAATAGTCCTTACTTTGTGTTGCCTTGTGGATCAGTGTACTTGCTTCGATAGAAGCCAGCAAGTTGATCATTGTGGTTGCCTGTAAACTCAATGTGCAAGACGGCGGTGGAGCCAGCCTTGATGACGGATGCAAACTCGAATGTAGCCGTTTCGGTTGGCTTGTCGAGAGTTATACTTTTGGCGACTTGACTGAGTAATAGATATTGGATAAGCTTCTGAATGATGAAGATTTAATTACGGATATACATACGTCGAGTCGGTCTTGATGAGAGTGGATGTGATTTGACAGTGGTGAATTTCAATGTCGTTTGAATTACACGAGATTTTGGTGGTATCTTCATTGATTTTGAGGCTATAAATTCAGGGATAAAAATCAGAAATATATATACTAGGTGAACATACATATACACTAATAGATGGTTGACGTACGTTACTTTCACAATTCCTTTGAACTTGAAGTCTGTTTCGAGACCATTGACAGTCAAGGTCACGTCGTAGTGAGACGGAGTTGAACTAGTAGGCAAGACATCACGGGCGTTGCTTGTTCTTCTATCTGTCATCCTGTACAGCGACAATGGTTTGATGGAGTCGAGATCTTGACAACGTCCTAGACTGCCAACTTCCAACGAGCACACCGAACCGCAGAGACGCGTTTATGGGAAACTTTTACGTAGTTTGGATTCAGGCTAATGATGTTTTCAGTGCCAAAAAACATCTAACATCGCAGCTGGCCAAGCATTTGAAGTCGGTGTGCGATATAATCATTTGGAAAAGCGATACTACGGAAACAAAGTGTAATCGACTACGGGCAAATTGGCACCGGCTGATGGAGCTGGACGGACCCGTCAGATTGAACAAACGTACTCTCGTTGTTTTTGACAGACTTACACATTGAACAGTCTCCGAATATTCCACCATTCTCAACTTTGATGGCATTGGCCCCTGAATCAGCATCCTCGTATTCCGCAAACATGATGTTTTGATGTTTTGTCAGATTGGGATGATGGAGCTCTTTCTAAACTTGGGGCCGTCGCGACGCGTTTAAGCGCTATACACAGTACTCAAAACAACAAATACTAATATGCTGCAAGAGAACTAGTCCTCTGTTTCTTTCAAAACACGTCAAAAATAGACGGAAGCTTCCTTCAAAGTTTTAAACGAATGAAAGGATGGCTGGACAAGTGCTGCACGAAATAAGAAGAGTTGGCACTGATCCTTCACTAAGAGGCATCACTGCTATCAGCTCAGACCCATCAGAGGAGCTCATTTGGATTGGGAACACTCAGGCATGTTCGTGATGAAGAGCAAAACATGTTCAACTTTGCTGCATCGAGCGATACATAACAGGATCACAGCAATTTATATTAATTTCTACCTTGCATTTATAATAGGGCGGCCTGACTTCCTTTGCTCACTCAACAAACGAGCTTCATAAATACACAGCATTCAAGGCACACGCTGGGGCTGTCTCTCAACTCGCTGTTACAGATTATGGCGTCTTTTCCGTCGGAGGAAACACTGCCAGACTCACTGCTCGTCGTGGACTGCCACAATGGACCGTACAGTAAGCTGTTTAGCCTGAAGATCCTCACAATTACATTCGCTAACATACAGGCATTCAAACAAGGGAGGAAAACACCAAAAAGATGATTGCCATGTGTCTACCAACAACACCAAGCTCTAATGAACTGGTCGTTGCTGGCGAACCTACTACTCTGATGCTAGTCAACATTCATCGAGGCACCATAACAAGGCTATTGGATAGTGCTGGTGTAGAAACCAAAGTCATGCGCAAATCACGACTTTTATGTTGTGGTACTGCTAATGGCAAGATCATGCTACGAGATCCTAGATCATACCGTGTAGAACATACCATCGACGCACATAGTGGAAGTGTAAATGATATGGACGTTGCTGGATACACACTCATGACGTGCGGATCATCCGAACGAGCCGGAGCACACGTCCGTGAACCACTAGTAAAAATTTACGATTTGAGAACTATGAGAGCTCTACCTCCCGTATCATTTACTGCCAGAGCTTCCTTCCTGCGGTTTCTCCCAAAACTATCATCAACTGCACTGATTGGCTCATCGAATGGACAATTCCAGATATGTGATGTCATGAATAATAGCGCCGCCATACAATTCTATCATTTGGAAGGAACGGGTAGTCCATTAACTGTCCTGGACGTATCGAGCTCTGGTGAGGTCGTTACCTTTGGAGACGGATCCGGTGTCCTGTATCAGTATGCAGACAGGCCGCAGGGTAAAATAAATATGTATTCTCGACCAAGTGAGTATCCGACATTGCCAAGGAATACCACCTATATTGGCCTTGATGATGACAGGTATGCGCGGCCAAAAAAAACCCTGTATAATCTGTATGCGTGAACCAACTTCTCCACCGAAATTTAGGCCATTGAACTCTATTGGCATGTCGTACTATACAGAGCCTCTACTCTCTGTATTCCCAAACACACCATTCCCAGCTCATCAACCACCAGCCTTCATACCTTCTGAAATCCTCTCAAACGTTAAAATGATTGATTTTGTTGGATATGCTCAAAATCCGAACACGTTCCGTCGCAATCAAAGACTGCGAGATACTAGTAAAGCTCGAGAAGATATGGAGCAGCCCAAGTTTAGATCTGAACAGGAACGAGCTCAAATGAGGAAACCTGTACCAGACAACAAGAAGCAAAGAGAGAGACCATTAGATGGTGGTGGCGCAGTAGATGATGCTAGTGATGCAGTTGGATCTGAAAATGGTATACCTCGAGCGTATCGACTTGTCGAAATCAAATATTCGAGGTAAGCAAAGCAAAAAGAATGCGGTTAGTACCATCATACCTCGGTGTCTTACACTGCCATCACGTTTATTATAATAGGTTTGGAGTGGAGGACTTTGACTTTGCCTTCTACAACAAGACACCTTATTCGGGCTTGGAAACACATATTCAAAGCTCTTATTGCAATGCGATAGTCCAAGTCCTATTCTTCAATCACGTGTTTCGTGAAATCGCCAAAGCCCACATTAGATTATCTTGTAATAAGGAATTCTGCTTGACTTGTGAATTGGGATTCCTCTTTCGAATGCTGGAGGATGGTAAAGGAGTAAATTGTCAAGCTACAAACTTTCTGAGAGCATTTGCTACACTACCACAAGGTTTGCAACTTTGATTGTATGAGGACCCCGATATTTTGCCTTTTTGCGTGTCATTTACAGGCCAATTCTATAGCTGCTGCATTGGGACTCTTGGAGTTAGATGTGGTGACTACACCCGTATCATATTCTTCCATGATTCAAAGCTGCAATCGCTTCATTCTTGAACAAGCACATCAAGAATGTATGGCTGTGGGAATGTCATATCCCATCATGACAGCTACGAAAAGCAACCTATCTGTGATTCAGCAATTGTATGGCCATGAATCGTCAAGTGTATCCACCTGTGATGTATGTGGGAATTCTGATGTGCGAGAGACGATGCCTTTTGTTGTGGATATGATGTATCGAAAGGTAATTGCACGATTTCAACTTTTGCTTACAAAAACACAAAAGAAAGGAAACTCTCAACCAAACGATATTCCCAACGAACTCAACATTGTTAGATTCCACAACCGACATCTGGTAAAGGCCCAATACCACCACTGCCGCCTATGCAATCGTTCACGGAAACGTTACAGTCAAGTCTACGTCGTGAATCAACTACTCGAGCATGGTGCTCGACATGCAGTCGATACCAACCTTTAACCCAGACACGAGCTATAAAGCACTTTCCAGTGGTACTCAATATCAACGCGTGTGTATCTGATAATGACCATACGGGGTGGTGGACGGCAGGATGGGCGTCGATGAGGTAAATCGTAGCAATCGTAGCCTTAAACGTTGCTTAGATCTGCTTTTTTGGTGCTGGTGATCTGAAGCTTCAACATGTCTAATTAGGTTTGCCATGTCCATTACGGAGGATGCTGTTGTTGTTCAAGATTCTCTTGAAGGGCAAGATGTTCCACAAGGTTTTGTCGTTTATGAATTAACTGTACGTCTCCTCTTGTGTTCACCAATTGCAATTGACGAGTTTTCTAACAATATATGTTTTACTTAGAGTATTGTATCAGAGATATTGCAAGATGGGAGACTCAAGCACTTGATATCTCATGTGCGAGGTGAGAACGAGCAAAACAGAGATCACATGACTTCAAGATAATCGGCTCATACGATTCAATCAACCAGTTGACGACGATGAAGCTTCTCCCAGCTGGCACGTCTTTAATGATTTCTTGGTCGACAAGGTTTCCACTTCCAGTGTACTCGAATTCAAGGAATGGAGGGTATGTGCTTTTATTACGAGTCATTTCGACGGATCAATATTCTATTTTTCTGACCCTTTCTGTAGACTCCATCGGTTTCACAATACCGACGTGTCGATGTCAGCTCCCTTTGCGATTTGTCTTCGTTGCCCAAGTCCATGGATCAGTCTATTCTTATGGATTCTCAGGTGCTCAAGTAAGTTTGGTTTGATAGGTCGACGACCTCTTCATCCACATAGAATAATTTTTGTGTTTTTTTAGTCGTCGGCGAGAATTGTCGATTACCTACAAACGTCTCACTCCTGAAGAGACTCAAAGTTTGAAGGGTGCATTATGTGGTTTGGACGCTGAATTCGTTGCACTGAGCAAGGTAGAGATTTCAGTAGTAATCCAAGACTATTTTGAAATTTTTTTGTCAACGGTCCTCTGATGCTTCCTTCTCCAAAAACACAAATAGGAAGAATCAGAAGTACGATCAGATGGTGTGAGACAAGTTGTGCGTCCATCACGCCTTGGTCTTGCTCGTGTCAGTGTTACCCGAGGATTTGAACCAGAAGACGATACGCCTTTCATTGATGAATACATATCAACTACTGAAGAGGTAGTGGATTATTTAACGGATTATTCTGGTATCGCACGTAAGTTAAAAAGCAAGTTACGATGGTCTTTGCAGGAACTTTGGTATTTGCCTAGAAGATTCACAATGTTCTTCTTAGCTGGAGATTTGGATCCTGCGGTTTCGCTTCATCCACTTGTTCCTTTGAAGGTGAGCATCCTCATATGATATGTCTCCTAGCAAAAAGTCTTATCCAGCTTTACGCAATAGGTCGCATATAAGAAGCTGCGAATGTTGGTTGATCAAGGATGTATCTTTGTTGGACATGGATTGAAGAAGGATCTTCGGATTATTAGTACACTCTCCTTTCTTTTTGCGCTCATGAATCAAGATTCTAACATCTTTCTCTATAGATATTCTGGTTCCTCCAGACCAAATCATAGACACTGTGGATTTGTTTTATGTCAAGAGTCGACAAAGACGTATCTCGTTACGTTTCCTGGCTTGGTATTTGCTCGGAGAGCAGATACAGGCTGACAGTCATGATTCGGTGGAGGATGCGCAAGCGGTATGTCATGGTTTGTGAAACAGGAGAAAAAATAAAAATAAGGGACATAATCTAATTCGCGTTTGACTACAATTAGGCGCTGCTGCTATATCGCAAGTACAAGGAACTTGTGTATATGGGAGTGCTGGAAAGCACACTAGAAGAAGTATACGAGGAGGGTCGTGCTCTTAATTTCAAAGTGCCGACTCCGCCATCGCCAGATCAACCTGCTTCTTGATTGTGCATCAAGTCGTTGCAGATATCTTATTTTAATGCACACATTTGTACAAAAGGCTAATACACAATTTCTTGGATTGGATGCAGTTGTTGATTTTTATGTTGCAAGGCTATATTTACAGCATACCTACATGCTAGTCAACGCACAATGACGATCATCGTATACTCTTTAACAGTAGCTTCTCAAGTAACAGTGAGCTCAAAGAACAGAGGAATGGTGAGCAAGCTTTCGAGCTGTTGGTCAAACTGGATTTGTATATTAGTGTCAATCGTCTTTCGTACTTTTCATGTTGGTTTTCTTTGAAGCCTACTCTTTACTCTTTATTAACTTGCTCGCCCTCTCAGTGCAGTAGGACTTGTATCTGAAAGTATGTTAGTCTCTCAGATTTTGCTCTGAAACGTTGGGAAACCTGTCGTCACAACTAGGGTCAGTTGGTCGGTCTCGTTGCAATATTTAAAGTCAGTCAAGCATTGTCTCTCCTTATCCTTAACCGCAAACACCTCGTTTTTAGGACTTTGTATTCCATAAACATAAATGTCCATTTCATGGTCAACTTGGTGGACATCATGAGGTGTCGGTGTAAAAATAAGTAAATTGTGTCTCAATCGTAAAAAATCATAAATAAACCCATATAGCCTAGTTGAACATGCTCTAACAAGTGTTAGCAACTGCTCGAAAGCTGCCAATATCCCGCCAATCACTTTTCGAACCCTCTACACTCCAGTTGACGGATGATGATTTCACCAGTTCAAGACAATAGCAGTCTATTGACTTGGAAGCCACGTTTTATATACACTAGATACAAGTCATGAGAGAAACTAAACGTGAGAAGCAAGTATTTTGTCAAGTATAGCTTCCAATTGCGAGTTTGCCCCTTTACAACCATCCGTAACCTTTTTCGCCCACTTGAAGTACTCTGAAACACGTTCAGCCGACCAACCTTCAGGCGTACATCTCTCCAAGTCTCTGAGATTGTATATCTAGTGACCCGTTGATTTAATTTCGAATAAAGGTTCAGAAACCAAAAGTTGTTTAACATCATAACACGTTCCGAAAATACCTTGTCAGCCATCTTTACTTGTTTGGCTCTCAATGATTTATGAGGAGCGTTCACGACTTGCAATCTCTTCCTCTCCTCCTTTGGTAACGACTTGTCGTCTGTGCATTCCTTTACAACAGAACAGACCTCAGGCCCGAATTCCGCTTCCAGCTCTTCAAATGTCGTTTCCGTGTCCTCGACCGTGTCGTGTAGTATGGCAGCTTGCAGAATCACGACGTCTGTTACAGATCCTTCTAGGTATAGAATATTCGCAACTCCAATGGGATGGTTTATGTACGGTGTCTTTTCAAGATCTGTAGAAATGTGTGATGGTTAACTAATATATAGCTAAATCATTACTAGCGCATCTTGTATCTGCATTGCTGTACTGCAGACAAGCTGAGCAGAATTCAATTTGTTGATGACACTCACCTTTACGTCTTTGATCTCTATGCTTTATAGCAGCAAAGTTAACAGCCTTTAATATTGTTCCTGATGCATCCATTCCGGTTAACTTGAATGCCCTAGGCGTCGAAATTTAATATTCAAGTCTATCAATTCTGTCAACCTCAATCTTACCACACTAGTGCAAGAATAAGGTGATGTTTGAGGCAAGGTTCCTGCCCGATGTTTTTCACAATTCTGTCAGATCTCTGTCTGTTTGAACAAAAGTTGTTCTAGCTTCCAAAAAAAACAACCTTTAAACGTCGCTTCCGAGGTCTCGCATGAGAAGCCGAAATACCTACCATAACAAACAAACGGACGCGATTTAAGGATGATGGAATCAATATGGCCACCTGTTTGACGTGATCGGAATCCCAAAACACAAAACGCTGCCTGTTGATCTAGGATCATTCGATGCTCAAAACTATGGCGCATCAGACTCGATATAAACAATCGAAACGAATTGGTGGATTCTTATAGTTACAGAAATGGCTTCAGTGGTCTTAAATCGCGTACATGTTTGTACAACAGTGTATAAACACACAAGCTCCAACCTGCAGACTTCCCGCATGTTGAATCACCTTGCGCAATATGCTCTTCACCTCAAATAGAGTCATATCACATTCTTCAAAAGACTCTAAATATGTAAAGAAGCATGCTTCAAAGTATAGCACCAGATACTTGGCTTTATCGCTGCTTGAGGTGCGCCTGCCACACTCAGTCGATTCAATTCTGACACTGTTTGAAACTCTAGCAGCTGAAATCCTTGTTACTGGAAGTTTTGGAAATGCCGGTAGTCGACAGCCGGAGACAGATTCTCTTGCGTCCAAGGGTTATGGATGGCAAACAGCCATATAGATCAAAACGGCGTTCTTCAGACACAAAATGCATACGACAATGTTCCTTCGCTCCTCCACCACGATCGTCTGGTCTCTTCCCAGATATTCCATCCGCTCTCTTTCTGTATCCCATGAAACAGAACCCCCCAACCTCGATGACCCGAAAGGCGTGTATCGAGTTTATTTGCAAGTCATGCTAGCTACTATTAAATCATATTCATCTCACTCTGCGACTTTTTGAGCGTGCCAAATTCAAGACATTGAGCAGAGTATCCGGCTAATTATCGAGCACACATCCTGCTATTCGTTTTGATCGTCTGTACCTGTTGGCTTTATGATTGGCTTCCTGCCTCGTTTTCGATTCGAATTAGGAGAGTATTCACATGCGATCCGAGTTTTTGTACATCTACCAAAAACAAGAGTCAATAGATGTGTCAGAATCTTTGTGGTTTGTTTTCCTTTCTTCAAAGCTTGAACGTGTTTTCTTTGACACGATTCACTCACGATGAACATGGAAGGTCTCCATTACATCTACGGTATGAGAAAAACAAGGTTATCGTTAGTATAACGCCCTGAGAAATAATTCCAAACGTTTCAAACAGCAGTGTCTTGCAACTAGATTTGCCTCAGCTTCTTTATGCGACAATGATTACAGGCCTTTGTGACACGTATTCTCCTACATTATAGGTCGTGTTAGCGAGTCCTAGTGTTGTGTGTTTGAAACGGTGCAGTTAGCTACAAGCAAAACAGCACATCATACCTCTGTGGCTCTGATGGCATGAAAGCATACCTCTGTGGCTCTGGTGGCAACAATATCCGATTTGGATCAAACTGTTGTATGGCAGCAGGTGCTGTACATTGATATGGCAACATTGGAGATTGAAGAGTCTGATGTACATTTGCTGGATGATTATATATTGTATTAGGAGGATTTGTGTTTTGATAGTGGTTGTTGGATGAATCTTGGTAGTGATACGTTTGCGTGTAGTTCCGTTGGAGATTGGACAATGGTTGTATCGTGTTATTGCTGTAAAGCTGGGGAGCGATGGGGGGCAATATAAGATGCTGAAGGTGAGGTGGGACGCTAGGATTTACACGCTGGTGTGTAGGTTCATGCTGAGGTGAGGCTGGTGACATTCGAGGTCGAGCGCGCTGGGACGATGCATTAGCATTGAGCGAAGGATAATTTGGAGGCATTGGTACATGGATTGGAGGAATCGCTAGAGAAATTGGCGGAATATCGTGGGATGCACGTGGCGAGAGTTCCGGTCCTATTGTTGGCATGTTGGGGTATGATGAATGCGTTGCTAATGGTGGCAGAGGGACACCGTGGATGGAGGGTACCGGTAGATTATTGATCATGCGTGGAATATGTAGTGGTTCTACAGGTGATCTGGAGTCAGCATATGCGTTATCATCCTCGTTTACGACTTCTTCCGGGTTGAGCAGCAATCGCACGTCCATAGTGTGGTTAGCAAGTAGACAAGGGCTCGAAGCGTCGAGTCATAAGAAGCGTCTCCTGCAAGTGCAATTCCTGCAGCCCCTTAGCTTTGACTTGTGCTTGTGAGGAGCAGTGGCAACTCGGAAATCGGAAAATCGAAAAATTCGGCAAAAGTCGACATTATTCAAACGACTGGCTGTTCGCTACCGCCAAGAAATCTAAAATGTGAGAGTGAACTATCCACCATTATATGTGCGCGATGTGCGTTGTTTGTCGCGTGCTGCATCTCTGTGCTTCCACTCCATTGAGAATTCGTTTACTCTTTCATCACTTCAACAACCACAAACCCCATCCATTATTATTCAAACCGCAATTGTTTTATTTTGTATAGTGAGCAACCTATGCTGAAACAGCCTTATACAAGGAAAAGTCAACTTTACCGCCAGTCTGAGCTTCAGTTCGTGCAATCAGCTTTCTCAACATCCCTTTCAGCTCATCAAGAGTCATTTCACTTTCCTTTTGCGTGTTGGACACGAAAATAAACTTTGACGAGAGTTTGGCACCAGAGGCTACCTCCTTGACGAATTCGGCCTCCTTCTTGAGAGCATGGGCTGAAAATGGCGACTATTGAAGAATGATGTAGTAAGAAAAAAGTAGCCTTTTTGATATTCTGGAGCTGTGGCAAGACGTACTGGAACCACTTGGAAGGCGTGGATCATGTCTTCAAACATGCGGAAGTGAACGACGTCTCCAGCAGCCACACGTTGGAGAGTGTATACGATACCTAGTCGGCGAGACGAAATAGTAAGTAAATTGAGCAACGAGACTGAAATGTATGGTGGTCACTCACTCTCGCTTGACAAACGGTCAATAGTACCGGTTGTTACAAAGGAAGGTGGTAGTCCAACACTTGTTGGCACATCACGAATAGGCGAGACGTATGGATTGGTAGAAACTGCTCCTTTCTTGGGTGCATAAGCACCAGCCTATTGTGTTGTTTATGTTACCAACAAGTTTCGTATTGTCACGGCCTTCTTCATACCAAGTTTGGAGCACCATCATCACTATGAACGACAACGTCAACTGAAAACTCTTCACGAAGATAGTGCGTGGGAGTTGTATTTGTTAGGTCAACCTAATAAGAGACATGGTCAGCATGTCGTGTTTTTGCCAACGTCACAGATTCTGACAAACCCAAGGAGTCAAAGGCGCAAGACCACCAGGGAAGGTCTCGTTCGTGTCACGCAAGTAGAGGGTGGTGGCGATAGACAATCCAGCACCTGCCGAGTCGCCTGAGAAGGTGATGATTTTGGCATCGTGGCCGTTGGATTGCAAGAACTTGAAGGCACTCCGGGCATCAACGATAGCAGCAGGGTATGGGTCTTCTGGCCTAGAACGTAATTCGGATTTAGAACTTTGCACCTTTTTGGTTGATTTCTTCAACAAGGAAACAACTCTCATGCCACTAACCCCATACGATAATCAACAGACAAAACTCTGACACCGTTTGCCGCAAAAGTGGTAGTAATATGTCGGTGTGTCTTTGGACTCATAATTGCATATCCTAATACGTGAAGTACCTTCAGCTTCGGTTTCATCACGAGACTGACCAGCATTACAACATACCTCCACCATGGAAATATAGCACGATTGGCAAGCTCTCATCCTTGTCTTTGCCGGTAGGAACAATCCATTCAGCATCAATTTCACCAGAAACGGTTTCTTCCAAGGAGCACGCAACTCTAAAAAATCGGAGATTAGGGTCAGTGTCCAACCTTGTCGGCAGAATTTGGAAAGGAATACCTTGGGATCTTAATTTCGGTTACAGTGACGCCTGCTGGAGTAGGGAAAACAGGGTTCATGGCAGAGTACTTTCGCATCAGGTTGATGTCCGTAACTGAAAGTCCTTGTTGGAAGCTTAAAATGATTGCCTAGACAAACAAGATCGTTGAATAATTTAAAATTAGTGAATTGCACTGTATTCAACGACGGAATGGATTCATGATCAACTAGTTAAACGTTCGTGCACCTTCAATTCAGGACTCCAGCTAGCTGGAATGATCAACTCATTGGCAGTCATGGTTATTGAGTTTATAAGATACCAGTGCTATAACTGATGTGGTGTTGTGGATTCTGTTTGGAGTTGCAAGTCCGTTTTCTTGTATAACTTTGCAGTTTGAAATCCTTCCCACATTTTGTAATCAGGTTGCATGACGTTGCACAGCAAATACGCGGAGAGCGGATAGCTAGATTTTACTCGAAATGGTGTACTTCTACGTGGCCGATGCTGGCCCTATGAGTATTTATCAGCGATCGCGTAGTAATACTTCGTCTGCTTCATACTGGACAAGTTTGGGTCCAAACAACAAAAAAAAACACAAATTTCCAGCAAAAGCCCTTTACCCAGTCCGAACGGCAACCACTTTCAAAATTTCATACCACTTTAAGAACAATTTTTTATTATTCAGCCCTCAATTCAAACAATCTATACTATTTTCATACCAAAGAATTTTTTGATCAACTCGCTTTACGCGCATAGTGACTTGTACTGCGTAAAGTCGGCCTTGTTGCCATCCATAGCTTCGGCCCTTTCAATCAGTTTCTTGAGCGTGCTTTTGACCTCATCAAGACTCATTTCACGCTCCTTGAAGGCATTGGATACGAAAACAAACTTGGTGGAAAGTTTTGCACCAGTTGCTACGTCTTTGACGAATTCGGCTTCCTTCTTGAGGGCATGTACTGATGCCTTTGCCTGTAACAGATTCAAGTCAGTATTCAGAAGCGTTGGACTACACTACAGTTGAAGTAAGCTTACTACTGGGATTCCTTGGAATGCATGGACCTGGTCTTCATACAAGTACAATTGAACGACGTCTCCGGCGGCGGTACGCTTAAGAGTATCGGCGAGATCTGATCAGAAACGGAAACCATAGAGTTGAGCATACGCTTTGAGGTCAAATGGGTATCGTGCCTTCTTTCTCGTACCTTCAGACATCAAACGGTCAACCGTTCCAGTAGTTACGAAGGCTGGAGGGAGTCGAACGCTCGTTGGAGTGTCAATGACTGGAGAGATGTAAGGGTCGACGGCCTCAGAGCCCTTTTTGTTGGCGTATGCTCCAACCTAAAAGCACACGGCAGCCCGTAGGTCTGTGTCAGCTTGCCGAGTGGGAATACTTGGGGAACTGTTTATAGGCTCTGTTGCTCACCATCATGTCAAGACCACCTGCACTTGAAGGGGAAATGATGTCTGACATAAACTCCTCCAAAAGAAGGTCACTTGGCGTGTTGCCTCGCAAGTCAATCTATAACGAGATATGAGCACCAAGCTTTTGAATATCTGCAGCACCAAATACGTACCCAAGGAGTGAGGGGCGCAAGCCCGCTTGGGAAAGTCTCGTTCTTGTCACGCAAATATAAAGCGGTAGCAAGTGACAAACCTCCTCCAGCAGAATCGCCAGAGAAGGTGATGATTTTGGCATCGTAGCCTTGCGAAAGCAAGTATTTAAAGGAGCTGAAAGCGTCAACTACCGCAGCTGGATAAGGGGCTTCTGGTCTATACGGAAAGAAACATGTGAGATTTTTTTGCGTTAGGACGAGAACACCAACTTCGTAACGTACCCCATGCGATAGTCAACAGATAGTACTCTCAAGCCGCTTGAAGCCAAGGTGGTTGTAATGTATCGGTGGGACTTTGGGCTCATAATTGCATATCCTTGTGAGAACAGCGTTAAATTTTTCAACACATAGGTGGTCAGAGTCGAGCCATACCTCCACCGTGGAAGTAGAGTACGATTGGCAAGCTTTCATCTTGTTCTTTGCCAGTGGGGACGACCCATTCGGCATCAATTTCGCCTGAGGCTGATTCCTCCAACGAGCAAGCAAGTCTAAGAATTCAACATTGCGGTTCAGCAGAGGATAGATATGAGATGCTGAGCTCTTGCCAACCTTGGAATCTTCACATCGGTCACAGTAATTCCTTCTGGAGTAGGGTATACAGGAGCCATTGACAGAACTTGCCGAAGAACAGCGAGATCTTTGATTCCAAGCCCTTGCTTGAAGGCCGTGACGGCAGCCTACAACGAAAGAGACAAACAGTGAATGAATCATTCATATTTCAACGTCCACAAAGTCGAAACTAAATCAACGCTGCCGTGCGTGCTCAAGGTAGCACATGCAAGTCCTACCTTTAGCTCGGGCGACCAGCTTTCTGGCAGAACCAATTCATCGGCAGTCATTATTGTTAGTGCTGTAGGTGCGAACTGGTCGTCTTTCGTATAAACGGTTTGGAAGGTTGAAGGAGACAACAGACGCCGGAACACAAGAATCACGTCTGGTGTTTGAAAGAGGCAAGACGTGCATATCGTTTGGAGACATATAGGATTTTAGTAAATACTCAGTCTGAAGCAGCGATCGGTAGTTAAATTCGTCTGTTCTTCGCATTCTGTCGTGTCTCAAAAGTGCCCAAAACGTGCCGATGCAAGGCCAAACGCACGCTTCGCTACGTGACAAACGATACTAGTAGTAGCAACAATTCGCACTTCACTGTCTTCTTCTATAGCTTTGTTGTCAATACGTCATATACTCCCATCCTCGACAACTACGTTACACACATTAGTTCCTCACGAAAGACAACAAGCAACAATCCAAGATGTCGTTCCTGAATCCTCTGCCACCTAATACATCGCCTTCCCAGGCTCCCTTATTGCTGCCCCCTCCTGTTCCTCCCGTTAAAATCAACAAGGCAAATCCAAAGACCGACCCAATTCAGTTCTTGGACAATGCTTTGGGTCTCAGCTCAGGTATGCGCGACGAAATTGTTGCAGTGATGCCTTTATCACATTCTAAAGTCGAATTCTGGTCATTCAAACTTTCGAAACTCCACTTGATGTCAAAAACATTCGACATTCCACGTCGCTAATCCCATGAATCCTTCAAAATTCAGATCTCGACTCCATCGTCAGGGCAATTCCTGCTCAGCAAACCGCTGCAAAGTTTGTAGCTGCTGGCAAAGGTTGGTTTTTGATGTTGAATGTGGTTTCGCAGCTTTGATTTCACGGTGCAAACAACCACTTCATGTGATTATAGGAAATTACATGACCATGTTTGATGAAACGGTCGCTAGATATCCAGAAAAGGAGGCCTTTATCTATGCCGAGACAGGAGCCACTTGGACTTACAAACAGTTGGATACTGACGCGAACAAAATGGGACATTGGCTGCTCGAAATGGACGTTCGTCCAGGTGAAATTATCCCCTTGATGGTCGAAAACAGTCCTGAATATGTTATTGCTTGGTTGGCAATTCTCAAAGGTAGTTTGAACGAACAGCTCTGTTGCCAAGCATCTCCTTCTAAACCCCTCATTCTTTCCAAGTTGGAGGTGTCGTGGCCTGTATCAACCACAATTTACGATCCAACGCCCTTTTGCATTGTTTGAAAGTTGCGACCGGCAAAATGATTTTGTTCCAGGACGAATTGGGCGATGCCATTCGTCCACTCATAAACGATCTACCTGGTGTTGAGTGCCTCAGACTCGGAGAAACTCCTCTCGTTTGGTGTGAAGGAATCTCATTGTCTGAATTGGCAGACTTCCCTACTGATCCAATTGACAAGGCTCTGCAAGAGTCGCGAACTCTTGCCGATTTGGCTGAATGTGTGTGAAACGTTTTGATTTATCTTGGAAAGTACTGTCGCTCATCTGTATTCTTTTCCTAGTTATCTACAGTATGTTTGAAAGTCGTGAACCCATATCTGTTCTGAGTTTCTAAAGGCCTTTGCTTTCTAGCTTCGGGTACCACTGGCCTCCCTAAAGGTAAATTCCATTTTTGTTTCCGACAGCGAACTTAAGCTTACGGTTCTATGTTCTATGCTCTTCAGCCGTCAACATTACACACGCAAAGTTGTTTGCCGCATCATGCTCTACTGCTGTTACAGGTCGCTATCGCCCAACCGACCGTATCTATACGGGCATGCCACTATTCCATTCGTACGTTTATGTTTGCATCCCAAAAGCTGCCTAGAATCCTATCTTCAGTCTCGCATCACAAACGTTAATATGAAGCCAACCTCATATTTCCTATACGTAGAGCTGCTGGAGTTATGGCCATGGCCTCTGGTTTCATGATGGTAAATGCTTCAAAGTCATTGAAGCTTATTGGACTCTTATAACACGATATCTTTCACTAGGGCATGACTGTCATTGTTGCTCGTAAATTCAGTGCTTCGAGGTTCTTCAAGGACTGCCGAAAGGTGAGAATTGGTGTCGTTTCAATGGTCATGCACAGTTACTTGTCGCTAACATCAAATTGCATAGTACAACGCAACTTTCATACAATATATTGGCGAGGTGGCACGGTGTGTTTCATGCGGGACTGCAACATTTATGTGAAACAATTTTTGGGGAACAATATTCTAATATCCTTTGCTTGACAGATATTTATTGTCAACACCACCAAGTGAAGACGATCGAGCCCATAACATCCGTGGAGCTATTGGAAACGGTTTGAGAAGTGACATTTGGTAAGTTTGGCGAAAGCAAAATCCGAGGTTCTCACTAACGATGATGAACATCACTTGATATAGGCAACAATTTAGAAATAGATTCAACATACGAGAGATACACGAGTTCTTTGCTGCTACTGAGGTAAAGACGAAAAAATAACTTGGAAGCCTTGAAATTGGGCTTTAACATAACTTAACGGTTGAACCACCTAACACATTTGACTTGTTTCGCCATCTAGAGTGTCGGCGGTGTGTCGAACTACAACGTTGACGAAACTGGAATCGGATCCATTGGCAGAGTCGGTACATTACAGAAAACATTGTCGACGGCACGAATAGTTAAATTCGATTTCGAGAACGACGTGCCAATTCGTGGCCCTGACGGCTTCTGCATTGAAGCCGATTATGACGAGCCCGGTGAATTCTTGACGCAGATTGATGAAACTAAAGGAAGAGCCTTTTATGGTTACTACCAGAACGAAAAGGGAACCAACTCAAAAGTGTTGGAGGACGCCTTCACAAAAGGTGATCGCTGGTATAGATCGGGCGATATCATCAAATGGGATCGTGAAGGGTTCTGTTATTTCATGGTGAGTATGTCCTTGTTTTTGGTTGTTGGTGGAGCTCAACTCACAATTTTGTCACTTGTCCTGTAGGATCGTATCGGTGATACATTTAGGTAAGATTAATTGATATTGGCATTAAATTTCAAGTTGTGTCTCGAACTCACACGTTCTTTTGGTATTAGATGGAAGGGGTAATGCACTCTTCAAACCCGCTTTGTCAAGCTTCTACTCATCCTTTTTGTTTAGAGAGAACGTCTCCACCAATGAAGTTGGAGAAGCAATTACTACTTATCCCAACGTAAAAGAAGCTAATGTATATGGTGCGGCTGTACCAGGAAAAGACGGACGAGCTGGAATGGCAGCCATCACCGCTGAGCCTGGATTTGACATTTCAGGTCTTGGAAAGCACGTCTCGGACCGATTACCAAACTATGCTCTTCCAATTTGGTAAGTTGCTCAATCTTGCGTTTCTCGTCTTTACAGCTCTGTGCTGAAAATCCAACGTTTGTCAACATCAGGATCCGAATCCTGGAAGAGGTTGCCGTCACTGCCACGTTCAAACACCAAAAGACTACTCTTCGTAATGAAGGAATGGACATTACTAAATTCAAGGATGTCACGTACATGTTTAATTTCGAGACAAAGAACTATGAGATCTTTGACAAGAAGAAATACGACGAGGTCGTATCTGGTAAAGCTAAACTGTAACGGGGACGTTTTCAATTATAAAGAATTTTAGAGAATGGAATAAAGCACTTATTCAGTGATGAATTTATGTTTGGTTTAGGAGTGGAGCAAACTATGTCACATTTGAATTGATTGCACTGCTCACATTCCTTGTATAGGTCTTATCTTCTCTTTTCTTCCTTAATCGTGCCTGGACCTCTACTGCTGCTACGCCTGCCGTCGCTAGCCTTTGCAGCATCAGTTTGTATGGTTTTGAAACTTTGACACAATTACTACCTGTTGAGGTCTGCACAACGACATGAAACAGCAGAGATGTCGTTTCTGAATCCTCTACCACCGAATATATCCCCAAGCCAGGCACCCTTGCTCTTACTGGATCCCATTCCTCCTGTCAAAGTCAATAAGGCAGATCTGAAAAGCGACCCAATTCAGTTTTTAGACCGTGCGCTGGGACTAAATTCAGGTGTGAAGAAGATCTACGTATTGTATGAGGGAACAATCACGTTTTGATGCCGGATTGTGGTCATCACATACTTGGAACTTCATTTGATGTCAAACATTTCGACATTTCACATCACTCATCACATGAGCCTTCATCGATGATAGATCTCGATTCAATTCTCAGATCAATTCCTGTTCAACAAGTAGCTGCAATGTTCGTGGCTGAAGGTAAAGGTTGGTACTTTTGATCTTACCACAGATGGTTTGACAGCTTCGATTTTTAAGAGTGCTTTGAACAATTTGGTCTGGATCATTACTTACATGACCTTGTTTGATGAGTCTGTAGCCAGATATCCAGACAGGAAGCTTTAGTATATGCTGAGACAGGCGCCACTTGGACTTATAAACAGCTGGACGCTGACGCTAACCGGTTTGGTCCTTGGCTACTCGACAAGAACGTTCGTCCAGGTGATATTATACCTTCGCAAAAAGTGATAATCTCGAGGACTACTCACTCTCAAAGTTTAAGGGAGAATGTCTCTACCAATCAAGTTGGAGAGAGAGAGCAATAACCTCGTATCCAAACGTTAAAGAGGCCAATGTTTATGGCGTTCTTGTACCTGGTAGAGACGGAGTATGCAGCGCTTCGGCATTCATCGACGCTAAATCAAACCTCACTGACGCAAACACAATTTTGACTTTCTAGAGAGCTGCAATGGCAGCTATTACTGTCGAACCTTGATTCGACATAACTGGTCTTGGCAAACACGTTTCAAACCGATTGCCAAAGTATGCTCTTCCTATCTGTTATGTTTTAGTATCCGTGTGAGTTGGATGTTTTTTTTCTCTCGCCAATCGTTTCTTTCGTGTTTGTGCTGAAAACCAATGTCTTAGGATTCGAATACTCGAGGAGGTTGCCATTACTGTCACGTTCAAGCATCAGGCAAATGTAAAAAACAGCCGGTTGTTGCGGGATCGACATGTTATCAGTCTCTCATTGCCTAATTCTAGAAAAGAATTCTGCGTTACGAAGAAATGGACATAAATGATGTCACGTACATGTTCAATTTTGGCACAAAGAACTATGAATGGTATGACTCGAAGAAATACGATGAAGTCATATCTGGTAAAGCTAAACTGTAACAGACCTGTTCCTACCACAACCTGTTCAATCAATCAATCTCGTGTGGTCTGATTTCTCAAATGTTGTGAAACAATGTTTCTAATAATACAAAAAGCAAAATTATGCAAATTATGTGTTTTTAAGGATATAATGCGTGGAGCAATAAACTATCTAGTGGCACCTGCCGACCGCACACTCTTGAATTGAGCCCTTGAAGAAGCCTGCACAGATCCCATCCTTTGTATAGGACCCATCTCCTTCTTATCTTCTTGTATCGTGCCTTTAGCTCCAGTAGATCTACTTCCTTCCGAGTCACCAGGCTTTGTGGCATCATCTAATGTGGCCTTGAGTCGCCCAATAGCATCTTGTACAGGCGACGTAGTACTACTAGCATTTACATCTTTACCCCGGCGCCGCAGATTACCATCCGAAGGCGGTTTAGACGATGTAGGTGACGTGATATCTTTACTTCGTCGTCTCCCACCAGCACTTAACTGCTGCTCAGATGCTGTTCTCGATAGTTGGCCCATAGATGATGACATTGTGTTGCTTAAATCCACCTTGATTGATAAATCTTGATTCGACATTCTTCTTCCAACGCGTCTGATTGAACCACCTGTTGGTGATACAGCTTCTGTCACGGGTGGATGGGCACGTATGGATGGTGGACTGCTGGTTGACATCTTGGGTATTTTACTTGTTACGGATGTTCGTGGTGGGGTTGCTAACAGCGATCCTGCTGGCGATGACGGATGTAGTGGTGGCAGTCCCGTTGCTGTGGTACTCGTAGGCGTTGGTGTAGTTGGCGTAGTAGGGTTTGCAGTCACTTTCGCCGTCGTACTAATACTTATATTGCTTGACGGCGAAGAGGAAGAAGAAGAGATAGTACCATTTATAGTAGCAGCAGATGGTTTCGAGACAGAGCTTGGAAGAAGAGACGAGATTTTAGACGATGGGGTATTACTTGCTAGTTGCACCTGCAGCTCGTTCGATTTTACAGGTGATGTTACTTGGCTAGACCTGGCAGATTCAAATGGTGTGGCATTCATTGACGTATCTGATTCAAAACTAGACGAAGATGATGCGGCTGACGCCACGAGACTGACTCGAGGTGTGATATCGTTCACAGCTGCGGACAATACACTAGGTCTTGGTGTCTTGTCTGTATCTATCGATGGACTCAGAATAATAATTGTTGCTGCAGCTTGAGAGCCTCCTTTCAGTGCTGATCGTGCTGGTGGAGGTGCCAATGCGAGCTTGGGTGCTGGGAACACCTCTTCTTCCTCGTCGTCGTCTTCCTCTTCCTGGTCTTCTTCCTGCCCTTCTGATAAAGGTGATTGGCTTGAGGCTTTTGGTGGATACTGTGCTTTGAGATCTAGACGTTGAAAAGCATTTAGACTGGTTGCATTATTGTTTTTTTTAAGTCCAAAAGTCCCTCCAATATCAATCTTCATACTCACCGGTCAAAATAGCCCGAATCTCTTTTGATTTCGCCTCAAAAGCAACATCATCAGGTGTCTCGCCATCTTCATTCACCGGTATTAAACAAATGGGACCATCAGGTGGATAAAACCAATTCTTGCCAGCCTGTTTCTCTTGTCCCATTCTGCCCTGACACCTAGCCAACAGCTGTAATATCTCGACATGTCCCTCAGCACAAGCACAATGCAGCGGTGTCCATCCTTCCTTGTCGGTGATATTCACACATGAATTCAGCTCTGTCAGTAACAAATTCACAATCTCCACATGCCCATGTGTGCATGCTTGATGCAGCGGGCTGAGCCAATTATACGGGGTAAATATCGTGCTGATGTCTACTATAGATTTGTTGGGTGTGTTTAATCCAACGGCGGCTCGTAATGTCGGTAGAGCGACATTGTCTACAGGGTCACCATGATGGCATATATCTAGAATCATGGTTGAAGGGTCGAATACAACGTTACGTTTCAGTTTCTGTCTTGATGCGAGTAGTGCTGCTGTGTCTATTATTATAGGGTTTGGTGATGTTGCAGTTGTTGATGAGGAAGTTGTTGGTAGTGACGGTGTTGCTTCTGCTGATGAAGATCTCTTCAGTTTGGCAGTGCTTTCTCTAGTTTCTGACAATCGCCGCCGTGGATCTTCGGATTGAGACTTGGCGTGTAATCGAGTTGGTTCAACATTTGTAGCGTCTGCCGACGTCCGGGAATTTTTAAATGGGCGTTCACTTATTGAGGTCACTGATGACCGGCCCTCGTGAATTTTAGGCGTCACACTCACCACCACTATTGAAAAAATAAAAGATTTCTGGTCAGCGAAAAAAATCTAGCAATTGAGTCAGTTACGTGTGAAAGGACACCAACATTCTGCAATCTCTGTAAATGGTTTCCGGGTAACATCATCATCGGCACAATCCACAGGTCTATAATTTCTATCATTCTTCTTGTTTGGGTTTGCACCCAACTCGAGCAACCGTTTCACCAAATCCGCCATTCCAAGAAACGAGGCCAAATGCAAGACGGTATTGCCAGCGCCCCACACTCTCCCCACAAATTCAAGCAGAATCTTTTTAGCCTCAATCTCTTCAGTGATGCGAGCTACAAACTCCAATATATCGGTTGCAATATCCTCGTCGCCTAATATGCATGCGATCTGTATAGCATTGAGATTCGATACTGGAGCGCCGAGCAGTTCGTTTGCATCTTGAATAACGTCTGGATCGTGAGCGTAGAATGCATCGTGATTCGGATAGGCGGTAGTCAGTAGCAGCTGAAGGAGTAGAGTAGATGACGGATGATCATTCAATATATGGGCCAGTTTATCGCGATCTCCATCATTTATAGCTGAGAATATCATCTTTCCCAGCTCGGTCGAATCGTCCGGCCATTCATCGTGCTGAATGGAACTAGACGTAAAAGAGATAGATTGTCAAAAATGTTGGAATTTCTGATGCGTAAGAATTGCTATCTATTGGAGGGCGATCGATCAGGCTCCATTCAATAAATACACTCACTTTGTGGAGGATGAGGAGGAGGATCTTGATATTGTCTTTTGGTCCATTTGCGTCTATCGTGTTTTCTCCAGCGACTGAAAACACACCCGCCAACACCCAAGAAGAGACGATGCGTGTCCAGAGAGGGTGTGGCGCCCTCCAACCTATACCTATTTAAAACTTGGCCGGCGCTTCCTCTTCTCTCTTGACTTGACCAGTCGTTAACAAGCGACTTTACCGAAAACCATTGTCAGTACTTTTTGAGCGTGACGAAAACATTGCGCACGAAAAAAATACATATCAGCTCATCCTGTGTGCTTTTCGAGATCAAACTATATATAACTATGACTATTGACTATGACAATTAATGAGGGGTAAAAATATAGGAAAGATGTAACTCAATACAGCTAGAGTGACAGATTTGATCCCAGCAATTAAGAGGCAGCATTATCATTACGAGGCTTCAGCATCATCATTACGCACTATGGACAGGAAGACTTCTTCAAGAGTCGTTTGAGAAATTCCATACTCCTCTATACCCACAGCATCCTTGTTGGCTTCCATACTTTCAAAGAGCGTGGCAATATAAAGCATTGCACACTTGAACTCATACACCATAGACGTAACGAACTCATCCACCACCGTAAAACCTTCTGGTGGTAGAATGCTCTCGACATACCTATAGCAATACCAATTTAGATAAACTACTTTAGAGTTAAACAACATGCCGGGCTTACGCTCGAGCTCGTGGCATGTCCTGCTGTAAAGCCGTAAATGAGACTCGGAATCCAGAACCATACAGTTGCTGGAGGAAAGGATGAGCTGGTGTGGAATATTCAGTGACGTAAAATGTTCTCATACCTTGAGCCGTGGAACAGAACCTAGACAGCGCAGCGTTCCTTTTGCTAATATAGCAATCCTGTCTGCCAAAACATCGGCTTCCTCCATGGAATGTGTAGTAAGGATGATAGTACGGTTTGCACGAGATTCCTGTATAATCGACCACACCTGCAAAAAACCGAGGGAATCTGTTGGAGATGGCTTTCCACCACTACATTTATAGTGCACTTACTAGTCGTCGAACTTCAACATCCAACCCAGTAGTAGGCTCATCTAAGAAGACGACTTTTGGATTTGCCACTAGAGCGATGGCGATACATAAGCGACGACGCTCTCCTCCAGACAACCTTTTAGCCAATCTACGTTCTAAACCAGTTAGAGCCACTCGGGCAATGGCATTCTTTACAGCTTCCATCTCTTCTGACTTGGGTATGCCCTGCAGAAGGAAAGTAAGCATTGCACGAATCAAATTGTCTTACAAACAAAATTTCTTACCTTGAGTCGAGCATAAAAGACTAGATGTTCTATACTATTAAGATCGTCCCACAAAATGTCGTGTTGAGGACATATTCCAATGCGACGATACACTTCCTCTTCCTGCGTATCCACATCGTAACCAGCTACATACGCCTTTCCTCCGCTTGATTCGTATAATCCAGTGACGATCTAGACAGAGAACAGAAGGTCAGCTCAAGGAATATATAAGTTGCGTCGTTCAACTGTTTACACACATTGAAGAGAGTGGATTTTCCAGCTCCGTTGGGCCCCAGCAGAGCAAGAATGATGCCCTCCTCACAAGCCAACCAAGCATCTTTAACAGCTACTTTGGGAGCCTTTCCTCGTTTCGTAGCAGGGAATACTTTTCTCATCCCTTTCAGGACGAGTGGATCATTAGGTGAAAAAATGCCACCTTTGACACGGTCACGTTCAGCCTTCACATCATCATCTTCCATATCTTCTGGATCCACAACGACGTCCTTGACTGTGGATACTTCATTGATGCTGACTTCGGCCTTTTTACTTCGCAGTAGCGAGAAAAGGCCAATTATTGGAAAATACCAAGGTTTACGATTACCATATTCACTTGGAAGGACATATGTCAAGTATGTGGCGATGAGAAGGTATACCGGGATTTCAAGAACCATAGCGATTATGGCGGTATACACGTCATCCTTGCCTTTTAGCAAGCTGAGGTTGTAAGGTATCTGGTTGATTCGCCAGGCACTGGAATTCAATCTGAAGAGGGCTCGATAGAAGGCGAATGGTGGGTACAGATTATATGCAGCAGGTGCAGATCCGTTTCCCGACCATAATTGATTGGTAGCCAGTGAAACCTGATTTTGAAGTGGATATATCTTAAGTCAGATAAACCGTAAGTGAATCATACATAGAAAGCGCCACATACAACGACACTGCAGAGGACTACCAAGAAAGTTACAACTATTATGAAAAGTGTTAGCTACAGTAAGGTCAACTTCAACATGGTGTTGGTTTACCTAGCGCCGTTCTGGCCTTTGAGAAAATGGCCGCGAATAGGAAGGCCAACGATATTTGCACGAGGCCCCAAAGAATCAAGACGATTAACAAAACAACGAATTGTGTCCGAGTAAACAACTGCATTCCTCCAAAATATCCAGCCAGATAAAAGAATGCCGCAGAGATAATGTGAAGACTGAAGAAGTGAAGCGAGTGCGCCAGGTAGTATGTGGTCATTTTCATTCCATTCTGGAGAGAAAAATAAGGTTCAGATCGAGTTTACTATACCACAAAAAATCTACCTCTAACACGACGACTTCATACCATCCTCATCATGATCTGAATCCGATCTTCCTTCTCTTTGACTAATGTAATCACATATATGGGGAGCAGGAAGGACACACCAAAGGGAAACAAAATGCCTTTACATGTGAAAATCGTCAGTTTCATTTCAACACAAGGTCCGTGATGGCAACCTTACCTCCCAAGAAGGACGATATCTGAATATTAACACCAGTATCAATGTATTGAGGCATCATTCTAATGCCTTGAGTGATTGTGGTGTTGCCCAAAACTGCCTTGTTACTCATTCGCACTAAAAGAATAGATACTGAGCTACTCACGCAACGGACATTCACAAATCAAAACCACTTACAAAGAGCACTATCCACTTGAGCCTGCTGAACGAATTGACGTTCACCACGGCTCGGGAATCCACTGGACTTTATCAGCCGAGAATCTGTCCCAACTTGCATGACATATTTATATTGCTTGTTTACGTGGTCGAGTTTAGAGAAGAGGTATGCTCCATAGGGCATCCCAGAGATAGCCTTAGCAACATTTACGAAGAAGTCTGTTACTTCGGAGTCTAATTTTCAAAATAAAAAGGAAAAATCATGGTGACCCCAATAATGGAAAGAAATTGAATACAATGGCAGCGAAGGGAACTCAAAAAATTATGGCAGGATCCAAAATTGTAAAAACATACCTGTTGGCGCAGACTCAAACAGTACTGTCTTGTCTATCGTGGATAGATTTGCAATAACACTGCGTATAGCAGTCGCAAATGCATCGTCCAGATCTGATACTGATTGGACATTGTCCAATGGCGTATACCACGGCACTGGTTGGAAACCATTAAACGTATAATTTCCGGACGACTGCGTCGTGGCATCCACCCAGAAGCTTTGTGCAACTGTATCCAATAAACCGTTACTCTGACTGGCAGGTTTAAAATATGGAGTGTTTGCCAAAGCGAACGCAGCAAGGGATGAAGTCAAGTTTGCTTGAGGTCGAGATCCCAAATCGCTTAGGTTTACGGCCGTTGCATCGTAAGCATACCAGAAGAATTGACGTAACTGGTTTTGGAATAGTGGTCGTAGTAAACTCGAGGTGAGTTGTAGCCAGCCTGGTTGTGGCTGCGCTAAGAACGTGGAATCGTGGTCGGAGAAAGAGTACTGCAGGGAAGGAGCTCGTTCCTGTAATTTAACGTAAGTAGGTATGTGAGCCAGTCGAGCTCGGAAACCAATAAGGTTAAAGAAGGTAGTATGTTAAGCCAGCCGAGCTGGGAAACCAGCACTTACATAAGGTTCGGCTTTTGGATAATTGGGAGTCATCCAATACACGCAAGGAGTGTTTGATGTTAATGCTCCTGTTCCACCTCCACTGAAACCGTTCGAGAGACCCAGCGCGCTGCCAGCTAGACCCCAATTAACGTGGGATATGTTATAGGTAACTCCAGGAAGTGATCCAGGTGGTGTTATGGGTATAATTGGATCGCTGACGTTAAATATGGGGTAATTGAGGTTGTTCATGGCGTTCAAGCTGCTACAAAGCAGAATTCCAGTCACAGCTCCAGCCGAGTTTGAGACAAGAGTTATTGCAATGATACCTTACGAGAAAAATCGTTTGAGATTGCGGTTCCATGCGTTCAATAACAGCTAATATTCACCCAGTGAAACTGAAAAGACCACCATTGCAATCGGACAGAGTGCCACGCAACAGAGATTTGTGAAGAGTTGTCTGCTTTGATACGAGATCGTCTTTCTCACCTACAAATCCAGAGCGATCAGTTCATCAACAATTTGGATGCCACGTTTTCATGTTTCGCCACTGCCATATTAACAGTCCATGTTACGCCACTTACAAGTGCTCGAACTTGAAATGACTTTGGTTGAGAGCCAGCATTGACTGCAGTTCCAGAGCTTATTGTTTCAGGGGTACCTTTTTCCCAAGGTAATGATTGTGAGATTTCATGCGATTAAGTTAGAGAAAAAGGAGCAAGACAACGACTGAGCGATGTATGGCGCTACATTTGACGACGAAAAATTACCTGATTGTGGTCTCACTTCCATTTTTTCACCAGAGATTTCTTGTGCCATTTGGTGATGGAGGGAGCAGAGAAGCAATCGCTCTGCGAACAAGGAGACAAGACCTTGCCGAGCCTAGATCGTCTCGATGAACTATTCGTCGGACAGCACGAACTCAAGTCCTTGACTCCTGGGGTCTTGGTCAACTTTGCGCAACACTTTTCAGTTTTCAAGGACCAATACAAGATTTCCAAACATATCGATCGGTATTTGCTGAGACTCGAAGAGGATGATTGCCACGTATAAATATAATTCGGTGGTATCCATGCCTCACAATTCCTCGCTGGAACCGAAAATTTTGAATTCGAATGTTAGCACCGTGACGATTTTAAAAACCAACCAGGACATATTATTCAGTAATATTTCGGATCCAGAATCACACTAGGCGACAATAGTGGATCTAAGAAAGTTGATTACGGGTGTTGTCGGCTGCGTTTTTCTCCTGCTAGATCACGTTCGGTGCAACCATCCTACGACTTGAACTTTGACAACGGGCACAACCAGTGCAGAACAAGATGTCAGGCCAGCATCTCAGTATGATTGAGGAATCGCACAGAACATGCGACATTTTACTGAAATCCTTGGGTTATGATGTCAGCAAGGGCATAGCTGCCAAAGTTTCCAAAGAGCTCAAGATTACTGGCGAAACACAACCATTCGTCCCATCGCCGTTTAAAGTAACGGAGCTAATCACTGGTGCGTTACGGAGCCAATCCGGAACTGCTTTGAACACTATGTAGCAGCTACCCTGTGTTTTTTGAACATGACATCACCACCAAAAACCAACCCATTGTCACTTGGTATTGATACCTTCCCCAAATTTCGTAGGCACACAAGCTGCCATCCTGTCTGTATGCAATTTGATCTCCAATGACAGACTTGGGCACATTCAGGAGGCAATTGTGGACACTACAGCGGCCACGTTGAACTTGACTTCTCACTTTTCATGGATGGCTGATGGCGAAGAATTCATGACCATAGCACAACGATCTCGTGAAGGAATGCCGGTAGATCCAAACAGGATTTGGCGTTCGTGCTTGATGTCCACCCACAAGTGCAAGGAAGGGTTTATTACTTTGGTATATAGTGCACAATTCAGCATGTGGATCTGGTAGGCTTGTTTATTGATGCGTTTCCAATTCTTTAGTATGGACGTATAATGGACACGGCTTTGAAATTCCTGCCCATCATTGGATTCTCTGATGCTGAAACGCAGGAGCTGTATGAGCTGTCTCAGGGTGATGAGAAGGACGCTGTTGAATATTGTCGTCGATTCTCAGGTAAAAAAAGCTTAATGACATACGCTGCACTGAATGTCACCCAATTCGGATGGCGTTTCAAGCAGAGATCGTCAAACCAGTTTTTTACGTACATGATGTTTATAGCAAAGTTACGTGAATGGAATGCATACGAATTGGAAGCGCAAATCGGCAAGATGGACGGCTGCGCTGCAATGGTTTGCAGGACAAAAGAAGAGTTTTACAGTTCCCCTCACGGGCAAATCGCACAAAAATGGAATCCAGCTGAGATTCAAAGACACGATTCTCCAGCATGGGGACCAGTACCCTGGCAAGCCATGGATCCAAAGAAGGATGGTATTCTATCTGGCGTCAAGTGAGTAAACCTTGGAATCGGCAGCTATCCCATGCTGGACACCCTGATGCAAATTCATAGTTCCAACCACCATTTTTTGATAGAGTCCTCGAATTGACTCGAGTACTGATGGGAGCCCGTACTGGATCTATCCTGGGAGCATTGGGCACCAACAACTGCAGAGTTTCCCTCGCAACTCTGGTAGATGGTATTGTTGGCATAGACACCAACCTGGGAAAGCGATCCGTTTTCTTAGACACAAAGACTCCTGAGGGCAAGAAACAACTTGCCGCTTTGATGATGGACGCCGACGTTATCGTTGAAAAGTAACGAATGTTTCGAGGGCATCTCAAAGTTGTCAACCTCAACTCATCAATCCATCTATTCATTTTCATCATAGTAATTCGATGGGCGTGATGGAAAGGCAAGGATTTGGGCCGCAACAGGTGTTTGAAATGATAAAGAACCGAAAGCGTGGTATTGTTTATGCTCGTGGTAATGCTTATGGATTTGAAGGCCCATATTCGACTGTTCCAGGATATGAGCATCTGGCCCACTGTAAGTTACCACATAGTTCAAGTGCCATGGCAACTTGAGTTATGGATCAAGCTGTAAGATTGAAGTGTGTCGTTTTTTTTTCTCACAACTCGCTTGCTTTTTCAAGCAATGTGTGGACTTCAACACATACAAGGCAAAACCCATAAATACGATCCACCGACCGACGAGTTAGTTCCAACTGAACTCCCAATAAACACCTTGGACATCACCACTGGACACATGCTGGCACTTGGAATAATCGAAGCTCTAAAACGACGAGCTGAAACAGGTGGCTCATACCTTGTCACGTCGAATCTACTGAGAGTTGGTATGCTGCTACATGAACTCGAGCCGTATGAAGACTCGGTAGTAGAAAAGATTTGGGAAAAATATGAAGCTGAACGAAGCTATATGGACCCTGCTGATGAGTACGGTGCTGGCCAGCAAGGTAACAAAAAAACCATCGTGTTTTCTTTCCAAGTATGAGGCCTTATACGTGTCTAACGATTTCCATTCACTTCAGCCTACTTTACCAAATGGCAGGCATACATATTCAAGAAGGTGTGTCTTACCATTTTATGCTGTATTACGTCCCACTCCAAATAACATTCCTTAAACCTATAATCAGGGACACCCAGAAGCATTCCGCGACGAATATTTCTTCCAAATTCTGAACTCTCATTGGGATGGAATGGATCTGAAGCTAGTCAAACCGTCCATGAATTTATCTGATACACCATTATATTTCAGAATCTCGTCCCGTGCTTGGGGAACAGACCAAATCCCCAAGTTTTTGGAGATGCATGAGGTGGCAGATTCGGTGAAACTGCCTCCAAAGAATGGGATGGAGACGTATACCGTTGATAAGAGTAAGAGGGACGGTGGTCTTACTCTGACCGTCGCAGCCAAGATTTAGGCTTTTAATATGTCGTTGAAAATATATTGGACGTTGTGAGCTACACAAGACGCAAATTTCGAGATTTGGTTGAAAGTTGCAGATTGACTATAATCATGCCAGCGAATATTAAGGTCGCATAATATGTTTCAGGCTGAGCGGGTTCCGTACCACGGTTCAAGTATCTCACTACGCGTATTGGAAGTCTTATCCCCTTTTCAAAAAACCAAATCTCATTTGACAGCTTTGGAGCAAGTCACACACGTCAAGATCAGCTTTAAATAATATTTGCGACGTGATGAAAGTGTCCTGCAACCGTTCTGTGAGCGATCGTTATTGCCTGCTCAGCTTTTTTTTTCTTTGCACTCACAAAAAAATACCAACATGGCGAAACAACGAGAGAGAGCAGCCCCAGCTGCTTTCAATGGTAGCAAACGTAAGAATGCACACTCAGACAAGCCAGCAAAGAAACAGCGAACAGAACAAGACGACGACGAATCCAAAAAACAACCTTCAAAAAAAGACATCTTGAAAAGAAACATATTAGAGCTAGGAGGAGACGATTCAGATCTGGATTTGCTAGCTGATGTACTGAGTGACTCTGATCGTGATGAGCCTAGCGAGGTTAAGGCCAAGGCTGAGAAAAAGGAGATTGTCATTCGCGAAGATGATGTATGATCAACTTGCGAGGGATTTTTTGCTTGCACGAAACTAACTTATCTGATCATATTTATAGGTCTTAATGAAAGACGTCCAGTCATTCATACAGAAGGAATTTGCATCATGGAATGCTTCGGCTCATACCGACGACGAATCTAGTAATGTGGATGAACAGGAACAACAGGAAGACGATGATGAAACAGGCGAAACTACCAACGAAGCTACCCTTCAAAATGAATTGAAGAAGCTTATTGGTGTCGCTTCTACCGCTAGTAAAACTGAAGTAGTCAAGAGGGAAGTGTTAGCTAAACCAACACCTAAAGAAAACTCTGCTGCTACAAAGGAAACCCCCGTCAAGGAGATTAAAGCTGTCAAAGACGCTAAATCTGTCAAGGAAAAGCCTGTGACTGCCGAGAAGAGTGCCGAAAAGGGTACTGGTAAAGAATCTGCTCCGCTTACACAGAGTGTTTTGACTTCATCAGTTGAAGCACCCAGTAACAAGAAGGGAAAGATACAGATGGTAAAGATGCATGTGACCAGCTTTGTCTGCAACATGAGTCTAATCTTTTTGCTTCATTAGTTGGTAGATCCCTTGACAGTCTGGTACACTCTCCCCGAAGCAAACACTCCAGCTCCAACCACAGCAGTCTCCGATCAGCTCTTCAACACCTTGTATCGTAAAGCTCAAGCTATTTCAGAAGCAGAGACTGCAAAGCAATCACAACATGGTAAGTTTTTATGTCTGAACACTCATCCAAAGTCACAGAATTTAATTTTTTTGTCGATAGTGAAAACGCGCTCATCTGGAGACAAGAGCTTCTTATCCACCATTTTGAAATCTGGAACAGTCACTGATCGAGTATCAGCCTTGACGATATTGGTACAAGAGGCTCCATTATACTCTTTGAAGTTCTTGAAGGAGGACTTGTTGGAAGGAATGGCTAGCAAAAAGTCTCGTCGAGAGGCTATTCTGGCTATTGACAGTATCAAGGATTTGATGACTACCAAGTTATTGCCTGATCGCAAATTGAGGTGGGTGGTTGTGTGTGAACTTGGCAAGAGTTTTAGCGTGATGACCGTTTTTGTATTTCCTTTCCGCACAGGTATTTCCGAGATCAGCCATTACAAGATTCGAATGTGACGGATGCGCATTTGCTTGTTTGGTATTTTGAAGATACACTCAAGAAGCTTTATTTTGACTTGATCAAAACTTTGGAGGTATTTATCAAAACTCGTCCTCCTTTTTGGCTCCTTGCTCACAACGTCGGCAATCATTCTTCGCACTAGGTCTTATCTCATGATCCCGTACTGAACGTTAAGACTCGAATCCTGTCTTACATCCACGACTTGCTAGTTGCTAAACCAGAGCAAGAACAGAATCTGCTTGTCTTGTTGGTCAACAAACTCGTGAGTATTAGCTCATAAACATTACTTGTTTTGCATCTGCCAACCATGATTTTTTTGCACTTTGACAGGGTGACTCTGATCGTAAAGTAGCAGCCAAAGCCGTCCACCATCTAACACAGCTCTTGTCGACCCATCCAAACATGAAGATGGTAGTCATCAAAGAAGTCCAACAGTTACTCTTCAGACCAAACGTGGCAGCACGAGCACAATATATATCCATTACGTATTTAAACCAAATCGTGCTATCGAATCGCCCTGAAGATGTCAAGGCTGCTAATCATTTGGTTGAAATCTACTTTACAGTCTTCGAGAGACTGGGTAATGCAATCCGGGGTCGTAAACCGGAAGATGATAAGCCCAAGAAGAATGATAGGAAGAATAATAAAAGTCATGATAACAAGCATGGAAAACATGGCAAACATGGCAAAAAGGACAATCAGCACAACAACAAGAAGGAGCAAGAGACTGAAGAACCAGCCATGATTGTAGATGGCATAGAATCTAAGATGATGGCCGCAGTATTAACTGGTGTAAACCGTGCCTTTCCATTCTCGAAATTGGATGATGCCGTGTACGACAAGTATATTGATAACCTCTTTACCTTCTCTCATATGGGTAGTTTCACGACTACGGTACAAGCTCTAGCACTCATCTTCCAAGTCCAGACCACTCGAAACATGGTTACGGATCGCTATTATCGAGTATTATACAACACGTTACTGGATCCACGATTGTATACCGCATCTCGACAAGCCGTGTATTTGAATTTGCTGTATCGGTCATTGAAGGTGGATGCTAGTTTGAATCGAGCGCGGGCCATGCTGAAGCGATTGGTGCAGGCTTGTACGCTTGCTCAAGTGCCGTTTGTATGTGCATCGCTGTTTATGGTTGGTGAGATTATAAAGAGTAAACCCGGGTTGAAGAGTTTAATGTCGGAATCTGATACCAGTGATGTTGAGGTCTTTCGTGATCAGCCTTCTGCGGATGATGAGGTTGCTGCTATGGCTGTAGTGGCTGTAGATGAAGCTACTGCTGTCAAGGAGGACAGTTCAGATAAACCCACAAAAGTAGAAGAAGGTGCTGGTCCTAGATATGATGGACGTAAACGAGATCCACTGTATGCGAATGCTCAGCTTACCAGCTTTTGGGAATTGGTATGGTCCAAACGTCCCTTTCAGTTTTTTTTTTTGGCACTACAAAAATCTCACCACTGCTTTATTTTTCTCACATAGGTTCCATTTGCATCTCACTTCCATCCTACAGTCTCGTTATACGCCACTACTCTCTTGGAAGGCAACTCTATAGAACTACCAGCCACATACGTAAACTACGATCCATTACAAAACCACACCTTGGCACGTTTCCTTGACCGATTCGTATACAAGAACCCACGAGTAATTAAATCCCTCTATAAAGGACCGTCACTCATGCAACCTCGCCTGGTCGATCAACAAAAGAACCAAGACGACCGTATCGTATCTGGTGGTCGTAAACGTGGTGCTGTCTTTATGGACGAAGAAGGCGGCAACAATAATGGTGTTGATGGTAGTGCAACGCGATCCTCTAAGATGAGGAAACTAGATGAAGCGCCAGTAAACGATGAATCATGGTTACGACGCTCAGAAACTGAAATGCCGGCTGATGAAGTCTTCTTCCATCGATTCTTCAAGGCACGGGTTGTGCGTAAACCTACTGATAAAACCAGCAATAAATCTAAAGCAGGTGCTGGTGATGAGGAGATGGAAGATATGGCTGAAGACGTAGATGAGGATCAAGAGATTGACGAAGATGAAATATGGGATGCTATGCGTAAAAGTAGTGGTCTTCCAGCTCCTGATGAAGACGACGAAGATGAGGATGCTGATGAAGTGATGGGAGCTGATCTCGACATGTTGTCATCAGAAGTGGATGGTGAATCGCCAGATGTCACCGATTTCATTGACGATGAAGCAGAGGAAGACGATGATGATGACGTGGAAGGTAGCAGCAATATCGAACAGGACGAAGATGACGAAGCAGAATCTGGTGACGATGCCATGAACGACGACGAAATCGACAATGCTTCTGATTCCGAACTGGCTCGTATCTTTGGTGATGATGATGCACCTGATAGTGATGAGGAGGAAGAAGCAGAGGTTAAGCCTAAAGCACAAGAGGCTGAAAAGAAACCATCACGAGGTAAACGAGCCGTACTACAGCAAAAGGCAAAGGCATTAGGCTATAAAGGCTCCTTCTTTGAAAAGAATAAGAAGGGTATTAGTAATAGTAAGAAGTCTGCTTCGACACGAGGAGGTCAAGACGATGATGGATTACAATCCACTACGTTTGCTTCGCTAGAAGACTTTGAGGCTTTAATTGATGGAGATGAGGATGATCAGGAATAGACGACTTTGTACGTTTGCAGATTGGCTGGTTTTTTCTCTTGTTCTTTCAGCGATATAACCAAGAGTTCGAGTTCGCTTTCTAGAAGATATTTAACGCGATTCGACACGTTTTTATGTTTTTATTGTCGTATTCACTGTGGTTGAGTTGGCAAAACTTATCAAACTCTTGGAGTTTTGCGTCATTTGTGCAGAAAGAGCTCTCAATGGAAGTCGTATGTTGGACGTGACATCTATCAAGGTATTAGCTTTTCATACGAATCCTGTAATCCAAGCTATCCTTCTTATTCTTCCTATCCCAATAGCTTGCTTAAAGTTTCTGGAAACGATGGCATTGTCGGAAGGTCACTACGACATTACTATACCAAATGACTCGCACTCCCGAAGGATCATACACCTCCGTTTGTCAGAGGATGTACTAAAACAGCTCCAGGATGACGATTCAGTGGAGCTCTCATTCGATTTCCAGCCATCCAACCAAACATATGTAAGTGGTTGTATCTCTACTCACATATTGATGTGGTGATGGTAGAAGATACTATGTCCAAGACGCGTTATATTTGAAGTAATCTCATCCATCTCCTTATCCAGCATCTTATAGTCAATGATGAAGGTCACGAGCTTACGACTTCTCAAGCTCAGAACTTTACTGAGTGCTATAAACAGGTGCAGCCAAACAAATTAGAGTTTGTTGGATCTGTGTCGCATCTCATGCATGTCAAGTCTCAATTTAATGACAAGTTACGGTCTGAGATACGGCAAAAACAGATTGCTGCAGAGGAACAGAAGCATTCTAGAAAGTATGTTTCATTATGACTGTTGGAGTCCAGTTGTTCGAGTCTAAAGTCTCAGTTGTCTCACTGTTATTCGATGCTAGGATCGAGTTGACTGATATGGTACCTGATGCAAACAAGAAACGGAAAAAGACAGCCATGACTCGTGCTGTATCCAAAGAAAGGTCACCTGCTATAACGCCCAGTCCCATATCACGCTCAGTATCATTACCACCGCCAGCTACTTCTACTACCACCGTATCGTCATCATCGTCGACATCAAAGAAGGATGACGATTTGAGAAAGAGGATGATTGAGATTCTGGCGCTGGTACCAATGACTCTTGACAAGCTAGTCAAGAGATTGACTGCGTCAGAGGCCAAAGTTCGTCAAGAACTGAAAGATGTGAGTCGTGTTTGCTTCATAAGTGAAATACTCCAACGGCTGAATGTTGTTTGTTCTTTCGCCAGGTCGCAGAATACAATCGTGGAGCATACGAACTAAAAGATGCCGCATATCGAGATGTGGATCCATATCATTGTAGATGGTATGATCGCAAAGAACGTGAAACAGTGATTAGGAATGCCAAAAAAGCATTTCAGGCATTGAGACTACCAGACCATGCTCCAGAATGGAAGAGACTGTCTCCTCCTCCACCACCGCCACAACGAGAACAACAACGAGAACAATCACTCAGTGTACCAAATATGAGTAAAACTAGCAGTAATCTTTCAACAACAGCAAACGCAGACGAATACCACTCGGATTCTGGTACACGTCGTAGTAGTAATAATTATAAACGAGAGGGAACACCCGATACATTAGATCGGCGTGCCAAAAGAGTCAAGACAAGCAGCAGCAATACGAAAAAGAAGGATGCAGTTGCATCGTTGAAAACCATGTTTGATAATCCTCCAAGGAACCTTTCCGTGGCACCGGAATCACCGTCTTCGAATGCTGCTTCCAGTGGTGGTAAATCGCCCGTTGTAGCGGATAATCATGTCTCAGATAATGTAGCCTCTAGTAGTAGTAGTAATAGTAGTAAACCACAGTCATCTACCACAAAAGCAGTAGCATCACCAGTAATACCACAAAGAGTGGTCAAACCAACCGCAACATCATCATCAATAGCTGCTAAAACAGTAGTCAGTCAAGCAGCAATACGACTGGAACCAGTAAAACCACTATCAACATCCCTAGATAAACTATCCGACTCTGAAATCGAACGATTGTTTGATTCGCGGTGGACATCTCATGAGACGCTATATTCTGAAATATGTAATTTGGCTCAAACTGCTCAGCGGATGCATGAGAAGATGGTGGCTGCTAATAATAGTAGTAATAGCAATGGTCATATACAAAACAGCAAGATATCATCAGGACCAGCATCAGCAAACAACTCGGCACATTCTGAATTGTGTCGTGAAATTGATACACAGATATCTCAATTCACTGTGGATGGTCATAGTGTTACTTTCAATCAGGATGAGCTGAGGAGTCTCTTGTCGGGAGCTGTTACGAAATATGAGGTATTGCGTAGCCAGGTGTCTCAGTTAAAAGCTGAGGTGGAACGAAGGCAGCAGGCCTGAAATTGTATAATTTAGAGAAACCATGTATGAAAAGTGAAGGAAGCGGCTAATTTTGTACGTTATTGATTTATGATGGAAACAAGGAAAGCATTTCGCATTGACGGTCAGCATCAGATTTTTGTTTCGTCGCGGTTGTGGTTGACAAAGACCCGGCGCTTTCAATACGTTCTCGATGAATGCTGATGATTATATTGTGTTTGCATTTCTAAACTAGACTAAAGTTGACTTGGTGTTATGGTATATGCGGCTGCTTGCCAAATAATGTAGATAGAAAGACATGATGGGGTGGAATGATTCGGTTTACTTGGTTTACGATTACGAAAGCTGTGCTCCAAGTTGTCTATCATCCAAATATGTTAGAGCCGAGACAACCACCAGAGATTCATGTAGCTTTCTTTGCACACACAAAAGCACACGTACTGCTTAGAACCAGCAATCAATTCTGCCTTTGAAGGCAAAGAGCTTAATGCATTAGCAGCAGCTTCCTTGGCAGGAGCTTCGTTCAAGCCTTCCATGAGAGGTGCGGTCTTCTTCATGGCTGAGAAGGTGGGCTCATCGGTTTCAGCTGTGATGATGATAGATGGTGTTAGTGTGTTTTTGGTTTTTTGGTCAATTACGCAAAATGGAATTTCGTAACGAAGAGGGTGTTAAACTGGTAAAAGAGCATACCCTGGCGACTGGATCCAAAGAATACGTCGCTTTTGGGACGGACTCCAGTATGTGTTGATGATCGTTGTCTGCTCATTTTTGGATTTTGTAGGTTCTGTGCGAAAATTCAGGTGTGAGCGAATGGAAAAGTAGTGTTTAAGTGCGTGACTCCTTTGCTACCAAACCTTTTCTAAAGAATATTGCTGCTTTGAAAAGAAAACAGTTGGTGGTGGAAGAGAGGTTGTTTGTTGACAACAAAAACAATGCCTCTTTGAATCAAAGACCTTAACCCTTGCTGAGGATTCTGGGATTCCAGGAAAGTTAGGTTTCGGCTAAAGGTTGGTGGAAGTTGCTGTAGAAAAATGAGCTTGGACGAGTTTGTTTAGTGTTGGTATATACGTCTTTGCGACCAGCGCCCGTGGCATTTGTGCAGGCGAAGAAAAGGTCGCGAGTACCTTAATGATGGAAATATGAGATATTTTCGCGTTTAAAACGTTCTTAGATTAATATGCATTCATGTTCCTCTGAAATCGTCGCGTCTCTGTTTCTGGCAGTGTTGCACATCTCCTTCAAAAAAAGTTGGTTAAATTCAGACTTGTCGAATCCAATCGCTCTCAGTGTGCGTGAAGCAAGCATCTGAGATCGTCCGCTGTATTGCTTACTAAATCTATTTCTTATTTTCTAGTTCACATAATGCAACGCCGATGCTTGAAAGCTTCCATTCAGCTGCTAAAACAATCAACGACATGCAAACGGTGCAGCATACCAAGGAGGATACATCGAGGCTATAGTACCCAGCCACCAAAGCAAGAAGCGCCCAGGGAAACTAGTGACTTTAACGTAAGTGTCATTGCTTGTCGACACTCATCAGCAGATGCATCTTCGAGTTTTTTGCATGGTCAAAGATCACTCACACTCCATCCCATTACATTCCAGAGACTAGCATGGAACTCGGTCGCAGCATTCGCCACATCCTCCGCCCTCCTCTTCGCCTACTTCCAGTACGAGCAATTCGCACAATCCGCCAAACGTGACGAATCGAAAAACGTATCTGTTGGTAAACCACTCATTGGCGGTCCATTCGCACTGACGGACCATTTCGGGAAGGCGGTCACAAGCGAGGACTACAAAGGGAAATTCGTGCTGCTGTATTTTGGATATACGTTTTGTCCTGATGTGTGTCCTGAAGAGCTGGAAAAGATGGCCAAAGTGGTGGATGCGTTGGATGGGGATGTGAGCGTTGGTAGAGATAAGGTTACGCCGTTGTTTGTGTCGTGTGATCCGAGGAGGGATACGCCTGGGATTATTAAAGAGTACTTGGCTGGTAATTCACGCTTGGGTAATGTCTTTTTTCGCCATTCAAACTCACATTACTTCTCTCTTAATCACAGAATACCATCCGAAATTCATTGGATTGACGGGCACATACGATCAAATCAAGCAATGTGCTAAAGCATATCGATTCTATTTCAGTGCACCTCCCAATGCTGCTGATGGTAAATCTGTCGATTATCTAGTAGACCATTCCATCTTTTTCTATCTACTTGACCCCGAGGGCAAGTATGTAGCGCATTTTGGGAGATCGGATGCGGCTGATACTGTCGCTGAACGTGTAAAGGATATAATCTTAAAGTATCGATCTGATCTTGTAAAATAAAATCGTAGAATAGAAAATTGCTCATATCGGATACCATAAGTGATTAAGTTTGTACAGTTGTATATTCAGTAGTTGTTGCTACTACACATGTGGATGTTGGCTAAAAAAAGTAAGGCTCTCTTCCTATATCGGTGCTGGCCAAACACCAATATCCTTTCTTACATCCTCCAAAGGCCTCTCAAACTCCTCCTCATACATAATATTCATCAAAAACTTCGCCCTGGCACCAGTCTGCACCGCCCATGGCACATACACATCAAATAATATGTCTCGTTCCGCCTTACTCAACCTCGCAGGCCCCACAAACGAGCTCAGCGCCGCCACAGGCAATCCCGTCTGCACCATCTCAAACCACTTTATCGCCAATTCATCCTGGACAGTAATTCCCAATCCCAACAATGTGTGCCAAAAGTCGTGTACTTGACGATACCTAGTCATGACATATGCGAGCTCTGGATCCGAGATGTATTTTATGGGGGTTCGGGTATCTGCTGATACGTTATGGGTTGTGCAGAATGCGAGGTATTCGTGTCCGAAAGTGCCTGGTGGGAGGGTTGATAGGTTATCAGGGAGGGTTGAAGTGTTGATTATGGGTTGGAGTTGGAGGATTTTACGGCCTGTTGAGTCTAGCAGCATTCTGTCTCGCATCCTGGATAGCATGAATGAGCCTGTTGATTCTCCGAGAGCTGCGACCATGTCTATTAGTTGTGTCTTTGGTGAGCTTAATTGCTGTCATTGAGCGAGTTTCAAAGATGGTCAAACCTTGACGTGTTGGGTCTCGCAGAGCTGTAAACGCTGATGATACAGCGATTCGTAAGCTCTCACAAACGGACAGACTTTGAGCTGGTATGTATAGTTGAAGGGGTTAAGCTCAACCAAAGTTTGATGATGCAACAAGCTCCAATAACAAATTCAGTCTGCAATACCTTGTGAGTAAGGCCTTGTTGAGATATACAAGTCATTTAACTTGACACGTTTAGCACAATGTCGAATTCGATTGCCAAACATTCTGGTCCAAGTGCAAATGATGGTGTTTCAGAGAGTCAGTCCAGAGGTCAAAGAAGGTAGATGTACGCGAATAATGCGAATATGTACGATGAAATGCCTAATAAACAGTGTGTAAGTCAAGTTGAAGGGCGAGATTTCGTGATTTTCAAAAAAAGCGAGTGCAAGTCTCCAGAGACCGACCTTGAATATTGTCTATAGGCTATAGGCAGTGGAAATACTTTTACCGCCACGAGATTATACGAGTCTTGCTTATGAAGACGGGACAAGATTAGAGATTCTGTTGTGTGTTTTGAGAGTGGAGGAAAATGGCAGGAAATCGAGGCAAGTGAATAAAAGTGGCAATGTTTTATCTGGTTTTGTATTATCGACATTCCTTCCATTTTATACATGGTCTGGACTGTTGGTCTTCCTGTTTATATAAGACAGTTGTGTGGTTTGAGGTTGAAGTGTGATGTCAGCACACTCCCTCAAACGGACAGACATTTGATGAAATTGAAATCACGTCGTTGGCACTCGGAACAATCAAGAATACTATTATTCACACACATCTTTATTAGAATCTCCACATAAACTGGTCCTCAAGATCGGAGCTCCAAAGAAACCACAGTCTCCTGCACCAAATCGAATCCCACAAACCACGTCAAATCCACATACACATGGAAACGTGAATCATGCTCCAAAGCCTGCACAAACAGTACCCAAACTCAAACTACTGTTGAATCCTGGTGGCGGTAGTAGTAACAGTGCTGCTGGTGGTACTGCTTCAGCAAAGAGGAAACACGATGATGCTCCTCGGCCACCAAATACTGCTCATAGCAATCCATACTCTGCTGGATCTTCAGCTCCTTCGTCGTATACTGGTACTCCCGTCATGGAATCACGACAATTACCAACTCCTTCCATAAAAAAGATGAAATTCGATAATACCTCTGCAACAGCACCGAATACGAATAGTAATTATAATAATGGTATAGCTAGCAATAGCATTGCATCATCAGTTGCACCTGCAGGTGGATTTGATCAACCACAGCAACAGGATCTAGTGACTATGGGTCCTGATGGACTTCCTGTCACTGTAAAAGAGAAAAAGACCAAATATAAACGTAAAGGTCCAGCACGTCCAAAACCTGGTGAGCCAGGATACAAGCCACCGAAAAAGAAACCACTGTATCAGGTAGTCAAGAAGTTCCTGGCTACCTTGAAACAAAAAGATGAATATGGCTTCTTCTTGGATCCTGTAGATACGATTGCCGTGACGGGATACCTCGATGCCATCAAAGAGCCAATGGATTTCACGACAATGGAAAGAAAGATATTTAAACGTGAATATCGTGGTATTGAAGATTTCCACAGGGATGTCATGCTCGTGACTGGTAACTGCAAGACATTCAATCTCCCTGAAACATTATATTATCAGGAAGCTGATAGGTTGGAACAGATGGCAGTAGCGTGGTATACTCGTGAAGCACCCAATATAGCTCCACTGACAGAACTAGACTTGGTTCCAGAAGAACCAGGTGGAAACGACACGGAAACAACCCAAACAGCCAAGGAAGAAGTGGCAGTGCCTCGCAGACGGCTTCCCGATTTACGAGATCGCGCTACTACAGGTCGTAAACCGCCCATAGATTTGATGCCATATGTTTCCAGTCGTGACAAGCTAATCAAGAGAACTATGCCAGATGAATCTGGTTTCTTGCCTGCCTCTCAACGTAAACTACGTAAATTCAATCAATGGGATGCGCTAGAAAATAAGATGGCGTCTCTCATACAAACTGATGGGTCGATTATACCATCTAGAAAGTCAGCAGGAGGATGGGACATGTTGGAGGATTTATTTCCAAACATGACACCCTTCCAAGTATTTATTCAACAGCATTCTACAAGGCATTATTTAACTAGTGAAGATGTGGATGTACCTCTGATACCTCATACTTTTGGCTCTTATGGGTCTGTCTCACGAATGGACGGTGATGCTCCTCTACCTTTGCATCCTCGATTACAAACACTCGTATTTAAAGACCCGACTGGTGAAGCTTATATTGCCAGCTTGGAACGATTCGTAAATTTAAACAGTAGTAGTAATAGTGAGGTCGATGATGGCACGAGTCTCTTGAAGGAGTACATTGACCAACGCATTGAAGACTTATTGGGTGGTGCTGATGTCTTGGCAGGAGAAGCAATGAATGCAGCTTTAGAAGCTAAAGAGTCAAAGACATTTAACGCACTAGTATTAGAGACCAAAGCATTTGGTAAAGTTGATGTCGCTGCAGGTCTAGAATTGATTCAAAAGTATGGTGATCAGGCATCGCGAGAAGAGGCATCGGCTGCCATGTTTAAGGATGTTAGTTTGGAGATTCCTGCACTTTTAAACTTGACTGGAGGCGGAGAGCTGAATACCAAACCGTATGCTCAGATCAAGCGACCACAGTTGTTTGCTGATAGTGTCAAGGATATTATGGAAGCTGATGCTTTATTACAGTCATCGAATAGCAATGGTGGCACTGATGCTCCCAGCAACGACACAGAGAAAGCGCGACTTGAGACTTTAAAGACTGGTATCCAGAATAGACTCAAGCATGTCTTCCAGCAATTGAGTGCCGAGAAAAAGACAGTCGTAAATCAGCCTAACCCACCTTACGTCCCAATGTCTCTACCTCCCATGCAGCCAATGAATATCGGCAATGTAGGAATGCCAATGTCGATGCCTCCTATGAGTATCCCAATGTCGATGCCAATGTCGATGGGTGCCTTGTCGATGCCAATGATGACACCTGTACAGATGCCAATGAATACCATGCCGATGCCCATGAATACTACTTATACGTCACCGCAGAAAAATGGGCCGCAGAAACAGTCGCAACAACAACAGCAACAAGTATCATTACCTCATCAAAGAATGCCGCAACAGCAGCAACCTCAAATGTTTAGAACGATGCAACAACCACACCAGCAGCAATCGCCACAGCAACAGCAGCAGCAAGCGCAAGCTCAGCAAAGGCAGCAGCAGCAACGAGTGCAGCAACAACAAAGGCCACCGCAACAGCAGCAACAACAGAGAGCACTACCACCACAGCATCAGCAACAGATGCAGCAGCAACAGCAGATGCAACAGCAGCAGATGAGACCGGTGAGGGCACCATCGTCTCAACGTCCAGCTAATAGTAACACTAGTCCAATGGTGCGACCTGGACAAGTAGGCGGAATGATGGCAGCAGCTGGAATGAATATGCCGCCCATGAATCCAGTAATTCAACAGTATATGCAACGGTTTCATGGCATGTCTAGTCAGGAGCTCAGCCAGTACCTTGCTGCCAAGTAAGCAATTGCATTAGTCGTGTCGTCCATTTTTTTGCCAGCTCGACCTAATGATGTCTTTTTCATAATCATAGTCCGACGGTATTGAATGCTATTGCACCTCATCTGAACATACAGCAGCAGTTTCAACCAGTACATAACAGTGGTGGCAATAATCGACCACGTACTCAGTCGTTACCTCAACAGCAGCAGATACCGCAAAGTATGATGCAAGGAAACATGTCGAATCTAGGTAACATGCAAGTACCAGCTTATAATATGGCACCTCGATTCATGCCTCAACAGCAGCAGCAAGTGATGAACCAACAACAGCAGTACATTCAGTTACCTAATGGACAGTTGATGGGAACTGGTAGTATGAGTGGTGGTGGAAGTAATCAGTTGCCGAATTTGGGGCAGTTGCTACATGGTGGTGTTCCTGTTGTGAAGCAGTCTGCGTATGGTGGACATCATGGACAACATCCATCTCAGCAACCGCCGCCACAGTAGTTAGAAGGATGGGTTTGGTAGTGGGTGTTAATTGGATATGTATATATTTTAGAAGGTTTGTCTATGAGAAATAATATGTTTTTAAGAAGGACGAAAAGAAGGTACGTTCGACCTGAGTGATGGAAGGCGAGTTTCTGGAAGGCGAGTTTCCAATATTAGATATATCTTGCAGCTACGCGTTAGATGGACCTCTGGTGATACATGTGGAGAGGAAGTTATTGTTGGTGCTCTTGAAACGAAGCGATCAGGTTCTAAAACAAAAAAAGTAAAGGAGGAGTTACCGTTGAGACTTGCAACTACATACCAAGTATTTATTATTCATAATCTATCTCTTCACTTTATTGCGGAAGCACGCATCGCAGGAAGGCCGATAGCTCATAGCTCGGACACCGAGGCAGCCAAGTTTTGGGCTCAAAGAGACGACACGGAGTCTCGGTCAGAGCAACAGAACAACCAAGATCAAATGCTTGGAAGGACGTGAACGACGCGTTAGTGTATTGGATGTCCGTGTTTCGAACCTGCGGCGGCCGTTGAAAAATTCCTGTTGCAAAAAACACAAGCGAGAAAAAGAAAGAGGGAGCTTCCGGCCAAGGCCACCACCAATTGAAAAAGTACACCGACGAACAGCCTGTACAATATTGTAGAAAGCTCGCAAGTAGGATAAGATGAGCGGCGCACCAGCTATCGCTCGTTTTTCTGAGAATGAAGACAGAAAGGACGGAATAGTACCTGCAGCAGCAGCAGAAGCACATACCACATCACAGGAGACACTACAAGCAGCATCACCGGCATCATCCACTGCTCCATTGATCGTCGATGCACAACCTGTATCGCAAGACATTGCTGCTCCAGTGGTGCCACCTCAAAAGTACAAGTACCAAATACGACAATCGCCACATTTGTCAAAGAGGGATGCAAACGGAGATATCATTCCAGTCACGTTAAAGTCGCAGACTGTAGCTATGCAGCAGGCTAAAGAGGGTGAAGGTGCTGCCGACCCGGAAAAGTTTGGCTCGACAACCACCCATTTCACTCCTACCAAACATGCGCACCATTATGAACATGCGCCGGGTGTTAAGAGTAAACGTAAATGTGATGTAGGTGTAGTTATGGAAGTTGATCAAGCTTGCATCCTGCAAGGTTTTTGATTTATGCTGACAGGTTGTTTTTTTGGCAGGACTTGTTTTGGTTGATCTTGTTTGTATTGATGTGGATTGGCATGCTTATTATTTTCGGATACTCATGTACGTTAATTGAATTATCCTTTACTCTTCGTGAATTGATTTATCATAACTAAATTTTCACAACAAAATAGTGTTTTACGGTGACGCAAACAGACTTGTCTTCCCACGAGACTCTGAAGGAAATCTGTGTTCCGCAGGACCAGGAGTCGATTCATTCAGAGATTTAACTGGACAGAATTATCTCTTTTATTTCAACTTGACGTCGACAATCACATACAAGCGTTGTGTCGCTTCGTGTCCTTCAGTCACATTCCGTGCCGATACAGTAGTGTGCATGTATGATGTCGTGCCGGGAAACACTACTGCTGCTATCTCGCAGCAAGTTGCATCGGGGCAGTGTGCTTATACGTTTGCTTCGTCGTCTGGTATGTACTGTGAAATGGTGTGCGTGATGTTTCTCATACCTGATGCTTTTTTTCGTCCCTCTTAAAGTCTTATACCGCTGTGTACCAAAGCTGGTGCTATCCGGAAACAATGGTACCATTATTGTTAACGGAACCACAGTGGTACGTATATACCTCGAATGAGTTTGCCACCCCCAAAAAAAATACTTGCTGACATCAAGTCTATATTCTAGGCAACGTCTGCTTGGGGCAACACTGTGTCCAGCGATTTGAACAGTCGTCAAACAGCAGTCAAGATCTGGCAAGACTTGTATGGCGAGTGGTATGGAATCTTAGGGTACGTTATAAGGACGAGCTAGACAAGGTTTTACCCTTGGGTTTCCAAGTGAAGAATACATTGCGGATGCGGGCGAGAGCTTTCTCAACGTCAACGACATCATTGAGGCTCTCGAGATCCTTCAGACGATTCGGCTAACGACTTTTATTGCTCTATGTAGATGTTTCATCATTGTCATGTTGCTGGCAACTGGATGGGTACTCTCTCTTCAGTACTTTGCCCTGACGATGGTGTGGGTGACTATCGCGCTCGTGCTGATCTTCACTGCTGGATTGTCTGCGTTTTGTTGGTACTGCTGGTGGTAAGTCAGAGATCCATAAGTTCAAAGTCAGGCCAATTTCTTGTCAACTTCCCGCTGGAACAACCTTTCCAAGGACTGGGTTTCTGACTCTTCGTTGTGTTTTGTAGGTTATTAAAGTACAACAATAACAATGTCGTCACATACGTCCTCGACACCACTCAGTACTCTCAAGGCTTCTTAGTCTTTTTGGGAGTCACATTCGGCATTATCTTTGTTATCGAAACCATCTTGGTTTGCATTACCTTTACTCGTATTATGCTGGCCGTGAAAGTGATTAATCAAGCTACAAAGTAGGTTAAACTGTTACTTGATCCCGATTTTATTGGTTGGGTCCAAAAGTCGCACCAGAAAACGCGGGGCGTACTGAAAGCTAATCAAACTTGTTTTTGTTTCACAGGGCAATCAAAGCGATGCCACAACTGATTGTGGTTCCTCTTGTTAAGTGGTTGGCTATGCTTTTGGTACTCGCCTTCTTTTTGTGGGTGTTTGCCTTGCAAGCTACGGCGGGCTCTGTAGCTACTACTACTGTTACGTATCAGATTAATAATGTTGCTACCACTGTTACTGGAAAGTCCTTTTCTCCTCTCACGTAAGTGTATGCTATGAAAATATGCTATCAAGGCATGATGGGATTGTTTTCCTCTATTTTCGTTTTTGGCTATGGTCAATATTCGAGTTTCTCGTCACCATCCTCAGTTTGTAAAACTCACTCTGCACGCTGCGACACCTGTTAGATACTTGTTTTGGTTGGAATTCTACACCCTTATCGTCCTACTCTGGACACTCAACTTTATCATTGCCATCGGCCAGTCCACCATCGCAGGGTCAGTCGGCATATGGTACTGGACACGCGACAAATCCACCATCCGCGCCCCAGTATGGAAGGCCTTCACGTACACCCTCCGCGGTAACTTGGGCTCCCTAGCATTCGGATCCTTCATAATAGGTCTCTGCCAAGTAATCAACTTCATTGTCGTACACCTCGAACACTGGGCCCGTAAATCCCGTAACGACTGTGGACGATACTGTCTAACCTGCTGTTGCTGTTGTTATAACTCCATTATCAAGATACTGAAGATGATTACCAAGAAGGCGTATATCTATATCGCTATTAATGATGCTGCATTCTGTCATGCTGCTTCGACGGTGGTGGAATTGATGACTCGTAACTTTTTCCGAATGATTGTGCTGGATGGTGTTGCCAATATCGTCTTGTTTTTGGGCAAGATGGGGATTGTTACACTTATGAGTGTTATTGGGTTGGGCATTTTGAAGGCTATTGCGTTAAGTGATTCGGCCATTAATGTGAGTGCAGAAACGATGCTTTCCTTGTCACAGCTTCCAATTTCCATCGGTCTTTTTGTGCCCGTTTCGTTCATGCCCAACTCACTCAATTCTCTTTAGTACTCGTATGCCTTAATCGTCGTAATCTTCTTCTCTTGGTTTGTGGCGTCGGCCTTCGCTCAAGTCATTGATATGACTATTGATACCATATTTGTCTCATTCTGTAAGTGAAAGAACAAAAAAACGCATGACTCAAATGCTGCTATGAATCTCTTACTCTTTCCTCCTACCTCCCATCTCTCTACTAGGTGAAGACTGTGAACGTAACGACGGAACACCAGAACATCCATTCTACATGGACGCAGAGCTCTTAAAGCTCACACAAAGTGTTGAAGCTGATGACCAACAAGACGATGGCGACGACGAGGAAGAACAGGTTGCTGCTAGAAAGCACGAGAGACTGGATCGTGAATCACGTCGTCATTGAGAGCATAATAGCAGCTCTTGGTTTATCGGATATCACACCGACTGAAAATCTTAATAGTAGTTAGTTACCAAATAGTTCCCCTTGTTTGTTTTTTAAGCCATTTTTTGTTAACTTTTGGGGAGAGAGGTGTTAATATGGAGATCTCATTGACTGGCTTTTATTTCTTGTGCTGTGTTGTGCTTGTGGATTTGTGGTTCGAGTGTCATTCATCATGTTTTTTCAAGACAATCGTTATCGAATGGATCCGATGTTAGCGATGCTTATTCAACATGACACGACATCAAGACGTTGCTTGCCCAGTGATCCTTCGTCACAAGGACGACTTGTCCAAAACAGATGCACCCTGTGACATTATTCTGTCGCCTTGAAGTCCGACACATTCAACAACCACCCACATTGAACTCATAACAAACATGGGCACCATCGCAAGTACAAAGGTGCTTGTTGCAAGGTAATGAGAACGAGATGCGAGTCAAAAATATATGGGATATTGGGATGCGTTATCTCATGCAACGCTATCTTTGGAACTCCACCATCGCTTGTTTTGTGCAGGCCTTTGTTTCGGCTGCTCTTCGTCGATTAAGGTGAATTGGCGTGTAGATCATTTTCGGAAGCTGTACATCATCCCCGTCGGTTTGATCTCTGCGTTCTTTGGACAATCCAAACGCTAAGCTCAATTGAACCTCTTGTAGTGTTTTACAGTGACGCAAAGAGACTAGTCTTCCCACTCGATTCTGAAGGCACCTCGCGCTTAGCAGGACCAAGATCAAATTCATTTGTAGATTTATCTCAACAAACTCTTTCTCGTCACACGATAGTATTTGCTTGTTTTCGTTGGAATTTTGACCTCTCATATTCCTACTATGGACGTTACACTTTCTCATTTCCATCGGTCGTAACCCGTTGCGAGATCAGTCGGATTGTGGCGCTGGATGTGTGACATATCCACCATGCGAAGACCAGTGGGCCAGGCCTTCACCCTCCCTCGTAACTTGGGCTCCTTTAGCATTCGGATGCTTCGCAATAGCATAATCAATGTCTAGCATCCTGTTGATGTTGTTATACTTTAAGCACAAGCTATGTCGCTATCAATAATGATGCTTCGTGTTGTAATGCTCGTTTCAACTCAACCGACTGTAAGTGTCCAAACTGATGACCAACGCAACGATGATGAAGACCATGTTACTGCTAGAAGGTATGAAGGGATTCGGACGCCGCCACTGACCATCGTCCTAATTTATCAGAAATAGATTCCGTGGTATGCGATTACAGCCAACTTTTTTCGGGAGAGACGTGTTGTAATGAAGATCTCATTGAGTGGTTTGTTTTACGTTTGCTTTATATAATTACAGTCTGTGGTTGTATTATTTAAATTAGCATTCCCAAGTACTCCGTCTATACTCTACTCCTCTTCATCATCTTGCTTCCTCCAGTTGGCTACTCATCAAGTCCTCAAACTCGGCCATGAATTCCTGCATTGTTCGTCCTTGAGACAATTCAACCACATCTCTAGGTATTCTACTCGTCATGTACTTGAATCCTCCTTCCATTGCGTCTCCAGGTTGCACAAATCGTAGGATCGGCTTGTTGTCTGATGTAGCATTCTTTGCTAAATCCATGATTTCAGACCATGAAAACAAGAGAGCGTCCGTTGCGTAACGGAATGGGTTGAAATCGATTATGGATACTTTGAGGTTTGTGCGGTAGAGGTACACGTCAACTACGTCTAAGTTGGAGGACGATAGTAGAGTTTGTGCTTGTTTGTTTTTCGCGTTGTAAGACAAACACTGCATTCTCAAATGCACTTACAAGTTGCAACTGGAAACTTTTTGCTCACTGACAGGCTGATGAATTTCTGTACAGCAGACAAGATATCATCATGCATTGGCCTTAGAAACTCGTAATAGTTGTTGTCCCTTTGAGATATCCCTGCATAAAACAATTACACATAAGGCTCTCAAATGCCTACAGGTCCAGACGACTCTGAAATACATGCACCTGCTCCCTTACCTAGCAATCTACCATCAAACACAAAACATCTAAACTCCATAGACGGAGCATACTCATACCACCTCCGTAACACCAGATCAAATGAATGTATCTCATCACCGCCCTCTGTACCATCTTTTGGCGGTAGGACATCATCAAAGGCATGATCCAAATCATGAACAATGAAATCAGACGATTTCAAAAGCAAGAAGATATCTGATGGATCGACACATTTCAGAGTTCCTGTTGTAGTTATCCAGGCTGCGTCCTATTGGAGGATTTGGATTGTTCCTTTTTTTTCTGAGAGTCATCACAAACACATGATACCTTTGGTGAACTCCAATTCAGTTTCGGAAAGACAGCACCTCCAAGTTCTTTGATGGCTTCCGTTATAGATGCTCGTAGATCTGGGAAGCTTGGTAACTATGCGAGAAAAAAAGTCAGGCTCGCTGCCCGTACAAGAGCTTTAGTTTAGCTTACGTCCTGCTCGTCTTCCTCCAACTCACTCGCGGTTTCATCATCATCTTCATCAATATCGCGATCATCTGCATCAGAATAGCGTGACGGTTGTGGCAGGCCATTCCTATATAAGCGATTGCAATGAGCTTTGCACCTCAAAATGTTGCAAACCAACAAACGCATTCAAGCAAAGTAACGACATAATCGCAATCTCAGATAGTTAGCTTACTGGTCCAGAGGTAGAAAGACCCCATCTGCATGTAAGTAAGCGACAAACTCGGCTGGCAATGGAATGATTTTGCTCTTGATTGTCTGGGATGCGAATATTGGATACCATGACGAGAAGCGACATTGATGGATGTCAGAGCTACTCAATTCTGGCATATCGCATGTGGGGCTAGGTGTGTCTGCCTCCACATGCTCGCTATCTTCTATGCTCATTATGTAATTCAACATTTGATTGGAATGTGTTGTTTGGAATGGCGATCGCTGAGCACATGGTGCTTGAGGAGGATATTGCGTGGGATATTACTCCATATTACTGTTTGATCATTCATTTTATTTTATATTCAAAGCTTGAATGCATCAAAGATACAAGCACTCAACGATCGAACAGGTTCAATAACTGACACCTCATTTGACCTTAGACTCAACCTGCACAAACCATGCCTCCTAAGAAACGCGCTGCAGACGATGATGTCGAAGAAGACGATTTCGTCGTAGAAGACGATGACGACGAAAAGCCTAAAAAGAAGAAGGCTGCTCCTGCAAAAAAGACAAAGAAGAATGACGATGTGGATGGCAATATCGCTACTTTCGATGTAAGCACCAAGTTTGCAATTTGGAGTGTGTGCTTGCTGGAGAGAGGCTTTTATCATCAAATGCTGAAAACCTTTGCCAGTTGGAAATTTCAGCAAATACACACATACTGACATTTTCATCACACTCTCCCCTCTGTCTGTCGAGCAGCTCACTGCCACCCGAAAAGTTGCTGTACGCACTTACAAGGGGACTCTCCAAATTGATGTGAGTCCTTCTGTTCCCAAGGCCATCGTCTTTGGATCATCCTGTGCTTTACGAAGCAGCATCTCCAGCTTGAAATATTGACTTTCTTGCACATATACTTAGATTCGTGAATACTACGCAACTGACGATGGATACAAACCCGGAAAGAAGGGAATCGCTCTCACAAAGGCACAGTGGGAAACATTGAAAACACTCATTCCACAAATCGATGAGGCTGTGGCCTCCACTGATGCATAATCTCGATGAAAAGTAGCTAAAGCTCAAGTTGTAAATATGCTTGTTGTATTTTTACCTTTACCATAGAAGTGTTGGATTAAACTGAAATTATTAAAACCATCAAATCTGGAAAGACCAGTTGTTTTGATTGTTTGTTTGGGGGATCTTTACATCAGGGAAGTACTTCACATTGGGTTATGAAAACAGGGAAAGTATACAACGCGGGAATTGAGAATTGGGATATAAGGAGAGCTCGTCCTGAATCGTGCCACAGTCCAGCAGAGCCCTTGTTGAAACCCCCGAGAGAAGTTTGAGAGGGAGTAGAAAAAGTGATGCTAGTAACAAATTCATCAATACAATTGAAACGTCTCATATCCGTAAGCAAGTTCTCATGACCATGTGCATCACAGCAACATACGCACTCAAGTACTCATGGCAGGCGGGTAGCATGCATCATTCTTCCTTGACCAAACAAAGTAGTAACCCACACAAATAACAGAAAATAGTATTTCAACGGCTTTGCTTGGGTTCTTGCATGGCGCAAGAACAGACTTTCACGCAATTGGGTAAAGGCTCACATTTCGTTTTTGCAACAAAATGGGAAGATTCGATGTGGCGTCTCCCAGATGGTATACTGAGGAATAGTACCGTTTTCTGGTTGTCCGACTCCCAATGCAATATCAACATTCCTCGCAAATGGTTGACTCAACAGGTTTTCAAAATGTATGTGTGTGTGTTTGAAGTTGGTCACCATTTGTTCATTGATGGAGGAAAGCTCAGACGACTATCACAAATTGCTGATCCTCGCCGGTAATCCGTTCGCTTGCTATCAGGTTCAGTGTGCTCCTCAACCAATAATTCAGATCTTCAAAACTCACACACGTTGCCTTTGTCATTGCTCGTAATACCAGCGAGTGCCAATACACGATATAGCACAATTCGATAGAGCTGATGCCTTAGAAGGTAGCTATCTAGAGAATCTTCTTTCCTTTGCTAGCGAGTTTGTGCACTCTCTAATCTGCGGTTATTGCGAAGGCGATGCTGGGAACTGGCCTGGGGAAGCGAACATCAAATACGACATAGATCTTTTACAAACGAACCAGAAACAACCGTGCATGTATCTTTGAAAATGTACATGAAAATGAAATGATCTAGCTCTAGCAATTATTACATGTGTCTTGAATACTATATATTCCTTGGCAACCCCACAAAACAACTGGTCCCTCAAAGCTATACGCCCCATTCAAGTCCGATTTGTATAATCCCTCCACTCTTGGATCCCTCTTGACCTTCCTCTGCAAGCAGGAACAGCTTGTTTCGTCGGCACACAAGCAGATTCAATGACCGGATCTTGTCCTTTTTGGTTTCGAATACGTGCACCACCTTTCCAGAGTCGGCATTGACAACATCCACAACACTTTGCGAGCCAACTACCAAAAAGTCATGACCAAGTTTGGCTAGAAATGGCGGGGAAAAGATGTGAGATGGACTTAGCAAAGAAGGCCCACATACTGGCCGGTATACCTGCAAAGGTCAATGGATTCCTCCAAGTCAGTATCTTGTGCTCGTCTTGATGAGATATAACACCCATATCTAGAAAATGCAAAACAAGTCAGTTTTCACCTGAACCCCCAAACGTCCTCAAAACCAATTCGTTGACCCATACTTTGATAACACATCACATAAGAATCAGTAAAAGGAATTCCAGCAACACTGTTTCCCAACCGCTCTTCTGATGTATTCGGAACTACCACATCTTCAATAATGGTAGTTTGCAAATCAACCATTCGGAATTTCGTGCCAACTCCAGTATACAGTTTCACATCAGTGGCAGAATTCTCTACTACATTCATGGATGAGATTTTGCCTTCTTGTGGGACATCCTAAAAAAGTGTCGAAAATAGCGGTCTGAGTTGGCTATATGTTCTGCTCAATAGGCTTTTTTCGCCGTCGAAAACTCACCTTGAGTTTCATGAACCTGTTTAATGGATGAGCTGCCCATTTCATAACTAGAATCGACTTGGGCATGGCGACACAGAGATACACAGAGTTGTTCATTTTACCTAGACAGCAAAGCATATGAGGTCCTGACTTCAAGACAATAGCCCAAGATGCGCTTTTCAAACTCACTTAACGAAAAGAAGTCACACTCCCTTGTCTCCTTCAACTTTTTCAGCTTGGTCTCTGTCTCAAACTTGTGCCTTTTCTTGAACTTGGATGTTGATGACAGCTCGTGTATTGCGACCACAGAGTGTTTTCCTATTAAGAGGAGATAATATGAGTTTGCTCCTGTTTTTTTCGCTTCCGATGGTTGACCAGAACGTACCAGAACGGGACACTAGAATGCTCAATTCTTCCACAGCATCTATCTGCTCATACTTTCGTTGGGATAGTTCAATCATCTTGCCATCAGACCCTAACCAAAAAAGCTCTTAGACTCGTGGATTCAGAGGATATATCTGATTGTACGTACCACTACACTCGAACGCATACAGTCCAGCGTCAGTTCCAAGTAATAAAGTGTCACCTGAATTGGAAATCAACAGTATTAGATTCTTGATGATCTTTTTACATAGCACACAACAGAACCATCCATACCTAAATACTCGGCACAGTCGACTCTTATTGATATTCTGCAGAGTCTCGTAGCCTTGAAGATCTGCCGTTTTGAAGTGGAGGGGTCGTAAGTTGCAGAGTTGAAAGCCTAAGACAGAAAGCGATGGAGCTTACAGGCTTCTTGGTTTCGACACTGGTTATACTTCCAGAAGTTGATTTTGTCTACAAAAAAATAATAAGCAAGAAGTCCTGAGCAAGCATTCACGACGAGCGCAAATACCAACCGTACCGGAGAATGGTCAATCACGCTCGAATTCAACGAAGCAGCTCCACCTGCCATCGGACTGGAAAATGCCGATGCGCTTCCAACACTGCTAGTGGTACTAGCTTCATCCTCACTTTGACTCCTCCTTCTCTTTTCCACCTCGACTACCGAAGATGAAGCAGCAGATGAAGCGGATGATGGTTTTATGGTCGATGATCCATCAATTTCATCTTCAGTCTCGTTTTCGTCGTCGTCATCAACGGAATCTTCGGTAGTGGCGGCAGATAGTGCAGAGACAGGTTTGTTGGTTCGGTTTCGTTTAGCTTCTCGAGCTCTCTCAATGAGGGATATTATAGTTGGTTTTGTTGGTGGTAGTTCTGATACGAATGGATGCTGTAAATGAAGAAACGGTTAGATTCTATCATTTCACAGCAAAAAAAAAAGATCTAAGCAGTCAAGCCAATACTCACTTGAAGTAACTCTTGGGCGCTCGGCCTCATATCTGGATCCTTGACCAAACACTTGACGAGGAAATCACGAAACGTATCCGTCCATTTAGCATCTTTTAATGTTGGTGGATCCAACTTGGGAATCATAAACAAGACTCTCATTGGATGCATGTCAAACATTGGTGGACTGCATTCTGCCATTTCAATGGCTGATATTCCTAATGACCACAGATCTGCCTATATGACATTAAATCGTATGAGAAAAATGCAATTCTGGCAGTCGTGCCATTCTCTATGAGTTGGAGCATTTTTTCGCCTCAAGCGCTGTGGCACAGTATATATACCTTGGAATCGTAGGCTGATCCTTGTTGCTCTGAAGTTATGACTTCAGGAGCCATCCAATACGGTGTTCCAATAAACGTGTTTCGTTTTGAGAATGTCCGTGTCAGTTGAGTCGAGACTCCAAAGTCAGCAATCTTGATTTCTCCTGCGTCAGTCAGTAATATGTTTCCTAGATATACGGGTGTGAATTCATGGTGCAAAAAAAAGACCTTAACGTCCCAGCCATACCACACTTGATGTCTCGATGTATCTTCCCAACAGAGTGCAGGAATGTGAGACCCTATAAACAAATGTGCGTGAGCCTATGGCAACATATGACGGGAAGAGCACCGTGAAACTCACAGCTAAACTCTCTCGAATGATGGCAGCGATTTCACATTCTAGTAATGGTCCTCTCAGCGCTAAAAGACAAGCACTGATTAAGATTCTATCAAATTCCTAACTCGTAAAATCCAATACACTTGCATTTGTATCCTCCTTCCACTGATCCACCTCCACAAAACTCCATGACAATCTACAAGCAAACAAAACCGTTGCAGATCACATGAAATGAAACCCAAACAGGATATTACGGCACTCACCCATATATGTTTAGCACCTTTACTCATCTTCTTCATGAAACAGCCCACATAAGATACGATATTCGCATGCTGACAATCCCGTAGGAAATTGACTTCATTCAACACTTCGTCCAATTCTTCTCCTGCCTCGAGCTTGATGACCTTGACGGCCGCCAGTCCGCCAGTATTGATGACTTTGGCTTTATACACTTCTCCATAACTATATACAGAAGATTGTTTGACTTCAGATGAGAATCACACTTGTTTTAATGTCGGGCTAGTTCTAGTAAAAAACCGAGTAGATCTTGACGGGAAAAGAAGACGAACCTGCCAGTGCCTATGTGGTCTAAAAGTTCATAGTGTTTTTCAGGATCATCCTTGCTACTAATCGCTTCAAATCTTTTATCCATAACAACCATGAGAAACAGAGCTGTGTGCGGTTTTGGAGAAAGTAGAGGAGGCGGCCTACGAGATCAGATCCGAATATGACTGATCCAGTCGTGTCTTCTGCCTACGTGCTTCTATTTTAGGGCGCGGTAAAGAGCACGATTTTGTGAAAGAGGCAAGCAAGTTGCAATGTTGCGATGTGATGGAGGCGGACGAATATGACCGTCAAGATTACGATATTGAACGTGGCGTAGTCATGTAGAGTTACAAAACTGCTATATTTGTCCCAAGCCAAAATCTATTCATCCGTATTGTAGTCATCTACTATGTCAGTCTCTAGCATTTCTACGTCTGTAGTTGCCAGAATTACAAGGACCCTTTCGTTTTCTACCCCTGTGCCCGTGCCATCCACGTCCGCCTTTACACCTTCACCACCACCACCAGCCTTGACTCCTTCTTGGTTGATTGAGTTCAGATCTCCTGTTTCTCCAAGGATCCAAGAGACGAAGAGCATGGCAGTTACTCGTCGGCAGTAGAGTACTACTCGATGGCGATCCTCCACAACCTTGGAGTGTGAGATGGCACATTTATGTTTGTATTAATGACTCTTAAAGCATTCCGTGCCCTTTTGACGCCAATAACGAGAATTCCATCCAGCGTTCGATGTACTTCGTTGTCATTTGATATCTTTAACAACGGGTGATTGGCATTGGTAATGGAGAGAATATCAGACGGGCAATCGACTTTAATATATTGGATGTCACCCTCCCATAACGTCTCAGTCGCATATGGCTCTACATTGTCGGAAAGACAACGAATAAATTCATGAAACTAATGAAGAACAATTATGCATGCCTCGAATTGCAAAGTAGTTGCCGACTGGACAAACAGCATCAAAATCAGTGGCTTTCCAGTCGTTGTAAAAAAAAAAACATGGGACGTAGCAGTAAAGCAACGACCATTCTCATCTTCGAGGCCCAAGTTGAAATGATATGTGGTAGCTATGAAAGTGTTTTCAGCAGGGACGTTGACATACATTTGGCAAACCTAGGCTTCTGCGCTTACAACATGGAGCAACAAAGCGTCCAACAAAGTATTTTCAATATGTTTCTTGGGAGACTTCAAGTCACATACAGTAACTAACGATCAAAGGATGTCGTGAGTAATATGCTCATTCTTGTTATCGGCAAGGGCTTTTTTATACTTCGTTCGAGTTCTGAAAAATCCGTTGAGCTAGTCATCTTTCCATATCCAGTGAAAATCATTGCTGATTTACGCGGTTCCACAACATCCATGGAGCAATAAACTTTCGAAGCCTTCAAAGACCTTCAAACTCGTGTGCTCTGACAGGGATAGGTCGAGCATTCTGTAGCCGTGAATCCTTTTTGTGCAGATGCGAATTCACCTCATCAGTAGAGCCAGGTATTTGGAGCTTTCTCAGCACTTCTTCAGTGACATTCTGTTGGCTTCATTGACCTTGGCCATATCCGTCATCCAGGCCATGGTCAAGAATGGTTTTTGCTCTGTACTCATATCAGAATTCAGGAGCTGCTGAAGAGCGAGTTGTTGTTGTGCATGATTTATTGCTCGAAAGGATGCAGGGAATCTGGCAAAGTCCTGGTTATTGAAGTTCCTATTGGGAGAGGAGATGCCATAACTAGACACGTAGTGAAGCAGTATAGCCAGAGTCTAATGGGTTGACATGCGTTAGCAAACGATTGCAAGTTGAGGGGGAGTCGTTGCAAAGTGTCATATGTCAAATTGAAGACGAGCGTACGTGACTTAGTCGGACGTCACGAATACGGGTTTAACCAAGACATTCAACTATACTTTTCATTCGACGATGCATTAGAATACCTCTGGATTAAAGATGGTGTGTTACGATTCGACTGATGCCCGATGTCAAGTAAAGAGTCAGTTTTGGCTATAAAGAACGATGAGTGTTAGTATGAATTTCGAGTACAAAACTGTTACAATGCTGGGATTGCTCTTTTTTGATTACAAGATGTCAAACATAACATGACTGCATCGTTTTGATCGGTTAGCTTTGCAAAGCGCAACCAATCGCTCATATCCCAAGCACATGAAGCCTAAGAATCCTTGCCTCTGATTGCAGCTGATGTATCCAGAAGCCCTGTATCCGTCTCCTGAGGGCGCTACGAACGAAACCAAACGGATTTGACTTCATTTTGTTGGGCGATTTTGATATATCGATATACATAGAAATGGTAATTCAGACATGGCAACTGCTTTAACTATTTCACGATTTGCCAAAACGCGTAAAATCACGTCAAAACGGATTGTATGCGTTGTATGGTGTACCTCCAAAAAATAAAAAGCGATCACGAAGTGCTACTGTTCACCAACAACAAGGACAAGACTAGGAAATTGCTGCATATCTTGAGCAAGTAAGTCACGTAAATGAGCGAATTGTCGCAAAACGTTTCAACAAGATACTGCTGGAAGAGGTGAAAAGAGCTGGTCAACCAGTAGAGCTATTGCTTTTCAAAGAGTAACGTCAAAGACAGGGTACACTGCAATGCTAAAGTGCATTATCTTCTTTCATGACTACAAATGTACAGTTCCACCTCCTTCTCATTCCGTCTTCCTCACATCAGGTTGCAGCCCATCATACAAAGTCACTGTTGCAACAATGTCCGACCTACCACCAATTCCAAAACTAGCTGTCTCAAAACCAAATGATATGATTGCACATTTCTCACTACCTGTAAACAATTTCTTGGAATCTATTCGCTTCTATGACGCCTTGTTGGCCACCATTGGTTATCTGCGAAGGTATCACATCCCTGGAATCACAGTCTCGTATGGCTCAAAGGGGTATACCTTTTGGATTCATGAACAGCAATCGAGTGTCAAGGGTGACTCCCATCAGAACCGATTGCCTGGACTTCATGTCTGTTTCAATGCGGTATGTCAATGACGCACTTTGAAAGCAACAAGTTTTGCTGAAACTTTTGCACTTTCATTCGTAGCCATCAAGGAAAGCAGTAGACGAGTTTCATCGTGCTGCATTGGAAAATGGTGCCACAAGTGATGGTGCCCCAGGATATCGGGACTACCATCCACTCTATTATGCAGCCTTCATTATAGACATCAATGGATATAAGCTCGAAGCAGTGCACCATGGAGAATGGTGGGAGTGGCTTTTAATATACGTCTTTGGGCCACCAAAGCGAGATGGAAAGAAGGAGTAAGGCACATGCGAAGTGTAGCAGAAACATGATTTGTATTTGCTGCAGAATAACATAAGGGTAGCGATTATACACCATTTCTACGTTGTATCTCTTGCCAACATTCGGCTTATAACATTATTCACTTGCCGTTATATTTGGTTTCAATTTACTCGTGTAGGACGTGTTGGTTGTATCAAAGCCAACGGCGAAAAGGAGATATATTGCTAAATCGCGTCAAGGAAACGAAAAGTACGTGTTACTGATCCTCTTTATTGAGTCGTCCTCCATCTAGAAACTGGGCTCGAGGAAATCAACGTGATGAAGCTTAAGCAGCTGGAAGGTAAGAAGAGCATTCAAATCAGGTTTTCATGCTCTAAGATATGTTTCTGCCTCTCTTCTATAGCTGCTCTTCAGGACGTTGCGCCATTTGAAAATCCCAACAATCTGCTCGAGCAGTATCCAACATCACCACACATCGGTGTGCTAATACTCAATCGTCATTGCATTTCTCACTTACTAAACTGCTGATCCACCGCTAGGCTCTCGCATCATATACACCGCAGCAACAAGCTTTGCCGACATTTCAGGAAAATGTATCTGCGACCTCGGCTGCGGGACAGGTCGACTCACTATAGGAGCTCTCCTCATGGACGCATCGCATGTTATCAGTGTCGATGTAGATGCCAGTGCGCTGGCTCAAACTGCTGCAACATTGGAAGAGTTTGATCTGGACGATTCTTCGTGTGATTTGATACTAGCCGATGTTACTTCACCGTGGTTTAAATCTAATGATGCTGTGCGAGGGTCATTAATGGTGGATACGGTTATTATGAATCCACCTTTTGGGACTCGGACAAAGGGGATTGATGTCAAGTTTCTTGAGGTTGCGTTCGCTGTAAGTTTGGCGAGCGCACAAAATGCTTGAAGTTTTATCCTGGAGTATCTCATACCTTCTTCTGGCTATACAGATAGCTCAGTCTGCAGTGTATAGTCTGCACAAGACCAGCACTCGAGAGGTATGAAAACTTCAGGGGTTTGACTCTGTGGGGCCTCCGCTAACTCCCTATATTTGCATGTAGTTCCTGGTCAAAAAGTCGAAATCGTTAGGATGGAATGCTAATGTGCTAGCCCAACTACGGGTGAGCAAAACAAGTAAGCTTCGTGACTCAGGATTGTCACTCCTGACCAGTTCTTCATCCTAGTTCGACATTCCAGCAATGTACAAACATCACAAAAAGGAATCTGTGGATATTGAAGTTGACCTTATTCGGTTCTCGCCCTTGTAAAGCATCACCATATGTAGATTGTATTACTTAATTTATATAGCATTCGAACACCTGTACAAACTTTGTTTGCCTTGTTTACAGATGTTGGTTATGAGCGTATCGACGACCACTACAAGTCCAGATCCAATAAATCTCCTGCAGTAGCTAGACCTCCCGAACTAGATGCTCCATGAATAGGTTGCTCTTCCTCATCCAGCGTATCCACATCCATGAGATTCGATGGTACAGCTCCCATTAAACCTTGTTGAGAGAAAATGAGTACCAAATCGTTGAGCAAACAAGTCACGGAACCTCAATATCATACCTGGTTCAGCTTCAGGTCGACCATTCAACAAGTCCTCAGGACTCCAAAACAGCCGACTCAACTTCATATCTGCATCCTGTGGTATCGGCGGCATGTTCGTTCCTGTAGGTGGTGCTGATGTCGTGTTTGCTACTCGTCGTGCATATGATATTAAACTCTTGTAGTCCAATGGTTCTGCAAAAAACGAGCGATATCAACCAACGAATTGAGCAACAGTCCTTTACCCAGCACGATATGCATCCTATTATACGTACCTTCACCAGCCCGTCGTGAATTCAGGACCTTGTCACCAGCATCCGACAAGATTGCTTGCAAAGTGTGTTGCGCAGACTGCAACCTCCTAACCAATGACAAGATCATGACATTATGTTGTTCGATTTGTTGTAATGTGGCATCTAGTTTGGTTTGAGTCTCTTGATGTAATTCAACTAATATAAAATGGTTTTAATGTTTGATCATGACGCGATAAAACCACCCTTGAATCTATATCATACCTTCATCTACAAGCCTCTGCAATCTCTCATCGACTATAATAATCTTTCTCAGGATGTCTCCTGGAGCTTGTTGCTGGTATGATGATGGAGCTTTCGGTTGTTGTAATGAAGCTAGCAATGATAATTCAAGCTCCTCGTATTCTTTAAGAGCAGAGAGCGTGGCTGGTCGCAGAGATGTATTCTCGTTCATTCCTTGATCCCCTTTTGATGAACTTGACGCAATCCTTTCGTCGTGCTATCCATGCGATAGAGAATTGAAGGCACTTGAAGATGGATTCGCTAGAGGTTTTTTTGGGTTTTTTTTGCGACGCATAAGGACAAATTCAACCATTTTCCGACAAGTTTACATGCAGACTGACACGTCGCAAACGCTTTTAACGTGTAAACGAGTCCATTCGTGACAAACATTGTATCGATTACCACCCACCACCTTCAGCAGCCTTTCTCTGCTTTTGGAACTCCTTTACGAGTCTTTCTGAACATATGGCAATACACATAGCATCAAAGTGTACTCCATTGAGAAGTCTCTGTTGCCTGTTAATGAGATTGAACCGAGTCACCTACGCAAACGGATTGATTGTCCTCAAAAACTGCGAGAGTGCTATAGCTTACCTGACAATTAGATCTCAAGTCTGTAGAGAACCCAAGCATGTTGGTTAGTGGACCTATCAGTGAAACTGCTGAGACTTGACCAAGTACAGTTCTTTTTTTTGCACTTTTGATTTAGCCTACCTGTGCATGCACCTCCACAACAATCATCACTGCCCAAACCAGTCAAACGTCTATTCCTTTTGCTCGGTAAAGCAATCACAGACCCCTACGTTTGAAAGTCAAGTTAAGTTGGGCGACAAAAACAAACGCAGCATAAAGAATAATACCTGAAGCTCAACAGGAGCCGACACACTGATTTCTATGATCGCGTCCAAGGGTTCAAAGAACCTGCACGACTAACTCTACAGTAGCTCGTGGATTTATAGCGTCTAACGCGGCATCCAAAAAATGAATGACCAAATCGGAATACCACCAGCCGATCCTCTGTATGGTTCCTGCTTGATGAGGAAAGTTTCTGCTAGTCTATCATCTGCTTCAGGCAGACTGGCGGTGGGCTCTGACCTTTTGTTTTTTACGATGGGCATTAATTCAGTAGGAATTCCTACTGGCCTCTAATAAAACTGAGTCAAAGTTAATATGTTTCGCTTGCGTTGCTTTTTTTGTTTAGATTCTTCCATACCTCTTTGGAGCGGTCTTTTCATTATAGAATGCCTTGAGTGGAGCCAGAACCACCACTCCCTTTCAAGACTTGTCTACAGCAGTTGGATGGCCAGTAGTTATAGTGAGTCCCAGTTTTGTTGATTGTTGTTCTACAGTCCTCAAGAATAGGCAATTCTTGGTGTAGCTGAGGATTTGTTCTGTTAATGTCGTGTTTCCTGAATTAAAGTTGATCTGATATTCACTGTTTCGTTGTAAGAGTAATTGTGGCTACTCATAGGTCAACAATTAGTAAGCATTCCAAACAGATTCTTTTTCACAATTCCGACTAAACGTCTTTTCGATGCTTTCAAAAACACAACACTCCCTTCCAATCTCTGAGGCGTAAATAAATCTATTCTATTAGTCTAACAACAAACCAATTCTATCTTTTTCCACCTTCAGCAGCTTTTCTCTGCTTTTGGAACTCATCTACGAGTTCTTTTTGAACAAATGGCAGAACAGGTTGGTGTAACTTGTACTCCATTGAGAATTCTCCTTTGCCCTAATAATATGAACAAGCGAATTAAACCAGTGATTTATAGAGGGTTGGGAATAGTGGTAGAAACACCAAGGCTTACTTGACTAATAGATCGCAAGTCTGTGGAAAATCCAAACATCTCGTTAAGTGGAACCTATTGTGTAGAGGTGTTAGGTATCTTATTATAGGTCTTTTTCGCTCACTGTGCTGCGTACCTCGGCATGAACCTCCACATAATCATCACGCGTCTCAGAATCAGATATAGTTCCCTTCCTCTTGTTGAGTAAAGCAATCACAGAGCCCTACGTTAAATGCGATTCAGCTGCTGAACTGCACAATAACATGCCACGGGATGGTATGTCCATACCTGAAATTCAACAGGAGCCGACACGCTGACTTCCATAATTGGTTCAAGAACTTGTGGCCCAGCTTTGGCAAATGCTAAACGAAGGGACAAGGAATTCAGCCAAAAACTCCCGGAGCACTCCGTCATGAATTCTTACGACTGACCTTCTCTAAATGCATAGATACCAGCTAATCTGAAAGCAATATCACTTGAATCAACAGCATGTGCCAACCCATCTTGTAGTACAAATCTGACATTGGTAACAGGATGACCAATCAATGCTCCCTTTTCACAGGCTTCCAAGAAACCCTAATAAAAGTTCAACACCAACAAAAAACTTCAGTGGGTGGGTCCGATGAATGCTTCTATAAAAGTCAATCCCATTACCTTTTCTACAGATGGTATATACTGTGTAGGTATATTCATACCCACAGTCTGATTATCAAATTCAACAGTCGAGCCATCCTCCAATGGCTCTGTTATAGGCTCAATGAAACCTTTCACACGAGCAAATTGACCTGAACCACCCGATTGCTTCTTGTGTGTATAAGCAAACGGAACGTTCGAAGTGATTGTTTCTCGGAAGGCTACTTGTGGTTTACCAGTGATGGTCTCCACACCGTATTCTCGTTTCATACGTTCTACGTATATGTCGAGATGGAGTTCACCCATACCGGATATAATTGTCTAGTCATGAGAACAATGTTGTATGAGACATCCACAAGGCACTTGTCATATTTTTTGCACCTACCTGCTTGCTTTCAGAATCAATATGGACACGGAAGGTTGGATCTTCACGTTGGAAACGAGACAAGGCCTTTGAAAAGTTGGGCGAATCTTTTGACTTTGGTTCGATAGAGAGGGAAATCACGGGTTGTGGCACAAACATGGAGGTCTAATAGCGCGACGGTGAGAATGCGAAAAAAAATATCTAAATTCCTAAAACAATCGGTGGACAGCTCCAACCAACAAGTGCACCTCTTACCATCGTGAGACTATTTGTCCCATCAGTAAATGTATCTCCAGAAGCACACTCCATACCAAACACAGCACATATTTCACCAGATCCAACATGTTCCACATCCTAAACGAGAGAGCTTCATTCAGGTTCATTTCATGTGATCTAGACTCCTTTTTTTACCTCCATCTCATTCGAATGCATTCGCACCAATCTCGGAATCTTGACCTTTTTACCAGTCCTGACATTAACAAGCCATCCGCCCTTCTTCAGAGCACCTTGGTAGACTCTCATATATGTCAATTGTCCAAATCGCCCTTCTTCTAATTTGAAGGCTAGACAAACTAACGAGTCATTTGATGTTGAAGCTAATGCGACTTTGGCTTCATTATTGGCTCGGTCTAGTGCCAAGTTTTCTACTTCGTGTGGTGCTGGAAGGAAACTTATAACGCCGTCTAGTAGGAGTTGGACTCCCTTGTTGTGGTATGCTGAACCCATAAACATGGGTACGAATTTGCGTGCTATTGTAGCTCGTCGAATTGCGGCCTAAAAAATGAGGTGGTTGAGAAGGAGTCAGCTGCCAAAAGAGCTTTATCGACGAACATCACATACCATCATCTGATCTTTCGTAGGCTCTTGCTCGTTGAGGAAGATGTCTGCTATTTCATCATCTGCTTCAGCCAGATTGGCAATGAGCTCTGATCTCTTTTCTTTGACGATGGGCATTAGTTCGTTAGGTATGTCGGCTTCTCGTATCGTTTCCCTATAAAGGCATCGAATCAGATGAATATCAGTTACATGAGTTTATTTGCTCAAGTTGTTGCATACCCTTTAGGACCTTCATTATAGAATGCCTTGAGGGCAACAAGATCCACGACACCCTTGAAATCATTCTCTGCACCAATAGGTATTTGCACAGCAGCTGCAGTGAGTCTCAGTTTCGCTCTCAGCTGTTCTAATACTCTCCAAGGATTGGCTCCGGCTCTATGTTACAACATAAGATACATGAGAAAAAACCCACCTCTACGAACATATAGTGTTTCAGAAACACGTACCGATCCATCTTGTTTATAAACGCCAGGCGAGGAATACTATATCTCTTCATCTGACGATCCACCGTTATAGTCTGACTCTGTACACCTCCAACAGCACACAATACTAGCACAGCAGAATCAAGCACTCTAAGTGCTCTTTCGACCTCGATAGTGAAATCGACGTGACCAGGAGTATCGATAATGTTGATGTTTGTAGACTTCCATTTAATATAGGTAGCAGCAGATTGAATCGTGATTCCCTTTTCACGTTCCAGTTCCATCGAGTCCATTTTAGCACCCACATTGTCTTTACCACGCACTTCGTGAATGTGGTCAATTCGTCCAGTATAGTAGAGAATACGTTCCGTTAATGTGGTCTTTCCTGAGTCGATGTGAGCAGATATTCCAATGTTTCGTAGTTGTAATAATCGTTGCTAAATGGACGTCAGGTTGGTGTTAGCCTCGATTCAAGATTCTGACTCTTTTCTTCCACAATTCCGTCTAAATTTTGATGCTCTTTCGAAAAACCAACAATCGGTAATAGATGTAGTAAAGTTCCATTGCGATCCATCATGGAAAGGAACTTACGAGATCTGGATCAGTGTCAGACTGTGGTTGTTTCAATGCTGGTTCAGCACTGTATGGCCTTGAATAGTTCTTGACGATTGGGAGCAAGAACGATGCTCGTAGCCAACTAGGCTTCATGCGGGAAGAGTTGCCACATATTGACGCTGATGCTGCCAATCTTACGAACACGGCCTCTGCGGCCCGACTCATCATTGAACTTCAGCACTTCGACAAGGCACAGAGTTGCAAAACTTTTCACGAAAGTTATAGCAACTTTTGAAATGCCTGGCACGCGTTTATTTAATCAGTATGTGTTATTACTTTAGTACTGAACTAGTTCTGGCTTCCTTGATTGGTGAAAATGCAGTCCGACATTCGTTTTTGTGCATTTTAAGAACCAACTGAGCTGTAGACACCAGAGGTCCTTTTCACGTCAATCTAGAAGCTCCAATTCGCGCACATATAGGACATTCATGGAAGAAGTCGCCTCGATGATAAGCGACCGCTTATGTCAAATGGGGACAATTTCGTTGCAATTAGAGGATTGAACAACTTTTGAAAAAGTTCACAAGCCCAAGTGAAACGGGTCCACAGCTCACGAAGCACCAGCAGCAGTCATCCTTTTCGTCAGCTGTTAAGATGGACAAGGTGAACAGAAGCTCGAAAGCGCCGGTTAAAAACAAACGCAAAGATCGTCTTTCGTTCAACTCAATCTGACAAACATTTGCTGTCGACCCGTCCAAAGAAAAGAATCAAAGAAAAAAACAAACGGTACGCCTAAGAAGATCGCAAGAAGCCGCAACCAATCTGCGAGCTTGCATGGCTCTTGGGTACCTCACTCTCACTCGATCATTCAAAAACAACACAATCTACCCCAACTAGTCCTTCTTACGGTACAAGAGTATTTAGACAACAATGGAAGGATCTAAGGTAGCCGAGTTCTTTGCTGGCAAGTCTGTATTCCTCACTGGAGCTACTGGCTTTTGTGGACAAGTAAGTCTTGTCGTGAAGGTTTTACACATCACTCCATTTCGGGTTGACTCGCCAAACCATTCTAACAAACAACGCTTCCTCTGTAATTCTTAGGCAATCCTAGCCAAGATCCTACGATCCACCGACGTAGAATGTGTCTACCTGCTAGTCCGTGCTAAAAAAGGCGTTTCGCCCCGAGAACGTGTAGTAAAGACTCTGGAAGCTCCGATCTTTGAAGAGCTCCGAGGTGACAGACTCGAGTCTACCATCAGCCGCATAGTCTGTGTCTCTGGTGATATGATGGCTCCAGGTCTCGGACTGTCTCGTGAAGATCGCCAACTGTTGCGAGAAAAAGTAAATGTAATCATCAACGGTGCTGCTATTGTTGCATGGAACCGTACATTGGATGTATACGTGCAAATGCATATTGGAGGTGTCTCAAGGTAAGCCGTGCCCATCATCTCTTATAATGCTGATCTATTGTTTGGCCTAATTTGTTTGTGTGCCGTATGATGGAACCTCTCATTGCTTTCAATCTCGGCGAACATTCTCTAATATATATCAATCAAATAGAATCATGGATCTAGCCCGTGAATGCCATGACTTACATGCCTTTGTCCACATCTCGACTGCTTACTGCCACTCCGAACGTACTCGTATTGAAGAGAAGGTATACCCCTCGGATGTCCCTCCTGCTGACTTGCTCAAGGCTCTGGAATGGATGACTCCTCAAATGTGGGAAAACCTCAAACCGCAATTGTTGGGAAACAAGGCTAACAGGTAATGAATTGGGTTGGGTTCTTGGTTGTGTGCCGATTCAAGTTTCTTCCTGACTCTTTTCATTTCAATAGCTACACTTGGACCAAAGCTGTCGCTGAAGCTTGTGAGTGGTTTGCACTCACATCACTTCACATCTCTTTTTCCCCGACAATCACCACACACTAAATCCTGTTACTAATACTGCCAATTTGTTTTAGACATTGAACAATACCGTGGCTCCCTCCCAACTGCCATAGTCAGACCCTCTATTGTCACCTCAGTCTGGAAGGATGGTTGCGTCGGCTGGGTCGACGGTTTCCAAGGTCTAACTGGTGGTATAGTCGGTGGTTGTATTGGTGCCCTCCGCTGCATGCACGGAAACGGTGACAACATTGCCGACTTGATCCCCGTCGACGTCGTAGCCAACTGTGTCATTGCTGTCGCATGGCGTACTGCCCGGTTATGTGGCAGCTACTCGTATGAAGATAGTAAGCTGGAAGGGCTGAAGGAGGATAAAATCGTAAAGTCAATGCCATTGCCTGTTATGCCAATCATTGAAGATGATGAAAGTGACCACAAGTGTGAGTTATCAAGAAAACATCGTCGAGTCTTTTTTTGTCGGCTTTTGGGGCGATGGACCAATACTTACACGCACGCATCCGATCTTTAGCATACCCATCAGGCAACTCTGAACCACGTAGCTCAGAGGCCGGTGACTCGACCAAGACTGCTGTCTCGCCATCTCATCCACTACTGGTATACAACTGTACCTCTGGTGAATTCAACCCAGTCACATGGACTCAATTCATGAGGACTTATATGAAGGAAGCCTCTAAGACCGTAGTCCTTAACCCCCGTCTCCGAGCCCCCAACTTTAAGGTCCACAAATCAGCAGCCATGAACAAGCTCCACGAATTCTTGGCCCATAAATGCTTTGCCATGGTAGTTGACCCAATCTTGATTGTGTCAGGAAAGGGACCTATGCTTCACAAGGCATATCGTCGTTGGGAGATGGCAAAGGATGATCTTGGAACTATGACTGAAGTCAACAACCCATGGGAGGTTGAGAATATGAGGGCGTTGATTGCTGATTTGGGTAAAGGATCAAAGGATTCTGATGCATTTGGTGTTGATGTTACTGATATCAATTGGGCTGCGTATTGTTTGGACTACACTCGTGGTGTTAAGATCCATCTCCTTAAACAAAAGCCATAAACCAGTTACTTATATATTTAGTAGCACTTGCATATATTGTAACATAGTAGATTAGAAATTACTGTATATAAACAACAAAAAATCAGTACCGTAATCATGCCCAAGGTTCAAGTGTTTTTTGAATACGTTAATTGCTCGTCAACCACTTGAAGTGACGGGATTGAATGGACATGTAATGGAATGCCAAACCAATCAAAACACGTAATAAAGTGTCATGCGTGGCTCAAAGTTTAAGGTTTCGTCTCTCTGCGCAGCTATGTATGATCTCCCGCCTTGTCTGGATTGCGTCTGTCACCAAAAATCCAAACGCGAAACTCCCATCTGCAAGAAAAACATATCAGAACAGGTTGAAAGGAGGGCCGGAACCGCATAACAAGATCATCAGCTACCTATTAGTGTCCACAAACTACTCGGAACTATTTTAAACCTCTTCCAAAAGCCGTGCCTAGAACAGGATGTCTGGTCTGATTGGACTCATTATTACGATTATAGTACTGCATGGCGCCGTCGGACAAGGACCTATATGTACTATAAGTAAGTAGTTTAAACGAAACATGCCATAACATGTTACTGATCGCCGGTCACAATAGCGTTACCTCCCAACTTCTTGTCTGCAAAAGGACTGGCAACTCCCTTCAAAACTTCAGGATGTACCCAGACAGTCACAAATCAGCAAGTCTTTGCAGAAGCAACCATAGTCAATCCTATTACTGGCGCCATCTATATCTTCAATCCTGTTATTGCTGACAAGAATATGAATGCACGGATTCCGATATTGCCAACTATAAACCCGTAAGTAGTTTCAGTATACAGTTACATCAGCTGTGGTGACCTTTTAGTTGACTGATTTTGCTTGTACTGACGTTTTGTCTTTGTAAATAGCGGGGACGTTGTTGGTCTCTGGTTTGGATCAAACGCGATGGGCATCAAGCTGAAACCTTCCAAAGCCGGTGAACTATCATTCCTTACGTGCGTACAAGGAGATGGTAAAACCAACTTTGGGTAAGCATGTCTGGTTACAAGGTTTCTTTTCGACGTTGTCGTTTTTAAACAACCAATTCTCAACACACGCATATTTTTTTCAGTCAAATGGCGTTCTGCAATGCAGCCGCCTTCTTTGTAGCAGCCAAAATCGCCATCAAGACCGGACAACTATCCATCCCACCGTTAGGAACATCTCCCAAATCTGGCAAACCTTGCTATACAGTTCGAAGTTTCGAGGTAGTCGACCAAGATCAGTCCGATAATGTCGTTACGGAATACATTCTGGCAAATCTCGCTGGTGGCGGAACAGAGATTGCTCAATTCTCCAAAGCAAACATGCAGTATTATCAAGCTCAGCAAAAAGCTGGTAAAGTCACCAGCTTTACTACAATTATGAATGGAAGCGATAATCGGCTGGTGTCTGTGGGGTTGGATAATGCTCTTGGTATGTTCATGGTTCTAATTTTGAATTTGTGATTTGTTGTTGAAAAGTACAAAAAAAAGCCACATAAAATGCTTATAAATAACTTTTTGTAGGATGTAAGCCATTTGAAGCTCGGGATCAAGCTGATGTGGGCGCCGTAAGGCCATCCTTAGCATTGAATGAGCTCTTTGCAAGTCAACATGAAGGACAGTATGGAACGGTAGCGCTTGTACCTCAAAGTGATCCAATGGTAGTCGATGGCAATGGTAACGCTGATTTAAAGAAACTCAATTTGTATCGAGCAGGTGTGTATGTGGTTATATCGTCGCAAAGCGGTTTGTGCTCGTTCTGACCATATTTTTGCTCCAGGCGTCGATCAACCATTACAACCCAAGCTTAACCCACAATCAGATGTCGACTACTGTAGCAACATGTTGACAATTGGCGCTGCATCCATCAAAGCAGACAAACCATTTTATATTGAAGCACCAACTATTGATCCAGCTGTCGGAACAAATCTTTGGACATTCATGGGAGCGAGATTCCAGGCATCTTTTGTTAATCTTGATTGTTTGGCCCTGCTGGATAAGACTCAAGAGCCTGTTGTGGCAGTTACGAATGCTGATGGTGTTGCCACGGTACAGGACAATCAACTCATACAACATGATCACCTTGATGCTCCACTTACACAGTTGCTTGCATAGGACTTGACATTCAATATTTAATATCCAAGTTGGAATTACATTCCATCCTTCCCGGTAATTATGTAGTACTAGTTAACCCAAGTCGTGTATTCTGCGGGAGGCTTCTTCGTCAAATGTATAATCATTTATTCCAGTAAAACGAGTAAGTCAAATTAGTTTACGTAGCTATCGGGACTTATTCATGTTTGTCGAGTTGAGAGCCCTGGCTTAGCGGCAAACCTAATCATGCAAATGCGATGTTAATTTCAACACTGCTGACGCAATAAGAGTAAACACACGAAGTAAAGTCTTTGCGGTCTAATGGAAGAGCTCAAATGTATGTAACAGAGCATGATGAATCATTATGGCTGGAATACTAGCTTAGATTACCCTCAATCACTGGAAAAAAGGAGTATGTTTACATCCATGCACTTTTTATTGTCCGTTTTATCGTCCAAGCTGGAATGCACTCGCTGACTTGCAGCAAGTGCGTGAAGTATTACGGAGATAACAATGACATACTCGAATTAATCAGATCACCGAAACAAGACAAAAGACTGATTGTAACGGTTTCGTCTTTCTGCGTAGCATAGTGGGCTCTCGGATTGCGTCTGTCGTCTCCAACCAAAATCCATAAACCAAAAACTTTCCCACCCTCCTCTCAAGAAAACAAGTTCATACAAGTTGAAACAAGTACAGAAAATACAGTTCTGTAGTTTTAAGTGCCCGTTACTGTACAAGAACTACTCGGATCTATTGCAAAGTTCTCCAAAGTTGTAACAAGAAACATCATTATTGTCCTCATTACGACTATCCTGGTTATTGGCGCCTTCGGACAAGAACCTATTTGCACTGTAGGTAAGTGAATGAAACGAGTTACCTCTAACATTGTGGTCATCGGCGATGAAAACAGCGTTGCCTCCCAACTTTTTGACAACAAAAGGTTCGGCCACTTCCTTCCAAACATCAGGATGCACACAAAATGTAAAAGACCAACAGGTCTTTGCTGCAGCAGCTATAATCAATCCAACTACTGTTGCTTTCTCTATCGTTAATCCTCTTATTGCTGACCAGGCCGTGGGTGCAAGGATTCCTATCTTGCCCACCATCAATCCGTAAGTGGTTTGAATAAGCAGTTACATCACGTGTGACTATCATTTAGTTGTCTGCGTTCATATGTACTGATGTTTTATCTTTTGTAAATAGTGGGATGTTGTTGGTCTAGTTTGGAGCAAACGCGATGGGTATCAAATTGAAACCTTCCTTCAAGAATGACTCATCATTTAGAACGTTGCGTTCAACGGGATCGTAAAACCAACTTTGGATATGTTAGTTCTTGGTTGCTGTGGTTAACTGTCTCCTGCTTTCATCATCAATCCGCATCCCACGATACTCAAACACTTTCTTTCTCCCTCGGCAGTCAATCTTAGCAGCAACTTGTTGACGGTCAATGCACCTTCCATCAAGACAGACAAACCGTTGTATATCGTATCTCCAAGGGTTGATCCAACTGTCGGTACCAATCTCTGGACTTTTATGCGAGCGATGCCAAGCTTCCTTTGCTAAATCGGGACTGTTCGGCCTTCCTCAATGTAACCTTGGACCTATCGTAGCAATTCTGGATGGTGCTGGTATAGCCACGGATCTCATGTTCAACTTTTGAAGGGGGGAAACGCATAAAGCAGCGGAAGTCATTATGTAGTTGAAACAGTTGAGGATCTCTCTTTAAGGGAAGTTTTTGGAATCATGTATTTATCTCAGTCAAAACAAGCAGTGTTGAAGGACGTTGTGGGCTTCCTTTTGAGGAAAATCTCCCATATTAAATGACCAAAGAAATTAATAAGGCTGTAAATAATCCAAGACAATTGTATATACACCATTCCAGTAGTAAGAAGTAAAATTAGAATTACCACAGCATGATTGTATCAGCTGTTAATCGAAAGCTGATGATCAAACCACCAAATTGACGATTCTCGAAAAGTCGCCGCAATACGCTCAATCACACCTATTCAAGCTCCTACTTTAGGATCCAGAGTCTGATGTGTAGATAAATGAACTCAATAAAATTTTTTGTTGGGAATTTGCAATGTGGAACTACCATGAATTGCACAAACAATCGCGTATGTGGTGTCAATGGCAGTTTTACAGCCAGTTTCATCACACTTGACTACGCGCCAGTAAAAAAACGATAATGAATGAACATAGCTCTTTAACTTACTGCGCTCAAGGTCATGACATTCGAGCTTTCACCAAGCATTACAACATGACCTGCACGAGTTCTGACCGACGATTGAAGCAGACGAGTACCAATACGATAGGAACACATTTAATCTATTGTACAAAGCAGAATTTTGGCACATGGATAAGCTACACTCCCGCCGTGCCGTACAACCAGCTCACCACATCGAATGACAAAATTACCAAAAAACTTCAGTACACAAACAAGCGCGCCCTCCATCAAGAAACCACCTGAATCAACTACTGCTACTACTTCACCAAACTCTTGACTACCTGCAACTGTACAAGATCTACCTGGATCTACTGTGAACCCCCCGCAATTGCATCAAACATGTCTCGCATCGTTACTGTACTATTTACAATCCTGGCATGCCACGGCGCCCTTGTACATGGCGCGATATGTACTATAAGTAAGTGGAAGAACTGATTTATTTGTTTATATTGTACTGATCGTCTGGTACAACAGCGTTGCCTCCCAATTTCTTGACTGAAAAGGGGTTGGCAACTCCCTTCAGGACGTCAGGATGCTCACAGACTGTACCAGACGAGCAAGTATTTGCTGAGGCAACCATTGTCAATGCGATTACTGGCAAGGTCTCTATCTACAATCCCGTGATTGCTGATAAGAATATGAATACTCATATTCCTATCATCCCCAATTTGCATTTGTAAGGCGCGGGTCACACAAGTGCATTAATGCACTTTACTTTTTCTTAACATGTCTGATTCCATCAGATAACTGATCTTACCCTTTGTACTCTAGTGGTGATGTCGTTGGACTGTGGTTTGGCGCAAACAGTGAGGGTATCATATTGAAACCGTCCAATAAAGACGATCCGTCATTTGCTTTGTGCGTACAAGGTGATGGCAAGACCAACTTTGGGTACGTTGAAGTTCATTTACCATCCTTCGCACTTTTATCATCATTTTCAACAACTGACTCACCCCACCCACAACCCTATACTTTTCTAGCCAAATGGCATTCTGCAACGCAGCCGCCTTTTTCATCGCTGCCAAAATCGCCATCAAGACTGGACAACTATCCATCCCACCACTCGGCACATCTCCCAAGACCAACAAGCCCTGCTACACCGTCCGAAGTTTCGAAGTGATCGATCAAGATCAGTCCGACAATGTCGTTACGGAATACATTGTGGCATTCCGTAAAGGTGGTGCATCTGAAATTGCTCAGTTCTCGCAAGCAAATATGAAGTATTATCAATCCCAACAAGATGCTGGCAAAGTCAAGAACTTCACGGAAATTATGAATGGAAGCGATAATCGATTGGTTTCAAAGGCTCTGGCTTCTGCGCTTGGTATGTTTTGATTGCTGTTTCATGTATAAGCTGTAGTTGTGGTGGTGTCTTGACGCACAAAATGCGTGGACTCACAGCATTGCACTCCCTGCGATAGGATGCAAACCGTTCCAAGCTCGCGATCAAGCAGATCCTGGTGCTGTAAGACCATCACTAGCACTAAATGAACTCTTTGCAAGCAAACATGAAGGAGAATACGGAACAGTAGCACTCGTACCCCAAGATGATCCCATGGTTGTTGACGGAAACGGTAACGCCGACTTGAAAAAGCTCAACTTGTACCGAACAGGTCAGTCAATCCCCCTTTGCCGCAAAAAAATGGTCACCTAACCCTTCTGCAATCCTCATTTTTTCAAAGGAGTCGATCAACCACTACAATCCAAGCTCAACCCACAATCAGCTATCGATTACTGCAACAACATGCTGAGTATCACTGCTCCATCTATCAAGGCAAACAAGGCATTTTACCAGGCAGCACCCTCAGTGGATCCCAACGCAGCCAATAATCTCTGGACATTTATGGGGCAACGGTTCCAAGCTTCATTTGTCAATCTCAATTGTACGGGCTTGCTAGGTGTGACTCAAGATCCAATTGAGGTCGTGGCCGATGGCGATGTGACTGTCGATTTAAAGTTTAACTTTTGAAAACCAAGTGACCAAGTGATCCAGACCAAGTCGACAAGTTATTTTCCTTGTGTTTGTGTTTTGAGTTTTTGAAGGAAAAAAGTCGTTAATCTAGTTGTGAAGTTGAGCGATTTTGAAAAATAATATTTCTGAGTGTTTCTTGATACCCGACAACAACAAATATATATATACATTTCTGCATTCCAGTAACAAGTGGTTTTATCATTGCAAAGTGTTTGTCTATTTCGTGCAAAAACAAAATCTTGTTCTACAACTTGTTGCTAGCGTGCTTTTCTTCAATCCACGTATCCCACTTCTTGAACTTGTAGTCTGGGTACAGATCTGAAGCTTTGAGCACATACGATGGTAATTTAGCAGGATCATTATCACCACGAATCCACCGAGTTTGTGCATACTCTCGTAACTTGAGCTCAGCAGATAATGATGGATTCTTCTCAATGGGTCCAATCTCCTCTCTTATGACCTTAATACGAGCTAAATGAGCTGCTGGATCCATCTGGACAATGTGGTTTAGTGTGAGTGTCAATCTGTTTCAATCATCCAACATTCAAACAGTTGAGACTTACAACATTCCTTGTCAGCTTTCTTCCAGTAACCCTCTCATAAGAAGCAGCCATCTGGTTACAGCTCACTGCATCTCCAGTGACCATGACGTACTGGTTTAATGTACGTGGGTCCACAATGATTCTTGCAACCATCTCGCCAACGTCCGGTAGATACGTGCCGGCATTCAGCACATCCTGGTTGGGATACACATCAAAGACAGATTTTGGTTTCAAACCCAGCATCTCCTCTTCGTATGCGAGTCCCATGCCGTCGATTTCACGGTGCATTAGGTCATACCTATGTTGAAAACGATTCAGTACCAGTGACATTGAGTACTGCAACGACTGCAACAGCTTTGAATTCAAAAGATGGTGATGCTTACCATGACCCAATGTTTATGAATGTGTATGGTAAACCAATCTCCTTGATTGCGTCGTGCACCATATATTTCTGTGTTTTGTGGAAAAGTTAGCCTTCAACCAACCCTCACTGAACTAATAGATGTAACAGACACAAGAATTGAAAACTCACCTTGTCTTGCATAGCCATGAGACCTGGCGGGCAATACGTAGAGAAATCACTTGGTATAAACCTATTGCGTCAACGACAAGTAACTTCAATTCAGCGGATGTCGAGTAAACTTCATGTATAAGGCGTACCTTTTGACTCCAGCTTCTTTAGCTAGCTTGACAAGTTCAATTTGATCCAAAATTAAACCAGATCCCACCATTGACAGAACAATGTCGACCCCAACAAGAGCCTTCTTTAATGAGTCTAGATCTTGGATTGAACCAACACAGACCTCGGCACCTTTAGCTTTGAATGCATCAAAGACGCCCCGTTTCTTTGGATCCGATAAGCTCTTCTCTTGGCCTAAGACTTTTACTTTCTAAAGTAATAACAAGTGTTGAGTTAGAGCTGATGCTTATCAAAACAAAGGGACAGTCTGCTTACTGTTTCGCCACGTTTCAAGATGACATCCACTATGGGTACGCCGGTATAGCCATTGGCACCCAAGATGAGGACGACAGGGAGCATATTGGTGTATGAAGATACCTAGGATTATTGCTTTTGCTTTTGGCAAACCACGGAACTAGTCTGGTCTGATCTGAACTATATGTATCAATGGTTGATGATTACTGCTGCTATTGTTAATTGTTAAGCTCGTATTTGACAAATTCCCAAAAATTCACGGTGACACGGGCTGACAGCTCTCCGCAAGGCACTTTATTCGGACTTATGGACCTCCGAAAGTCGACATACACGCGGAGACGCGTCTAAATTGTCTTATAACTTTGCCTGACTGGTGCTTGACTTGGAGTCTCCACTCTTTTCTTCTCCTCACGCTTGTTAAACAACCTACCTACTAAAAACTACGTGGAGAGGGATCAAGACTTTGTAGACTGAAGGCCACTGTGTGTAGCTTTGGGCTGTTGAGGAATTTGTTATGGGCTCTACCTGGTTACGTCCGGCCATAAGACAATTCATTGCGAGGCAACAGCTGGCCTTGAAAGTTGCAAACAAATAGCTGCTTTTGAGAATGTCTGGTTTCGATTGTTATTCTCTGGTACGCTTGCGGTAGGTTCTGCCTGTGTAGCGCCCGCACGGGGTGCCCTCATATCCGTCAGAGCCTCTACCATCAAAGAAAGTTGGTGCCATGATTAGTGTCTTGACAGAGAAAGTTGGAGTGATGGCAGTTTGAAGGACGAGCGGTGGAGTGTCGCAGTAGGAGTTTATTAATGTTGATGAGTAGTAGCAGGAACAAGACGAGTTCCCTTTCGTGCTGATTTGACACCTTTCTACAATACAGATCTTCGGACTTTCTTTGACACAAAAGGAACACATATACTTCCACTATATAGTATCACTACCTCCGTAAATGTTGCCTTAATTGAGCTTCAATATTATCATAGTTTACCTAAAATCTTCTGGACAAACAGCGTAACTTTGTTGGCTTTTGGTGAATATTAAAAAAGCACGCGGATGTCAATATTTCTCAAACCAGACTTGTGGAGGTGGAATTGTTTTGTACTTTGGCGGCCCAAAAATGTATATCGTTACGCCCAGAAGCCCCAAACAAGCGGTTTGTTGCTATTCTTTCGTTCGTTCCATTGATTGAACAAACTCCTAACATCAAAAAGTCCAATTCAGGAGTCGATACAGCCATAATGTCCAACACAACACCAGTCGCACAGGTTAAAAGTCACTTGGAAAGTATTTGGTCAGGCAGAATCACAGTCAAAAGGCCTGCAAGAGAACGATTCAATTGGTATTTGCCAAGCTGGGTGTTCGTGATCTCGACTTCATATGTGGCTAGAATATGCTTGTACGATAAAGTAATAGGTGGGCAGGTCACTTTGGAATGGTTCGGTCAAGCTCTGGACTGGGTCAAATTTTGCTATGGTAGCCCACATCATAATGATGTTCCCATCCACTGTGTAACTGTCTTACGTTTCGTCTCCAAATCAAGCGCTTTTTGTTGTAGTTGATGGTTTCTGACACGATTTAACTCTTCGTTTTCGTGTATAGGGTATGTATTTCATGGGAAGGCTTGTCACCTGCATCAATAACGAGATGCCCCAGACTCTGGTCCATTCTGCAGGAGACTATCACGCGCTCCTAGAATCACTCAAAACCAAAAACTAAATAATATTGGATTCTTTGTCACAAATGCTTGGTGAGAGTTGGTCGCTTGAGTAAAGCTTTTGGGGGCACAGATTGCAGTGGTGGTAACATTAGGGAGTCGCTGGTTGGATTTGGAGAGCCAAAGTCAGGGAACCTGTCAAGTAGAACATTATTAGTCAATGGTGTGAATGAAGGACTCGACTTGGAATACATTGTTGAAAGCACACTTTTTTTGCTTGGAGAGCAAACATCATGTAAAAAGACGTTCACGAATAAAAAACGCACCTCGAAATAGTCATAGCATATCTCAAATTGTCTTCTTCTGAATTTTGCAAAGCTCGCGTGTATATTGTTGTAACCGAATCAACCGTCTACAGTTTGCTGGCATTAAATCGTTCCTTCATCCACGTCTCCCATTTCTTGAATTTGAAGTCTGGGTATAGATCGGAAGCTTTCATGATTGAAGACGGTAGCTTTGAAGGATCATTGTCTCCTCGAATCCATCTGCTTAATCCGTACTCTCTTAGCAAGAGTTCACGAGGCAGCTCAGGATTCTTGTCAAGAGGCCCAATCTGGTTACGAAGTTCTTGAATACGAGATAAATGACGTGCTTCGTCCATCTGGTGATTGAATTGTGTGTAAGCGAATTGAACTGATGTTGCAAAACGAAAGACACTCAAAGTACTCCCATGACCAACCTTGGTTTTTTTCAACTTTCGTTTCGTGACCGACTCATAAATATCAGCCATTTGGGTAATAGACAATGCATCTCCACATATAAAGACTGACTGATTCAAAGTTCGTGGATCTACCACGATTCTAGCGACAAGCTCCCCAACTTCTGGTAGATCAGTCGAGGCATTCAAGCAATGACCATCGCCATATGTCCGAAAGTTCAAGTCCGGTTTGAAATCAGAGGGAACTGGGTCCATTGGTGTACCATCAATCTCGCGTAGTAGCACTTCGTACCTGTGAGGGGACTTGTATGTGAGTGGATAGATGGCTTGAGAATGGGTTCACTGCCATACCAGGATCCAGAGTTGATGAATGTATATGGCAGTCCCATTTCCTTGATTGCCTTATGTACCATATATTTCTGCAAAGAAACAACAATGTGAGCCAAAAAAACCCTACCAGGTGTCGATGACGGTGAATTTGTGACAAACCAACCTTATCCTGTAAAGCCATCACATTTGGTGGGCAATACGTAGAGAAATCACTTGGAACAAACCTATCATTGTGTATTAGCTAACCATCGTGGGAATCTGTAACACTTTACACCACACACCTTTTCACTCCAGCATCCTTGCACAATCGAGCAAGTGGAATCTGTTCAAGTAAATATCCATATACGACACAAGAAATGACGATGTCGACACCGATGAGAGCTTGTTTTACAGAGTCGAGGTCTTGGATTGATCCCACACGAATTCCAGCTCCTTTAGCTTTGAATGCATCGAACTGTAGCCGTTTTGTAGGATCTCGCAGACTCTTTTGTTGAGCTAGAACTTCCACTTTCTAGATAAAAAGGGTTGATGGTTAGAAGGTGCCATGTCTGACTGAAATGCAATGACAAATAAGAAATAATGTTTGAACACCACGAGCTGGCTATGACTTACCATTCCATGTTCAAGTAGCGAATGTACAATCGGCGTTCCCGTGTATCCATTGGCCCCTATTACTAGAACGACCGTCATTTTGGGTATGGTTGGAAACTGTGATAAATGTGTTAACGTGCATTTTGACAGCAGCGTAGGTTAGATTTGAATTCAAAACACGTAGAATCACGTCCAGTATGGGCTCTCGGTGGTTGATCTCTTGATCTGGAATGTGACTGACAACACATGATTTTGCTCTCACGGCTATATATTCGCACACTTACAGACACAGAAGCTTCAAGAGAATGTCAGACAGCGAGGACGAAAATATGGACCATCACGACCATCATATGGAGTAAGTATCTCGACCCTTTTATAGTTATGCTGCAAATCCCAAACACAAGCTCGGTGTGGGTTTTTTTATTATCAAACAAAGAAGGCGTTCGCCCAATGTTTACAGTCAAGCAGGAAGGAATAGATGTTTAGAATGTGGGAAGCTTGAAAGTGACCGCTAAAGAATCTTATCTAGTGCATGTCTACATGTTACAAGTGGCAACATTTACCAAGCACAGACTAACAAATCATCCATTACACCATCACAAACTTAGATACATATTGTCACGGTGCTCTATCTGCTTCGAGAACAGCCTACAGTTTGCATTGAACGATTGCAGAGATCAGGCAAGTGTTCTGCAGCCATCACCGTCGCCAAGCTTCCTTTATCTTGTGTTTATTGACATATATCACGTGGAGTCACAAACGTCTACACGATACTGGCTGGAGGCAGTCTTGAATTCTTTTCAACAATCTGAATTTATTACTGAGTGGCATGTTCGATGTTGCCCGACATGAGTCATGCAGTGACTGTTCCAGTGCACAAGCCATTTTTTTGCTTTGATCATTTACACCAGATCCTAACCCACACTTCCACATTTTCACACAACAGTTCTGCCGCCCATGCTTTACGAAATACATATCCTCACTGGTCGACTCCAGCTGGGGAATGAGACCGCAACAAATCAAGTGTAAGTGCTCCCATACCATCCAAGTCTACCCAAAATCTAACGCATTCAACTCATGGCATAGGTCCAGTATGCAGCGATCCACTGACTCGTCAAGAATGGGTCCGATTTGTCGATGATCCACGTATCATCAACAAGTTTGATCAAATGAATCGTCCATTCCGGGTCAGAGAAGTCCCATGTGTTGGAGTTGGTTGTAACAAGAACGTCTGCCTTGTTACGCCTCCTGCTATGGCTACGCTTGATCGTGAATTGTAAGTGTTTTTACGTAATGGGGATGAACAAAACGAAATTCTCTTTTTGCCTCCAGATGCAGATCAATTAGTACTACACTCTGCACCATTCTTACCATTCCATATCTCAAACTCAATAGGAAGGCAAACGAAATCACATCCCTATACAAGAGCATACTCGCAGACGATTCAACCGGGAATCTATCCGTTACTGCCCAATCGCTATACACTCGCTTCGAAGTTGACTTGCAGAACGTGGTCGCTGGAGGCAGTCTGAACATCCAGGATCTGTATACTCGAATTTGCAAGGATTTGGATGTTATTGGGTATGCGAGAAGTCCAATTGAACAGACTACGATCTGCTTTTTTGGCCACCTAATATTACACCATCTGACATTTTCTGTTCTCTGCAGACAAAATAGACGTAAAAAGATACTAGCTACTCAACTGACAAGGAACCTCATCACTCTCGAAACCAGCGCTGAAGCTTGGAGATCTCTGAACATACTTCAGTTGTCCAGGTTTCCCTTTGTCAAATGGTAAACATACGATTAGTCTCGCCACCTTTTTTGATGAATTTTCGGAATTTTCATCAAGAAATCTTCATCAACTATGTTCTAACCTCACGATCATAACACGAATAGCTCAAACTGCTCATACGAAACATGTACAGCCTGCGGAGACGGATCTCATCATGACCAATCATGCTCAGAACTCCTCCAGTCTCGCCTCATCACAGAAACAAATCCCGACGCACTAGCAACTCTCAAATGGAAGATTGAAAACAGCAAGAACTGTCCTCGATGTGCGATTGCTATTACGAGAGAGGAAGGGTGCTTTAGGGTTGATTGTATATACTGGTAGGAAAAGCAAAAGACATTTGCAATCGTTGATTCCATGAACATGCAACTCAACTTTTTCTTCTTGATCGTTGTAGTGGCTTCAAATGGTGCTGGCATTGCTCTCGAGAATTCGATGAAAAGCATGGCTTTTACGCATGTCAGAACAGTGCTTCAGGGTCAATCAACTCGAATTCCAAGAACGATGTGCCTGAATTGGGCGTGCCGAATGTGCTTGCAATACAGATGAAGATGAGTAGTCAAATTGCTAAGTTTGGAATGTAGAGAGAGGGTCATAGTCTAGGTAGTTAGAGAGGGGGAAGAGTCATTAAAGAGAGGAGGGGTTGGTATCTTGCTAGAAAGAGGGAGGTCATTTACTATTTGATTTTGCTTGGGTTGTTTTTTACGGGTTTCTTCTCATATACAAAAACATGAAAAAGTCAAAAACACAGATATGTGCACACATAAACACCAAAATTTGTTATAAATCAAGAGTCTTTTATTATATATCATCATTCTTCACACACAAAGCAGCACAGTTTGCACAAGTTATTACTGGGTATACACGTGGTTTCTGCCTCGACTGTTTTTTCACAGCTTGGATTTCTTTGTGGAGTCGTTCTCATCCACATACCATGCCATTTCGTATTCTTTTTGGACAAAGCCGCACTTGTTGTAGAAGGGTATGTTCTAATTTGTATTCCGTAGGTCAGTATTTGCTTTGTGTATGAAGATCAGGAGCAGCAAAGCATGTCTGCAAAATGAGGGGTATCAGAAATCATTCCTTTACCTTTTCGCTGCAGTCCACTTTGAATCATGGAAGAAAATAGCCGATGACGAATAGTTAGTTAACCAGCTAAGAAAACAGCGAGATACACGAGAAGAAACTCACAGATGACTATGTGAGAGAAATATCATCAGCGACCGCAGCACTTTAATACATCAAATGCGACTTGACACATACTCTTGTAGCAACCAGCATTCTTTCCAATGTGCTTTAAGCATTCAATGATGCTGTAACGAAAAGAGTTGTGATGAATGTTTGACCTGAGCGTAAAACCATATCCGCGTCAAACATTTATGACTACATACGCCTTTCCGAGATTCAATCCTCGATAGTCTGTCAAGGTCACAATGTCTAGATATGTGCGCATGTCAGAAGACTAAGACTTTGAAGCACTTTCAGCTCATTCAGAGCAGCAAACTGACCTTCAATGTGGCCTACTAGACTGTTCTCGTGTATGAATCTAATGGGAAAAGAATAACTCGCTGTCATTCCTCGTGTATGGGCGCAACAGGAGACAGATGATAGACCAACAACACTGTACATACTTTCTCTCCACAAAGATAGTTCCAGCAGCCGCGATTTTCTTCTTGCCTACTTCTTCAATGACGATTGTAAAGTATCTATAGACGAGCAAAAAAGGGACATTCAGGTTCCCCAAGATCATTTCGATCAATCATCACATTCAACAAGACAATTACATACTCGTAATTGTGTTTCTTCAAGTAATTGTATCGATCTAGTAGAGTGATGATGTCAATATCCCATACCGCGTGCGTTTGTAACCAAAATCAGCACCATTATCAAATCACAACTACAATCCACCAAAAACAGCATTCGGGCATACCAATGAATTGAGCCTTCGAGATGGTGCCGACAGTAGTGAGTTGAGACAGGGCAGTGAGGAAGCCCTTTTCATAGTCGGAAGGAGCGAGTGATCTAATTACAAAACCAGCAGGCAGGGATTTCTGTACAGCGGCTGATATTAGAGATTGAGAGAAGAGTCCGTCTGACATGGCTGCTGCAATATATGTGGAATTATGTGTATGCCTTGGCTAATATGCAACAGTAGTGCTTTGACAAGCGAGTTGTGATTCGAATAAATTTGAAATTCCCGACGCGAGCATCAAGATGAAGAGAGACGTGTTTTGTCACAAAGGAAGAAGGAAAACCGCCAATCTCTTTTTACTACTATTGGAATACTTTTTGACGATGGGCTACGCGAGAAGAAGGACGTTGCAAGCTTGCAAGTCAAAAAGCAAACATTGCAAAGCTTACCGTTCTCTTGTTGACCTCAATAGTACGATGTAGTCTATTAAATCTCGCTTGAATCTCCATGTATTCACCGTCGCTGTCTCTTCAAGGCCCGTCGATCCTTCGATAATATCTGTCAAGTACTTTCGCACATGCCAGCACCGATTCATCACATTAACTCTTTCAAACACGTTAAGCTAATGGTCTATTCTCGTGTCAAAGCATATCATTACATAATGGATCTACTCTTCCCATCTCTGTAACTACTCTGCTCTCTCTGTATTAGTGTCGCATGAATCATTTGTGATTTTTTCTCGACTTTGCTCTCCCCACTCTGCCATCAACTCACACGACAACTCCATTTGATCCAAGACAGATCTACCAAGAGGCACACTTTAATACTCTGTAATATCCATGTATGTACTTGTTCCATATGCTGCATGCGACTCATGCCGTCCTTGACCGCTTCATTTCCTTGTTATTCCTTGTTTATTTGGGAACGTGCTCACCATACGTGCTCTACTCTATATATAGATATATAATCAACCATGAGAGAAATTGTTCATTTACAAACTGGCGTAAGTGATCCAATCCACTATCTCTTATACGCTAGATCCACTCATCATCACATTCTCATCAAACATTTTTTGTTTTGTCCAGCAATGTGGTAATCAGGTAATAACCAACGGTCCATACAAGTATCCTATTTAACTTCTAACCATTCTATACCACGTAACCCGCCGTGCCAACTAGATTGGTGCCAAGTTCTGGTACGTGCACAAACTCGTCTCATTTTGTTGTTTTTTTGTTGTGGTGGCATAAACAAACACACAAACGACAGGAGGGTGTAATGCTGGAACTGTTGAACGGTGAACCGATTCATATTAATGTGGAGAATCGAGTTGTCATTATGGATTAGTCTAATGTTGGAGGTCCACGGAGACTTAATAGCCGTGCGAAGTCACCATGCACAACAAACGATTGGATACATATAAACCACATTCTTTTCAACATATAGGGAAGTCATCTCAGACGAACACGGTATTGACCCCACTGGTACCTACCATGGAGATTCGGACCTTCAATTGGAACGGTATGTTCCTATGATGTTCTTCAAACCTGTTTTTGGCGCAACGACTCCTTCCGTTACTTTATCACATCTTTGCTAACCTCAACACCCTCATCCACTAGTATTAACGTCTACTACAACGAAGCCACTGGTGGCAAATACGTCCCACGTGCCGTCCTCGTTGATTTGGAACCCGGTACCATGGACTCTGTCCGTGCCGGTCCTTTCGGTCAACTCTTCCGTCCAGACAACTTTGTCTTTGGCCAATCTGGTGCTGGTAACAATTGGGCTAAAGGTCACTACACCGAAGGTGCTGAATTGGTCGACTCGGTCTTGGATGTCGTGAGAAAGGAAGCAGAATCTTGTGATTGTCTACAAGGTTTCCAGATTACTCACTCTCTTGGAGGTACGTATATGCGGAACTGTTATATATGTGTATTGTATATTGAGAGTGGTGGGAATTGGATGTGATACGTCATCCAAGACTTGGAAGTTTCTTTTTGCTCATAACAAAACCTCATCATTCATTGCCATACTCTACCCTAGGTGGTACTGGTGCTGGTATGGGTACCCTCTTGATCTCCAAAATCCGTGAAGAATACCCAGACAGAATGATGTGTACCTTCTCTGTCGTCCCATCGCCCAAGGTGTCTGATACCGTAGTAGAACCATACAATGCCACTCTATCCGTACATCAATTGGTAGAAAACTC